GAGAGAGAGAGAGAGAGAGAGAGAGAGAGAGAGAGAGAGGGAGGGAGGGAGGGAGGGAGGGAGAAGGAGGGTGTGTGTTGTGTGTGTCTCAACTACTATTCTGGTATGGATCTGCAGGTGAAGGTGTATTATATGTACTAATGTCATCTTATGCTACTGTACGACTTCTGATATATATATGGTATCCCGTAGTTCTTCTGTGCTTCTTTTTTTAGACTTTTCTTCTATCTCATCGTGTTCATTTACTAGGAAGGTAAAAGCCTTACCCGAATTCCTGTCTTAAATTTCTTTCGCTATTCATACTGCTCTTAAACAAGATCTCTTCTTTCTTGCGGCGTAATGAACTTAAACAATCTAAATTACGAAATCTGCGGGACTCACGTAAAACAATGCAACATAGAAAGACGTATCGATCTGGATATCGATAAGACACTCCATCGACCAAGATCTACCAATCTCTTGCCTGTTAACTCAATTGGACAAATTGAATCTTTTCTTCGGTATCGCTGATTCTTACTTTTGCTTTCCTCTGTCTCTTCTAACGTTAATGCCTCTGGGGTAGAAATGCAATGTTGCAGTTTTTTCTGGTCCTGCATCTTGGTCGTCCCAAGGTGGTATATCGAACAGCCATGGCATTAACCTTGTTGCATTAAGTCGGCTAATGGAAGCTCCACTTGAATAGCGGCACGCGATTGTACAGGGTCTGTGAGTCTTTTTTCAAAAGTGGTATCAAGTCTTGCCCAGGAGCTTGGACGGCACATCTCTTTATGCTACAAAAAAGAATGTTAACTATGTTTATAACATAAACGTATACCGATTACTAGTTAAGTTCTTTCTAAATTTTATAAAAATACTAAAGTAAACTACTTCACTTCTTTCCCTGCGGCGACAATACTCTCAACCAAATCGTCGATAACCTTATTGGTTAAAATTGGTGAATTAAAGACAACCCTGAAAAATTCTCCTTTACCATCTTGAGAAGTTGGGTTAGGTGAATAGTCCACCAAGTATTTACCTTGAGAGTGCAATTTTCTACTGATATATCTAGTAACCTTTGTGTGATCTAATTCTGTGAAATGCTCAGGCTTATAGTAAAAGCAAACCTGCAAGCATGCTGGTAATTTTTCTCTTGAGCCTAAAACCAATTCAAATCCAGAAATTTCGTAGATCTTATCAATGAAATACTTCGAAATCTTGAAGGCATGGTCGACTCTTTCTTCAAATCCATTAGTGCCGTAGTATAACCAAGCCATATAGAATTTGAACGAGTCAGCTCTACGTCCACATCCCATCGTACCATCTGCTAAATCAAAGTTCTCTTCATCATCATTATTACCATGGAATAAGTAAGGTGCCGAAAGGGACATTGCCTTTTGAAAATGTCCAACATGTGGTAATAACAAGAATGAACATGTAGTTGGGACACCCAACATCTTGTGAGGGTTTGTGGTGAATGAATTGGCTAATTCAGAACCCTTCAACTTATAACGGTGCGCCTGGGAAAAGACGACATTACCACCCCAGGATCCATCGATATGAAACCAAATATCATACTTCTTAGCAATGGCTGCAATTTCGGTAAATGGGTCATAAGAACCAAAAACAGTAGTACCTGCAGTAGCATTGATGTACAATGGTGTGTAGCCATCTTTCAAAGTACTTTGAATAGTCTCTTCCAATGATTTCACATCCATCTCTCCATCTTCATTGATTTTCACTTTGAACACATTTTTCAGTCCAATTCCCAATAATATTGCAGCCTTCTCAACAGAGTAATGACTATGTTTGGAAGTATAAACTGCAAATTTATGGCCAGCGTTACCTGTCTCCTTGGTTTCAGGGAATTTCAAGCTTCTTGCAATTTGCAAGGAAGTTACATTCGACCAGGATCCACCAGAGAATGTTAACCCACCACAAGTCTCCACATTGTCAGTGAAAATCAACAGCGCATACTTATGCCCTATGTAGTTTTCCAAAACAGACAAGACAGGTGAGACAGTGTAAACATGAGAGTTCGTGTTCAATATCGACAATATCAAATCGGAAATTACACCAATAGGGTTGTTTGAGGCGTATAATTTGTCCAAAAAGCCTGGATTCCAGGTGTTAACTGAAAGAGATAAGACGTCATCTATCACTTTGTCAAGTGAACTACCAGAAGCAGCGATTTTTTCTTCGTTCTTAAGCCCATCTGTTGAAATTGCGGATTCCAAGTCTGAGGTGACTAATTTTTTTTTCAAGTCGAGTGGGTTGTGGAAAGTTCCCAATGAGCTAGCTTCATATGTAGAAGAGTTTGGATCTGCCTTTGATACGTAATCGATGATCTTAGGCAGAATAAGGTTCAAGAGGTCTCTGAGTTCGTTGACTCTGTTTGACTCTAAATCGCAACTTAATGTCATGATGGCTACGAGTTTATGATAATCTGGTCTTTTTTATGATACCTAAAAAACCCCACTAGTATGTTGGTCTATTTGGCTTTATCCTTCAAGTCTGGGGTGTTCTTAAAACTAGTTGAGATTTTTAATATTTTTTTTTCTCCGTTCCACCATTTCGTAAATTACGTCAAATCAAATTGCATGTGAGTGTGGATGAAGGCGAGGGAACCTCAACATAGGGCAATCTATTCTATATATACTTGCTTACTTTCTTACCTACAGGAACTGTATATGCAACTTACGTTTATTTATGTACAATTTTTTAAGCCATTTACAAGTCGTCTTCCTTCCTTTCTTTGTAGTTCCGCACAAAGTAGTTGAACTGAATAATTTTTTTTTTTTTTCATTTCTTTGTTTAGCTGAATGAATCTTCCTTTATCTATGCTACACGATGTGTCAAGCAATTATGCTCTATTTTAATTTGCCCTCTTCCATTAGCTTCTTTTCTGCCTCTTGTCTTTGTCTTGATAAGTTTCTGTTCAATACATCAAGCTTACGCATTTCTTCGTGACCATCAAAATTCCCACTTGATAAGTTCTCATAAATTTCATCGTACTTCCCTGTAGATAATGGAGCATTACCAACCATACGCTTTCTCATATCGAAGATTCCTGCTCTACACTCCATAAACGCTCTGAAATGTGCTACGCAAAGCTCAGGGAGATCTATCTTCAACTTTGGGTTCGTCAAGCACTCCTTGGGGGTGTTTCTATCGAGTAATACACAAGGAGACCTCTGTAAGCAGATAGCCAATGCCTTCTTCTGATCTTTGCAACTAGATGGTATTAGTAAAGAGAACCTTAAAACCCTGAAATTTGTTGATATTTTCGATTTTCATGATTGATTTACGCAATTTAGTACATACCTTGCACCCATTTTCACCAATCAGTCTATGATATATGTTCTATGTCCCAATATATCTAAAGTACCTAGTAACGAAGTCTGAGGAATGAAAAAAATATATCATCAGATCATACTGTACTATAACACCCGTACACCCAAATAGTGATCATGTGCATACGATAAGTGAAGACTATTACCTCTGGTTACCCACTTTTTTGCTCGAATCTGAGCCTATATTGTGCAACACCTATACAGTGATTACCAAGAACGTGGTTTCAAAGCCAAAGATTCCAATTCGTCCAGATGAGGTGTTAAGAGTACCAACTCAAGTGAGCTCATCACACTGTCGCAGCACAGGAACTTTGTGTAACATATGTCAGATATGCCTAGGCAACTTTCCAGGCATAGTTAATCACTTTTCTCTTTGTATATTTCCCCATTTGCTTTTGATTTATATAATACACCAATGGAGGATTCACTCTTTCTATATCAGTTGACTCTTCGTCGACCTTCACATACATCCAATGTTGTTGTTGGTCAATTCACGCCTAATAAAAAGGTTCAAGAGTTGATCTTTGCGAACGGAACCAACATCGAGATGTATAGACCCAACCAGAGCTCAGGCAAACTACATAAAATATGCCAACAAGATACTTGGGGTGAAGTACAAGGATTGGATATATATAGATTATCTGGTTCCTCCGAGGATTTACTTGTAGTCACTTCAGACAGCGGGAAGCTTACATTCTTAAAGTTCGATATTGTGCATAGTCTATTTTATCCTGTGTTATCGGAACCTCATTCTAAGACTGGATTTAGGAGAACAACACCGGGTGACTATCTTGCTATAGATCCTCAAAACCGGGCAATTATGATCTCTGCCATTGAAAGAAATAAATTAGTTTATAAAGTATCTTCGTCAGACCAGAGCCTGCTTATACAAGTGAGTGCTCCATTGGAAGCAAATTCCAGAAAGCATATTACATTTGGTTTAATTGCTTTGGATACAGGGTTCGAGAACCCTATTTTTGCATCTATTGAATGTAATTATGGGATATATGAAAATAGTAGTAAAGACGTAGATGCAGAATTGTTACTAGTATACTACGAATTTGACCAAGCGTTGAACCACATAGTCAGAAGGAAATCGAAAGTGTCGATTCCCGGAACTTCCAGTAAGCTCATTGCTGTTCCAAATTCTGCTGGAGGTGGGGTAATGATATGCTCTGAATCCATGCTAACCTATGAAGCTAAAGATGGTGATAGGAAGTATATTCAGATTCCAAGAAGAAATGGCGAATCAACTAGTGCTCAAATACTTTCATTCGTAGTTCATAAAATGAAGAAGAAGAAGTTTTTCATTTTACTTCAGTCTAACTTAGGTGACCTTTTTAAATTGACTTTTCAATACAACGAAGAAGAGGAATCTATGGAATCAATAAATCTAACATACTTTGACACCATTCCAGTTTGTCACTCACTTAGTATCTTGAAAGCAGGATTTCTTTTGGCAAATGTTGCTAATCTGAACAAATTGTATTATCAGTTTGAAAACTTAGGAGAAGATGTCGATGATAGCACATCGAGGGAAACAGACGAGATAAGTGAAGTAATTTCACGTTACGAGGTAAGGAAAGATGAAAATCTTGCAAATCTATCCTTGGTGGACTCAATAGAGACGCTTAATCCAATTATTGGCTCTACTCTAATTGACTCTACGAAGCAGATTGTAACATTGTCTTCAAATTCGTACCTAAAGACTTTGACACATGGGCTACCTACTTCTATAGTCGTATCGTCTCCTTTGCCCATGCACCCTACATCTATTTATACGTCCAAATTAGAATCGGACTCAAAGAACGACGACTACTTGGTCTTATCTTCAACCTTATCTTCTACAACTTTGGTGCTATCTATTGGGGAAGTTGTTGAGGAAGTTTCTGACTCACATTTCATTGCAAATCAACCTACAATCTCAGTACAACAGATTGGGAAAAGCTCTATTATTCAGATATACCCTAACGGTATTAGACATGTCAATTCGAAATCAAAAGAAACTACGGACTGGTATCCTCCGGCTGGTATATCAATTACCCTGGCAAGTTCTAATAACGAACAAGTTATAGTAGCGTTACTGAATAGAGAAATTTGCTATTTTGAGGTAGATCCAACCGATAATCAATTAATAGAATATCAAGATAGATTAGAAATGTCGGGTGGAATCATTACGTCAGTAGCGTTACTGGCAAATAAGCAGCTTGATAGCGTTAAATGTTCATTCGCAGTTGTTGGATGTGCTGATTCAACAATATCAGTTATCTCTTTGCAGCCTCACAATTGTTTGGAAATCATTACGCTCCAAGCCCTTTCGTCGAATTGTACATCTATGATAATACTAAGTGGCAGTGAATTACATATCGGGATGGAGAACGGATTATATGCCAGATCACGTATTGATTCTAGGACAGGAAATCTTTCTGATACAAGGACGAGGTACTTGGGAAATAAGCCTGTGGAATTATCAACTATCAAATTACTGGATGCTGGTAATGGTTCTGGAGATGAGGAACTGATTACCGGTGTACTTGCAATTTCATCAAAGTCTTGGATTGGCTACAATTATCATAATAATTTTAAATTAACGCCATTACTTAATGTAAATATTAATTCAGGAGCCTCGTTCTTTTCGGAAGATATTGGGGGTGATGCTATCGTTGCTATTAATAAACAAGACGAGCTAGTCATTTTTACCTTGGGAGATGGTGAATCGAACGTTTCTATGGATGAAGACTTCTCCATATCGTCAATGAAGTTACGATACACTCCAAAGAGAATGGTGAGAGAAGAGGAAGCTGGTTCAGATCAAATATTGTACGTTATTGGTTCCCAACTTGGAGTTGAATCCAACATTCCTGCCACTCGGTTGGAAGTAGGAAAGACGATTGAAAGTGAAATTGAAGTTGAAGATATAGATCCAACTCCAACTCCTGGTTGCTGGAGTTCTTGCCTTCAAATCGTAGATGTTTTTGAACAGAAAGTTATTCAATCCATCGAATTTTCAACTAACGAACGTGCCCTAGCAGTGGCAATAGTCATGTTTTCCGACAGTAACAAGTCTCTCGTCATTGGAACAAGCGCTGAAGGAAAGTATTACTTGTACGTTTTCAAACTTGCTAAAAGTCTCCATTTCCTTCATAAGACTGAAGTGGACTTTCCTCCAAATGTACTTTTGGGCTTCCAAGGGAAGTTGCTTGTTGGTATGTCGAATTATCTTAGACTCTACGACCTTGGTCAAAGGCAATTGTTGAGGAAAGCATCTACATTAATTGATCAAATGAAAAATATTGTATCAATTAGCCTTCAAGGTAAAGATGGTAGGTTGGTAGTTGGAGATATTGCATCCTCTGTTTCATTTGTTAAGTTTGATGTCTTGGAGAACAAATTCTTTCCATTTGCCGACGATATTTTGAGAAGACAGATTACGACCATTTCGAAATTAGACTACAATACAGTAGTGGGAGGAGATAAGCTCGGTAATGTATTTGTATCAAGAGTCACCTCATCCTTGTCGAAGAGAGTTGATGAAGATTGGAGTGTAATGAAATACCAGCCATCATATTTAAATGGATCAGCTTCAAGATTCCAAAATATTTGTGAATACCACCTTGGAGATATTCCTACATCATTTGTCAATGGGTGCTTAAATATAGGAGGAGTTGACTCAATAATATATACAGGGTTACAAGGGTCATTAGGATTACTTTTACCATTTGCTACCAAGCAAGAGATTGACTTTTTCACCAAATTACAATTTGAGTTGAGAGAATTCTTTGACTATAACTTTGATGAAATAAATATTAAAGGAGGAGATTCAAACATTTTGAGTAGAGATCACAAAAAGTTTAGAAGCTATTATAATCCTGCTCGTAATGTAGTTGATGGTGACCTTATTGAAAGATTTGTTGGAATTCCTCAAGCAATAAAGGTAAAAATCAGTAACAAGTTAGATGGATCTCCACAGGAAGTGGAGAGAAAGATTGCAGAGCTTCGTAATAGATCTGCATTTTAAAAGCCTCATGAATGAAGGATCCAATAAGTCTATATAATTTGACTCTTTGTCGACCTTGGTCTCGATAGGTCTCCACAGGAAGTGGAGAAGAAAAATTTCAGATCTCCGTTGTAGATGTGAATTTGGAAGATAGCATTTTACAAAAAGTGATTAGTCTTGTTATATATACATATATCTATATAATGTAATATATGAAAGGGAGCAAATTAAGAATTTGTTCCTTTGAACTTAATAAAGCTAAATAAAATAGAAACTATGCATAAGTCATTCAATTATTAAATTTACTCTTAAGCTCAAGTTATTTAATACTACAACGTAAGTACTCGTAAAGCACAACTCAGTGCCTTCCAAAGAAATGGAAATTTCAAGAATTATCCAGATTTTTCATTTATGCATTCACTTCATTTCTTTTTGGGTTGTCTTCTAACTTGTTTTCATCCCCCGCTCCTCCTCTCTTCTCTAAATTCTTTGACTTCAATGGAGAATTATCGTTTAGAGAAAGCTGCTTGCCCATTAGAGTTGGGCTTCCTTGACCATTCAGTCCACTGTCACTATCTTTACGTAAGGGTGTCTGAGCATTTGGCGTACTGAATTGAACGAAGTTCCAAAATGCCGGTGACGATTGATTTGTATGGGTTCCACTTGGTGCTCCGAGTTTATTAGGTCCACCAGTCGATTTTGAACCTCTTTCTGGTGTAAACGCTTCAAGTGGAGTAATTTTTTTTGGACTTGTAAATCCAATTAAATCATTAGAACCAGCATTTGCTCCGCCACTGCTTTGGTCTTTAGATATATTTGCACTATTATTGTTTGTTGTTAATGCGGTATTGTTAACTGAATTGCTGGAATTTGTACTGGTGGCAGTGGTGCTGTTACTATTATTATTTCCATTAGTAGTGTTTGAAGTTAATTGATTGAGTGAGTTGTTTCTAGAGTGGTGTGCATGTGGTGCCGTTGACACATTACTCGATTGAGCAGGTGGTGGAGGTAAATTATACAAGTTATGGCCAACGACCTTTGGGAGTTTTGGTGTCATACTATTAAGTTCACTTAATTGACGTATAGGGGAGGAAAGTTCTGGTTTGACTCCACCTCCACTAAGATTAATTGGCAGTTGCTGTTGAGGTTGCGAATTATTGCCTCCCAATTGATGTTGGTGTTGTTGATGTTGCTGTAATTGAAGTTGATGCAACTGTGCGTTCAGCTGCTGCGCCATTTGCTGTTGCTGGAGTTGCGGAGGTTGTTGTTGTGGGTGAATTCCATAAATCATATGAGGTGGAACAGGTGCCTGGAAACCTCCAAACCTTTGTTGTTGTTGCTGTTGTTGTCCTTGTTGTCCTACATAACCTCCATTTTGTTGTTGGTTGAGGTAAGCTAAAGCATTAGGTTGAACTGGGTTGTTAGGAATTTGTCCATATTGCATAGGTTGTCCTAATTTGGGTAAACTATTTGTTCTTTGGTGTTCGTACATGTTTGGGGGTTGGTTAAGAAACTGCTGTTGGTGCTGTTGTTGTAAAAGATTCTGGTCCATTTTCAGGTAATATTTTTGACTTTCTGGCAATTGTTGGTGAGTTGCCAAATGTAATTGTAATTGTCTAGAGACACTAGAACCTCTTCTTGCTTTCAGTATCGAACCATTTTGAATCTTACTCAAGAAATCTTGCTTATACAGTTCACTAATTTGCCATTTCATTCCCTTTCCAGGCTCGTTTGGCCTACGAGGAACTTTTTCAAAAGCCTTATTTAATGATAAGTTATGCCTAATTGAGTTTTGCCATCCAGTCTTGGAATATTTATAATAGGCGTAATGGTTTCCTATCCAGTTATAAATTTCATTTAAAGACATTACTCCGTCATCGTTGGATAAAATTGCCTGGGTGATCATAGTAGCGTAGGAGTAAGGAGGCTTGATGTCCTTTGCTTCCTCTTTCGATAAATCTTGGTCTAAGTTATTTTGAAGCGAAGTTGCCGACGTGGAAGGAGATTGACTCAACTGGTTCTTATCAAACATTTGGAACGATTTAATCGTTGGCATGTGGTAATTATTATTGTTATTGAACGATTGAGAACGAGAATGAGACATCGAGTGCGTGGAATTCGAATGTGAATGAGATCCCCCAGAGGCCGATATCTTCCTCTTGTTTGCACTGTTCTTATACTTCAATAAGTATTGATTCTTCAACTTGCTCAGTATAATTGGAGGGGTATCTGGCAAGATGAACATCATTTGCGTTCCTCCAATGTCCAAAATGGCCCCTGAGTGAAGTGGGTTCAGCGTGGTCACTGCAACCTTCTGTCCATCAATTCTGGCCCCGTTTCTTCCCAATACTTTCAATTCCCAGCATCTCAAATCCAAGTTGTAGATGATGTTGGCATGCTGACGAGAAACCACTTTGGCTGGGCCCAAGTCAATGTCGATAAGGACATTGTTATTGGTGTTGCTGGTGTTGTTGGTGTTTGGGGCTGGCGGAGGTTGCTCTGTATTTCGACCAATGCTTACCGCAAGCGACTTCACATAGAAAGTCCAGTCTGGGCCTGCAATCTTGGCATACGCCTGGACTTCAGTGGGGACGTTATTGTTGTTAGCAAAGGTCAATGAGACCGTGGTTCTCTCCTCAGGAGTCTGGAGCTGCGTTATCACCGCGTTGACCAAATCTGCAGGGTCGTCGAACGAGGGCAATTCGTCTTCATCAGCGATTGATCTTTTCCTAGGCGTTGACACCGATGACATGGCGATAGAACAGGAGTGAATGGGGTTATAATATATGTAAATTTCTGATGCTGTGGTGTCTTACAAATGAGCCAACTTGAAACTAGCGCAATTAGGAGGGTCGGTGACTGAGAATGGGAGTGTTCGTTTATTCTTCCGCTCTGGCTCTAATTGTCTGAAATTGCCGTCCCGTAGTCTTGCTGTACGTTACTGTTACTACTCTGCTACTCTTTCTACCCGTCTGCTACTACTATAGTACTCGGGCTGGGGCTACTGCTTGTGTTTGTTTATCTTTTGTTTTGTTTGTATGCGCAAATTTTCCTTTCGCTTTCTGGAGAAAATTTTTATTTTGATTTTCCTGGCCCTTCAGAATTTTGATTTTTGGGCACAGGGCCTAGGGAAAAAATAAAATAAAAGTATAAATGGGGGAGTGTACGGGTTGAGGGTACATGGGAGAGGATAGGGATTGGGGATGGGAAGACAGACAGGATAAGTGTACAATGAAAGGAAGAGAAAGAAGGAGGTTCAGGGACATGGATTTGGAAATTGCAGTGGAGACGTGATGAAAAATTGTAGGATATTTTTATTTAATCATCAGTAGTGAAGCTTTAATAATAATTTAACCGAATTTTTCAACTGATTTGACATTTTCTTGTTCCAGTGTTTACATAACAAAAGTAATTTGTTTTTGTTTTTGGTTGGACGAGATAGCGTGCGATTAGCGTGTATAGAGTGTGCAGAGTGTGTATATAGAAAGGTGAGCAGCGAGTGGAGGTGGTGGGTTAGCGTGTATAGAGTGTGTGTAGTGTGTGTTTAGCGTGTATGCAAGCAGATCTGTGAGCGTGGAGTGGGAACTGTTTCTTTTTCTTTTTCTTTTCTTTTTTTTTTTTTTTTTTTTTTTTTTTATCTCGTTTCTTTGTTTCTTTACTTGCTTGGATTATGACTGGTTCATTGCAAGAACGGAATGCTAAAAGTGTGGGGATGTGCTGCATCATCTGGTTATAGTTGGGCATGTGTATGCAAGACCCGACCCTTGTGAGATTGAGTGGTGGTGGTTTACTAGGAGATGGCTCCAATATGTGTCGCACTTAAAAGGTATTTTAAATGTATCGTTAGTGTGCACGTCAGGCATAGATGTTGGCTCAGTAGTGTGTCTGTCTTCTATCTCTATCTCTGTCAATCTCCATAGCTAGCTCTCTGACTATATCTCTATCTTTCTACAGATCTATCCATTCATTTATCTCTCTGTCTATCCACTTATTCTAATATGTATTCACATTTCTATATACATATCTACATACATAGCTATCTATCTCACTATCGATCTCACTACCTATGTCCTGGTATCTACATAAACTGTCTATATATGAACTCTCTGTCTCCTTGCCTGTTTATTTGCTGTTTACCTATATCGTATCTTCTTTCCTCTTTCACCCTCCATCAGCTACTATCACAACAATGCTACTACATTCTCCATGTCTCTATATCGATTAAATTGCCTTTGTCACTGCCATTGCACTATCTAATGCATTTCTCTCTGCTGCCCGATTCACTCTATGAAATCCAGTTCAATCGGATCCTTCTTTTCCTTTTAGCACCCATACTCTCCTTAAAGAAGCCTCCCCAGTATGTAAACCTCTTAATCATACTTCACCGGTATTATAAAACTCTCCTCTATGTCAAAGCCTCTTGCATCATACTTCTCCATCGTCAAAATATCCACTACAAGATCTTCCTCCTCCTCTAATCTCTTCTGTACCAACACCTGGTCGTCTATTATATCAAACTCGTCTTCTTTTTCGTCATACTCTATGTTTTCTTCGATCTCTACGAAATCTGGAGCAAGAGCACTCCATTTCTGAGGAAATTGAATCGACCAAAGATAAACGTACCCACTATCCAACCCAGTAGACCCAATCATGCATTTGGAATAATTCCATTTGACATCAATAAGTTCTTCGTTACTTCCTTCCAAGATTTTAACTAAAGATCCCATACTGGTTTCCCAAACGTACAAATCCTGCGAAGATTGCCCAAATGTAGACGCAACAAGGAATTCTGCATTATGGTTGAAAACAACTGAGTTCCACTGTAATCTATTAATCAAATCCTGATACTTGTGTTCTACTTCAAACTCATCCCATTCCTCTTCCACTTTCTCTTCTCCATTTAAGTCTTCGTCATTCCTTCTGTTGAGAAAGTCCGGTAAAATGATTTGCCTGATGATTCTATCAGATGAATTTATAGCCAATTTTCGCCCATTGGGTGAGATCACAAGGTTCTTGATATTGGAATTTGTAAACTTTATAGAATGCACAGTTTCAAGCGTTTTGGATGAAATTATATTTAGCCATCCCTTGCTAGTACCAGTCAATATGTATAGTCCAAGGTTTGGCGTGAAGGTGGTGGCAAGTGTAACATGCTTTTCCACTTTCTTCTTTTTCGATTCTGGTTCAGGCGTAGCTGATTCAGAATTGTCCTCGCCCTGTATAATCTCACGAGGTTGCGTTTGTAACCTGGTTATTACTACATTATGCTCGTCTTCGGCATCTACATGAACAGGGTGATCTTCAAACAACGAAGCTACGAATATAAAGTGGTTTCTAGGGTGTAAAACAGCCAGCCAAATGGGTCCATCGAATTTGACATTTCTGATCACTGCCAGTGATGCTGCGAAATCGTCCCGCTCGCTATTCACCTTGGACAAGTCCCACAACTTACATGTCCAGTCTTGGGACGTGGATAGTATATATCTACCGCATGATGACCAGCTGATAGAAGTTACCGGTCTGGAGTGCCTGTCCTTCTTCAAATGTGCAATTACGCCCGCATTACTCGAGATATCGTAAATAATAATTGAGCCGTCTGTGAGTCCAGAAGCTAAGTAATCTCCTCTACTATTGAATTGGATAACCACGGAGTGTCCACCAGCGGACAAAGTCTGTGTCAAAGATTCGGGGAATTCCTTTGCTACAGCAAATGGATCTTGAAGCGAAAGGTTCATGATACCCAAGTGAAAACTATGCTATAGTGGCCCAGCTAGTCTGCGTACACCACCTTCGTCTGTGTACACTTTTTTTTTCATTGCTTATTTTTTTGACTGGCAGAGTTTCGCGTAAATGTTCAGTAGGTGTTAAATGAATTGAAAGGTTAAAGGTGAAAGAAATCAGTTTCATACATAGCCTGGGCCGTTTGTCTTGTATCTACGAGAATAGAAAATAGTAGGTGAAATTAGCTTGACAGTACAATTTGTAGTATAATAAGTAATAAGCAGAATAACTTAAGTAGCCTTTTATATATTCATCTATAGCAGCAGCACGAATGAAATGGTTCCTGATATTATCCATTATAGCAATTTCAATTCACGTCCAATTCATATGGGGTCAGATACATTTTTACACGCCAGCAGGAACTAAAACATGCTTTAATCGAGAATTGGTCTCGAATACTCTACTAATCGGCAAGTTTAAGATGGATATATTGGAACCTTCTCTGGGGCAGTACGTACGACCGGTCGATACGGAAAACACTGGAATGTTGATTGACGTGGAGGAAAAATTCGGTGGAAATCATAAAGTGGTTCACCAGAGGGCACTGAACTCGGGCCAATTCACCTTCAGTGCTCTAGATTCTGGTGATCATAGCATATGTTTTACCCCAAAAAGCTTTATAAAACCGAAGAAGAAATTGCTAGATAAGATTTGGAATGGAGATCGGGCCAATAGTGAAGACACCAGCGAAAAGTCTGATCCAAAATTTACCAAAGTCAGACTCTCCGTTCATTTTGAGATAAGAGATGGCTCATTCATAGACTCCAGGCTGGCAGGAAAGGTAGAATCTCTCGTGCAACAAGTTAATAGTTTGAATGATAAATTAATAGATATCAGAAGAGAGCAGATCTTCATCCGAGAGAAGGAATGGAACTTTAGAGATCAGTCTGAAAGGACTTGTGATACCGTGGTAAAATTTCTAATAATTCAAGGTATTGCAACCCTAATTACCTTTTTGTATCAAATTGTATCCTATAGGAAGCTTTTCAAGAAGGAAAAGGAAAAGAAAGACTAGAAGATGTTCAATCTTGATTGAGGCAAAGTTTTGAAGAATGCTGCATGATACAAATATCACCATAATTGCGTAACACTTTCATCAAGATTAGTATGAGAAACAGCCAGATCCCACTAGCTATTTTTATTATTAGCTCTATGATACTGCCACAGTAGTACAATGCATATTTATTTGAATAAAAGAACTATGTTCCAATATTGTAGTCTCCCATCGGAGTTGTTCATTTCTATACATTTACTATGATGATATCGTGCAGCATGGTTTGTGGCACTGTGCGAATATGAATATGCTTAAATGGAGAGAAGTTGAATTTTGTCAAGCACAACTAGGTGTATCAGTAAGACCAATATGACGGAAATTGATAAGGTGAGCCTACTGCTTTCTCCTACAATAAGTGTAAATTCCACTGCTGGTAGTAGCACGAAGGGGACAAACTCAAAAAGAAAGCTCCGATTTGACGACAGGTCACAAACGAGAATTAGCCTTGCCCTTCAGCAAAATGGGGCATTGGAATCAACAGCTAAAACTCGCCAGCATTCTCCATATTCTACTTCTACATTATTCGACTCACATTATAATATCTTCACTGATAAGACTAAGAAAACGGTGAAATGGTCCAGGATCGGAAACTTATCTAATCTACTTTCCTCTACTGACTTCTTATCTAAGTTCGGATCGCCAATTCTCTTAGAAATTTCCTCGCTTTACATGGCAATTGCTACTGAAAATGGCTATATAATTGGCTTTAATTATCACCAGTCTATCGAATTTATATTAACCAATAGCACAAATGGAAATGATAAACACGAAGGCGGTGATGAGGGGATAATCACTTGCATGTCGTTCTCTTCAGATTCGACAAATTTGGCTGCTGGTCATTCAAATGGAAGAATAGTAATCTGGAACGTAAGTAATTCATCACCTATTGTATCTGCAAATTCCTCATCACCATCTAGTTACCAGAGACCTGCAAACATAATACCCTCTATAACTAAAGATGAAGAAATCTTATTTTCCAAAGAAGGACATTTGGAAAATTCCACAATAAATCATATAGGATTCGTAAATGATCACCATTCACAATTGTATTCTTCCGATATGTCTGGGATCGTATGTTACCATCTTGGAATAAAACAAGTCTTGAAGAAGCACTTTGTATCCAAAAGGATTTTAGGCAAAGATAATAAAAACCTTGCGATAAAGGCATGTGCAATCTTGCCAATGGGATCTGCAGAGCTGATAACTGACCAATTGGGTGTTCTAGCAGTAATGACTAACAAAGTGCTATTAATTGTATCCATTTTGTCATTGAATAATCCTCATTCTACTAAAATTATAACTCATTATTCTGTAAATACTACAAAGCAAAAGGATACTGCTTCGGCAGAGATTTTAGAAGGCTCTTTAAGTTGGTATCCGTGTATGAAGTCGACTAAGAGTAGTGCAGTCGAGAATCCAAAACTTGCATATGCATCCGATGATACACTTACTATTCTTGAAATTGAAAATGACTTAATGCCTTCAAACTTTTTAAAAGTTATCTCAGAATTGAAGGACAAGGATAAAGCCATCCCTAATCTTTCCACACGCAAAACTGTAAAATGGAAAAACGAAAACCCTATTTTGCGATTGAAGTGGATATCATCTAAAATTCTATGTGTCTTTGAAAATGATATAGTGAAAACGCTATGCTATGACTCAAAGAAAGGCAAACTCACGTTAGTAGGAGAGGATGCAACAATAAATATTATAAATAATAGTGCAATTCAAGTGTTTCAGGATAAGTTGATGATCTTGGGTAATACTAGTCAAAGTCAATGTGATGTTATACTTGGAAGTCATATCAATTGGGCTGATACACTAATGAATTTCTTGGCCAAAAATGAGCACTTAAAGGCATTAATAACTGCTGCTCAGTTATATACTAGCAGCTATGAAAATAATTTACAAAGAGATAGCTATTTCACTCTGGTTGGCTTGCCCATAAATGGCGAAGAAAGAAAGGCATTGGTAAAACCATATTTAGTCGACATTATGAAAAATTCTATCCAGTTTGTCTACCGAAATAACAACAACCAAGGTGATGAGGGCAATGAGAATACTGGCGATAGTACCATAAAAGAATATCTTAAAGTTTACTTCGACATTATTTCAGATCTTTCTTCATCGGATACCGAAATATTAGAAAGCATATTTGAAGCAGTAAATGACAGTACAAAATATTTTGAAAGCTTGGAAATTTATCTCCTTAACGGAAGTATATCATCTCTTTCCCCTGTTGTTCTAAAAGAGTTAGTTTTATACTATGTAAATAGTAGAGCAGGAGATGTACTAACTGAAATTTTATGTGTATTGAATATCCAAAGCCTTGACATCGATTTAACAATTCAGTTATGTCGTCAATATCACCTCAACGATGCCTTGGTTTATATTTGGAACTATTTACTTCAAGACTACGAAACTCCATTATTAGAATTCTTAGAAGCTATTAAAAGCGGCAATGAGCAAGTTGATACTCCTGGCTCGTCTGCGTCAGATATATTCACATACATGTCCTACATTCTCACAGGTCGACAGTTCCCGACTGATAGATTTATTGATAGCATGATGGAAGTAACTGCAAGAGAGAGTATAACCAAACACCTTTTCAATGCTTACGATGATGAGGGTTCGATTTTCCCAAATCTAACATTACTACTCAAGACTAATTCTTTTGAAATGCTTTCGACTTTAAATGAATTTTTCGAAGACACCTCTCTTAACGATGACGATGGAAAGTTATTGAATAGACAATATATTGTTGAAGCGCTTTTGGATATTTATGAAGCTTATGAAGCTGAGTTTAGCGACACTGACAGGTGTCAGTTATCCATATTTATAGCGAGAAACTACCCTAAATATCAACAATTCATAAGATTGTCTGAATCTACCTTGGAAAGCATAATGAATAATTTATGCTCAAATACAAATGATGATATCGTTGCTGACTGTGAATTAGCCCTACAAAGTTTAATTGGTGAACATGATCCTGAATTTGACCTTTTGTTGATTGAAAAGTTGAAAGCAGCAAAATTCTATGATGTCTTAATTGGCATCTTCAGGGCTCAGGGGAAATATTCTAAATTATTAGAAACCTGGATCCAAAAGTCAGTTGGTGATGGTGAATCAAAAGGTGATGAATCACTTTCCAAGATCTTACTGGATTGTTTCAAAGGTACTAAGAACTCGGCCATTGAAAGATTAGAATTAAACAACATCATCAAATCTAAATTCAATGTTTTACTTCATATAGATTCGATAGGGCTTGCGAAAGAACTAGAAAAAAACCACAGGGCATTACATTTATTAATTTTGGATGAAGTGGAAGAAGAATTGGTGACAAAATATGTCGAGTGTATTATTTCAATGGTGCGTGTTCAAGATGTTGACATTGAATTAATTTACAAGTATTTGGAAATCTTGTTAAGTGAGGATAACAATTCTACAACTGCTTCCAATTTTACCAAGCACAACGTTTCAAGCATTCTAAAATGGCTGGAAAACTTGGAACAAATCTTTAAAAGATATAACTCAGTAGAGAATTTGACGATTCTTAAAATGCAAGAGAAGAAATTTGAAACTGCATTGGACTTGATACTTGAACACAGTGAACATATTCTGGGGCTGAAAGACAAGAATGAGGTTGAGAAATGTTTAAATTTGGCAATTGAAATTTGCGAGAAATACGATAATGAGGTTGACAATCAGTCTAATGAAGAAATGGAGAACCCTTATGATGGGGAATTGTATCTCAACGAAAGAATGTGGCTTAAGTTGATTAATTACTGTATTGCAGCAATTTCTGAGAGAAACGGGAATGGACCAATTTACAATCAGATCTTGCAGGCCAGCTTCAAACAAATCAGCTCTTCGTCAGCTTCCAGGAAAGGTAATCGTAGAGAAAGGTCACTACTTGCTATTTTCAATAAATTCTTAGAAATGAATGGAAATGAGACTGCTACTGGTGAAGGGGGTAAAAGAACAATCGCTGCGAATCTCTTGACAATCCGAGACATTTTACAAGAAGTTTTCATCCTGTTTTCCTATGAGAACGAAATGCTTAGAATTTGCTTACAGCTGTTACATGCTGGTATTAACAAGAGCATGAAAATAATTAGATCTATAAGGTTAAGTGGCTATTCTGTTGTTGGAAAACTGTGTAGTTCTTGTGGGAAGGTTTTGTGGGGAGACAGGGGTCAAATTTCAGAGGACCACTGGTTAGCATGGGAAGATTTGCAACACGAAGTGTTGCATGTCAATTATCAGAAGAAGATAAACAACGATAAGTATACGCACTGTGGGTTGATTTTCTTCTCATGTGGGCATGGATATCACAAAACATGCTGGGAAGGTATCGGGAGTGGTAGTTGTCCTATCTGTAGTGATTGATGTAGGTTTAAAGTTTTACGAGAGAGGGAATATACAAGAATACGGTACCACTTTTCACACACGTAGCATTGAACTTTCTAGTTTGCTCTACTTACTTCTGTCTTAATATAGCGGTAGCATTGTTCTCAACAGGCTCTGACGTTTCAGTGCTTGACTATGCTGATAACTGTGCATGGGCACAGTTTCTAAGTGATGCATGGAAGGTTGGCACCAAAGGTGGAGCGCTCTTCTCGGTTATGTGAGGCTCATTTTCTATGTGCAGTTCTCTGTGCGGCTCAGGATTATTCTCCAACTATTGTGTGAAATTCTAAAAATAAAACTCACGCTTCGAGGAAAAGAGCTGGGCGGCAGTGGAGCCTAAACCAAATTAGGACCAGTAGAAGAAGAAGGGAAGTAAAAAAACAAAAAACAACACACTACAAGGACGTTGCACCTGAGCGACAAACAGAGGTATCGCGAAACGGTTTAGATCTATCTCCTAAATCAAAGGAAATTCCAGCACCAAGTTCCTTTTCGAAACATGAATAAGCTTTATGGTTTCCCAGTCGCAGCGCGGTTAATTTCCTGGCTCAGTACCTGGCAATGTACAAGAAAGCAGCAATTCAAAGGGAAAGCCTCTCGAAGCAGAACAAGCTTTGGATGGAGGTATGTCGTATATCATCTCCAGTGTCTCACAACCACCACAAAGATGACCCGTTTTCAACCGCTCCAGAACGTACCGTAACCTTAACTTCGCATCCACTTGATACCTCACTTTCGTCCCTGTTCACTCCCACTCGTTTCTGCATTAGCTCGCTTTTCTTTTTTTTCACTCTCTTATTACTGCATTGGCTTATAGTCCCTGCGCTAGTGTTTACCTTTTTTTCGCCTGAGCCCTCCTGATCGATTCTATTTTTGCTACTAGAATTTTTTTTCTTGATTTTTTAAGTTTCTTTTAGTTGTTCATCTGGTAGTCCGTTTTGATCTGCTTTTATTTCACATAGGAAGCCTATTGGACGTATCTGAAAGATCACTAGTTGATATACACTCGCTTACAGTAACGCTCGAGCACAAAAATCTCGAGAATGTCCCACGATCTTAGCGATGACGATGACTTGTTTGATTCCAACGATGTGAAGCTCACAAACAATCCGGTGCATACGCAAGGTACCACTACACCAACGACGAGCCGTCCGTTCTCCAGCCAGCAGCTGCTTGATCATAGAATGTCACAGTCCTACTACAATACCCTGAACGTGCCATATCAGCCGTTTCTGCCTCCGCTGCAGGCGCAGTATTACCCACAACAGCCCCCATCAGCCACTTCGGCGTACAGCTCTGGTTTGGTGAGTGGTGCTGAGTACAACGAGAAGGTCAGGCCAGGCTCCGTTATTGGCATGCAATCACCTCCGGTCAGACCAAAGGGTGTAGCATTCAAGGAGCAGGAGCTGGAATACCCCCAGTCCACCTACATGCTTGGACGTAATGGAAATGGTAGCGAATTCTTCGGTGGATCACAATATGAGATGGAAAGAATTGACCCTTATGATTTGGACGGACCCTTGGGTGGAGCTTCGTTTGGAGGACACTTAAGGCCTTATTCTCAACATTTAACGTTCACTGGTGATGATTACTTGATCAATCCATTGGAAGACGCCAACGACGACGATGAGTTGGATCCGTTTGGCGATGATGATTCGTTATTCTCTGATACCGGTGAAGAAATTGTCAGAAGAGGTACTACAATCAGGAAAAGGGGAGGAGGCAATGCTTCCGGTTCTGTAAGAAAATCGTTAAGCATACAGGGGAAGAAAAAATCCAAGAAGAAGAAGAAGAGAATGAGTATTTTCGGAGATGGAGACGTTGCCGAAGAGCACGAAGCCCTCGACGAAGACGAAGACGACGATATTCTATTCCCAGATGAAGACGATTTCAGACCTCGTCTTAACTACACAAAAACCATCAAGAAGGTTATGTTGGTCAATGGTAATTACGTTATCGATGCACCTGTACCCAAGGCATTACTCGAGAACTACGGGAAGACAATCACTGATGGTGGTAGAGAAATGTCATTTATGAGATATACCGCCGCTACCTGTGGTCCGCTGAATTTCTTAAGGTTTAATTACTGCCTTAGACAGCCTTTATATTCACCTCCAAGGCAAACAGAGATCATGATTTGTGTTACCATGTTCAACGAAAATGAAATCTTATTAGCTAGAACTTTGAAGGGTATTTTTGCCAATATCAGGAATTTGCTGAAGAGATCAGATCCAATGTGGGGAGAAGACTCTTGGAAAAAGGTTGTTGTCACAATTGTAGTGGATGGTAGAGCCAATTTGCATGCAAGAGCTGAAGCCCTTCTAGTAGCTTTGGGAGTTTATCAAGACGGGTACGCTAAATCAAGAATTAACGATAAAGATGTCAAAGCACACATATATGAATACACCTCCACAGTGGGAATTGAAGCTGTTAACGATAGAGTTCATCTTGAGGCAAATTCTACTCCGGTACAATTCTTATTCTGCTTGAAGGAAAAGAACGCTAGAAAGATTAATTCCCATAGGTGGTGTATGCAATCATTTGCACCAATCTTAAAGCCAAACATTATCATGTTATTAGATTGTGGTACACAACCAGCTAAAGATGCATTCTACTATCTTTGGAGAGCATTCAGAGATGAAAACGTTGCAGGAGCATGTGGTGAAATGAGAGCAGCTTTGGGGCCCTCTAAAAAGCTTTTGAGTAACCCATTAGTTGCAGCACAAAATTTCGAATATAAAATTTCCAACATCTTAGATAAACCGATGGAATCTGTCTTTGGATTCATTACGGTGTTGCCAGGTGCCTTTTCAGCATACAGATATGAAGCCATCTTAAATGTAAATGGAGAAGGTCCTTTGGAAAAGTATTTCAAAGGTGAATTCTTACATCAGGGTGCAGATATTGATGAGGATGACGATGAAAGGAAATTGAAAGAAAGGAATTACCAACAGGCTGGTATATTCACCTCAAATATGTATTTAGCGGAAGATAGAATCTTGTGTTTTGAGCTAGTGGCCAAAAAACACCACAACTACGTATTACGATACGTAAAAGAAGCAACAGCGGAAACTGATGTTCCTGAGAAAATGGATGAGTTTGTTTTGCAAAGAAGAAGATGGCTTAACGGTTCGTTCTTCGCTGCTGGTTATGCATTGTTCCATTGGAGCAAGATTTGGAAATCAAATCATTCCTTAGGGAGGAAGTTATTTTTACAATTGGAATTTTACTATCAATTGATCACTTTATTGGTCTCATGGTTTTCACTTTCTTGTTTCTTTTTAGTGTTCAGAATTTTAACTCAAAATTTGGGTTCTGAGGATATGAACTTCCTGGTAGGTGCATACTTAGCAGTTATCTTTCTATGGTTTTACGCTGGATCAGTTGTCGTGACGTTTGTCCTAGCATTTGGTAACACTCCAAGGGGTACAAAGAAGTTTTATGTGGTTATAGCAGTATTTTTTGCTGTTTTAATGGCATACTTGATGTTTTCAGCTATATATTTGGCTGTTCACACCGTTCAATCCATTTTGAAAGACAATCCTCACTTCAGTGCGTTAATGATTTTCACGAATTCGAAGTTTAGAGATTTAATTATTAGTGTTCTCTCCACTTATACGTTGTACTTCATTGCTGCTTTCATGTACGGAGAACCAAGTTTTATGTTGACTTCATTTGCCCAGTATGTTTTACTTTCGCCAACTTATATTAATGTTTTGAACATTTATGCGTTTGCCAACATTCATGATATTTCATGGGGTACCAAAGACGTCGCCGTAACAAAAGATTTAGGTGCTGCAAAATCTATGGGTAAAGATAAGAATGAATTGGTTATGGTTGCACCAGGAGATAAAGAAGAGGTTAACGAAAGTTATTGCGAAACATTGGACAATTTGAGAGCTTTGCCACCAGTTGAGATACCAGCTCTCACTAAGAAGCAAAAGGACGACTCCTATTATGCATTTGTCAGAACAATGACAATTTTGATCTGGATGTTGACAAATGCAATCTTAATCATTATTGTTTTGGATACTGCCGGTTTGGATACTTTTACTGGAGTTGATGATTCACAAGAGACTATGAATAAACATGCTCAGACATTCTTATCGATCATTTTATGGATCGTTGCCGGATTAGCAGCCTTCAGGTTTATTGGATGTACTTTGTATTTGATCTTTAAGGTGTTCAGACCTTTGAAATGGAGACTTATGGCCAGAAAGAATATCAAAAAGGGAACTCCAAGATTAAGTTAAATAAGTCAAGCTAGTTTAGGTTTACTCTGAATAACTATACGAAGAAATGAAGAAATTGACATGTAGCTCGTAAAATTTTTAATAAGTTACTATGTAGATCCAATTGGTGGAGCAATTTTGGTAAATAAAAGTTTATTCTGCCAACTGGATTTTGCAACGCAATTATATGTTATGCTGGTACAGCAATTTTGTAGACTACTTCTAAATTTTTGCATAACTAAAAGGCAAGTTATCCCCCTTTGTCGATATTTACTGCTTATTAGCTACTGTTACAGGCCAATATTTTGAAACTTATGTAAAGGAGCATTAACATTATCTACAAGAATAGTTTGTAAAGCGATGAAAATTGCAACACGAAAAATGATGTACGGGTGTCATCTGCAATCCTAGAGAATTATACGACAGGAACATATAAACGAATAAGTAACGGCTGATGGGCAAGTATAATAGTACAAATTGCATCAGGTTACTATATTGGTATGCTTTCATAAGAGTAGAAAGACTTGCACTTGACCCTTGTAACTGGGATTGTGGCTATTTATGTTAAAATTGCAAATTTCTTGTATTTCCAATATTTCCCAGCTAGCAGAACACTAAATTGAGAGCCGCTACAGTTGACAAATTTGTACTTCAAGTGTTGCAATGCTACAGCAGAAGGTGGAAATATTCCCACTATTTACAAGAATTTTCGTCTTACGGATTAGGTAACTAATTGTTCAAGAGAGAATTTTTTCCGGGTATAGTGAAACAATAGAACGTTAGGCAAAAGTACGGAGTCATAGTGTCTTCATTAGAATAAGCATACAAAAAAGAAGAACGCTTTTAGGTTCACTTTTCCCATGGAGCTACTTCACAAAGCATCAACTGACAGCACCTTGTGAGGTATCATAGAATAGCCAGATAAACGAATTACGCTTAGATTATCCAAATAAGAGGTACATATCCAGAAGCTCCAACTACTAGCCAGCGTTCATAGAGTAAGCATCAAGACCTGCACAATGCATATTGGACAATTTCGCTTCCGAGATTTTGGCAAAAAAAAATATGTCAGACGCAATCCTGACAAGAGAGACAATGGGAAACTCGGGTTTGGACCAAAAGAGATGAAGCAGATTTGTGGAGCATAATAAAGCCACCACTTCCAAAGAAGCAAAAAAAGAAATGTCGATGCTAGGAACGAGCGAGTCGAGAGTGGGGGGTTGGGATGTAAGGTTAAAAAAGTGTTATGATACCTGATTAGAAGGATATTCATTGTCTGCCTATTGCTGTTTCAGATGAATGTCAATGCCTCGACAAATCTTCGACATAACCTAGAAAAAACCTGTGGGCGCTATGATGCAATAGCCTTACATTGTCTATGGTCAAACGGTCGCTCTTGCTTATAAATATGCAATGTATTATCGCCTTTCTAGTGAAAACCGAATTTACCGATGTTAAATGCGAGCCCTAGGAGCCGAAGTTAAATTTAACTTTCTCCGAACCTGTTTGCAATTGGTTCCGGGTTTGAGTGGTTTTTTGTCAAAGGTTTTACCGATTTCCGACAAACTTTTATCCGATGGGACATTGTGCAGGCCACGAGTTATTTAAAAATTTAGCGGAAAAGCTAAAACTGAAAAACTTAGATGTAGGTCGTGGCAACTGACAGAAAAAAAAGAAATTCACAATTTAGCGAGAGAAGAAATATTTTAAGGTTTAGGATTACTGTAATGCAGAAGGTAGTCAAAGGGAGATGGGTAGTAACGTAATGGGGGTACACACATGAGTATTTTCCAACCTGGAAAGTTAAATGAAATAGAGAGGCAGGGGACAACGAGGATATTTTTTAGACATGGGTATTGTAGTATTTCCTATTGGCCCAGAGTTTGTAGGTTTTCCCCATGTCCTCTGATGCTGGCCCACTCTGCTTATCTGGAAGTCGACATTACTGCTACTTTGTCCCATGCGCACTAAATACGTCAATTTTTCATGCACGACCCCACTGGGTATATCTGTAAGGAAGCCCAAAAAAAAAACGTATCAAAACTAAGAGGACAAGATATACAATTGAAGAATAGGTCGTAGGAAGGTATGAAAACTGATGTGTAAACCGTTATGACATTACGTTCGGAATGGCCTGAAAAATTGGTATCACCTAGAACGCTCTACCTCTCTTTCTCTCGTCGTCCCTACAATATTAGCAACAAAAGAAATAGTCTCCACTCTTACATGTAATACTTGCATAAATTTACCCTGCTCTAATTGGCCGATGCACAGTTAAGGTACCCACCAGATAATCTATTGGTATTTTTTTTTTTAATTCCTTTGACTCCAGCAGCTCGTAGACTAGGGTTGATAGCCCTTCCTGTGATGATATAAAAAATTATTCTAAAATTTGCTTGGAACCAGAGTAAGAGTCTGTTCACAGAAGGGTCAATTGCCCCAGTTTGTGGGTGGTGTCTTGTTGTCTTGGCCGACAACGTGCATAGAAATACACTTCTATTGTCGAAACACAACTAATTACTGTCACAGTTCAAGGCACCATTGGATTACGTCAGAATGAGTCCTTATTTTATTCAGAGCAGGGATATCCAGGTAAGGCTCCGAAGACCATGTTACCTGAATGGTACTTGCCGCAACTTCCATAAACTCACATCAAATGTATGGTGGGCGGTTTCTTTGTCAGTAATTTTCTTTTTTTTTCCTAAACATTGGAGAAATAATTTTTCAAAATTTTGTCCCACTACAAAAGAGGTCGGTCCGAACAAGCCGCACCAGACAGAACCAAAATATTGTCGTTTAGCCAATTCAGGATGATAAGAGAAGAAAGTACAAGAAAATGTTGAAAAATAAAAATAATAAGAGCCAGAAAAAAAAAAAAAAAAAAAAAGTAAGTATGAAAATGGCCATTGATTAATGTTTTAGATAGTGTTATTATTATTTTTTTTTGGAATGTTCCAGGCAAGGAAAGATAAGAGGGGAGCATTAGATGAACGTAACTAAAATAGAAAGAAACAATTACAACGATGTAAACAGTAAACAGTAAATAGTGAACAGTGAAATTGACCTTTCGACCTAATCCCATTAAAAAAAAAAGGCAGGAACAGAGACAGAGAGAGAGAGAGTCAAAATTTTTACTTAAAATTAGCTCAAAATAAAAAACCCTCTGGAATTATATCCGAAGTAAAAAAAAAGAAAAAGAAAATAACTCTCTACTCTCTTAAGTCAACAAATTTTCAAAAATTTCCCTTTTCCCTCCAATAAACAATTAATTACATAAGAAGCACTTTTTTGGCCGACATTTCCGAATGCTGAACCTCTGCTAACAAAACCATCCTCCCGCTACAACGGGTCCATCTCTGTAAACATTTGTAGTATTTTTGTTTTTACTCCTTCCGTTTTCGGGCGCCGATTGCCTGAAACTGGTGAACTTTTCATCCCATCCTCTCAGCCGCATGCGCATAATCAGTGTATGCCGACGAAACCAGCCGCAAATATTCCCGCTTCTGGCAACTGCCACCCTCCCTGTCGAAATTCCCTCACCTTTAGCACCATCGATTGGTCAAGGGTGGACGAATTATTCCCATTAATAAAAAAGATATTGCAATTCCAACCTCTAAACATATATAAACAACCCCTTCCCACTCTAGTTAAAGTCTAAATTTCCCAGTTCTTCTTTTCCTTTCTCTTTCTTTTTTCTTTTTTCCCTTTTTCTTCCTTGTCTTTCTGTTTACTTATTTACCCATCAAAATGAGCGCAACAGAACCCACTGTCGAAAAGGTTGACAAGAATGTCTCCGATGATGAAGAAGATGATATTGACCAATTGGTTTTAGATTTACAATCTAACAAGGCTCTTGGTGACGATGATGAAGAAGAAGATGATGAAGATGCCGGTTCATTCAAGGCCGTTCCAGAAGAATTATTGAAGACCGACCCAGCCACTGGTTTGACTTCCGATGAAGTTCTCAAGAGAAGAAAGAAGTATGGTTTGAATCAAATGGCTGAAGAAAGCGAAAACATGTTCGTTAAGTTCGTTATGTTCTTTGTTGGTCCAATTCAATTCGTTATGGAAGGTGCCGCTATCTTGGCTGCCGGTTTAGAAGATTGGGTCGATTTCGGTGTTATTGGTGCTCTTTTACTTTTGAATGCCGCTGTTGGTTTCATTCAAGAATACCAAGCTGGTTCTATTGTCGACGCTTTAAAGAAGACTTTAGCTAACACTGCTTTCGTTATCCGTGATGGTTCCCTCGTTGAAGTTCAAGCCAACGAAATCGTTCCAGGTGATATTTTACAATTAGAAGATGGTACCGTTATCCCAGCCGATGGTCGTATTGTCTCTGAAGACTGTTTATTACAAGTTGATCAATCTGCTATTACCGGTGAATCTCTTGCCGTTGATAAGAAGGGTGGTGACTCTTGTTACTCCTCCTCTACTGTTAAGACCGGTGAAGCCTTTATGGTTGTCTCCGCTACTGGTGACTCTTCATTCGTTGGTCGTGCTGCTGCTTTGGTTAACAAGGCTTCCGGTGGTCAAGGTCATTTCACTGAAGTTTTAAACGGTATTGGTACTATTTTGTTAGTCTTGGTCCTTGTTACCTTGTTACTTGTCTGGACTGCTTGTTTCTACAGAACTGTTAAGATTGTCCCAATCTTGAGATACACTTTAGCTATCACCATTATTGGTGTTCCAGTTGGTTTACCAGCTGTTGTTACCACCACTATGGCTGTCGGTGCTGCTTACTTAGCTAAGAAGCAAGCTATTGTTCAAAAGTTGTCTGCTATTGAATCTCTTGCCGGTGTTGAAATCTTGTGTTCCGATAAGACCGGTACCTTGACCAAGAATAAGTTATCTTTGCACGAACCATACACTGTCGAAGGTGTTGAAGCTGATGACTTAATGTTGACTGCCTGTTTAGCTGCCTCCAGAAAGAAGAAGGGTTTAGATGCCATTGATAAGGCTTTCTTAAAATCTTTGATTAACTACCCAAGAGCTAAGGCTGCTTTAACCAAGTACAAGGTTATTGAATTCCAACCTTTCGATCCTGTTTCAAAGAAGGTTACTGCTATTGTTGAATCCCCAGAGGGTGAAAGAATTATTTGTGTCAAGGGTGCCCCATTATTCGTCTTGAAGACTGTTGAAGATGACCACCCAATTCCAGAAGATATCCACGAAAACTACCAAAACACTGTCGCTGAATTTGCTTCAAGAGGTTTCAGATCTCTTGGTGTTGCCAGAAAGAGAGGTGAAGGTCACTGGGAAATTTTGGGAATTATGCCTTGTATGGATCCTCCAAGAGATGATACTGCTGCCACTGTTAACGAAGCCAGAAGATTAGGTTTAAGAGTCAAGATGTTGACTGGTGATGCCGTTGGTATTGCTAAGGAAACTTGTAGACAATTAGGTTTAGGTACTAACATTTACGATGCTGACAGATTAGGTTTATCCGGTGGTGGTGACATGGCTGGTTCTGAAATTGCTGATTTCGTTGAAAATGCTGATGGTTTCGCTGAAGTTTTCCCACAACACAAGTACAACGCTGTTGACATTTTACAACAAAGAGGTTACTTAGTTGCTATGACTGGTGATGGTGTTAACGATGCTCCATCCTTGAAGAAGGCTGATACCGGTATTGCTGTCGAAGGTGCCACTGATGCTGCTAGATCTGCTGCTGATATTGTTTTCTTAGCTCCAGGTTTATCTGCCATTATTGATGCTATCAAGACTTCCAGACAAATTTTCCACAGAATGTATGCTTATGTTGTTTACCGTATTGCTTTATCCTTGCACTTGGAAATTTTCCTTGGTTTATGGATTGCTATCTTGAACCAATCCTTGAACATTGATTTAGTTGTTTTCATTGCTATTTTCGCTGATGTTGCTACTTTAGCCATTGCTTACGATAATGCTCCATATGACCCAGAACCAGTTAAGTGGAACACTCCAAGATTATGGGGTATGTCTATTATTTTGGGAATCATTTTAGCTGTCGGTTCTTGGATCACTTTAACCACCATGTTCTTACCAAAGGGTGGTATTGTCCAAAACTTCGGTGGTTTAGACGGTATCTTGTTCTTGCAAATTTCTTTAACTGAAAACTGGTTAATTTTCATTACTAGAGCTCAAGGTCCATTCTGGTCATCTATCCCATCTTGGCAATTATCTGGTGCCGTCTTAATTGTCGACATCATTGCTACTTGTTTCACCCTTTTCGGATGGTGGTCTCAAAACTGGACTGATATTGTCACTGTTGTCAGAGTCTGGATCTTCTCCTTCGGTGTCTTCTGTGTCATGGGTGGTGCTTACTACATCATGTCCGGTTCCGAAGCATTTGACAACTTCTGTAACGGTAGACCTCAAAAGACCCAAAAGGATCAAAGATCCTTGGAAGATTTCCTTGTTTCTATGCAAAGAGTCTCCACTCAACACGAAAAATCATCTTAGATGTGCTATTTTCAAAACTAATAATGAAAAGCAACTCCCGTCACACATTCATTTTTGTCTAAGCTTTTTTTTTATATCTCCTCAAATAATCCCGTATTTGATTTGATTCCCGTCCCGTCATTTTTACATTTCTAATTTTAATTTTCGTATTATAGTACAAAGAATAGATAATAATATTTAAAGACAAGTAGTAGATGTAGAGAAGAAGCCTTTTATGGTTGTTTTGCACAAACTGGTGCAGAGAAGAAGTGCCATGTACGTAGAGCAGAATGAAGATGTAGTCGATAGTAGTCATGCCGAAAGCAGTACAGACGTTAGCGCCAGTACCGCTTAACTATTTTCGAGGTTTTATATGACTCTCATGTGGTGTCTCTGCTGTTTTCGCTCTAAGAGATAGATCTACACTGGATACAAGAGCTGGATCTAAGCTGGATACGAGGTCGAGGTACCGAGTTTTTGGATGACGTAGGAATAAGTAGCCTGTAGTGTGAGGCCACCACACCATGCGCAAATCCGGTGCCTAGAGAAGGGAATTTTAGGCTCGATATCCATTTTCGCGCTGGTGCCCTGAAATTCTCAGATTCACGCACGATTTTAGTGAGTGAAAATCTATGCACCGGAAGAGCAGAGCGCCTAGCTGGGCAGTGGACCAGGTAAACTTAACACACACAGAAAAAGCACCTAAGAGCACCGGACCACACCCACCTCCTCCCTCACATCCACTTTCCATAACCAACTCATTCTTCCTGTATCGCTTCACCCTTCCAGTATCCAACTGCCTCCCGACACCCCTCCACACTTCACCTCTTCGGCCCTCTTCCCGCCCTTCCTGCCCTTCCTGCTCTCTAATTTGTCCTGCCTACTCATTTCTTTTTTCTGCTCTCATGTTGGGCCAGATTCTACTCGTTTTGTGCGCTCTCTGAAATTCGTGGGCATTCACTTTTTTTTTTCTCTTTCCTCAGATCACAAAAATTTTAGCAGAGTTTGAAATTTACTTCACTGGTATAGAGCACGAAGAGGAACGAAAACACCCTTAACGTGCCGTGTACATTAGGAAATAGAAGAGGGAGAAGCACGCATTTACTAGTACTATCACAGACTGAAGAAAAAAGGCTGATAGTTACAACAAATTATACCACTGACTGGCACCGTATCGCCGCTCACCCAACCACTCATTTTTGCGCTGCACTGTTAAACTTTTTTCAACCACCACCCACGAAGTTTAACCCACGCCCAATATTTTTCCTAAAGGTTGGAATTTTCTTACCTTCTTAAGAATCTTTTAGCAAAAGTTTAGCTACTTTCCCCTTTTTGCTGATTCTGACTAGAGGAAGCTCTAGTTCACTCATTACTCACACACATGACGTTGGATCCTCAGTCGCAACCCAGAAGTGTTTCGGTTTCCATAAGTTCCAACTCTTCGTATACCAAGACTGGTGTACCTGCTGACAAGGTGCGCGAACAATTAAGAACTGCGTCCTATGGAAGCAATTTTTTCCAGGGAAACGCTACTGGTGATGATGATGCTAGTGACTCCAAAGTAGCCGCGGCCGAAAAGGACTCGGAATTGGATATCGTTGGTGCTTTGGGCAACCTAGACCTTGACGAGTCCAATGATCCAGAGCAAACTGCCAGTGCCATTTCGGAGGACATCCCAAAGTCGACTACTCCGTTCACCATGAACCAGCTGCAGTTTTGGGATCCTTCGTACCAGAGCCACCCTCACTACAGCCAACAGTTCTATCCACCATACCAGCACCTTCCTACCGGATCTTTAACCCCGAACGATGTATCAGGTGTGGGAGCTGGAGCTGGAGCAGGCTCATCCGCAAGAGGTGGCCTCAAGTCAACTCCTTCCACATGGAGCAGTAACAGCTTTATTCCGGCCTCAGCACCCCCATTTATGTATTCAGGTGAATCCGATTTAACTGGTGCCCTCTCTTCCATCAAACCATTTGAATTGCCAGAAGATAAAGAGAATTTGAGCCTGTTTGGCAACAATGCATCTACCAACACGAGCAACTCTTCTTCTACATCTACTCCTACGCCTAGCGGGCAAAGTGGTCCAGTAGGTACCGGGTTCCAAGGGTTAGTCCAACCATACTTCACTACAGATGGATTGAGAGAAGCGCCATTCATTAAAGAGGGCGACAAGCTGGCTTCTCCCGTAAATGCACAAATTGTTGGAACTGGGTCTAGAGCTAGCGGAGTACCAATTTTTCCTGATTTCATGCCATTCAAGAATCCGGCTCCTGCTCTTAACAACAATAGCAATGCCTTGAACTTATCCTCGCCAATGCATCACCCTCATCAAATACATCAGATGTATCATCATCCTCACCAACAAGAGCAGCAGATGGATATGTGGAGCCAATACCAGCCAAATATTCAAAATGCTCCTATGGAGTCAGGAAATTACAGAAGATATAACAACAATGGCAATAATAACAACAACGGTGGAAATAACAATAATAACAATAATTCAAACGTTTCGAATTACAAACAACATCGTTTCGCTAATGATTCTATGAATGTTCATCGTAAACTTCATAACAATACACATAAAAGAAAAGGAGATGATGCTTCCAAATATGCCAATGCTAAATTGGAAGATTTCTCTGGAGATATTTATTCTTTATGCAAAGATCAACATGGTTGTAGATTTTTGCAACGTCAATTAGACTTAGGAAGAGATACGAAGAAAAATAACTCCAATGGATCTGTTCTTAGCAACGAAGTGGCCGCTACCATGATATTCAACGAGATTTATCTCAAAATTATCGAACTTATGACCGACCCATTTGGTAATTACCTTATCCAAAAGCTTTTCGAAAATGTTTCAGTAGACCAAAGGATAATTCTTGTCAAGAATGCCCTGCCAGATTTCATTAGAATTGCATTAGATCCACATGGTACTAGAGCATTGCAAAAGCTCGTAGAATGTATCACCACAGAGGAAGAATCCAACTTGATCATATCTCTGCTTTCTACCCATATTGTTCCATTGTCAAGAGATCTCAACGGGAATCACGTTGTTCAGAAATGTTTACAGAAATTGAAGCCACTGGAAAACCAATTTATATTTGACACCGCTTCTGAACATTGCAATGAGATTGCTACGCATAGACATGGGTGTTGTGTTTTGCAGAGATGCTTAGATCATGGTAATGCCCAACAAATTAGGCAATTGAGCTTTAAGGTTGCTGAGAACGCTACCAACTTGTCCTTGGATCCTTTTGGGAATTACGTTGTTCAATACGTTTTAAGTAGAGGAGATGATCAACTGATTGATAAGATCTTACAGCATATTAAGTTGAACGTTATCTCATTGAGTTTACATAAGTTTGGGTCTAACGTTATTGAGAAATCTCTTCGTATCAACAAATTATCCAATAGCTTGATTGAAGTTTTGTTGTTGAACAAAAATAGATTTGGTGAAATGTTAAATGACGCATACGGGAACTACGTATTGCAAACCAGTTTAGAAGTTGCAAACCAACAAGATTTGGCTAAATTAAGTGCCAGCTTACAACCATTGTTACCAAACATCAAAAATACGCCCCATGGTAGAAGAATCATGACCAAGATTCAACAACTTTAGAGAGGAAGGAGAAGAAGTAACGAGATGAAGGAAGACGTTATTTGTACCATTTAGTGAGAAGAAACAATAGGCTCTACTACGACGCTTAAGTATATTTTTCTCCTCATATTCACGCTGTTCTCATTATATTAATTTTTGAATTACTCAAAAAAGTTATCATGACTGATACATCCAGACTCACGGGTCTTTGTTTAATTGTATTTTAGACTGTATATTAGTTGACGTTAATGTATATAAATTATTAAAGAGTTGTAGGGCAGCAGATTAATTGCCAATAAGGATTAAGTCAAACAAACCAGAATGGGTGTGAACAGAGTATGAGCTGATGAGCACCCTCAGTTGGCCCTCAGTTGATGTATTAACGACCCCGTTTAAGCTATTTAACGAATTTCACCGGGTTTATCAAAATGAGCTAAAAATTTATATAACCTGAAACGTGCAGCACTAGCCAAAAAGAGCCAAATGGCTGGAAATGAGGTCTTTGTGAAACCGATATTTGCACAAACCCAGAGGTGGAAGCTTCGATTTCTTGCCGTGACAGAGATAAGGAAAGAAACCAAGGCCTAAGTTTTAATACTATAAACCAATGCCCTGTGGCAGACACTTGCATAATTTAGCTGAATTGAGATAATTAGAAACCCTCACCTAAAGTGTTTTTCTAACTCCGGCGCTAGGCAGACTTCGAGAAGAAGGAACATGAAACGGCGGATCGCGGAGTTCATGCTGAGCTCCCACTGGGGTAAACTGACGGTGTTTACTTTTCGTGCTATAGCTGCATGCCTAAGTGACTCAAACACTTGCTAGATCGGCTTCCTGGCTCCTAGCCATTCTTTCCCTCTGCTGCTCTCTCCTGCTTGGCTTTTAGCTTTTAGCTTTCCTCCACAGTCTCTTATCTACTAAGAGATATTGATTGCGCTTATATGCACACCTGTCTTAGTCAGGTTCTGGAGAATCTCAAACATTTCCATAGTGTCATAAAAACAGGAAAGACGATCAGAGAGTGAACAAGATCCACCATTGACATAGATTTTGTTAAAATTATCGCTCGTTTGCGAAAAGACAGGACTTTCAGTTGTCACCACGGTTTCGCCAGCTTCAAAAGAGAGGAAATACACTGAGTGAGGCCGAATTTGTTACATTTTACCTTGAAGCCTTTTTTTTTCAGTTTTTGTTTCTTTTTGTATAGACTTGGAGAGGGAAACAACTTATTCCGATCGGATATCAAGCGTACTTTTTTTTTTTTTTATCATCATTCACCCACTTAGTATGATCGGCGAAGCAAGACCCACTATCAAGAAGAGGAAATATTCCAGAGGAGGATGCGTGGAGTGTAAAAGAAGGAAGATGAAATGTGATGAGGCTAAGCCTGAGTGTCACAATTGTACCAGGTTGAGGAAGACCTGTATTTACTCCGAAAAGCTGAATATTAGGTTTCTGGACGGACCAGTGGATGCTAGGGCATTGAAACCAGACCAAATACACCTGAGCTTTGAGGCATCTTCTCAAAGTCCGGTGCCTCAGCCGCAGAGCCATCAGCAGCAGAATCAGCATCAACATCAGCATCAGCAGCGACAGCACCCAACTGCACAGCTACAACACCTGCAGCTCGGCAGGCTGCCCTTGTTTCAGCTGCAGCCCCTGCCTTTTTCCAATTCGTACCAACTGCCGCAACAGAACCAGCCCCATATGCCTGTGCATTCTGGAGTTTACCCACACTACAATAATCTAACTTATGAAAACAATAAGGTGCTGCCGCTTCCTTCTGACATCGATCCCGTACGATATTTTAACTCTCCATCGAGTGAGAATAGTTATAATTATGGATTCAGGCCCAATAGTCTTCGAAACTTAGCAAATGCTGCAAATTTGACCAGCTCTACGTCTATCGACAATTTAACTCATACAACAAAGCCAAGTAACTCAAATGAAGTAGAAGTCGCCACATCTGCTATAGCTGCGGCAACACCAATTGCGGCTCCTGCACTGGCTAGTTCAACGGATACACCACCGGTGGAAGCTTCAAATTTAACTGCTCCAGGCTCTTCCACAGTACCAAGCTTTAACCCTTCCAATATCGTTACGAGTGGAACATCATCTTCTTCTACAAATAGATCCACATTCAGAAATTCTATTCTGGATATCCTCACCCCGATAGAAAATGGAGTGGACTCTCCTGGTGCACAGCCAAGTAAAGCAGGCGAGAACAACAACAACATAGCGAAGATTAGCAATACTGACAGTAACTCTCTTCCTAGTAATATGGACGTCGATATTGAAAATTTCATGTTTATGAAAGGAGTTTTTGACGAAGCAAGTCTATGGGTGCACGACTTAAATGATCTAGTGACTTCAGATTTGTTAGACACAAGTCTCAATGTAAATAATAATAATTCAACTGCTCAAAAGCCTGAACCTACTTCATTAAATAGTGAATCCCTTCCGGCGATATCCAACTATAATAATACCAATAATGGCTACTTTTCAGGGAGCGAAAGTGGTAAGATGTCAGACACCTATGACAAACATAATTTCCAATTAGATGAATTTTCTAACCATATCGTCAATCAAGTCACAAATCAGAATAAGCCTGATTCATTGTCAAGTATGCTGCCACGAGAGGGAAGAGCTGGAGGTAGAGATTTGATTAAAAGGGAAGATTTTGTGATATCCAACTCTGAACTAATTGATGAAACAATACGACAGAATAATCTAGAGGGACCCCACGTTGAGTACTTGAAAATCTTAACGAACACTGACTTATCTTATCACTTGTATCCATTTGCATCATCCGTTGAGCTGAATGAAGTGGTGCATATACTTTTAAAGTATCTGTTAAATTGTCCGTACTTGCTTATGGGCTTATTGGCAATTTCAGCAACTTTCCAACACAACCAAACGGGAAAGCTTGTTCATGACTTGTCGAGACAGAAGTATTTGTCTGTTTGTTTAACATTACTCAGTAAGGAATTTAATTCAAGTGGTAATGCTAGGAATAATTACAAACTTGCCAATGACATAGAAAGATTGTTACTCACGGTCTTAGTTCTTACTACAAATTTCACTGCAACTAGTACGGATACCAGTGGTACTCCTGGTACTAAGAAGGCAGAAAATAATATACTTAATTCGTGGAAGACTCATCTAAGAGGTGCAAAGGATCTTCTAGTGAGCTACAGTGCAGTTAAGAGTCAAATGAAAGAGAAAATGATGAGTGTAAGTCCCGGATTAGCTTTGGCTAAGACGTGGTTTTTTGCTATTGAAAGTTTGGCAGGGTTGATGCTGCCATTGGGTGGAACTGTTATCAAGAAAAAAGAAGAAAGTGAAGGTAAAATGGAATTAGAAACATCCGAGGTAAAAGATACGTTTGGCGCAGATTCTGACGACCATGGACCTGGCAAATACAAAATATTCACTGATACTGGATATTTTTTGTATGAACAAAATCCAGAGTATCATGATAGCTTAGTAAAAATTGGGTTTCTTTCTCCGACTGCTAATACCGAAATGCACGGGGAATTCAATATATTTATTGGGTTCACAATTGATGTGGTATATTTGAACCAAGAATTCATCGAATCACTCAACTCTATAAGAAGCAATCCAAAAGTGAAAGTCAATGCAGACAAAAATTTAAGACTCATGAGTCTAATACATAAAGCAAAACAAGTAGTTGTAATTCCTGGGGTATCTCATTCAACACATGCCATACCGACTACCAGTATAGCTCACCCGGATTACACTGGACACGATAAGATAGTCTTCCCAGCCACAGCATATGCTAAATCAAATAATGAAGGAAAGGGGCCCCCAGTATACTATTCTTGGTTTGATGTCTCGCAGCAGATTAGAGTTGACGCTGTGTATCTTCGAATACTTGTTCTGCCCAATTTTTTCGGCCTTCCGAAATCAAATCATGTAGTCGAAGAGCTTGTGAAGAGGTTGTTTGGATATATGTTTTTTGTCAAGGAGAAAGAAGAAAATGTTAAAATCGAGCAAAGTATTGTCGCTGAAAGTGAACATTTTTACCTTCCTAGCGATGTATTTGACCTTAGATGTGCTATGATCCAAGCGCTGTTTAGACTATGTGTGAATTTTGCCAAGACGGATTTAGAATTTGAAAAATTGCAGTTATTCTTCATAGGTTTGGTTAAATTAGGAAATGGCAGTGCTTTGACAGCATTGGAAATGGTTAACAGGCTGAGAGAGAGGAGACGTAGAAGGCAAGAAAATGGAACGGAAGAAGGAATCTCGGACGAAGAGAGTTTGCCTGGAGACTTTGGGAGAGAAGTCATAGCATTTTCCTAGGAGAAGCGGATATTTTATTCCCATTTGAGAAAGAATCTCGGATGTAGAGAGTTTGCCTGGAAACTTTGGGAGAGAAAATTTAGGGTTTTCTCAGGAGAAACGAACGAATACAGTAGAGATGGTTAACGGGCCGAGAGAATTGAGATGTAGAAGCCAAGAAATTGAATCGGATGAGATAATCTCGGAGGGAGGAATTTCGGACGAAGAGAGTTTTCCTTGGTCACCTTGGGAGACAAAGCTATAGCATTTTCCTGGGAGAAGCGATCATTACATGCACATGTGCACACAATGATTATATAGATCAAGAATAGAACTCCTACTTCCTTCCTTACACAAGTTTAAGAAGTAAAAAAACTGCAAAAATCACCTGTAAGTAACACATCCCCCTATACTAGATCACCCTATGTCCCCCTATGTAGATCGCAGAACAATGCTTTAAAAAACTAACATCATACCTTACAAATGTAACTACCGCACAAGAAACTTTTCGTGCGCATCGCTCCAAGTATACGACCACCAAAAATAGAACAACCTTGCAGATTCTTATACGAGCCTGTAATCAACGTGCATAAACGCTGCTCGAGCAATGTTAGGTGGTGAAAAAAAAACAAAGCGGTGAATAAAATTCTTTCTTACTCTTTTTATTGACAATTGTTGCTAGAAGACCACCTTTCATAAAAAACTGAAAGATGGCAGACGAATTAGAAAATGCACCATTGATCGAGGCTGATCAAGTAGATCAAGTTGACCATGTTGACCAAGTCGAGCACGCTGACCAAGATGGAGTGGTGGCTGAATCGCTGGTACCTCATGGCTACCTCGCACCAGAGGACATCGAATATGAATTCGGTGGACCTGCCGGTGCTGTAGGTATGATGGTAGGGTTCCCGCTCCTCATGTACTACATGTGGATCAGTGCCCAGTTCTTCGACGGCTACCCAGCTTGGCCCACTGCCGATCAGCTGTGGAGCTCGTTCATCGTAGACACTTTGTTTTGGAAATACTTTGTAGCGTACGGGATTCCAAGCGTCAAGACTTTTGTAATCTTTACTGGATTCGTTTTGGTTCAGGGTATATTTTACGTTACCTTACCTGGTGTCTGGACCAAGGGCCAGCCTTTGACACATTTGAACAACAAGCAATTGCCTTACTACTGTAATGCTATCTGGTCTCTTTACACCACGCTCGTAATTCTCGTCTTCTTGCACGTACTGGGAATTTTCAAGTTGTACTACATCTTGGATAAGTTCGGTGAAATTATGACCACTGCAATCTTCTACGGTATCTCGTTCAGTGTTGGGTTATACTTGGTTTGTCTTTACGTGACCGAGGACTATCATAGAATGACTGGTAACCACCTCTACGATTTATTCATGGGTGCACCATTAAACCCAAGAATTGGAAAGTACCTCGATTTGAAGATGTTCTTCGAAGTCAGATTACCTTGGTTTTTCTTGTTCTTCTTGAGTTTGGCCTGTTGCTTGAAACAGTACGATGAATACGGATACGTTTCTCCACAAGCTGCCTTCGTCTTGCTAGCCCACTGGCTCTATGCTAACGCCTGTGCCAAGGGTGAAGAGTTGATTGTTCCTACTTGGGACATGGCCTACGAAAAGTTTGGGTTTATGCTTATCTTCTGGAACATTGCCGGTGTGCCATTCACTTACTGTCACTGTACTTTGTACTTGGCATGGCACGATCCTGCCGAGTACCAATGGCACTGGGCTTACAACTTGTCCTTGTTTGTTGTTTTACTTACTGCTTACTACTTCTTTGACACTGGGAACAGACAAAAGAACTCATTCAGAAGACAACTTGCTGGTAACACCCATTTGAGAAAGACATTCCCATACTTGCCCCACGGTGATATCATCAACCCTAAGTACATTGAATGTGAAAATGGCTCTTACTTGTTAACTGACGGATGGGTTGTCTACGCCAGAAAGTTCCACTACACTGCCGACTGGACCCAAGCATTGACCTGGGGTCTTATCTGTGGATTCGCATCTCCATTCCCATGGTTCTTCCCAGTCTTCTTCTTTATTGTTTTAGTCCACAGAGGTTTCAGAGACCAAAGAAAGTGTGAAAGAAAGTACGGTAAAGATTGGGACAGATACGTCGAAGCATGTCCATACATGTTCATCCCATACGTGTTTTAAGGGCGATGGAAACAAATCAAATAGAAAACAGAAATTCAAACAATCCAATGCAAAGCTATACGCTTAAAAGTTTACACTCATATAAATAAGTTCTAAAAGTTGTTTAGTACAATAAACTAAAAAGTTCAATACTCAGAGGATGTAGTTCGTCTGTTTTACAAACAAGTGAAGGAAAGGACACTTGTTCCTGATTCATTCTTAATTCGTTTATTTCTAAACGTTTTCTAATTCTACTTCCGTATCATTTCGATATCTTTGACCTCCTCGAGACCACTCCATTTCCCACTAGTATTTGATACCAGTCTCCTAATTCAGCGCGGAACAAGTAAATACATACCACTAGTTCCTACTCTCTCTCTCTCTCTCTCTCTCTCTCTCTCTCTCTCTCATAATTCTCACACTCATTAATCTTGTTCAGCAATGGCAATCAACCTCTCGTCGATCTCATCTGGAGTCAAAATCTTGAAACCATCTTTAGTGGCAACCCCAATTTCGATATCGTTCTTCCTGAAGTCGGATCCAAGTACACTCAGCAACGAGCTTATGGCAAATTCAACGGTCTCTTTCCAGTCTCCCTTAACGTAATCTATTTTCTTGAACTTTCTTTCTAAGTATGTGGTAGCTTCTTGCTGCTTTGGTCCAGTGGCTACAGCCTTCACTCCAGTGTAATATCCAGCTGGGTCACACTTGAAAATATGAGGTCCCAACTTGTCAGTATCTTCGACTTCTACTTGACAGAACGTCAATGCCACACCTAAGGGTCTCATGTAAGCTCTTTGGGTATACAATTGGGAGATGTTGGCCATTCTCTTAGCAATTGCTTCTACAGGCATTTCATAGCCATACTTGTATCTAAACTCGGCGGCTTCAGCTCTGGCTCTGAGAGCTTGAGATCTGGCATCCGCAATGGAACCAGTGGCTACAAGCCCAATGCTGGGGGTGATTTTGAAAATATATGATACAGTCTTTGGGTCCAAAAGCTTATCCGGGATCTTCTTCTGAGAAATTAAAACAGCCGAGTCCTTTCCGGATACGGCAATTGATGTGATATTGGCTGAGTTGATTGCCTTGAAGGCGTATTCGACTTGATACAATCTTCCCTCTGGGGAGAAGATGGTAATATGTCTATCGAAACCAGCAGATCCTAGAAGGTTAGTGACTGAAAAGAAGAGGAAGGAGAGGAAAGGAAGACAAGGCAACCACAACACAAACAAAGAAGTTTGAAAAGATCATCGAAGGACCCCCAATAAGGCAAGGACTGAATCCCAATCGTAGGAGCTACGACAAGCACGAACTCCCTTCCACAAGATCTCTCTTATTTCATCCATTTTGCACAAAAACGACCCCCAAAATTTCCCACCTCCATTACATACCTGACATTGTTTATGTATATATGTTATTTATATTATTTTCCCTTCTAAACTATGTTCAATTGAACTATCACTCTCTTCTTGCCTCTAGTGGTGGCGACTTATCCTCCAGCAAAAATTGTCGTTCTTCCATGTTGAGGGGTGTGCGCGGGTCAAAAGCCACTACATGCAGGACAACATAAACCAGAATTTACAAAGAAGAAAAAAACGAACTGGCGGACCACTACAGAAGGACAGAAGTGTTCCTCCGTAATATACATACATACACGCCAAAACAGCTAGTTTTGTCTATACAAGGAAGCACTATAAGCAGCTGAGGATTTCAAAAACACCGGAAAAAGGGCACTGTTACATACAAAAATCGGGGAATAACTTAGCCTTGTTAGAGAGAATCGCTCAGGTAAAAGTTCCATAGAAGAGTACCTTGCTGGCTTGCATTTTTATTGATCTACTTATATTAGGTAACTGCATTTTCTTTCGAATTTATTACTCCCTGCTTCAGTATGACGTCGTCCACATTCGCTACAGACGCCAAAACTACAGAGAAGACACCCGTATACACTTCAGACCGAACCTCAGGAAGCAACGGCCCGCATGTCTCGTACCACTACAACCCTCAGGTTGCGCAGTACCACTATGGGCCCCACCACCCCATGAAACCCTTCAGGCTCATGCTTACTGACCATCTTGTCATTTCATACAAACTCTACGAGAAGATGGATCTTTTCACGCCGAGAAGAGCTACCAAGGACGAGCTTCTTGAGTTCCATCTGGAAGACTACATAGACTTCTTACAAACGATAACTCCAGAGCTCACGAGCAAGTTGGCCGAGAAGAAGTTGGCCCAGTTCAATATTGGAGATGACTGCCCTGTTTTCGACGGGATGTATGACTACTCCGCCATGTACGCAGGTGCTTCGTTGGATGCACTGAGAAAGTTAATCAACGGTATGAGCGACATAGCCATAAACTGGAGTGGTGGCTTGCACCATGCGAAGAAGTTTGAACCGCTGGGGTTTTGCTACGTTAACGATATTGTGCTAAGCATACTCAACTTACTTAGAGTGCACCCAAGGGTAATGTATATAGATATTGATTTGCATCATGGAGATGGGGTTCAGGAGGCTTTTTATACCACGGATAGAGTAATGACAGTTAGTTTCCATAAGTATAATGGAGAATTTTTCCCTGGAACGGGGTCCCTAGATGAAACTGGGATCGGCAGAGGAAAAAATTACGCCATAAACATTCCCTTAAAGGATGGGATAGACGACGATCTGTATATCAAGCTCTTTAAGCTGATCATGGAGCCTTTAATAACAAAATTTCAACCTACATGCATAGTACAGCAATGTGGAGCAGACTCACTAGGATACGATAGATTGGGGTGCTTCAACTTGAACATACGAGCCCACGGAGAATGTGTAAAGTTCATCAAGCTGTTCGGCATTCAAATGCTTGTATTGGGAGGAGGAGGTTATACCCCCAGAAACGTGTCTAGATTGTGGTGCTATGAGACGTCCGTATTGAATGACGTTACGTTGGACCACAAGATCCCCAACTATCTACCCACGTATGATTGGTTTGGCCCCGACTATTCGTTGCACCCACAGCTAGAAGGAAGGTTTGATAACAAGAATTCAAAGAAATATTTGGAAAGTGTCAAACAGGAAGTCATGGAGCAATTGAGATATTTGAACTATGCACCTTCCGTAGCCATGAAAGAAATACCTCCAGATTTGACTGGTTTAACTGAAGAGGAAGATCAGATACTCCAAGAATTGAATATGGAGTCCGAAGAAGGAAGGAGCATAGAGAAGATCAAAGATGAGGCAAGAGAGGGTGAGATGGAGGAATAAGTGAATTGACTACTTTAACTGTGCAATTGTGATACAGCGCAGTTTCCTTTGCAGAAAGCAGTAACTCTGCCTTCTCCCAGCTGAGTCAATGGGACGCACTACTCAGCACTTGTATAATTATTGTAATATTAGTAAATGTATATTTATAGATCACTTTATCCCCACGTTGTAAGACTAGAGAGCACCTCGATTAATGTAACATAGTACAGTACACTTCACTCTGCACAGGCTCTCAAACCTAGTGGACTGTACATAGCTAAACTCTCGCGATATTTTAGTATGTGCATGTAGCGAGACGAAGACGCTTAATATTTTTTAAGAGTGCAGGAATATCAAGAAGGCTGACACACCACAAAGGTCGATACCTGCTTTGATTACAGATACCGGTCAGACTGCATCATCCAACACGTACACCGCGCACCCTTTGCATAACCCGTATATTTATAAATCCGTTTGATCTTTGGATTTTCAAGTTCACGAATTTGGAAGGACATATACTTCATCACTAATTTTTTTTTCAAATTGGTATTTCCATATTGAAGTTGTGACTATTTATATGACCTATTTGATTTAATCTAAGTTGAGTTAATTGATTTTGTTTTAGTATTTGCATATGGACGTGTCCACCTTAACCATAAGTTCCGATCCGGTATCTCATCGGAAGGTCATAAACCGTACCTATCGAATACAGAAGCGGATTGGAGAAGGACAGTTTGGGAAAGTATTACTAGCGGAAGTAATAAGAAATAGCTATGGCGAAGATAAGTACAGTGGCGGTCTGTCGCTTGTTGCCATTAAGACGATAAACAGAATTGAACGTAATAAACTCATAACGAAAACGTATCTATCGCACACCACGAAGATCAAGCGAGAGATCGATATAATGAAAGAATGTAATCACCCAAATGTAGTGAAGCTATACAAAGTTATCGATGATTTAAAATTTGACAAAATTCTATTGGTTCTTGAGTATTGTGAATACGGAGAAATCGACTGGAAAAGCTATAACCACTACAATGAAAAGTATTATAAAAATGGTGATGGGATCACCATCAACAGAATTTTGCGAGATGTAATCAACGGTCTTGACTATTTGCATAGAATCAAGAATATCATACATAGAGATTTAAAGCCTTCGAATCTATTAATTAGCTCTAAAAAGGAGATAAAGATCTCGGATTTTGGAGTGAGTTTAATCTTGGAGAATAATGCAAACGACGAAAAGGAATTGGGCAAGACCATGGGGACCCCAGCCTTCTTTGCACCGGAATTATGTCAATTTGTTAATAATAGGTACTCAATGATTAACGATAAGAGCAGCAAAATCGATAGTAAAATTGATTTATGGTCACTAGGAGTGATTCTATACTGTTTGGTCTTTCATAGTCTACCATTTAAAGGAGATAATGAGTTTAGACTCTTCAAAAACATAGTTACGCAGGACTTGAAATTCCCTAAAACCAGAAACTCTACTTTAGCAACAAAGGCTGACATGGAAGAATTGAAGTATTTAAAGGATTTAATCGTAAAATTGCTAACCAAAAACCCAAAGGAGCGGATTGGATTACAAGAAATTAAGGAACATGAATTCACCACTTTCGATTTGAGTAAAGAAGAACGAAAAAAATTCATAGAGTTCAACAAAAGGTATGAAGAAAGACCCAATGGGTCTACAATGGGTAAGATTAAGAAGTTGTTTGGAAATACTGAAAAGAAGACCACAGAGAACATTAATTTAACAACCCCAACTCTTGCCGATTTGAATAAATTGACACAGGTTGACGACTTACTAGACAGCTATTTCGATGACTCGTCTTCCTTTGGATCTTTGGAAGAAGACGAAGAAGACGATCCTATCGACACCTCAAACATCTTGCATTCAATTTCGTATTCTTCAACTTCGTTAGTTTCTCCTTCCAATTTCAAGCTTAAACCTCCCCCACTTTCAATATCGTCTTCATCGAACTCGACGACTACATTGCATAAGCCAGTACTGGTTTCTTCATCCACTGGAGTTTCACCAGTTAATAGTCCAACTAAGAGCATTAAGAGTAATAGCGATATCAAATCTACGCAGGTTGTCACCATAGGAGCAGGATCTCCTACACTATTTAGAAATATGTTCAGTCCATCCAAAAGGTTTTTTTCAAGACTTGGAAAGAGTAAGCTGGCAGTACAACATCAAGGGCAACAAGTAGAAGAACCTACAATACACTCGCTTTCATCACCAAAGAAGAGTGGAGACTTCAACGTGGCTGATACTTATTTTGACGATCTCAGACCTCCAAACATGCTAGGTTCAGGTTCATTAATAATACCTAATAACGGAAACTACAACAACAATGGAGGAAGCAGTAATTCAAGTTCACGGAAAAACTCGTTCTCTTCTACCAGATCCAATGGATTGAGTAGAATTACGTCATCTTCATCTTCATTAAATTTAAATGGGTATCTTACAGACGATTCGTTTTCGCTCCATTCCACTACAGCAAGAAATAGCACTTCATATTCATTGAAATACAAAATCGACCCAGAGAACGTTGATTCTTCAGAGAATGAGGAAGCTGATGAAACTTTAACCAAGGAAAATATCAACACACCAACTCTGAGATTGAGAGAAAGGATGAACATGAATGATTTCTTAGACAAATTAGATTAAAATAGCATAGCATAAGAAGAGATAAATACATGAACAAAAGAATAAAGCAAAACCATACGTGGAACCTGATCCGATAAGGAAATGCTTATCGATAAGTGGAATTAGACGGATGAACCAAACGGGAAAGACTAACAGAATTTTGACATATTTAAGGTTTCGAAATGTGGCTCTCTATTCCTATACGAAGTTTTAGATTAAAAAATAGCTGCCATGGAACATACTAAAAGTTTAAACATATAGTAAGATAAAGTTACGATCACAAGCCAATTATCAAAATAGACGACGAGATAGATTGCAGCACCCGGGCTGATGCAAAGTAAAGTTCGTAATGTTTCGGTAATATTACTATTTTTCGGCACAATTAGACGTAACCCGGGCGCAACCGAGTTGGGTTTGACGATAGTTGTGGTGGGCGTGGAGGGGGAAGCCAGGGCAAAGATCAGTAGTGGTCCGGTCCAACAATAAATTCTTCTGGGGTAGACCATTCATTGGAACAATAGGGTCTTATTATATACATTGGTTTTAAGTTTTGATAGAAAGGGTTATATATAAATGCGGAGATTCAACGTGTGTACGGCGTATTAAGTGTAAGGGATAACTCACATATCAGTGACTATGTTTTCGAAGAAGGACGTTTATTAGAGAATGATCTTAATTTCTTTAATTTCCTTCTTCAATCTAATGGTAAATATATAACCAAAAATTTAAAGTTACGAGATAATCTAAAGTTTATTTAATTATAGTCAGTATTTCTTGTCAATCAAGAAGGGGAGTAGTCAATTACTTAGCAGGAGATCAGAGGAATGATGGAGAAGAAATAAAAATGCTAAATTCTAAAACCTGAGACATACTTGATCTATGCTTAAAAAATAAGACATCGTAGCACCACCTCTTCTCTCGATTATTTTTCTTTAGATTAAATATAATCAAATCGACACTAAAAATTACTTAGGGATTTTCATTCAATTGTTGTACGTCATATGCTTTCTACAATCTCCAGGTCTCTCTATTGTGTGACATCTCTTTCATATACCCCATTCATTATGTGTGTGTGGTTCATGAAATAACGCGCGCCGACTTCGATTTTGGTCATCGCGATGACAAAACAGAACTAAAACGTAAAACCAAAACATAAACAAAAATCAGAATTACATGTATGATCGTGCGGCTTCGCGCATTGCAGTGACGCTCAGTAAAGCAAGTAGGAATGTGTGCGTTGGGAAATGAGAAATATTATCAGACTTGCATCCATTCCCTGCCAATTAAACGGATACGATGCCTTGAACAGCGGAGGACGCCAAGCGAGGGAGTGAGATGAACAGGGATTGCGGCTGGTTTTACTACTATTTTTTAACAAGGTGCCGTATGAGTTCATGTGGAGGTTGCTAAATGGTTTGTGTTTTACAATCCAATTCCTTTTTCATTCTTCCTCTTGTCCTTTTTCTTTCTCATTTTTTTTTCACTCTCTTCTACTTTGCTGTAGAGAAGTAAAATATAACGCAGGCCACATCATGCACAGCAAAATTTGAGGGTAGCTGAGACTCCATATGCTTATCATGTTTTGATGCATGATCTGGAACAATAGAACAATACACCTGACACAATGCGTGGGTTGCCTTCTCTTTCTCTTTCTACTTCTATTCTTCTAATTTAACTTCTCTCTGCTGTATGATTCTTATTGACGACTAAAGCAGCCCAGCAGGAAAATTGATCCATCAATATTCGGGTGGTAATTTGCATGACGTAGTTCTGAAGGTACCAGTTTCATTCATGCAGATTTCCAATGGAACCCTCCCATGACAATTGCGAATCTTTTTATTTTTTTTTCTTTTTTTTTCTAAATTAAGATTGCTGCTTTACTTTGACAATAGCGAAGAAATAAGGAAATGAAAAAATAAATAAAGGACGGAAATAATTAGCGTTACATATCTGGCCAACAGTAAACACAAGGAACGGTTTCTGCAAGTTTCACAAACGTGATGGAAGAATGGGTGACACAAGGTGGGTAGAAAATTGACTGATAGCGGATCTCTATATATCTTTATTTAAATATATGCATATGTATAATATAAATATATATACTTACGTATTTCTTACGAAGAATAAGAAGCTTCGCGTTTAGTACTTTTTGTAAAATCTGTTGAATCAATTGACGTACTTTCGTACAAGTAAGGATTGAAAGGTATGTAATGGAACGAGCAATAGGAGTTGAAATGGAGAGATTTAGTAGCTCAAGCATACACTAGAGAGCACAGCTTCCTACACAAGTTGGCATTCGTCCGCCATGAAAGTACACAGTCCAGTTTTACCAGGTTATGAAGACTACCTGTGAATCAAGTATTTCTAAAAATGTGGGCAGCTGGAGCGTAAGCATGTCTGCAGAGGAAGAACAAGAGAGGCTAAGGGGAAAAAAAAAATAAAACAATGCTTCATGACATAATACGTAACACTAGCCAAACAGGGCACAACCTAACGGATCAAGAATAGCACATCAACATCAATGTAACATCAAATCGACGTAACGTCGTCACTTCTGAACCTGTTTTACACAACTGCCAATGGCGACCAAGATGATTCAAGCGGCCCTTGCTCCATACTTTGCAGCGTCCCTCCCCTTCCAATGTACGAAACTTGATCCCGCTGGAGCACGCCTCAAGAAATGAAAGAGGAAATCTCGCAAAAACGGGATTTAGAAAACAAAAAATAATGCAAAAAAAAAAAAAAAACCTTAAACCTGTGCTAACATTAGAACCTTAACTGACCGCAGGAAAGCCCTAAGGGAAATCTCTCCATAAAATATACCGTTACTATTCGAATTTTATACTGACCATTTTCTTTTAGGACTTCTACTTCCTTCTCACCAAGACCAACCTATTATCCTTAGCTTTGGGAGGAGCGCACCCCCGACGAATCACCCCACCTCACCCCCACTCGCATAGCATTGGTTACCTGCCAATCTCATTAGAATTTCTGTTCTCAATAGCAAGGAAGAAAAGGTTGTTAAATCCGGATTCAGACCGTACTTTCCACCTTAGCACAATTGTCCTTACTGCGGTTACTTTGAGGGTTTTTTCAAAGAGCTTAGCACTTGCGATATATAGATATACATTGGCTCACTTTATCGCTTTAACGCTAGAGGATCATTACAAACGGAATAATTACTAAGGTAGAGATGGCTGAGGTTTTACTTTCTCCAACTCACATAGGATCCAACAGCTATAATATAGTTGATGAGAAAAGGCGATTACACCTGGAAGACGACGATGATCTCACTGATATTGATGATGTGACCATTGAGGATAGCACTGAGCTCCACACCACGGTGGACACTACGGTGTCTAACACTGATACCTCTTCCGCAAATATCAAGAGAAGATCAGGCTTGGATACCAAGAGAGAGAGACCCAAGTCATCCCTTTTAGACTCTCCCATACAAACTCTTCCAGAGAGCTTGACGGACTTCCTTAAGATCCCAACGCAGAAACAGCAACTGCAACAACTGCTGCAGCAGCAAAAACAATCGCATTCCACCTCTTCACCAAAGATGAAGTACCGTAAACCATTCAAGAACCTCACCAATCTCATGAGCTCTTTCAAGAAGGGCTTGACCAGGCACACTACTGTAGGTGTGACTACAGAAGACAAGATCCCATGTCTTGATCACCTCCATGAAGACGAGAATGAATATGAATTAGATCTGCCTGAACCTTCCAACTTAGCTAATCCCTTCGACGCAACTTCCTCACCTCCAGATTCACCCACTCGCTCTCCAACTAGAGCCAAACCATCACCAAAGATCTCATTGAACAGTGCTCAGGTTAATCCTCGTACAATTCGCAGGATACAGTCAATGTACCACACCGAAAAGGAAAGGCCCCCAGTTTCAATGGAAAACAATTCCATTCTCGCCAAGTCCACTTTAAACCATTTCAAGGTTGATAACGATCTTTTACCTCGAATTGGCGTTGAAGATTTAGAAAACATATTACTGGGCAAACACATGCATGAGTTTGATGAATTTATTATAATTGATTCACGATTCCAATACGAATACAATGGAGGGCACATCAAGGGAGCAATTAATATCTCCAGCCAGCAAGACTTGGAAGATAAATTTATCAAGAACGTAGATGCAAGCGACACTAGGAAATCTAAGTTGGTCATATTCCATTGTGAATTTAGTATTTTCAGAGGCCCTACCATGGCTTCACATTTAAGAAAATGTGACAGAATCTTGAATGCTGCCAATTATCCAAGGTTAACTTATCCGGATATTGTTATCTTGGAAGGTGGTTATAAGAAGTTTTATGATAAGTTTAAGCATGTTCACTGTGACCCACAGGAATACGTCGAGATGAAGGATATTAACCATCAAAAAGCCTGTGAAATGGAAATGAATAAAGTGAGACAGGCTAGCAAATTGACGAGAGCTAAGTCATATAATCAGTTCGGCCAACAGCAAAGTCTTAAGTTCCCACAAGTGCACCAACAGCAACAAGCACAACAGTGCTCAGCCCCTGGACCACACGGCCGTCTTGCCCACAATAGATCCTCATCTTATACCACTGTCACTTCTCACAGTGAAAATTTAAAGATCCTCAAAAGACAGAGATCGATCTCCAAATTGAATCACCTGAGCCAGAGCAGTCTCAGCGACCTCAGTTCCGAAGCGCCTACCAACGAAGCCAGTAGGTTGACCCGCTCTTCTACATTTTCATACAGTCAATCCATTTTCAATTCTAGTTCTAACTCTTCTCCAACGAAGATTTTGAATTCACCTTCGAATCATTCAAATCCAAATTTTCCAATTTTGGACGAAGATTCATCATCATTGCAGCCACCTCTGGCTCAGTTCAAGTATTTGAGCGGTTTGAACAACAGGAGATCGTACAACAATTTATCCTCGTCAAGTATCAATTCGTATCTGTCAATATCAGATCAAGGATCAGCATTTCTGTCTTCTGATTCACTTTCAGATTCATATTCATCTCCATTGACCGAATTTACTGATTTCTTTTCTGCTGATAAGATATCTACCACAAGCACCTTATCTTCATATCTCAAGCACTCCAATTCGGCTTCTATTTTAAATCCGATGGTTAAGAAACAACAACCGGTAGCTACGTTACCACAACAACAGGCTTCTAGCATAAGAGGAGAAAGGGGATTGAATCAATCTTCCATTCAATACCAACATCAGTTCAAGTTTCCAGGCTTGAAAACTAAAAATTCTCGCGGTAGACTTAACATTAAGGAAACTCCAAGTATCAATACAAGTCTTTCCAATGGTAATAACTTCAATGGTACATCTTCACCATTGATATCATCACCATTGTCAACCATAACTCCTGCTTCGGATTCTGCAAGGATTTCTAACATTTCATCTATCATCGATCCTATTAATGATACTCCCGTTGACTTTTCAGTCCCCACCAAATATTCCAAGCACTCTAGGAGAAGATCTGGACTGATAATATCAAGTGGATACAATTTTATTACTTTGGATATCGATGAAATTGATGAAGAGGATGATTGTGACGGTGATGGAACCTTGACTGATATCAAGCTTAAAAAGAACCCATTTAATAACTAATTAGGACTAGCAATAGATCTATATGCATAATGATAATACAGTATAAAAAAAGAACACTATGTAAACTTTCTAGCCTACTACAGCTGACAACGATTACAATAATTACATACAAATTGAAATTTAAGTACTCTCATTTTTATTGTTTCTCAGAACATTACTCATAATAAATATAAACTAGATTTTAGCCTTGTCACCGAACAACTTAACAGCTGCATTGTTAACTGCAATAGTGCCTCTTTCCTTGACATGAACTTGGAAGACAACAACATCACCCTTTTTCCATGCAACAACCTTCAAAGTTTCACCAGGGAAAACAATACCAGTGAATCTAGCCTTCATCTCAGAGATAGGACCATACTTGTCCAACAAAACCTTACAAGCTAAACCGTAAGTACACATACCGTGTAAGATTGGTTTATCAAATCCAGCACCCTTAGCAAATTCTGGGTCAATGTGTAATGGGTTTCTGTCACCAGACAATCTGTAGATTGCAGCCTTATCTTCATCAACTAAAATTTCAGTAGTAAAATCTGGAGTTGACTTTGGAGCAATGAACTGATCAGTAGCAAATGAGCTTCTTTCACTGTATTTCTTGGTTTCACCTTCACACTTTCTAATGAAGTAAGTGGCTTCATTCAAGAAAAGAGTTTCTCCGGAATTTGTGTCAACAGACTTAGAACCTTGCACAACAACAGTGTTGGTACCCTTTTGGTTGACTTGAATTGGGTAGAATTCAGACTTCATGAAAGCTTCAGTTGGGATTGGGTATTTAGCAATCTTAATGTAATGCTCACCATGTAAAAGGTACATTGGGTTGAAGTTCTTTAACAAAGTGGAGAAAGCTAAAGCACCTCTACCAGAGTTGAAAGTAGGTAAGTGACCAAAAGTTGGAATAACTTGGAAGTCACTATCGTTTTCATAAGTGTACTTCAATTCCTTTGCTGTGGCACCAAGAGCAAGGTTGTAAAGAATGACATCCCTGTCAGTGTAGTGAACAACTGGGTTCTTTTCCTCTTCGTCGTCTTCATCGTCATCGTCATCATCTTCATCTTCGTCATCATCATCATCATCGTCTGGATCAACAGCAGAAAGAATCAACATGGAAGATTCAGTGGTATTCTTAGGATAGAAAGCCTTAGAGAAGTCGGTAATACCTTCAATATTGTCTCTAACAAATTCAGCAGAAATGTGATCCTCGTGAGAGACAGCACCCTTAGCTCTCTGCCACCTAGTGTTACCGATCCAACCACCACCAGCTTCGAATAATTCACCAGTGACTGGAACTTGTTCAGATGATAAGAAAACCAATAATGGTGCAACTTGATCAGGGTGGAAAATTCCCTTATCTTCTTCTCTGAAAATAGTCAAAGTCATGGCAGTTTCAGCATGTGGAGCAACAACGTTAACCTTAATGTTGTTTCTGGCACCTTCAATGGCCAATGTCTTAGACAAACCTAAGATGGCTAACTTAGCACTACCATAGTTGGTTTGACCAAAGTTACCGTAAATACCAGAAGTTGACGAGATGTTTACAATTCTACCGTACTTTTGCTTTAAAAAGACAGGCCATGCTAATCTACACAAGTTAAAAGTACCATTCAAGTGTACTTTTTGGACTTGATCCCAGTCAGCATCGGTCATCTTAGCAAAAGACTTATCTCTTAAGATACCAGCATTATTAATCAAGATATCAAGCTTTCCGTACTTTTGTAAAACATTATCAATGATGGCTTGAGTTTCTCTTGCAACATCATGTGTGTCACCATGAGCTTCACCACCAGCCTTTTTGATTTCTTCAACGACTGCAGAGGGATCCTTAAAGTCATTAACGACGACCTTGGCACCATACCTGGCAAAGAAAAGAGCATAGTCCTTACCTAAACCAGCACCTGCACCGGTAATCAAGACAACCTTATCTTTCAAGGAAATCTTGTCAACACCGGAGGCATCAAATTCTGGTTCCTTCTTGGCGGCTTCAACCAATGATGTGTAGTCGTTGAGCATGATAGGAGTTTGGTTCTTTAACAATTCTGGCTTCTTGGAATCATCGAAGTTCAAAATTTCGTCAAATCTCTTAGCAACGGCTTCGGCAGTGAATGTCTTTCCAGGCTTGAAAAGAGCACCACCAGATCTTTGCCATCTGATTTGAGCGTAAAAACCAGCAGCAACTTCAAAAGTCTCACCACTTAATTTGTTGGATTCATGGGTTAAATACAAGACAATTGGAGCAATCTTCTCTGGAGATAACTTTTCCAAAATGTGAGGTGGTAAGATCTTTTCAGTCATTCTACTCTTAGCCAATGGAGCAATTGTGTTAGCAAGAATATTGTACTTGCCACCTTCCTTAGCTAAAGTTTCAGCAAATGAGACTAAACCTAATTTAGCAGCAGAGTAGTTGGCTTGACCAAAGTTACCGTATAAACCGGCTGGGGAACAAGTGTTAATGACTCTACCGTAGTTTTGCTTTCTGAAATATTCCCAAGCAGCCTTGGTGACCTTGTAGGCACCATTAAGATGGACATCAATAACCAATTGGTAGTCCTTTTCTTGCATGTTCTTGAATTGAGCATCTCTCAAGATACCAGCATTGTTGATAACAATGTGAACAGTACCGAAGTTCTTGACAGCAGTCTCAACGATCTTATCACCGTCTAAAACGTTGTTGTAATCAGCAACTGCAACACCGCCAGCGGCTTTAATTTCCTTAACAACTAAGTCTGCAGCCTTGGAGTCTCCTCCTGCACCTTGAAGAGATCCACCGAGATCATTTACAACGACCTTGGCACCTCTTTTCGCGAATTCTAAGGAGTAGTACTTTCCAAGACCACCACCTGCACCGGTGACAATGACAACTTTGTCTTTAAAGGATAATTCTGACCTACAGGAAAAATGCTGTTAGTACCACGAAAATTACACTAAAGTGTTTTTTTTTAAAAAACGAATAAACTATTGAAACGTCACTCCAGAATAAGTTTACCCCGGATGATTCCCCACATATACATACATCTTGTTTTTTGTTCTTCTTTAATCTAAAAATTAAAAAAACTTCAACTATTATAAATCAAAGAAAGAATTGATTAAAAAAGGAGAAAGAACGGGAAAAAAAACCTGGGGAAGGCGCTGAATGCTTGGTTATATATGCAATTTCAAAATGTGAAAATGTGAAGTTTGTGAAAATTTGAGAGTCAGTTTCTGCGGGGTTCTATAGCCAAAATTGCGTCCTGCATGTAAAAGAAGCCGAGGGAGGATATGACAAGGTAGGGAGGACTATAATATACCCGATGGGCAAGTGAATAAAAAGAAGAATGACAGGAGGAGGGTATGCGTAAGTCAGCGAGGAAGAAGAAGGAACCGATGGGTGGAGTATACGGAGCAGGAGGAAGAGGAGGAGGAGGAGGAGGAGGAATGGTATAGTTCGGCTCCACGGTGGATTGGGTTGTTCTAGCTTGGTTGTTCGTATATATCTTAAGGCAGCCTTTACTTTCAACTTCATTCTTTATTGTTTCATGATCCTTTGCTCCTTAGCACCCCTACACCATTCGACTTTCACAGTACAATCGTTAGTTGACTTGCCCTGGCAAACCTACGTGCAACAGATCTGGCTAGTGCTCGCCAAAAAAGGTTCCGAGGATCCGCTGTTAATAGCCTATTGTTACATGTGGGACTGCATTCAAAATAAAAAGGAATAAAAAAAAAAAAAAAAAAAGAAGAAGCACAGCACTTTATGCCATAACTAGAAGTAACTTGTGGGTGGTGTCAATGTAGCCAAAAAGTTTCCAGGAAGGGTTACAAAACCCATCCACACTGGATTAATCAGCCGGGAATCTGGGATTGTGCATAATTGTGTGTTTCAGTGTTTGGATATGGCTGCTGACGTCCCGTTTCTCGCTTCGGCTCACTCTGTCACATTCTCTGCCACACAACCTCGCACCACCCTAGCTAACTGCAAATAAAGCGAAAGTGCCGCTAGTGCTCCATTTGAACCAGATCAAGCTAGATTGTGCCCGGTCAATCGACCAATTCAGCATTTAGGAATTCTAAATAATGCTTCACAGAAGAGCACTTCACTTCACTTATCTCATCTGACTAGTCCAGTACCATGTCCTCTAACCGAATCTATGATGCTTGCCACAAGATCACAGTTATTAGCTTATATGCAGTCGCACATTCTCCACATTAGCATCCCGTATCATTCTCATTCGGACCCCGTGACCAATATCACCTGACTATCCAATCATTATCTGCCAAATCAGACTAGCCAAAGGAGGATGATCATTTTTTTTTGATGCGAGGAACAGAAACCTCTTCAGGACGTTCAGTACGGTGAGTCAACATAGAAAGGACCTTTACTTCGACAGTTTTCGAGATATTTCACAATGGATGTCAAGGAATCGGAGAGCAAAACTCCAACCGAGACTCCTGCGCCAATTGAGAAGAGGAAGCTGAAGGCAGATGACTTTGTGTATAAGCCCTTTGAATGGTATCGATTAGTTGTTTATGACTTCTTCTTATGGTGCTTTTCAGTGATTTTTGACTGTTTCTTTAGAGAAATCAGACCAAGAGGTGCCTTTAGGTTGCCACGCTCGGGCCCGGTGATTTTCGTCGGGGCTCCACATGCCAATCAGTTTGTAGACCCTATCATTTTGATGAACCAAGTTAAGAGAGAGGCAAATAGAAGAATTTCCTTTTTAATTGCCGCCAAATCTTACAAACAGAGGGTCATTGGCCATTTAGCAGCGTGTGAATTGTCCATCCCGGTTGTGAGACCTCAAGATTGTTTGGCATATGGGAAGGGGAAGATATATGTTTCCTTCGAAGAAGGTGCTGATCAATGTATAGTTCACGGAAGAGGAACTCAATTCACCAAAGAATGTATGGTTCATGGAATAATTGCTTTACCTCAGCTGTTGGGAGCTTCCGAAGTGTTGGAAATAACTTCCGACACCCAACTTCGTATTAGAAAGGAATTTAAAAACAGTGAACAAGTTAGGAAGTTGCTCCAAAATGGAACTACCTACAAGAAAGCGGATAAAATTGACCAAAAGAATGTTTATAAGTTGGTTTTTGAACACTTGTCTCATGGAAACTGCTTAGGGATCTTTCCAGAAGGTGGTTCTCACGACAGAACTGACTTGTTACCATTGAAGGCTGGTGTGGCCATTATGGCATTAGGAGCTATGGAGAACGATCCCAACTGTAACGTTAAGATTGTACCTTGCGGTATGAATTACTTTAATGCCCATAAGTTTAGATCTAGAGCCGTTGTTGAATTTGGAAACCCCATCGAAATAAGCTCTGAATTAGTTAAGAAATACAAAAACCCTGAGACAAACAGAGAAGCAGTGAAAGACTTGTTAGACATAATTACAACAGGACTCAAGGCGGTGACTGTGACTTGTGATGATTACGAAACTTTAATGGTCGTTCAGGCAGCAAGAAGATTATATGCTGGAAATTTCGCCCAATACCTTCCTTTGCCGTTAATTGTAGAGATGAATAGAAGATTGGTCCTAGGATATCAAACATATCAAAATGAACCAAAGGTACAAGCAATTAAGGCCAAGATCTTGAAATATAATGAAATGTTGAAACAATTGTATTTACCTGATCATCATGTGGAAGACACGAAGGAACTGGACAAGATTAGAGTGCTTCCCATTCTCATTTTTAGAGTTTTGAAGTTAATGTTGTTAACCGTGTTGTCTTTACCAGGTGCGACACTCTTCTCTCCAGTTTTCTTATTTTCTAAGATGGTTTCCATTCAAAAGGCTAAGACTGCGTTGGCAAACTCTACTGTGAAGATTAAGGCCAACGATGTAGTCGCCACTTGGAAGATTTTGATCAGTATGGGATTTGCTCCCTTGGTTTATAGTTTTTACGCTACAATTGGAACTTGGTACTATTACAAGAGTGAATCATTATGGCTTTCTTATTTGAGTCGTTTAAACCTAGTGTCCCTTTGGATTACATTATATTGCTGTGGTGTGGCTGTGACATATGCTGCGTTAATAACTGGTGAACAAGGGATGGATCTTTTCAAGTCAATCAGACCTCTTTATCTTTCAATCACTTCAGGTGAGTCCTTGAAGGAACTAAAAACTTTTAGAAAGGATTTGTCGGAAGATATCACCGAGTTAGTTAATACTTTTGGACCTGAATTATTCCCTAACGATTTCAATTTATTGGAGATGAAGGATCAATTGAAGGTTAAGGATGGTGTAGATTACATTGACAGTGACGAAGAAGAAGAGAGAAAGACTCAAGATTTACGTAACCGTAGAATGATGAGAAGAAAGTCGGAGAAAAGAGCCGCTAAAATTGCTAAAGAAAGAGAAGAAAAGGAAAACAAAGGTGAACGGATTGGAGCGGACTCTGCTAGTGGTGCTTCCATCCCCATTGAGAATACCACTGAAAGTGGACTTTCACTTGAAGATAAGCACTCATCGCACTCTTCTTCAGTTTCTGATGGTATTTCATTGATGAATTCTGATAATTCTTTGACAAACATTCCAATGTTTTCTGATTATCAATTACACATGAATGCCAAAAATCCAGATTTTGAAGTTAGTCCTATGTCCAACGTTCAACTGACTGTTTCTATGGCTGATGATTTCAACTTTAAAATGAATAATAGTAGCAATAGACTTTCCAGTGTTAGATTAGGTGACACTCACAATCATCATATCAATAGCCACTTATCTTCCGGAACTGGTACTCCCACATTATCTAGAAAGTCTTCCAGCAGTCAAATTGAATTGAATTTTGGAAATCTTAACCGCCAATCACCAAAGAAAGACAGAATCAGGTTAAGTGACAAGATTAGAAACAAAGTCAGAGAAGGTAGGAAAAAGATGTCCAATAAGGATGAATAATTTGAAGAACTTCACTTACAGTGTGAGGAACTCCTGATAACTGAAACAGTTACATATTCAGGTCATTTTAATAATTTTGCATGTTTGTTTTTTTCTTATTTTATTTCCACTTACGTTTTATTTCTTCTCTACTATGATAATACTACATATTTAGTTAGAATCAAGTAATTTGTTAGTTGTAAAGCATTCATTTTTGTAATACATATTTACATTGATTAGTTAACGCTTGCTTGCCTTTGATACATTTCAGAAATTTGATCGGATGAGGTAGCGTCCTCAACTCCCTTATCATCTCTTATCCTTAAGAATCTTGGAAATCTTAACGAAATACCTTTCGAATACTCATTATGGGCAGCTTTATAGATCGGACTCAAAGATAAATCGGCTGTCAATACCTCAAATACCATTGTTGGTTCAAACCACACATCCGGTACCGCATTAGAGTTGTTCGTTTCGTATACGTAAAATGGTTTAGCATGCATTATTTCAGTGGGTTTCAATTTATCAAACAATTGCTGCAATGCCTCATCAGAGAAACCAGTACCAATCTTGCAAGTTGTCTCATATTCACCAGTATCTTGATTATAAGCAGCCAAAAGAAATCCACCGTAGGTTCCTGTTCTCTTTCCCTTACCAACATAACCTCCTACCACTACTAGATCTAAAGAATCTCCCACTCCAGCAAGGTAATCCTTCTTCAATTTGAGCCAATTTCTTGATCTTTTAGATGGCTCATAGTATGATTCTTTACCATTGAGCATCTTAACCATTAACCCTTCACACGAATCTTTGACGGATTGATCTAAGAATATTTGTAATTCATCTAAATTCGATGAATTTTTAGCAGTAGCAAATTGAAATCTACCTTTTATTGGAGTCAAGTTATCGAACATAACTTGCCTACGTTGAGCAAGTGATTTACTTATCAATGGCTCACCATTGAAAAATAGTATATCGAATATGAAGAGACAAATTCTGACCTTTATATCTTTTTCCTCTACACCTTTACGTTTCCTGGTAGAAAGTACTTGGAAAGGGAGGATTTTATCCTTTTCGATATCGTATGCCACAACTTCACAATCCAAAATTAATGATGAATCACTCTTAACTCCGTCCTCTTTCTTAAAGACATCAGACATAACCTGTAACAAGTCTGGATATCTCTGAGACATATCTTCGGAATTTCTAGAGTAAATTTTAATTTGCCCATCGAAGAAATGTATTTGAGCTCTTTCTCCATCGTACTTATACTCACAAGTAAATTCTTCTCCTTGGAATCTATCTAAGACCTCAGATATAGACTTGGTTGGTTTAGCTAACATCGGTTTCAATGGTACACCTGGAGTCAACTGAGAATGTTCCAAAAGATTGAAGATACCATACTTATATGCATTTACTATAATCAATTCATAGTTGGGCACGGTGGAGAAGGCCTCACGCACAATCTCTTCAGCTTGAGATAGTCTTTCAGGAGAAGGTAACTTTTTATTGTTGGATTTCTGCATTTCATATAATACAAATGCCTGCCCCAAAGAAATAAGTACAGTCTTCTCAGCCAACCCAATCCTCAACTTTCCTTCCAATGAACGAATAAGAAACTTTGCCTCGTGTTGCTTAGCATCACAAGCAGTCAACATCTTGTTTATTATGGAAATCTTCTTCGTCTGAGAATCTTTTCCTGTAGTTTTAGCAATCTGGGTCAATTTTTCAAACACGGTATCAATGTCTAACGCAGAAGGCTTGAACATCGTTCGTTGACCGGATCTTGACTTTTCAGCAACTAACCCCAAATCCCCAACCTCTTGGTATTCCTTCTTGGTCCTGGACGTTTCTCTACCATAGCATTCACTGATTGCTTTTATAAGCAACGTTTCACCGAGACCCAACTCCAAGTCTGGTTCATAGTCCGGGCCCAATCTATTAATGCAAAGGTACACCACTTTGGATAAAGTCTTAGGGTTCTCAGTCAGCTGTAATACCTCCAAAAACAACTCAGAGATGAGCGCAGTGATGGACAACCTGGAAGAAATACCTTCAATACTTTCGAAGATATTTGTAAGTTTAGAGTAAGGAATGGGTTTAGAACTCACTGGAGTATCTGTACCTGTGCCAGCACCAGCACCAGTGCGCCCATCCTTCTTCATCAATTCAAGAATCTTTGAATTGCCTTCTAGAGAATCTACAGCCGGAGAGGAAGGTCTATTTTCATTCACATCCACATCCACATCCACATTTTCTTTCCCCTCTTCCAATTTGAAGTTTTCCTTATCATTATACTCTTTCTTAACCTCCAATGGCGCTACATCGTTCTCCCTTGCTTCAACCTTTTCCGCTTCACTTCTCTGCTCGGTTTTAACTCTCTTCACCTTTGGCTCGGCATTGGAGCTGGAGCTAGAGAAAAACCTAGCCAAACTTTGCTGTTGTACCATTCTACTTCCAATCTTTATTACCCTCGGACTTGTTACCGAGCTTGAATACAGAATCAATTGTCTCTTGATGGTGAATCCAAGCATACAGACGCGTGTACTTGTCCGTTTGGTAGTTCTTACTTTTTTAAATTTCCAATGCAGACGTGCATGGCTGATGCAGCAATTCTATGCGCAGAGGAAGTGAAAATTGCAACAACATGAGGCACACCAAAGCAAAGAAGGCTAGCTTTAAAGCAGGACCTGAGGCTACAATTGAAATTCAAAATATCTATTATTAGTACATTTGGTTGGAGTTTCTTTCTTTTTTGTTTTTACTTTTTTTTTATTTTACATCTTTGGTTGAATAATCTAAACTAAGTTACATCAGGTTGCCCATCTATAGTGCTGACCGGCCTACGCTTGATCGCGTAGATTTGCTTGCAAAATATTTTTGCTCACACCGTCACATCCCATATTCCCAGCGGCCCCTTTTCTTCATATATATCGTTATCAATAAACATCTCCCCGTTGTGGTTCAGATTTCCCCCAAAGATCTGCTTGGCATAAATCTCGCCTCCAAGGAAATAGACGTCTTCCCAAGAACCGCCCTTTTCCTTGGGTTTCTTCCATTCTGGGAAGTAGTCTGGTAACTTGACGGTCTTTATCAGCGTGGGGACTTGCAGCGATATGTAATTGGACTCTTCTACATCGGCGCTGGAGTCTCCCGTTTGTTGATAGGCTAAGATGGCGGCATTGACTCTGCTTAAATTCTCCTCATCCTTGTTGTAGCCTCCATTCTTGGTGTCAGTAGGTGCACGTACAAGGTATTCAGTAATGAGACGAATCAACAACGCTCTCTTGAAACCAGGGATTTTGAACGTAGATCCAACAAATATCAAATTGTCGAAACATTCCTGTCTCTTCTCCAAATTGGGGATCTGTGAAATTGATTTATAGATGGCATTGGCCACAAGGGAGATTAAGTTTTCGGCACCTTGGAATCTTTCCTTTCCAACCCAAACCTTCTCGTTGGTCTCGGGATCAACAAAGAAATTCTTCTCCAATTCATTGTTTGGTTTGGAGTCATCATGGTCAGTCACAGCCTGGGCTTCGTTTCCTGGTCCCAGATCTGCAACCAACTTGGCAACGTCAAAGTCGTCATCGTCTTCAGACCCGTTGATCCCATCTTCTACATTTGACTTCTGCAAGTCAGAGATAGAGTAAAACGACGACTCATCACCTGTAAGGACTACTTCATATATCCCACTCTTCTTCAAAGCTTCAATCTGTGATTCCAGCAATTTAGGCAAATTCTTCGAAATCTCTTCATCAATGAGCTTACCACCCACGTCGCTCAAATACTTACCAGCAAACTTTATAGACTGGTAGTTGATCACAGGCATTATCTGAGTGTTTTCATGGCCTATGTTCACAACACAAGACGACGTCGAAATTCCTAACCCGAAGGTAGCAGCTGTCAGAAGATCAACCAAGTTGAAAGCTGGAAATTCGAGTGACTCTAATACATATTTGGTTACAGATTCGGTAGTGTTTCTCAGCCAAGTCAAGTTGGACGATATGATAAGAAGTGGGATCTGGTTGATGGTAATGATGGGGTTTTTGGTGATTACACTCTGAAGGATTACCTTAAGGAGGTAATTGAATGCATCCAAGTCGACTATTTTACCCTTTTGAATAGGGTAAATTTCTGTCCAAGGTTTTTCAGAACCTGTTAAAGGTGCTTGTGCTTCTACACTTCCTCCATTTTGGGCAGCAGTGGTCTGGCCATTTTGAATTTCGATTTTTGCTTGGCCCTCTTCAATTTTGGGCTCTTCCACCTTGGCTGGCTCAGCTTTTGGCTTTGGTTCCTCCTTGGTTGACCTGAATGCTTTCGTTACTGGATCCTGGAAAACTCTCGAGGGGATTTTGTATTGGGGTGGTGACAATGAATCCTGCAACCCGAAGGAAAACAACGTGTTTTGCGACCCTGGATGCACCACCAAGTAGTTATCTTCTCTATATAATGGCATTATCTATCAGGTTCTTAACTAGTTACCGCTACCTTGGCCTGTGTAATGTTGTTTACACCGTAGGTCCACAAGCTCAGTTGAAATTTGGCGTGCAATGAAAAAACGAAATACGAGAATTGGGCGCACACGACCATGCTACTGGGTATTGCAAGAGGTACTGGATTCCAACATGTTGTGGGCATAGGTGTTTAATTGGGCCAAATCCGAGAGGTTATCAGGACCATATCAATGCGAGGTATTGACCCAGTGAATCAAGAGAAATCGAGAATCTGGATAGCATAAAGTTATTGGTGCGTTATTGGTACTGTTCACTAGGCTGCAGATTTCTTATAGAAAAAAAAAATGCGTGGGCTGTAGCAAAAATCCAAGTAATTTGCACCCAAAAGAAATCACCCACAACATTCATCGCCAACAGCTTAACTGGTAGCATTAAGCGTGAATGCCAATTCTTGGTTGTACTATAATGCCCACTTCTTATCTACATCTTCAACAAACTAGTTTTTAACTCTTTTTATTGATTTTCTAAATACGCATTTGCTAATATGAATTCCCAAAATTTGATTGTACCGGTAGAATTGAAATAGTGTTATATATACAGTTAATAAAGACCATTGAGAAACGCACAGAAGAAGAATTCACTATTTGTCATCGGCCGCAGCAACGAACTCTCCGTAATTCTTTCTGGTTCCAAGAACAGATCTGGCGCTCAGAGTGGTGTTCAGTCTTCCAATACCTAGACTTTGCATGCTGTCTTGGGATATTCTTCTCCTAGGAGCTGGCAATGGAACAGCAGGTAATGGACGTTGATTGTTATCTTCCAATTCAACAAGGTCCTCGTCCTCAAGCCTAATTCTATTCACAAAAGGCAAAACGTCCAGGTCATCCAGAGTACGGGGAGGCTGAAAAGTAGTTCTTTGGACCCCCTTGTAGCCTTGTTTGGCCAATTTTTCCAATGCATCATGAGACAAGGTTCTCGAATTTTGCATGTTCTGCCCTTCATGATTGTACCTACCGAATTGAGCTTGACGTGGCATATCAGAGTTGTTTCTCTTAAACCCAGGCTGCACTTGTTGTTTAGGCATAGCCTGTCTCATTGGTGTATTTCTCGGCGTTTTATTCTCAACGTACTCAGTTCTCACGTCGTTTGTTGGATACCCTCCTCTTGTTGGTCTTATTACATTTCTTGGCCTTGCGGGTCCTTGAGCACCTTGCTGAGGTGCAACTGGGATCTTAAGTGGCGAAGGGTCTCTGACGAAAGAGTCTCTGGAGAATTGTTTATGTGTAGGCGACGGCCTTGTTACTACCTCAGCATTCTCGACTATCTCAGGGTCAGCAGCATCGTAGACTTCCACATTTTCAGCCACCGCAGTAGCTGGAACGAGTGTTCCTACTCTTCCAGCCCAAAATCTCTGCCTCATATTTAAGAGCACCCATTTTACTGTCTGGATATCTTGAGATCTAATCAACCCTAAATACCATAAGAGAAGTCCAGCGACTGCACTAACAATCCCCAAATTTTTCAATATGTTCAACATAGTGAACGCCTGATCCAAAAGTAGTGGAGACATCTGCTGTAAGACAATCGCAATTGCAGAGCCTCCTATGAAACTAGGCCAATGGAACCTTAAATTTTCCATTGGGGCAGACATTGATACGGAAAGGAATGGGATGTGAAATGATTTGGTTGTGGGGAGATCTAATAGTGTAGTTGGTAAATTTGCCGATGGTGATTCTTTGATGGGAGAAGCTGTTGTTGACAGTGCGACACCTCCTGCAAGGTTAGTATTTACGGTGGGTGCGTGGTGTGTGGCAACTTTTGGTATTGGTGATAATATCTTGTGTAAGCCTGCAGAATTTGCGTCAGTAGTAGCAGAATCAGCAGATACTTGAGGTACAGGTATAGTAAACGACTGCGGAGCACCAGTGGTGTTTTGATCTGAGTTTACGCTGTCAGCGTCACTAAGATTAGCGCGCGAATTCTGATTATTTTTTCTCGACTTGGGCTTCGCTCCAAGTTTGGTGCCTGCAGACGTGGGTTTAGTCGAGGGGACAACTGCTGGTGCAGATGGTTTGGGGGCAGGCAAAGGTTCTTCGACGATAGTATATGTCAAGTTGATCAACTGATCGAGGTAATCCTGTACACTTTTATCAGCTGATGAATTATTTGACGATTTGACTTCGGCGCTTGAAGATGGAGTAGCTTCCTTTTTGATTCTGTAAACTCCGTCCGGGTCCTTTTTATATACTAACCTTTTCTTGGTTGTTGTTGTAGTAGCCATGTCAGAAAGAAAACAGTAAAATTACGAAAGAAGGAAAAAGGAAAAAAATGTGCGATACGGCTATCAATAAATGTGGGCCAAAAAAAAAATGTCGTGAGGCGAGGGGAGCACGCTCGAGGTGAAATGTGGTGGAGTAGTTCAAATAGTTGTGATACCTATGGTAGTGATATAGCTCGTTCTTGGGGGAATTAAACTTTCGGCAGCTATTAGGTCTGTTTGCTATTTCAAAAAGATATGTGATAGCAATTCCAGCAGATTGTAGCAGCAAGTGTAGTAGAAGCCTATTTTTTGGCTTTCTTGTGAAATTATATGGAAAGAGAGCACTTTTCACCGGAGCTTTGGATCTCAGCTATAATCGCTTCTATTGCAGTTAAGTAATAACGAAAACAGCGTTACCTGAATGGTTACTGAAAGTGGTTTAAATTTGCAAAAATCCGAATTTCATAAATTCAAGGGCCCCACTACGTTTATAATCCTCTGAATTCTTCTTCCGTGTAGCACCCCACCAGTCACTGCATCAATATTAGACGGGAATTTGCATTCTTGAATTTTTTTTTTTTTTTCTTGCCGGCTTGTCAGTAACTAGGTCAAACTCAAAAATGAAACCCAAATTTGGCCAATCAGAATAATGGTGCATAGTTAAATTTGTGCGGGATGCAGTACAATAACCAAGACAAGCTAAATAGAGGAAAACAAAAGAAGAATGGTTGCAGTCGCAACCAATACAATTTACACTTTAAAGCCGAGTTTTAAACGGACCACGGACGGACTATGGGCTCACTTGCTACTTGTACACCATAGAAGACATACCAGGTGGAAAGTTAAATGCTGTATACATCAATCAATGATATACAACCTGTCCTTGTGGTGAAGGTACTTCTGTCAGAATCAAGAATCAGCGCGCCTCAGGGGAAAGTGACCAGTTTGGGAAATTTTATGTAATCATGTGCAACCGAGATTGACGATTTTCGAATTTTTTGTATTGACATTTCTGCATTCTGCATATTTTACTACACAGTGCTGGATCAAGAATCACACTGTGGACAAAAAAATAATTGTAATTGAACTCGCGTGTGGTGAGTTGCATCCCTCCGCCGAAATCGCACGAGTATCGAAGTAATACTGGTTGGTCTGGATGGATAGAGACTGAGATAGAAAAAAGCATTTAACAAGAATTAAGCTATTAAAATCACTAATACTATTGTTTCATCACAGCCACACGATAATTTCATTCTAATTCACTACACTTCGGTACCTACATTTGATAACTAAATGGCGGATCGAAGGCTGGCTGTTCCTCTCGGTTATTGAATCATTTCATGTACGTTTTTGTGCGAGCATTTAAAATACGAGCCAGAAGTAAAAGACTCAAGGTGAGGATGATGATGTCTAAAAATACTTTTTGAATTCTACAGTCCGTTTCGTAGTGTTTTATTATAACATTTCCTTGATGTTGGTGGGTGGGGGTAACGAGTATTTGATTATCAAAATGTAGCATTGTTGAAGACAATGATGAAACTGGTGACACAATCTCGATTTACTCTGCTGGTTTTTTTTTCCCTATCTATGCATGATCAAGCACTATGGCGCACCTTCATGCAAGTAATTAGTTAATTGTTCCAATGGTTCCCCAACCAAGAACTGGATCCAAACAGGCCACTGTAAATCAACCTTACCAAGGTTATTGACTTTTGCAATCTTATGACATCATGTTGACATGAATTAAAATGTTGACAAAACAACACGTATTTGCTTCTTATTTTGTCCTAAAAAGTTGTAGTTGCTGTAATTTTTAGTTATCCGTGGAATGAATTTCGCGGGGTTGTATAGTTGAGATAGGAGATATCGCAAGGGCAACCTTCACGTCAAAGTTACCCTACAAAGCCTATCTATGAGTAGTTTTTAACGTGTCTAGCCTAGAAACCAAAATGATTGCATTATCAAATAGGAGTACCAATAAAAACTGGTCACTCGCCTACATTCTAATATTCAGTTAAGGGGCCGATATACAACTACAGGCAAATGTAACATATCTAGTTTTGTTTAATTCTATGTAAATGGTTGCATGGCTAATACCTCGCCACTTAGGCTTTGAGGTTGAGGATCTAGGCCCCGGAACTATATCTCAACTGATTTACAGTTTGGAGCTTGGTCACTAATTTTGGTGCGATAAGCTCACACATGGCCAAGTAATATGCGACCTACTGGTTACTATAATACATATGTGTTCAAGTTTATACTACTTAGCAATATCGCAGGTACAGACTGATAACAAAAGGAGGAGTGCCATTGCAGTAACAAATTTAGTAATCGTGTTCACTTTTACACTCCTTAGTAACATTGTAGGCACTGCTGATAAAGAAGGAGAAGTTTCCTTACTGTAGTGCATACCGTACCCAAGTTCGTTATACTTAGGTAGCGACTGATACAAAAGGAGAAGTGAAAAATCGCGCTAAAGGTGTGAGCACTTCTGCAGTAGAACTTCATATCTCAAGGAACGCTCTCAGCTTGCTGATTTTATTTTGAGGTTGTGGTTTACATATGTGGCTCGTATTCAATTGATCAACTGACTGGCGAAGAAATGTCACACAGAGAATACTTTGCAACCAAGTCCCGGGCCCCACTTCCTGTTAGTTCTCTGGGAGAACTTCATACCCATATGTAACGTATTAGCCGAGTTAACGCACTAATTAGCGTATTGTAAGCAGCCTTGAAGCTCCATCTTAATGGTCCGTGTAATATTTTCTTCTCTGCAGACACATTTCAAACAAAAAGACGCGTCTTAGACCCTTTTCCCTAGAACTGGCCCCGTATTCTTCTTGCCAATTGAATATCTTTCTGCATGATAGTAACCCTTTTCGCGTGGATGGCACATAAGTTGGTATCTTCCAATAAATGAATTAAATACGCTTCGCATGCTTCTTGCAACGCCAATACTGCATTAGATTGCCATCTAATTCCATAGTCAGTACCGATGTACTCTTCGGCTACTTCCTTAACTAACCTGGCGAAGGGCAATTTTCTAATAAGTAAATCTGTTCCCTTTTGGAATTGCCTGATTTCACGAAGTGCTAAAGTTCCCGGGTGGTACCTTCTTTTCTTAACTTTTGAAGTATCTACAGGGTCTCCCGGTTGATTTCTATATAATCCAGTTTGCGGCCTTCCTCTTGAGCCAGCAAGAAGGGCTGACGAAGTGGAAGTCGCCAAATCGTCCCGTACTCTGTATTGCCTATTGGAAGAGGACGAAGGAGCAGAACGCTGCGCTCCAGTAACCAACCTTGCCATATTATACCTACAATGGAAGAGTAACGCTGAGACTGGTTGAAAAGTAGCTCTTCCTTTCTACGCAGGCCACTGTTCATCAGGACCTGAAGCGCAAAGGTGCCAGCCACTTTCGCCGGGACACGACCCGATGATCTCTTGGTACCACAGATCCTTCGGTGGAAGGTGCCGTGCCCTACTTGTTGTGTTCTATATGGTAATGTGTAAATTTACTATGTACATGGTAGAGCTAAAGTGGGAGTGCAACGGTAAAGCTCCTACTGGAGCTTTTGTTTAGTATTGTTTTAGGATTTTTTTTTAATCTTTAATTTTTTTTTCTTCACAGCGATTCTTGGTGAATTGAGTTAATTCAGTATGTATGATGATCTTCGTATCGCTCGTTCTATGTACTTCCCCCAGGTGTTCCACCAATGGATCCTCTTTTACTCTTCGTCGTCATACTTTCCCTGCAATATATCGTTCAAGGCCTCTTGAATCTGCCTGCTTTCTTCGTCTACTGGTAATTTAGCCAACTCTCTCTCCTTATCGTATCCGCCCATGAACAGTTTCATTCTCCACGAAAATTCTTTGAAGCTGGAAACGTCCATTATCCAACAGGCGCCAAACAAAGTCATGGATGTGACACTAGCACACAACATAGTACCGGTACCTACAGCAACTGCCGCATCGCCTACAAAACTGTAGCTCAAGGGAGGTTGGTGATTACCTTGGAATAAATTCGGCAAGAACTGTCTCTTCACGGATGACTTATATGCAATTCTTGTAGACACTAAAGTTAACAAAGAACTTCCCATAAACAAGAGCATCTGTCTCTTCCTTCTGAGCTTGTATTCATCGCTAGCTGACGAGATTTTCCACGTTGAAGCAAACGAGGCTGTCTGTGCCATGATTAGAAGAGATACAACTACAGATCTTGGTTAAGAAGACGTTCTAAGTGCTTTCCTAACAATTCAGGTCAAAATAATTTTTGGATTTTTCACTAAGGGCCGAAATTTCGTAAATCTGCGACACACTGCGCTTGATTTGTATGGGCCCAAGCTTGAACGGATGTACCAGTAGCAGAACAGATGGCTTCATTGGTATGACGCTCAAACCACATTAGCAATACCTTGTATAGCCTAAGCAAGTAATGTTTTCTTTTCAAAGGAAGTCCAACTCATTACATTAACTGCGTTTCACCATCTTCTCTTACTTTGCTACCTGCATATCAAACGCTGTATACTACATTAAGCTTAAATAATACATTGATTAAACAGACTAACAACAAACAGAAATAATTGGTTCGTAAAAGTGACTAAAGAAAGGAATGCATAAGGTATTCTATTTTAAGTTCTTTAGTAACATGAGAGGAATTGAAAGCTTTTCTTTTTTTAAATTTTTGGACTTTCATCACTTTCGGATAATTTTCTTACTTTTTTTTTTTTACTTTTGATTAATTTTTTTCTCATCATCATCTTCTTCTTATATTCGACTTGTATATCGCTTCAAATCTCCTCTTTAAATAATCCGCCTGGAGCACTGTTCTTAGTCAATGACTCATCACCTATGGTTTCAATTTCATCGTCTCTAGATTCGCTCTTAGCTGGACTCTTTGCTACAGGTTCCTTTGCTTTAGCAGGAGTAGCAGGGGTTGACACAGCAGCAGCCTTTGGAGCAGTCTTGACATTTGACTTATATCTGTCTGGATCTGGCTTACTCGAGAAGTACTTCTTGGCAAACTTCTTCAAACCAGAAGACTTTGAAGAAGAACTCTTAGAAACGGCAGCTGCAGCTGCAGCAGCCTTAGCAGTAGGTGAGGATGTAGCTGGCTTTTCAACTTCCTTAGGCGTGGAAACTTCATCTATCTTAGGTTCAGGTAAGTCTTCCTTACTGAAAAGTGATGAGGTATCCTTTAACTTCTTTTCATCGATTTCTGTTCTTAAATGCTCTGGTAATTCTTCGTTGATTTTATGTTCGTGGGCAACCTTCTCATCTAAATGGGCCAAGATAGCAGTCTTATTTTCAGCCTTAGAATTCAAGTTTTCTTCCTTTTCCTTTTCTAAAGCCGCAAGTTTAGAATCTAAATCTTTATCTTCATTATCAGCATCTTCAAGTTCTTTAGCACTTGAAGATTGTAAGTCAGCTAATACTTTGGAAGTTTCTTCGTCCTTTTTGGTAGATTCTTCAACCTTGGTGGTGTACTCTTCGAATTCAGCCTCTGCAGCAGCTAGCTTTTCTTCCAATTCTTTCAATTTATTAGTGTATTCTTCATTGGTGGTTTCGCTGGCCTTGACTTCATTCAACAATTCATCCCTAGCGTTGGTCACTTCGCTTAATTTCTCGTTCTCTATCTTCAACTCATCTAAAGTAGGCTTCAAGATTTCGTCCTTCTCTGCTTGCATGTTCATTAATTCTTCCTTTCTACCATTTATTAATTCAGCTTCTTCACCTTCAATACGATCCAATTCAGCTTGCTTTTCGGCTAACAATTCAGCCTTCTCCTCTTCATACTTGAGTTCTAACTCTCTCAATTCCTTAACTTTGGCATCCACTTCTTCATTTACACCAGTTTGATATTCAGTGTACTTATCGACTTCAGCAACCTTTCTTTCATCGTGCAAGTCAAGTCTTTCTTTCTTGGCTCTCTCCAAATCAATCTTTTCTTGCAATTTTTTATTGAATTCCTCCTTCTTGTATTTTTCATGGTCAGCAACCCTTTCTTGTTGCTTTCTGTTAGAAGCATCATCAATTTCTCTTTGCTTATCAGCCTTAGTTTTAATATCATCCAAGACAGGTTGAACTACTAAGGCAGCCATCTTTTCCAACTCAGATTGTAAGATGGTTAATCCTCCACCTAAATCGATAACACCAACCTTGTGGTTGGCAATCCTTTCATTAGATCTTTCTTGTGCTAAGGTTAAAGCATTGGCGTAAAGCTGTGCTTGTTGCTTGAAATCTAATGGCTGTGATGAATTTAATGCAGATAATCTCTTTTCAGCGGCCTTATTGGCAGCATCTAATAAAGTCTTGTTGACAACTTGGTTGGCGGTGAAAGACTTACTACGAATTGAGCTGGAAGCAGTGTTACTAGTGGAACCACCAAACTTTAATGAAGCAATTGCTCCTTGAGCAGCCAATTTTTCTTCGTCATCGTCTAAATACTCGGCATTAGAGGAACTAGACTGTAAACCTGAACGGAAATCCAATTCTGGGTTGAATCTGGAGTTTAAAGATTTAGAACTGTTTTTGTTGGCAACGCTGCTAATCTTTCCAATATTTAAAGCAGCTTGTGAAGATTTGGTAGCCAATCCAGAACGGTAGTCCCTTTCCGGGTCAGTTCTGGTGGAAAGAGAGTATGTGGAGTTTGAGGTAGCCTTGTCGAACACAGAAGATCCACTGTATTCTGGGATACCGGTACCACCCTGCTTACCTAAAGCAGCGGCAGCAGCCACAGCTGAGGAAGAAATGGATGAGAAGGTTGAAGTGGTCCCATTTCTGGCGGCAGCGGCAGCATTGTGTGCTTCGACGGCAACAACTCTCTCGTAACTTGGCTTGACTGTTAAGTCAGCAGAAGCTGCCAAAAGGGCCGCGGTATCGGAGGCGTTGGAATTGACACCTACGGACGGAGAGCCCGGAGAGTTGTAAACCCCCTGTCTCAACTTTTGTTGATATATGGCCTGTTGAGACAACGGCTTACCATTGTTTTGGTAGATTGAGCGTGTTGACATGGTATAATACAGCTGATATTATTGTTATTAAGTTATGTGGAAAAAAATGATACAGTTAAAATGAAGATACAACTAGAAAACAGTAAAAGAAACTTTAGCAATGTTCTCTTAATTGAAGGTGGTTTGAAATTTCTTCCTTTTTTTTGTGGTTTGAAATTTAAACTTTTCAGTCACTCTAGTGAAAATGCAAAACTGGAATATCTAGCAATTGTTAAGAATGAGTAAGGAACTTTAATTCTTTAGTAGCAGTTAGATAGTGGAAAAGCTGGAAAGGAAAAAAGAAAAGAGAAAAGAAAGAAGGAGAAGAAGAAGAAGAAGAAGAGGAGAAAGAAGAGCAGGAAAGAACACAGAATTGATACCGCAAGTGGTGGGTTGAAATTTTTAATTACCTCGAGGAAAGTTCCCTCCCCTAAAATTGTCGTCAATTTCGAGTAGAAAAGTTCCATAAAAGGGGTAAAATATTCCCATTAAAGGTGCAGCTGGGGTGCAAAACCGCATTGGGGAAGCGGGCCCACATCTCTCTGGTCCCACTTAAATGCAAGTATTAAATTATTGCCATACCTGCAGTTGCTATCACGCGCCCACTCGCAGATTGTTCAAGAATGGGCAAATTTAGCCTTACAAGAAAAATAATAAAGGAGCAAAAAAGATGGCTTGCTGGCGGTCGTGCACGGTCCAATAATAGAAGTGGTGTCTGTGCGTAATCTACAAGAAAATGAACCGATGCAGACAATAAAGAGCCGAGCCGTGAGAAAAGTCCCACAGTGTGATGGTAATGAGGTGGGTGTGGAATTCTCTTGGATAAACGAGAATTCGGAATGGGCTGATAGTTTCCGAACTACTTTAGTCTTCAGGTGGTGTATTTTGCGTTTATTCCGTAGTATGAGGGTGACTCAATGGGTACTGTTCTGTTGTCCGTTCTTTTTTCCTTCTATTTGGCAGTTCTTCGATATACATGGAGCTATGACGTAAGATGACGTAGGCAGATTGCGAAAGCGCATAGAAAGAGTGAAAAAAAAAAAAAAAAAGATGATAAGCAGCATGAACAACTGGAAGAAAAAGAAAAGAACTAGATGGTTGCTTCATGTATGGAAGAAAGAAAGAGTGTGAGCTTATGCCAGATGTTGTCTTAGAAAGAAACTCAAAATAAGCACAATTACGTCAGTATTTGATGTGAAGAAGGTTCAACTATCATCTCGTTCCCCAGACTAGTTAGAGGTTTCACCCATTCTCTATCTTACATTGTTTACTCTACTCGAATTATATCATATTCTATTACGACTACATATTGATAAACTTTCTGGTCTAAATAGACCCAGCTGCGCATGTCTCAGCGTTACACCTTCATTACACAACGTTTTTCAACTCTTGTTTCTTCTTCCTCCTCGGTTGAATAAATTGGGGTTGCCCAATATTATCGTAGTAGTCCCGTTGGGCAAAGTCTTATAGTGGGTCTTCAAGTGTTGGGCCAAATTATCACTTCTGGAAAACTTCTTTTCACAGTATTTGCAATGGAATGGACGAATATTGGAATGCACCGATCTGATGTGACGTTTAAGATGCTCCAGTCTCTTAAATTGCTTGGTACAATCGGGACAAGGGAATGGCTTCTCTTCATCTGAATCTTCATCATCAGATTGGTGAGCAGGTTTCAGCTTGGGGCTTGTGGACACTTTAGCGCTGGACTGCGCTGGCGCTCTCAATGCCTGTGATTGCAGCAATAATTGAGGCTGTTGCAGTTGTAGTTGGAATGGAGGCGAAGTATAAGTTGTAGGCAGAACTTGTGGAGGCGACTGAAATTGCGGAAGTTGTGCCAGTTGTGGGGTTGTTTGGAGTTGCTGCTGTTGAAGTCTTTGCTCCGAAAGTTCTTGGAACTGCTGCAGCTTGAGTAAGGTTGGTGATTTTATGGGCGCCGATTCTGTATCTATCGGATCTACTTCTTGCGAGGGAAGTTGGTGACTTAAAATCAGTGCTCCATTAGACGACAATTGTACCAGAACATCATCTAAATCTTCAGGGTTAATCAGAACTTGTTCAAGGTTGTCTGCTTCATCTTGAGTCTGTAATTCAGATTGATTCTCGTTTTGGTTCAGGCTCTGTATAGATTCCAATTGAGCTCTATATTTCTTCTCGTCCTTCAACTTATTCTTTCCGTTAACAATTCCCAATCCTTCTATATTCCCCCTGAGTAATTCGTAGTTATTGTACGACTTTCTTCTCTTTTTCTTCAGAATAGTATTTGATATCTTCTCAGATGCCGGTCCAGAAGAAGATAATTGAATCGAGTTCCTGCGCCTTTGGTACTTCATTATTCCTGTAGGATTTCCAATTATCTCTGCTGCCAGATCTCCGGTAGCATCACTGAATTGTGTATTGTTTAACCAGTAGTGAATTGCATTAAAGCACTCATCATTCATAATGAAATCAAACCTGGGGGTGGAACCTTTCACATTGGATTGAGTTTGTGATTGAGATTGTGACTGTGGCGACTGCTGCTGCTGCTGTTGTTGTTGTTGGTGTTGTTGGTTGTAAAGATGCTGTTGTTGATGTTTGAGTTGTTCTTGGTGCTGGAGCTGTTGCTGTTGATGATAAAGTTGTTCCTGGTCTTGTCTATTCTGTTTCTTTTCCTTGTTGCCATATAACTCGCTCTTTTTGTTCTTATTTTGTGAGCTCAACTGTATTTCCAGCTTGAACAAAGTCGTAAGCGATGGTGAGCTGTAACTGTTAGATAATGGTTTGTGATCGTTAAACAATTGTCTTGGGTTTATTGTTCTTTCTTCCGAGTTCTCTTTTACGAGCGACTGGTAGACTGAAGACGAAGGAAACTCATCCATGTTGAGGTTGGGGCTCGGAGAATGTGAAATGGATACGACTGCGGTGCCTGGTGCGCTTCCAGAACCAGAAGAAGCCGAACCAGGACCACCATTGGCGCCCAAAATCTCCGCCTCTTGCCTTAAATCCTGCCTCAAAGTCAACAAGTTGAGCTGATCAATGGGCAAGCTAAATGAATTGGAATGAACCCGCTTGTTCATGTAGTCGTAGTTATTGCTGTCGATGGCAGGAGGAGTGTGGAACTCGGGTGTAGTGTTGGCAGTGTTGGAGCTCTGAACCAACGACGACGAGGACGTGAGCTGGTTGGACTCGGAAACATTGAAGAAGATCTCATCGTTGAAGTTAATGGGGTCAGGATTGGTGAAGTTGAAGCTACCGCCTGCGGCATTACCACCGGATGTGTTACCGCTGCTCCCGCTTGCACTGGAGGAACCGGCCCCGCTCATTAGGGAAGAGTTGTAGTCTTCCATCTGTGTAATGTAGTTCATTGTGGGATGTACTAGTGACTCAGTTGCTTGTTGATATGTATATATGTGTGTGTCTGTGTGGCGTGTGTATTCCTTTCTGGATTCCAGTTTGACTCTCTCGGACGGTTACTAATTGATAAGCCCAAATAACAAGGCAAAAAAAGAAACGTATGAAACAGCAATGTTCTAGCGGTTATTCCAAGATTTTCTCTCTTTTTTGCTTCTATCTACTCTAGCTTAAGACCGGCCAGTTGTATAAGGGTAAATAAACGTAAAACAAGCTTGAAACTGTTCACTACTCTTCAAAAAGTTAAAAAAAACTAAAATTCTAGCGCTATTTCACAAATTAGAAATTGTGGTTTCCACCTAAAGTGGAGTGCTTGGAAAGACATTTGGTGATAGAGGGCGGTTGCGTGCCCGGAGATGTGGTAAAAGTATAATAGAGAGCAAAAAAAATAAATGGTAGGTGAAGCAGAAGCGATGCAGAGGTGATACACAGGGCTGTAGCGGAGGGTGGGCGAGGACAAGACAAGGGGAGGGTAGGCAGGACAAGAGGAAGGTACCAACATGAGGGAAAGTGTAAAAAAAAGACGCTCACTATGGATGGAATAGGTGAGTGTGCCACATTCTGGTATTCTCCACTTTCTTAAATATATCAAGGTTAATCGTTAGCAAAGTTTAACTGATAGGAAATGCGCCATTATCTTACCTGCAGAAAAACTCAAGAAAATATTGCACTATTCTTTGCTTTGTGCCATGATCTTGTACTAAAATGAAGCACAACTGGGAAAATGAGAGAAAAAAAAAAAAAAAAAGAATTATACCAAGAAGGTTACGGAGAGTCTGGAATGGGAAGGTTAAGAAGTAGCTCACGGCAGTGGGGAGTATGCAGACGCAACAACTAATTGGCCAGGTACAATTATTTCTCGTTGGATGTATACTGGTGAGTTCATTTCGACTCATTGGCTTGGCTGCGAGCAAAATATCGTATAATCTTGCTCCGTACTATTCGAACTCTTCCGCTCATTTCATGTTCCTCCATCCATCCATCACCTATGGCTCTTATCTTCTTTTCCCGTATCGGAATTTGCTCAGTGGGCTATATACAGGACACAAACGGCGGATAAAAATAGCCAGTCAGTCTTTACTTCAGAAGAGGCAGTCAGGCTACAAGCTGGGTAGAGAGGTGGTAAAGAGGTTCTAGAGCCTTGGGGCACTCCGAGACCCAATGCTTATTGCAGAGAATTCAAGAAAGAACACCCCCCTTGGTGTTGCGGTGGACTTTGGAACGAGCCATGCTTAGCGTTTCTATCGATCTTGGCTCGATATAATGTGGTGTCTGGATGACGTGATAACAGCCAAAAAATAAATAGCAACTACGAGGCATGTACATGTCGAGCTGCATGAGCTTAGTGTGGAGGATGTATTGACCAAGATTCAACGCTATCAAAGGTTACAGATGCCTGGGATATGGCAAAAGCAGCTAACAAACCTTCTGCACTTCTTGCAAGCTACTTACAGTGCTACTCAGGCCAAAAAAAAAGGAAATAAATAATCTCTCTATTAAATGAATTTGTCTCTATAAATTAGCTTGCTCAATTGCTTATGAATAATTAAATAATGCTGGTAGCTCTAGCACCCAACAAGGTGCTACCTTTTAGCTTGTCGTCGCTATCTTCACCATCTTCCTTTCCTTCGTTATCTTCATTGCAGGGTTTATCATTTTTTAATCTAGTCTTGCTCTATACTCATGAATTATCATATCTTGCTGGCAGCGCTGGTACCTTCTCCTGTGCTACCTTCTAGCTTCTCTCTGCTATCTTGCCTACTTTCGACAGCTTCCTTACCTTCGAGATCTGGCTTATCATTTACATTCCCCTTATCATCGCTCCTCTCATCACCGTCTCCACTCTCTTCATCAGCTGGTTCAAGTTTACTTTCTTCATCTGTTGTCACCGCATGTTCCAGCTCAATCCATTTTCTCATGAAATTCACCAAAACTTGCGCTGTGACAACTTGCTCAGCTTGATACAACACTAAAGGCACAAGTAATTTACCCAAATTTTCATTGTGTGATCCATATTGGGACGAAACCAATGATACTCCCAATGCAGCTGTCTTTGCTGGCCCACAGAGCATCACAGCTACTGTATCCTTTCTATTGTAATAAAATGGTTTAAAAAATTGATAACTCCATTTGTAAAGCTTGGAACTCGATTCATTAGGTTCTTCGGAGAAGTACTCATAAATAAATAATGGCCTTGAATAAAAATAACTTAAGCATGTGAAAAAAAGGTAAATTCCAATATTGAAGAATACCACAAGTATAATCGAAGCAGGAGGAACGCTGTTGAATGCATTTTGAGCGAAAGCAGTGGAGAATGCTTGCCACATATTGAAAATCAACATAAGCGATCCGACTTTAGCAAGGTAGAGATTGGCAATGCACCATTTGGTGACCTTGGGAATTACATTCTGAGCAACCTGACCTACAAATAGGGGAACGAAAACGGCTAAACCAACCTGTTTCATGACATCTCGATATAAATCACCTATTGAGTTGTCGTCTCCAGTCTGGTGGGTAGGGTTACCGAAATTCCAGGTGCCTCTGGTATACATTTGAATCAACGCAGGCGTAACAAAAGCTCCCAAAACATTGCCAATGAAAACTTCACACAATGTCAATATATCGTTACCGTGTGCCTTTTTCGTCATAACAACGTTTGAAGCAATCGTGGTAGGACACGAATGAGTAACAATCAACCCCACAAGGATCCACTCATCGATCTCTCCATTGTTAGCTGCTTTAATCCCAGTTACTATACCATAAACGATAGAACTCGTAATAAGGAACGATAATGACAACACGGTGAAATGAGCTCTGAAATGGAGCATGTTTTTACCCAAGTCTCTGGTGGGCATTTGTATTCCCGAGATCAAGAAGATCACGGCTACTGCACCATAGTTAATGGTGTACTCTGCCCTTATTGTACCACCTTGTTTAGCGAAATTAGGGTACGAATGAGCCAAGGCAATGAAGCATGCCAATATTATAATGAACCATTGGCTTAGAAGAAACGAGAGGGTGGCTTTCGAGTACTTATACCATTTTGCATTTTTATCTATATTCATTTTCGGGTTTATGCTAGTGCAATTCCGAACTAGTTGAAAAAAGATGTCCGGTCTTCGAAAATCTGTAAATGTTAATCTACAGGTATTAATGGAAACTTCGCTAGGTTATATAGGCGCGTATACGAAATTGTTTGTGGTCAGCACATGCATAAATGTTCCACCGTAGCGAAAGAGCAATGTGTATTATCAAGTAAAATGCAACCGAAGAGTCATTTGAATTTTTAGCTTGTGGGTTTGACAGAAAGAAAAAGAAACGGAGTTTACAAAAAAAAATGCAACCGCTTATTTACCGGAACGTTTAATGTAGGCTGGTATATGCGATTAGATCAGAAATACGAACGGTGCTTAGCCGCGAGAACGGAATGGCACTACTGTATATATAAATGTAGGCTACTTTTGACGTTTGAATTGATAAAATTGGAGTTAAAGGGGAAAAAAGTAAGAGGTATAAGAGGAATTAGGGTGGTTCGTTTCGGATCGAGAGCGGGCAGATCTCAAGAACGGGCAAAATCTCGAGGGCCTAAATTTTGCGAGGAACAGAAGCACTGTGGTTTTGTCTCGCTGAGTGATGCAGGATGGAACAGTAGAAAAATGACTAGCATGAATTTAAGCGTAGAATCGATTACACTATTTACAAATTCACTTGGAAGCATGACTAGATGACCAATCCAATAGCACCTGACTGACAGAGTTGAAATACTTAGACTCAAACTTATACTTACAGTGGTCAGTGTCAGCTTATAGCTCTCAATCGACTACCACAGTAAATAATATTTTACTGGATTTGTTCATTTGCTGTGCGAAATTCTCCATGCTACAGAGAAGCCAGTAAGTACATCAAATTCTTATTTTACAACCCCCGCCCCTCTTCTCCATACGCTCGGCTACCACTACTACCCAGAATCCATCGTGGCATCAGTAGTCACTGCCCTATTAGACATCTACCACACTCTTCGATGCATCTTAGCGTAGCACAAAACTTAAAATGATTCTCTGCGCAGTGCGAAGACGAAAATAAAAATGTTCCATTTAACCCAATGCGGACTAAATGTAAACATACAATCAGAATAGGCATCCTTGACGATGACTGTTGACTTCTACATTAAGATATTGTATTGCTTCCAATTTGTATAAGAGAATAAGGTAGGACACTACAGGCGAAAATCATTGAGTAGTTCGACAGAAAGAAACAAAGACAAGGGTTCAAACGATTGTTTAAGAAAGGTGTACTGAAAATTCGCAGCCAACAGATCAAAAGTACACACTGAAAGAGTTCCATCCGTTGTTGTAGTACACAGAGCATTGGCTAATCCCTTCTTAAAAGCAAAGCAGAGACCATATTAAGCTAAAAAATGACCAGATCCCAGATAAGTGAAGACCACTCTTTCGTCAACAATTTCTGGGGCCACAAGGACACTGGATTCCAAGTGATTCAGACCAAGATCAAGCATTCCTTGAACACACTACAAGAAATATTGGCATTCTACCAAGAGAGAATCGCCATTGAAAAGGAATACAACAAGAAATTATTGAAGTTAAATGAAACCATTGTGCTTGGATCCAATGAGACTGGCTCTTTAAAGACTTCATTGGACAAGTTAGCCATGGAGAATTATCAAATGATCAAGTACAATATGAAGTTTTCTAAAAGTGTATCACAACAGAACTACGACAAGTTAAACAATTTCACATTAATTTACTCCAAGAAAATAGTGAAGTTGGAGAATCATATGATAAAATTGACATCGAGGAAGAAGGATGCCTTGAAAAACTATGAACTTTACAAGAATAAGTACAAAGATGAGTGTTGCCAAATCAAGCTGCTTAGGTTCCAGTGTCAGGGCACCTGGGGAAAGGAATTGGAACGCCTAGAAGCCAAATTAAATAAACTACTCAGTGGAAACGGCTCCACAAAGAGACATTACCAGCAGAGCTGTGCATTATTACAAGAAATTGAAGAATTGTATGTCAGAGATTGGAGTACCATATTGAAGGACTTCTACCAATTGGAAGCAGAAAGAATCCAAGTCACCAAAGTGAATAGTTTCACATATTGTAACAATGTCGCTACTTTATGTGTGGAACATGACCAAGCAGTAGACAATGCAAGAAGCATCATTGCACAGATCTCACCCAATGACGACTTGCAACAGTTCAGCTACAACTACGGAACAGGGAACAAGATATACGCTGCTCCTGAATTCGTTGACTTCATGGAAGGTTCAGAGGAGAAACCAGAAGACGGAAAATACACAGAGGCACAATTTGGTACACCAGAGTATTTGGTTAGGTCGCAAACTATGAACAGAGGTTCGAACAATGAAGGAATTGTCACCTCTAGTCCAAAAGCAAAGCCTTACACCCCAGCCACACTGCCAATTAAAATGCCCCCAAGTGCAACAACCACTCCGTCTCCAACAAAGTTCAGTTCAAGAGTCCTCCCACCTCAGAAAAGACAACCAGCTCAGCTTCAGGAAGCACAACAATTACAGCACTCTAGTTACAACCACCGTGGGCATCACTCTCCAATTGCTTCGCCAGTTCATCCAGTGCCAGCGACTGCTACTACTTTGGAACCAGTCAGTCTTCCTCCTCCATCATTGTCACCATACTCGGAGCCAAAGACTCCTTCTCCAAACAGAAGGGACCTAATCCAAACTACTCATCTCCCAGTCCACGTTCCACCTCCTAAGGCACCTTCAAACTACAGTACAGGTGGATCTTCAGCAGATGTATTTTCTTATGAGGAAAACTTAAAAGCGGATCACCTTGAAAAGCAGGAACAGAAATTTAGAGAGAGCAATGGCTCGTCTAATTACTCTAATCCTACCACATACACTTCATCAAACTATTCGTCGAACTACTCATCCAATTCTTCCAACGATAGAAATTGGGCTACTCCAAGAAAGAGAGAAATACAGCAAGTTAAGAAGTATCAAGATAAGATTAACCTCAATGCTAAAGAATTGCCAACATTCCCCGAACATTCTGCTTCTACAATTAAGTTAGATCACTCCAAAATTCCAATCCAAAAGGATTTCTCCATTGACTTCATAGCTAAGGCCCTTGAGGACTTGAATTCTGGCGGTAATGGTGATATTAACCAATATAGAAGGTCAGTGAGAAGAGCTAAAGCAGAAGAGGAAATCCAACTGCAGCAGCAGCAACAACAACAGAGGCATCACCAAATACAGAAACAACTGCCACAGCAGCTGCAAAAGACAATTCTGCATAAGAAGCTGAAGAGTGTTTATAGCTATTCAGATATACGACCAGCAGTTGATTATGTTGATGATCATGCTGAGGTAGCAACAAGGTACGGCTCGATTAACTTCACGGCTCCTGAGCCAAATACTCCAGGCAGCTTTGCCCTAAATTCGAGGGGATCAGTCAGAAGAAGGCCAAAGTCCATGTATGAGTCCAGCACTAACAATGACCTTGATTCTCACTCATCGTATCAACAGCAATCTCAAAATAATGATGAATTTAGTACTCCAAGCAAGCCATCAAAGAAGCCACAAAGAAGTCTTCTGAAGACTCCATCGAAATCATATACCAATCTCCACTCTTTCATACAAGATACACCTGCCAAGCCCGCCCGCAATGATTCCGGATACACTCCGTCTGGTAAGCCATATGTAAGCAAAGTGAGAGCAATGTATACCTATAAGCCACAACACCACGGTGAGCTTTATTTTAAGAAGAATTGGTATTTATATGTCCTTCACAAGCAAGAAGATAATTGGTATGTATGTGAATTGGCAAGTGAGCCTGGTGCTGGTACAATTGGGTTAGTTCCTGGAAATTATGTTAAAGATGACAACAGCTTTTGAAGAATGAATCCAGGTTTTTAAGGTAAGTTCAGAATGACATCTACTTTGGTTAAAGTAAATTATATAATAAATGAGCTTAGATATATTAATTTTTTGTATTCGTAGATCTATCTAAAAGTACAGCAATTCTGCCTAAATAGCAAAGAGAGCAAAAGCTGCAACCACAACATTTCGGGCGGAAAGCCTGCTACCTGAGTTAACAGCCGTAGTAACTGCATGGGTAGTGGCAGCAGCCGAACTAGAACTATCAGAGAGAATAGAACTAGAGAGCGGTGTAACTGGTGTTTCTGATGATGATATCACTTCAGCTTCTGATGTAGACACAACATTTTCTGTCACGGTATCAGTACCCTCAGATTCACCAGCTAAGGTTGAAGTAGAGGAAACCTCAGTGCTCTCAGATTGACCAGCCAAAGTTGAGGTAGAAAGAATCTCAGTGCACTTGTTGTCCTCACAGGATGTAATGGTGATAACGGTAGTGTGAGAATTAGTTTCAGTTTCAGTATAATCATCTGCAGAAGTTGGGAAGGTGGATGTGAAAAGTACTTCACTGCATTTGTTGTCTGAGCAAGAGGTGATCGTAACGACTGTAGTGTGTGCTGCTGTAATAGTTGAAGTTTCAGCGACTGCAGAGCTCAATTCGCTTGCCACTGAGGAAGTTTGTGGTGCTGCAGAAGTAGAATTATAACCCGATGAAAGCGATGCCGATCCTGAAGCACTGGATGAAGAAGAAGCACTTGTCGACAGTGAGACGATAGATGAAGAACTAGTAGTATTGTTTTCAGCAGGACAGGAATTTGCCTTGTACAAAGTGGCCCTATCCAAAACTGTGTTGTTATTGGAAGCAATAAATTCGTGGGTGATGTGGGTACAATTGTGAACCGTGAACTTAGACCACCCATAAGCTGTATCCTGAGCGAAATTAACATAATCTGGTAATGGAGTCACCAAGTCATCAATACCATCATAATGACCAGCAATACCATTCAAAATATACAATGGAGAAGATGGGTTGTTTAATCCATTGGGATCAATAACACCTCCGGTCCCAATTGGCCCAATTCTTTCATAGTTGTGAACATGCCCTGCAAGCACAATGTCCACACCGTAGTCGTTCAAGGTAGATTCGAAAGCAGTTTGACATGTGGTACAGGCTTCACCTGCAACATACCAAGGTCTATGGCCCTGAGCAATGACCCAAGGGGTCTTTGTTCTATCTACGTTTTTCAAATCATTGATCAACCAATCTAATTGTTCATTTTCATAAGACCCAACGTTACCGTTAGGAGCAACAGACTCAGGTCCTAAAACACCGTTTGGGAAGTCAGTCTCAGTATCATACAGAACATAATGGACCAAACCATAATCAAAAGAATACCACATGTTTCCTGCACCACCTGACAAATCACCAGGCATGTTCCAATGGTTCTTGAAACCGGTGAAGTTAGTTTGACCAGGAGGGCAAATACTATTGGTATACGATTTGTACCCACCATTATCACAATCAGCTTCATGGTTACCAGGTCCGACCATGTAAGGCTTGTTTGCTGTAACTGGTCTCATACCATCATAAAACGCATTCAAGATTTGTTCATAAACTTGATAACCGGTAGAAAGAGTAATGTTACCCAAGTAGCCTTGATACTCTTCCTTTAACCAGTAGTCGGCATATGCGATATCACCTGGGTGTAAAACAAATTCATATTCATCAAGCAAATCTTGCAATGATTGCATTGTATTTTGTTCACCAACGGCCAAGAGACCATCCTCCGGTCCATGGTCACTCAATCCCAAGTCACCCATGGTACCTAAGTCAACAACCACAGCGAACGAGAATTCTTCATTGGTTCCCGGAGCTTTAGCAGTGGAGAACGAGTATACTTCACTATCGTTTTCCACCTGGTAGTAGTAAGTGGTTCCAGATTCGAGACCAGTAATTTGCACATGATTGTTCCATGTGGTAGAAGTCAAGTAAGTAGTTGAGCTCGAAGAGTCAGCGGTCTCGGTCAAGTCACTTGGAGATAATCCATATTTAACCGTAGGGTTACTCAATTGCTGGTAAGTATTCCAAGAGACAGTGACCCCAGTATCACCGAGGAAAGCCACACGCTGTTGAGATGGAGAGGACAAATCTCTAGGCATGGGCTGAATGGCAAGGTTGATAGCCAATGCTCCACTGAGCATTTGAAGGGCAATTGCAACCCTAGCGAGAGTTTTTACTAGCATTTAAAGGAATGGATGAACAGAATGAAAGAGTGACAACAAAAGAGTGAAAAGTCCTTAGTGCTAGGTGTGAGCTTACTGGTTTCTGAAGGGGAACTCAGAGAACAGTTTTAGAGAATTCCAAGCCATATATAACCGATTCAAATTTTGCAACAATAGACAGAAGATATTCATTCCCCGACTCTCGATAGCACGTCGAACCTAATTAGATCGCAATAATTGCAATGCTGACTCAAACGGCCCCATACCACGTGGACCTCTTTATCTATACCCCTAACGTCTTGTGTCTTGAGTGTAAATATACTTCACAAATATGAAAAGGTTGCAGACTGTGAATAGAAAGTGAGGTATGTGGAAATACGCGAATGTACCGGTTAGGAGCCCACGTTAGACCAATGGGGCATAAACAAACATGTCTCAATCACATTTGCCAATTAAACAATCCTATTTAATAAGCACGTTGTATAATACGTTTTTTATTGCCCTGATCCTATTGTAAATGGTGAAATCCTTATTGGCTTTAATTCGTAAGCCTTAGTTCGGAAACAGAGAGCAGGATCTCCTTATACGAGGACGTAACTTCTTGGTATTATAATCGTAGAATGGAGCACCTTCGGTAAATACGTCAAGAAAAGCAAGCTATTGACATATTCTTGACGTATTTTCTTCTTTTATTTTCTTTTTTTTTTTCGTCGCTATCAAGGTTTCTTGTCCTGGACAACTTATCCAATTTACCATTGTACCACATTTAGGGTTTCTTCAATCCTTTGCCCCGGAATTCTTTGACTAGCCCGCTTTTAACGGGAAATTATTATGTTGGACATGCATGAGGTTCAAAATATTTGTGTCTTATTTTCAAACTTTAACCATCTCGCCAATTCATGATTCGGATAAGCCATTAGGCTTGGTAATCGGTTTCAATTAGTCAATTTACCCCGACCCCTGGATCATTTCCCTTTTAGTTTTCGTCTCTCTGGCTTAAATTTTTTTATCTGGCGTAATTCCGTACGAGTATTTCGAAAATTCCACAAAACAGGCAAAATCTGCCAAAATGCGATTAGTGATCGATAGAGCGACCGAAACCGGATTTAAAACGTTGTTCAGTTGATGCCGATCACTCCATTCATAAACTTGAAGAAGCAATTAGCAATGTCGATCAAAAACCTCCCTCCTCTCATTATAGGCGGTGCTGTATTCAATACGGGGTACAACGAAAATCCTCATGACCTCTCTGCCAGCAAAATCTTGGAGGCTGCATTTTCCAAAGGGTTCACAGCCATAGATACTTCACCTTACTATGGACCATCAGAAGAAATATTTGGCAAGGCCTTGAAGGAAATTTCTTCGAAATGGAAACGTGAAGATTACTTGATCTGTACAAAAGCTGGTAGATTGGGTCTTGACGAGTTCGATTATAGCAGACCATGGATTAGAAAGTCCGTATTGAGGTCATTAGAGAGATTGGGCACTTCGTATTTAGATTTAGTTTATATTCATGACATTGAATTCGTAGATGAACCCTCAATCATAGGTGCCGTCAAAGAGCTCAAATTATTGAAAAATGAGGGTATAGTTAAGAATATTGGAATCTCAGGTTACCCAGTAGACTTTTTATATAAAATAGCCTTGAGATGTAAGAGCGAGCCTGAGATAGGTCCGCTAGATGCGGTTTTGTCATACTCCAACGGGTGTATTCAAAATGAAAAATTGTTCGAGTATTACGAAAAATTGTTAGTCGATTGCGGCTTGAAAAAGGTCCTTAATGGGTCAATTTTAAGTATGTCACTTTTAAGATCAGACGCAACTTTAGATTTCCATCCAGCTTCAAAGGAATTGAAGGCTAAAGTATCGCAAGTGGCCAAAGATTTGAAGAATGAAACTGGAGTTGAATTGGCTGACTTAGCTACTAAGTTTGCACTCAAAAGATGGTTGTTTGACACTGCGAACCAGGCTGGTGCCACACCAACTAGCTTGGAATGGAACAAAAACTGTTCAATTGTATTGGGAGTTTCCAACATAGAAGAGCTCGATGCAGCAATTGGCAATTACGAGCATGTGAAAAGTAGGGCAGGCGAAGCTGAAGATGAGCAGTTGTTTGCCCAAGTTAAACAGAACTTGGGTGACAGCTTCAATGAAACCTGGAGAAGTGGATTGCACTAGAGATATAATGTGCTATGGTGGGGCGACAAAACCTGTTCTCTGGGAAAGTTAAGTTTAAGACATTCTCAGCTGGCGTATGACACTGGTGCAAGAATAACTAGATTTGCACTCGGTTTTTATTTATTCATGAGTATAGAAGTAGGAGAATATATGGAATGTGCAATGGGCTAGCGAGACTATTAGTAGAAGAATATATAGAATATGAATGGGCTAACAAAACCAGAAGTTATTCAAAAGCTAATAAGTATAGACCATAATCAGAACTTATATAATGATTGATTAGTATAGAATATAAGTATACAAGTAAAAGTAATTCAACAGTTACCGAGTATAACTAATATGCAACAGGCTACCGAGAGTTTAAAGGAAGTTCAAACTGCTGAAGTGGTTCGGACAATTTGCAGCCATTCCAATGTAGCGTAGAATTAACGCGAATTTTTCAGTTCAGTTCAGTAATTTTCTAAATCTAAACATTGTTGGTTCTTTTCTGTACAAGCAATTATGGCATTCAAGAGAAAGGCGGAACCTGTCCTGAGTGGCCCAGAAGTGGCTATTGAGTTAGATAAGAAAAAGCAGGTCACAGTAAGGGAATTCAATGGTGTTAAATTAGTGGATATCCGCGAGTTCTACATTGACAAGCAGTCAGGAGAGAAAAAGCCAGGCAAGAAGGGAATTTCTCTCACAGAAGAAACGTGGAAGAAATTGATTGAGCTTCAGAAAGATATAAATAATGCATTGGACGACTTGAGCGAGGATAAAGTGTCCCCCAAGGCAAAGAAGTTGAAAGAAGAAAAGAAAGAGGACGAGGAGGAGAACGAGAAGGAGAGTGAAGCCGAGTGATGAGGAAGCGTCCCAGAACTTGAGACTGATGTATATGGAAAGTAAGCAACAGCAATGAAAAAGACAAACAGTTCTTTTTTTTGGACAAAACGTACAACGGTCCGCGTATAGTGCTAACTAGATAATAAAAGAACCAATTAGGAAAAAGAACAATGTATTTACCCTTGCTTTACGATACCGAGCAGGTGTTTAGATTGTATCAGTGTAGAGTCAGCGAAAAACAGCGTATCGAGCTTCGGGGTGGTCCCTAAACCGGCGCGCGCGCAGCGCGCGCATCTCAGCGACATCAACTCCGGTCTAGGGAGGATAAGAATCACAGTCACCACTTACAAGTTGCACTTGAGTTATACACTTCGAGCGGTGATTCGGCCACTTCGTAGTTTCACACCCATGTGCTTTTTTTATTGTCAGCTTCTATCAGTCACAGGTGAAATTCATATTATCGTAGCTGAGATTTTTTTAAGGACTTAAAAATAGAAACGCTGGGCAGGAATTAGGCAAGCAATGCTAAATGCAACATTATTTTTGGGGATAGTCGTAAATCAAACAAAAAATGTGAATGTGTTTTAAATCTCCAATGATAAGGCAACCTTGGAACCTTTAGAGTTCGCGTACTATGCTACGGCTCCATCGAGCCTCTCGTTATTGTCACACGACAAGAAAAACCGCTATTTTTTTTTTTTTTCATTGCTACCTTTCATTGCTATGCCTTTCCGTTCCCTTTTGGGCTGCATTATTTTTTTTTTTTTGGCTTCTCCCGCATGAAACTTCCACAATAGCGCTGATATAAGATTGGAATATTGATTTCGAGTTCTTATTACATCATTATCTGTAGTTATCCTTAAATTGCTTAGCACATTGTAGTTTGTAGAGTGTTATATATTCGACAGGATGGGCAAACGAAACGCTAAACATAAAACTTCGAAAAAGAAGAGCATGAGCATCAACCGATATGGAGAAAGCGATGCTGTTTCTGAGTCAAGTAATGTCCCAATCGAATCAGATGCTGACTACGAAAATGATATTCAATTGGAAGCTGAGAGAAGAGGTAGGACACCTTATTCTAGTAGAAGAACACCCAGTAATTTGACAGCAGACGGAAGACCGCAGTTGACAAATCATAATTTAAACTCGTTGCTGAACCCTAGCTCTCCACGCCACTATCGTGAATTCCGTGAATCGAACAACGGGACCGATTACTACCCATTTGATACACGCAATCATGGTTCCTTTGCGCTTGATATGGAACGATTTAGAATGGAACAAAATCAACTAGCTGGAGAACAGAGAGCAAATGACGGTGATTATATCTATGATTCCTCTTTTGGTGGATCGGAAGCGCTGTCAGATCATCTGTCTTCTCTTTCCAGTCTCGATGATTTGGGGTACTACGACGAAGATGATTTGTTCGAAACTATTAGCCAGGATGGACAGTGGCCAGACTTGAAGTTACTAGAAGACTTTGTAAAGGAGGAAACTGAAAAACACCAGAATAAATATCTCTCGGAGCATAGACGGATATCCGAGGATGAACATGTAACCTTTCACCGTATTGATGATACGGTTCTGCCTACCCATGAATTACGTTCTATCAACGATGAAGAAGATCAAAGCTATGAAAGTGACGACAGAAGCCCGTTGCTTGTAAACAGAAAGGTCAACGAGATCGAATCTATTGATCTGTTCCGTAAGCAAAAGATTCCTAGCTACTCTCAATGGAATAATAATGCTAGGGATAAGAAATCAATATTGAATAATTATGGAAGCAATAAAGATAGAGTACCACCTTTGCAAAGGAAAGTTTCAGCTTCTCAATCACCAGCGAGATTGAAGGCTACGATCGACCCGGAATTGAATAGATTTTCTTACTTCAGACAAAACTTGGATAAAACGATACACAGTCCAACTATTAGTGGATTACTTATCGAAGAGCCGGAACTTATGACTAACAAGTTAAAAGCTGATGAACTTGTGGGTGGAGGTCTGAAGACTGCACTGCGTAACGTACTGAGGGCAGCCCTGCGTCCACCACCTTCTAACAGGCGTGCTTTGGAAGAGTTATTTAGACCACTGTATTATAGTAGGGACCCGCTACAAGGTACTGCCTTGGCAACTGGAACAAACACCCCAAGACCTAATAACAGCAAAGATGTGTCCGAAGCTCCGGCTTCCAGTACAAACTCACTTCGGAAAATGAGTAACGGTGAACAACAAAATAGCAGTAACTTACACCCACCACCCTCAACATCCCAGACTGCACCAGTGGCAACAGGAAGTAACCCATCAATTAATGTAGCCAATGCTAGTAATGGAGGCAATGGAAAAATTGGCTCCCCATCAGTCTCAACTGGCTCCAAATTCATTTCCCCTATGACACCTATTCATGAACCATCTGCCCCCGAAGAAGATGCTGAAAGCTTAGGCTTCGAAAAGGAGGAAACCTACCCATTCTGGTTGGACATACTTGATCCGACAATAGATGAATTGAAAATCTTGTCTAAGACTTTCGGCATCCATCCCTTAACTACGGAAGATATTTTCCTTAGAGAAACAAGAGAAAAAGTGGAAACTTTCAAATCATATTACTTTATTTGTTTCAGATCTTTCGACGTCATTCATGAACGTCGTAAACAGAAGGCTAAGGAGAATGATAAATTAATGTCCAAACTAAAGGAAGCCTATGAAAGAGATGAAGAGAGCGTTTTCGGTAAGATATGGAGAAAATTTTTCAATAAAAAAGATGACAAAAGGTACTCCTTATCTGCGGAGCATAAATGGGGAGTAGACAATTCAAGTGTGAGGTCTAGAGGTAAAAAATCAAATGAGGAGATATCACCATTGAACATGTATATGGTTGTCTTCAGAGATGCAGTCCTCACATTCCATTTTTCTGCTACTCCACATCCTATTAATGTTCGTAGAAGAATTAGAGGAAATGATTCCCTTGTCTCATCTGACTGGATATGTTACGCTTTGCTTGATAATATCATTGATGGATTTGCTCCAATGATTGAAAGTATAGAAGTTGAAGTAAATTCCATTGAAGATTCAATCTTGAAAATTCATGGTGGTGACACTGATAGTGAAGAAGATACAGACGATGATGAAAGTACTAATCAAGAATTTATTGAAAGGAAATCATTACGAAGAAATAACAACTCTAATAATATCTTTTTCAGAAGAAAGAGAACACAATCCACAGTCGACGCTGATGGAGTGGGTGGAAGACTCTTTGGTAACTCTGGAAGTAACTACCAGGGATCTCGTGTGGGAGGTCGCAGGTCTTCGAGAGCGACTACGTCTTCAACTAGTTCATCATCCAACTCGTTCAAAATCATTGGATGGAAAAGAAAAGGAGATATGTTGCGTAGGATTGGTGAATGTAGAAAAAGGGTAATGTCGCTTATTCGTCTTTTGGGATCGAAACCTGGGGTTATTAAAGGCTTCGGTATAAGAACAATGGAAGATGATAGAAGAGGTGGTCTTAAGTTAGGGCCAGGCTATTTAAGTGATGTCCAAGATCATGTCCTCACCATGGTACAAGCATTAAAGCATTGTGAAAAATTATCGGCTAGGTTTCACAAGAATTATTTGGCTCAACTTAACATAGATATGACACAGGTAAGTAATGATACAAATGATGTCTTAGGAAAAATTACCATTTTGGGAACCATTGTATTACCAATTAATGTGGTGACAGGACTTTGGGGGATGAATTGTATTGTCCCGGGCCAAGACTCTCCAGGATTGACATGGTTTTGGTCCATTGTGGCTTGTATGTTCGTCTTTAGTTTGATTGCCTATAATTTTGCTAAGAGAGTTACAGGTTTATAGAATCTATGCGATAGGTAGTTATGTACGCTGATTTTAATGCATACATCTAAATATTCCCTCTGTATGTTCAGACGTTGGTCCAGTTCAGTAGGAGCCTGGTCCAGCTCAATGCAAACAGCGACTTAACAAATACAACTACATTAAAATCAGAAATTTGAACTATATTCATTTCAAATCATATCAACAATCTCTATATAACAACACTCCTCACCTTCCTAATCACTCTTCTTATCAACAACCTCATCCTTTGTCAAATCGTCGTAAGATCTTTGCAAACCTTGGATCTGCTTCTTGAAAGTTGCAATGTCAAGATCCTTTGCAGCAATCAATTTCTTTAATTTTTCGGCCTCTGAAGTGTCTACGCTACTTAAAGCCTCCCTTTCCGAAGATGAAAGCTTCCTATATTCAGCCTCTTTAGCTACTAGCTTACGTATAATTGGTAAAACAGTCGCGATGGCAATTTCTAAGTACAACACAGCACCAGTGATATACAAATTCCTTTGAGAATAGAACTTAGAAGCCAATTGTTCACTGGTGAGTGGAGGACGGCCATAACCAGCAGCAGCAGCAGCTACACCCTCCTTGCCACTGGTGGTATAGTAAGGATTGGAGACGTAGTCGTACTTCTTCAATCTCTGCAAACAGTCCACAAACTGCATAAGCAATAGAATTGTGGTGAATGCAGTTCCAATCTTGAAGTTTTTCAGATTCTTCAATATATTGGCAAGCTCAACAAATCTCTGCCTAAGCATAAGAGGAAGAGGTAAAACTAAGCCGAAAAGGACTACCATCTCGAGAATTAAGGTGCCGAACACCAAGGTCATTTGAATAGACATAGTGAAAAATTCTAAAAAAAATGCTTTTCAACGGTTTTTGCGACTAAACTGATCTATTAATATAAAATCAGTCGAATTGATATACTTATCTACAAGCTACTTCTCAATATGCTTATATAACACATCGGAAAGGAAAGAGAAGAGGGAAGGCAAAGGCTATGTACATTCTACAAACCGACAGCAAGGAAGGTATGGAATTTTCCTGCAGGAGTAATGTAATACTTGCATCTTCATGCAGGAAGTACCATGCAGAAGAAGTTGCAAAATTCGATGTGTGGGTACTTGGTATGTGAGTGCTCTTAAATCGTATAAGTATCCACCTTTACATATATTGTGAGCTAGTCATAAGTGCTCGAGAATAAAGGGGAAAAGACAATTATCAAGCAACATGAGTAGAAGAGTGATTAGCTCTGCTTTCAAGATCGTGTGTGTAAATGTACACTTGTCCCTTGCACAAGACCACTTCATTTGTATGCAGTGTACTGTGCTTCTCTTACTTGCCTAGTCACTTAGTTACTTGACTACTTAGCTTGCTCTACAGCTTCAAACATATGCATATAATATACATTTCATTATAATGGCAAATATACATATATAGTATATAATAATACAGGCAAACTTAGTCGCGTTCGACAAACAGTGATTGGAGTAGTGGCTGGTGACTTTCTATATCTCCCCATCTCCACCCCTTTGGCTTCACTTTTCTCTGTCAAAATAAAGACAATTGGCAATATGGAAACAATAAATTTTGAATCATCAAAATAATAATAATAAAAAGATTTTCAATATAAAAATATTTTTATATGTGCATGGTTGAGTTATTAAATAAGTAGGCGATCATGCATCTCTATAAATTAGCAGTATCTCTTCAGCTTGTCCTCTTCCTCCTCTTCTTCTAAAAAATCAGCCTTCTTGCACTGAAGCTTCCTTTCATAAAACTTTACGTTTTGGTTCATTTTTCAAATCTGTCATCTTTTTTCAATTTTTATTTTATCTGTTTTTTTTTTTGGGCTTTCTTGTGTAAATAATTTTATGTTTTGAGGCTTTCAATTTAAGTCAGTCCTACCATTCTCATTCTCTTTCTAATCTTTATCTTTCTTGAGTTCACTGCCAGTTGACGTCACAGAAGTGTTTGTATCGTTGGAATCTCCTGTACCATTAACGCTGGCAGATGAATCATGACCTGCACCAGGGTGATGTGCTCCTCTAGAATCTTGAGACTGAGAATGATGTGGTAACTGTGGTTGCTGTTGTTGAAGAACTGGTTGTCCCCCTACATAACCGTATGCAGCTTGGTACATTGGTTGAGAGTTATACTGTGAGTAGTATCCACCGTTAGGGTTGTATGGATAGTACTGGTTAGGGTAAGTTGGTTGTTGGTATCCATATACCTGTTGTTGCAGAGCTCCGCCTTGTGATTGAGGGACTTGCTGCTGAGCTTGTTGCGGTTGAGCTTGTTGCTGTTGCAATTGCTGAACAGGTTGCAGCTGCAGAGCAGAAGAGCCTGCCGAATAATGTTGAGCACTTTCAGAATTTGAAGATCCTGCAGTCGCAACTGCAGAAACGAGTGGTGATTGTTGCTGGGCACCATTGATTGGCTGTCCGTAAGAAGGTTGACCACCATAAGGATAGTAGCCTCCTAAATTCATTTGTGAATTAGGTGCACCATTAGTGGAAGCTGCTGATGCTGCATTACCACTGCCTACAGCACCTGAGCTTGCAGGCTGTAATTGTTGACCTGAAGATCCACCTGGAGGAGCTTGAACTTGTGCTTGAGCAGGATTCAGTGGTTGTGCACTGGAGGCCACAGAAGCCAGGTTAGGAGTTACTCCAGTTTGGATTACTCTCTTGATATCTCTCACAAACAAAGGATATAACAAATCGACTATTCCCTCTCTCTGGGCCATGGCTAATGCTCTTTCAAAAGGAATCCATACACCCTTGAGATGCATAGATCCAATCTTGACTACATGTCTCACCTTTTCAGACTTTAAAATTCCATCTCTTCTACCTCTGGTCATTTGGGCAACATTGAGTAACTTGGTTCCATTTATCATGTTATTGTCGGCTCTTCTGACCACAGAGACGTTATTGGCGTCTACTTGGTAACAAAGAGTCTTTTCGTCTTCCCACATGGTGGTCGTAACTCTAGGGCGAATACCTGGTGGTTGGTACTGACCAACGGACGAAGTATTGGAGGCAGAAAGAGTGTCATTAGGGACCGGGGTACCATTAGAGCTGACACCAACTGCAGCATCAGTACTTGAAGCACCAGCAGCTGGGTTGGATCCATAACTAGCTCCAGTTCCGGCAGCGGTTCTATTACCGTATGATGGAGCTGCTTGAACTTGAGATTGATGGGCCAGAGCCTGCTGAGCTTGACCTTGACCTTGTGGCTGTTGCGGTTGCTGGTACATGGACGAGTAGGTTGGTACGTAAGCGGAAGCATATTTTTGGTATGCGTATCCTTGGTCAGCAGCGGAGTTAGCTCCACTCAGACCACCAACTGCAGAAGAGGCTGGGAATCCACCACTGGCTGATTGACTTCCTTGACCGACCTGTGATTGAACACCTTGCCCTTGAACTGCCTGAGGTTGACCTTGCTGGTTACCCTGTGGTTGACCCTGGTTATATTGCATATAGTATGATGGATATGACTGGGCTTGGGGTTGAGAGGCCTGAGCTTGTTGCTGTTGAACTTGGGCCTGTTGCTGTTGTTGTTGTTGGCCATTCAATAATTGCTGATACTGATACTGATCTTGATTATTATAGAAGGGTTGCTGAACTCCACCGGTTGCAGCTCCACCGGAAGCGGTGCCGGCAGCAGAACCAGCTCCTCCCTGTTGACCAATGGCTCCTGTGGAACTTCTTTGCACTCCGGCACCATATGCAGCCTGTTGCTGGTACCCTGATGCGGCACGGTAGTCAGATGAAGGGTTTATCATGTCTATGTTGTAATTATCCTCTTGGAACTAATCAAAAAGAAGAAAACCACTGACGAAAATGGCGGGAAATTATGGCGAGAAATGGTCGTAAACAAGTTTTGGGAATTCTCGTTTTTTTTGCTTCAAAAACCTAACCTTTTTTTCGATCTCCTTTTTCTCTCAACGGAAGTACTATTTAATAATAGAATATACTAACACACAGAGAAATTCTTACCAATTTGTTACTACTAGCAAGAAGAAAATAATGGATGTTTCAGTCAATTTATTTTTTCTTCCAAACTTGATGTTCGTCTTAATTCTTGTTTGTTTGAAACAAAAAAACAAAAAAAACAAAAAAAAAAAATCATGCATGAGTAAGAAAAAATAAAAAAAAAAGGTTTACCGTGTGTACAGCTCAATTCAAAAAATAAAAGTCTATGTATGCAACTGCAGAGTGACTGCATAGTCAAAAATAAAAAAGACATTGGTAGGCGGAGAAAGAGCAAGCCAATAATTGAGATCGACGCTTTCGGTGAGAATACGAAGCTAGATTTGAAATAGTGTTAAAGAAACTCTGTAAAAAAGAGCTGAAGATAATCGGAAAGAGTGGTACGGCGATTTGAGGGTGGGTCACTTTCCCTGCTATGTACATTTTGCCACAGCAATGAAATATTAGAAGAAAGTATAACCGAGTAAAGCGGTGTTTTTTTTTAAATTTTATTTTTATCTTTTGTTCAATTTATTATTTCTCAATATTAATGCTGAGAAACGGTTTGAAATAAAATACAAACCAAAAAAAAAAAAAAAAAATTCAAAAATTAAGAAAAAATAAGGAAGATCTGACATGGTGAGAACAATAAAGGGATGATAAGTAATAAAAGTAAGTTGAAAAAAAATAGAAGGTATCAGCCAACCTCTCTTTTATCGTAATCGGGATATTTGTGGATTTGAATAATAATAAGCAATACAGATATCTCTCGATATAAGCATATTTTACCATGTTGTTAACTGATGGTCCTAGCTCACTTTTCTGTACAGACAAAAAAGTTTTATTTTTTATTGATTGCCATTATGCTTTATGAATGCATATGTAAGATTTTCTTTTAATACTTACATTCGTGCTTACAGATAGATACATTTTTTTTTCGTTTAAATATTCTTTTATCTCAAAGGAAGCGTTTGGTCTTGTGCACATAGAAGTGCTTGACTACACCCTACAATACAACATCACCTGAGCCTAAGATTCATGGCATTAATTGTCTGGGTCTGTCGTCAAAGTTTTTCTTTATTACCTTATTATTAAACTGAACAAATATCATCTGCTTGCACAAGATGTTGGTGAATGCACGACTCTCACTCTTCGCGTTACGGGTTTTTCGTTCACTTACAGTAGGCGGTTGCGGGAAAGCTCCAGATCGTGCATTAGCGTCGTGCAGTTACCGCTGAGTATATAATTGTGCACCGAGGTGTTAATGCAAAAGCTTGCATAAGTTATCTACATGGCCAATTATCTGCGCGGCGCAAGGGGGGTTTGTCAACGATACTCAAAATACATGCATACATCAAAAGAAAATAAGAAAAGAAGCTCACTGTACTATACATGCTGTCATAGTAAATCTGATATATACATGATTAAACATGAAGGTCCGCTTCCATTGATTAAATAGTATATCAATGCAAATGCTTGAATATTTAATTTATTCTAAGAGACGACATATTTAATATTTAATAATAACCAATGGCATCTAATGTTCACCCTCAGTGAGAATCCCATCCCTTTCGTACTTCACGCTTTGCTTTTCTTTTTTTTTTTTTTTCTTATTTTTATTTTTTTTTATTACCCAAATTTAATCTTAACATCATTCAATTTATTTGCTGTGACTGCTTGCTATTTCTTTTCTTTTTTGCCAATTACGACATGACTTCTGCTTATATCCCAATTGAATAATTGATATCGCTTTTGTATGTCACTATTAGGCAGATCAAATGTTGCAAAAATTCCTACTCTTCTTACAGTAACACACTTGCTTTAAAATTATGCATCGGAAACCACATAACTTTTGTTACTTTGGAAGTGCAATATGTGGACAGTGTGCATAGATTCCACGAAATACATGCAAGCTCGACCAGACGCCGCACTTTCAGGAATGTACCAATTAGCCTTATCCTTCAAGCTGCATACAAAAATTTCAATTTCAAAGAAAGTAATGCAAAAGTAGTATTTTGCACAGGCACTAGCATGATTTTTTAGGTAAAGATTGAGGCAATCCCCATCAGGAAACCATTGAATGTACTGTTGGAAGCTTCGTTCAAACGTTTGGAAAGTAAAACTTGTTGCATTTTTTGTACAAAAGTGTCATTAGGATGTTCACGACGACTTCTTGATGCGGAAATTCAGTGTCGATTTTTAAAACATATCTCTGTTATCTTACCTAGGATTTAATCGAATTAGGAATGAACTTCTACTTTCAGGATTGTAAATAACTGAGATAGAAATTAACTTTCGTCTCTTCCAGGAAGCACATGTAAATTCAGGAATTAAGGCAATGATCTGCTAAGTTCAATTAAGTTGAATAAGAAGAATGCTTCTTGAACACAATATGTTGTGAACAGACGCAAGTTTAGGGTCAGAATATCATCGAAGAATTTCCTTTTGTAAACAACATGGAGGCTAGTGACGTATGCGAAGTGTTGTTAACCCTATATGCATATTTAGGATACTTGGTATCGCATATGGCTCATTAAAAACTGCTTGTTAAGGTATACCCTGCCTTACATTTGCTGAATTTAAGGTTTAGATGTGAGGATATTGGGAAATCTTTATCACGTGTGCGGCTCACCTTGTTATTATTTTTTTTGTTGATAAGCTTTAGAATGAAAAACGCCGTGAGATATCGATTGCGAAATTTATGATAATAGTCCCCTATTTTAAAAATGGGTTTGTTTTATTGATTGATGAACACGTAATTGAAAGTATGGAGGAATTGAGTGGCAGTCGAAAATGAAATGGAAAAATCCTTTTTAGTTCAAGCAACATCAAGAAATCCCAATGTAATGCGAGGTTATGTTTAGCGAGAGACAATCTTTTGGTTAGTTTTACAATACATCTTCGGTACATCATGTCAAGACGCATACACTCCGTTAGATCTAGCATGCAATTTTGGCAATTGGGCGACTTTTTCTGTTTGCCTACGCAATTTTAAGTGGAGTGCGAAAAATAATTTTTAAAACAAAGAGCCGCTTGATCGAGTGCGCTGTATGCAAAGACATCAGAAGCACAAAATTAAAAATAAAAAATAATGCACACAAGAAACTACATGTAGTTTAAAAAGTAAAAACTGTGATTCATTATATGCATGACGCGAAGGACGAAGGACAAAAAAGAAAGCAAGTACGGTACCTACATGAGCATGCTGAACATACTTCGTTCGCTTTTAAATTTTGAAGCAGTTGTGCAGCCAACATGTAGGATAGATCTCCTAAGCTAGCGTCTTGGATCTTCTTGGTTTTATATGGGGTATTACGTCGATGCTTCTTCTCGAATGAAGTTTTCGGTAAAAGGTGTGCATGTTTTTGTGTTTATCTCGCACGCAAGGTATTTCAAGAAGTTTGTTTGTTTACCCTATTCTGCATTTTTTTGTTATTCAGGAATTTGTACACTACTCCCTAATCTAGGAAAGTAGAAGCGTATTATGAGGAATTGAACCACCTTTATTCTATATTTACATTCTCTTCGTAGTACTAGACCTAAGCTACTGCTCGAAGTATTCCGTAAATTCGATTACTTCAAAAATCTTATTTGTTTTAATCGTAGAATGTTCTAAAATTTAGCACTCTAAATTAACTTTTCTTTACATTGATACTTCTAGATCAAAAAGAAAATGCGTAATGTAAGAGCAGTTCCACAATGTGCATTGCATCGAATGATTTTTCGAAACAGAACTTTACCCCAGATCCTTTCAAAAGTCTAGAACAAGGTCTGAAGAGAATTTCATTTCATGACAGAAGTTGCTACTCCTTTGCCATGTGCCATGAAAGCGCTGCTGGATTTATAATTTTATTCTCTTACATGCTGTAGATGATGTGAAGTCTATCACTCTGCATCTTCATGCTCAAGTACACCCATTAATGCTAGCGCACATTGTCTTGAAGTACTCAAAAAATATTCATCAACATGAAAAAAATAAGCACAGGAAATTCTATATGAATAAATAATTTAACCTCTATATAACTCTTTAATTACGTTTCCATTTATGACAGTTTCCTCCACTATTCCTTGAACTTTGTCGGGGAATACTCTTCCATACCATACTGTTGATTCGAATGCCGAATTTCCAAAGTATAGTACGTTTCCGGCATAAGCATGCCCTCCAATGTGGCTGATATACCCTACGTCAACGCTCTCAACTTCTTTAGCCTCAAGCACTTTGACAAATTCTTCCTTTAAAATTGGAGCCAATACTCCACATCTTATATCTCTCTTTGAATGACCGCATATCAATACCAATTCTCTACAGAAATCCTCTTCATGAAATTTTCCCACTACTTCTTCGTCTGCTCCAACAAGAGGTTCAGTTATGGTAGGTGCCATTCGTCTGAATGGATTGTATGGTAATTTAATTGGTTCACCTTTTGGTCTTAAGTAAGTTTTGAAAAACTCTTCAGTTTTTTGCTTATCAAACCTAATTAACTTATTATCTGGATATAGTAAAACCGTATGCATGCCATCAGGCTCATTATTTGCAAATTTTTGATAATGTGGTACTGTACCCATATCAATATTAGAAATTGCCACAGGATGATTGGGCGAGCCTAGGGACCGTTTTAGGTGTGTCAATTCTGTTGATAAAGCTCCCGGTTGGAGTTCAATTTTACTTGGCCATTGATCATGCGTCAAACCTGAAGATAGTATCAACAAATGTTTCCAGTTATCTGCTCTGGTACCTGCCAAGTCTCTATCAAAGTCGATTTGCTTGTCCTTTGGAAATGAAGGAATACCACAAAAGGTACAGCCTGTATCAAACGTAGGGGGTGGGCATTTTTCAACCAATTGCTTCTGGAAGAATCCTCTACTACTCAGGAAGAGCCGTCTACCTAACATCGCATATATAATAAGTTGTTCACTAAAATAACTCTTGATGGGTTTGGAATTAAAGTAATAGATATAAAAGAATTTTTTCTCATAATTGAATGCGCGGATCGACCTCGATCCGATACTCGACTTGATCCGACTATGTACTTTCCTTTTCCAGATACTAAATTCTCTAAGAGACTGCACATGATATTTTCATAACCGAAGGAAGGTAGGTAGTTAGAGGTCAAATTGGTTACTCTATATAGTGCTCTCTGATTGGAGACTCTTCATCTTACATAGAAGCAACTTGGCTACTAAGCGGAACATCAAGCCTTAAAAATAAAATATACATGATGTGTTGCCTACATGATGGACAGAATAAATCTTCTTCCATGCTGCGCAGAAGGAAAGCACGGTGGGAAACCTTATTCGAAGATTCGCATTTTAACGTTTAATCTACATACATATGCATTGCATTACGATGGTACATGAAAGTTTGTTCAGATAATTAAGGCTGGGAAAAAATGATTTTTTTTATCTGCGACATTCAAGTCAAGAATCGTAAACTGGTAAAAAATAAAAGTGTACATCAACTATTTGCATCATTTGAAGTATCTTTTTTGAAATCTTCCTTTAATATCCAACCTTTTCTACCTGCATCCCAATTTGCGACCTCACGTAACATAGATCTAACCACTATCATATCCTTTTGCTCATTCATTTGCAACTTCAATTCATTCATAAGTTCCCTAGATGTACTGAAATTATCCACTTTCGAGTTCAAGTACTGTGTTATATTTTTTAATGTGGCTGTCTTATCATCAATAATACTTGAAGACAATGGCAAAGAGGAAGATGAAGTAGCTTTTGAGAAAGAAAATTTATCAATACCTTTCTTTTGTCTCAACTCATTTAAAATATCAGAAGACGAGAGTGGGGATGACGCACGAGAATCTCTACCAGCTATTGTTCGAACGGGTGGTACCTTCGGTTTCACTATTTTAGAAGCGGTATTTCGGTTGTTACCAAACTTACCTGCTAAACCAAATTTCCCAGTCCAAGTGGGTATTCCAATTTTATTCTTACGAGCCAATTTTCTTGATTCTTTCAATACCTCCGCGGCCTGAGCAGCTACCTTATTTGCTTCTCTTTCAACAATAGACAATTCATGCTTGGACGAGTCCATGATTTCATCGTGCATCAACGCACTATGAACCCCAGAATTAGAAAACAAGCCTTCCATAATTCTACTGTCATCATTACCGTGACCTTTTCCATCTTCTTCATCTTCCTCATCATCTCCGCCTTCAAATTTGTCTAATTTAGAGACCCCATTCAATCCAGCGACTTGATAAAAATCGTCATCGTTCTTATGCTTTGGTTTAATTAGTTTACCAGACTTACGTTCAAGGCTTCCACTGAAATTTTGTTCAGAGCCATCAAATAAATCACCAGTCTCCGTCCCAATTTCGTCGGGGTCACCCAAAGAGAATAGATCATGCAAATCGTTCATTTTGAAAAACCTTCTTTGCTTCGGGTCCTTTAAAATTTTATTTGTCAAGAACGTCTTGAATATTTGTCGATGATAAATCTTTTCTTCTATGGAGCCCGCTGTCATTAATCTGTAAATCGTAATGTCTTTCTTTTGTCCTAACCTCCATGCTCTTTCTCTGGCCTGAATATCAGTAGATGGATTCCAATCAGGGTCAAAAATTATCACTCTATCAGCACCAGTTAAATTGACTCCCAACCCTCCAACTTTGGTTGTTAAAAGGAAAACATGAAAGCTTATATCTTCATTAAATGTGTCCACCAAATTCTGTCTATTAGTGATAGGGGTAGAGCCGTCCATTCTCAAGTAATTTAATTGTAGGTCTATCACAAATCTTTGTAAAATGTCCAACATTTGCTTCGTTTGACAAAACAATAATGTTCTATGTCCTTGATCTTTCCATAATTCCAACAAATTCTTAAGTACTAACATCTTCCCTGATTTAACAGGGTTACCATAATCATAACCCTTTTTCCTTGTAAGTAATTCTCGATCCACTAAATCTGGATGATTACAAATTTTTCTCAATATATCTACCCCCATTAACATATTTCTTTTACCCTTCAATATAGCACTCAAATCTTCACTATGGATGAATTTTTCATACATTTCTTGTTGAACTTGAGTCAACTTTACAAATAAAACCATTTCTGATTTTTTAGGCAAATCTTGAGCTACATCGCTTTTCAATCTTCTCAATAAATAAGGAGATATTAAATCTCGAAGAACTACCGCACACTTATATCCGGTTTGAACTTGGACATTTGATGCATTTGCATAACCTCCCATATTAATTGGTATGGCGAATTGTTGTTGGAATACCGGCAAAGTACCCAATCTCCCAGGGAACACGAAATCAAATAATGACCATAATTCTATTAAATTGTTTTGAATAGGAGTACCAGAAAGGATTATTCTATTATGAGTCTTTAATTGTTTACAGGTCAATGAAATATCCAGATCTGGGTTTCTTATTTTATGACCTTCATCTAACACCACGTACCCCCACAGCCTAGGAAGCAATTGCCTGGAATATATCCTAAGTCCAACATATGTTGTTATGATAACATGACCTGAAGTGAACACTCTATCTATAAGTTCTACTGCTCTTTTATTCGTCGATCCAATTCCACCAAATTTCTTTTTACCTTCCAGAGGACTAAGCTTTTCCAAATATTCCTCCAATTGTTCTTCTGAGCTCTTCTGCACCTTTCCGGACATCCCTGAACCAATGCTATGAAGAATTATACAACGTAATGGTGGCCACCATCTATGAAATTCATTTACCCACTGATTCAAGACAGTGGCGGGTACAACTACTAGTACTGGCTTATCTAATAATCCAGAATAGTGCAAACCTGCTATAAATGATATCACCTGTACTGTTTTCCCTAACCCCATTTCGTCTCCAATTATGCCTCCATTTCTCTGAGAATATAGTTCCCAAAGCCATTGAACGCAAGTCTTTTGATAGTCGAATAAGGATGGATAGATGTCACCAGGAAGTCTGAATTGGTCATTCAACTTCGCATCGGAAATTGTTGGATGCGGTTTGAACCATTCAGCTTCAGAAGATTCGTTTTCTTTTCGGTCTTTAGATCTCGACTTTACCCATCTACTGAGCCTTTTCTGATAAAATTGCTCGTCACCATCGTCAACATTACGCTCAGATCCAACTTCTTCTTCTAGCTCTGAATTTATATCATTTTCATCCATGATATTATCTGTCGCTTCCTCGTCCGTATTGTAGTCTTCTCCGTCATCATTGACCTGGTATTCGTCATCATCCTCCATGTCATCACCCTGGATATCAGCATCAGCATCATCAATATCGCTACTTCTAGAAGCCTCTTCTTCATCCTCTACTTTAACCTCTATCTCAGCTACACTTTTATTAGTATCCCCATCATGTAAATTAGCAAATCCTGGGGCTCTAAGATTTACATGGCTCATGGATCCTCCTGTCTCCTGCTCTCCCATCACTTGAAAGACATTTTCATTTCCAAATGCAGTGATCTTCCCTATCCTTATCAAGTAATCTCTCTCTGTCTCATCAGGTAGCTTTCCGTCTACTACGTTATTTTTTACATTCTTTATGCCTTCTTTTGCTTGGGCTTTACTTTCGTTTAGCCTCTCGCTAATCTCATCGACATCTCTCTTTATTGGATCCAACTCATTTTCCTCCATCCACTTGATTTGTTCTCGAAGTTCTTTCTTCTGCAGAAGTTTAGTCCTCAGATCATCGAGCCTTCTCTGTAAAACTCTAATCTTGCTTCGAATCTTAGCAAGTTCTTTATTTGACTTCTCAAGTCTCTTCTCATCTAATTCTACATCTTTGCTGATTAACGCCTGATTTGCCTGCCTAGTGATCTTCTGTTCCAAATGATCCTGGTCTACAAGCTTCACTCCAAGGGCTTCCAAATCACTCATACTACAAATTATATACTATTCTAATATCTGACAATATACGTAAATGTACATATGTACAAATATATGCTGATTAAAAGAAGAGAAAGAGTGAAGAGCTTGGTATCAATTTGAGTACGAATTTTCTATATCAAAAATTTCGGCCGAAACTTTTCAGCCGCATACGATCTTAGAGAAAGTGTTGCAGATCCATCACATACTTAGAAGCATCAAGGTGCTGTGTCATTAGATGAGGAAAAATAAGGAGATGGACTTCCTGTCACAAGAAAAAAGATAGAGTGTCGCTTACTTGCCTAAGAAGGCTTCCATTATAATTAAAATAGTTGTTAAATAGTTCTTAATGTACAAGCATAAGAACCGGCTGCAGATGCAGCATCTTTAGACAAACCGGTAACTGCTCATACAAGGCCCATGAATTCTTTACTCTATAATATTGTATATATCTATGTTAGTTTTATTGAAGCGTTTAGTTCTTTTCAAAAACTTGCTTTTGCAATTCCTTCAAACACTCCTCATACACAGATTCATCAACTTTACTGACCAATTCCTTAACATCGAGTTCCACATCTTGTATCGATTTCCCTTCTCCTCTACCAACTTCCTCCATTAACTTTTTGAACCACTTACCTTCACCTTTACCGAATGAAAGTGTGTAAGCATCACCAGGTAATCCTGCTCTTGCAGTTCTACCCACTCTATGCACGTATTCACGGGATGAGTTAGGCAAGTCATAATTTATAACAGTTTTGATGGACGTCAAATCAATACCTCTCGCCAATAAATCGGTGGCAACTATGAATTGGATCTCACCCTTTTGAAATTGATTTAAAAGTTTAGTTCTAGTTCCAGTAGTATTATTAGTTGAGTTTAAGTATGCTACTTGTGATTTTAACCCAAATTTATGCATTAATAAGCCCAATATTTTGGCTAGTCTCAAACTTGATTCGTTAGATTTAGTAAAAATCAAACAGTCAGACAATTTCTTGGATTGTATAAGATATTTGACAAGTATTACTGGTTTCAACGACAGTTTAGAAGTACCCAATTGAATCTTATATTCAGATAATGAAGATGGAACAGTGAACGCTTGACTATGTGCCAAACTCTCTGAATCGTTCACAATAAGTAATCTTGGTTTAACCAAATTTAAAAGGGATAACTTTCCTGAGTCGGTGGTTAATGTAGCAGAAAATATGAATTTCTGAACTTTTACCTGGAAACTGGAAGATATATCTGCCGCTGCATCATTTAACTCTGTCAATTTAGAATTTAAGATTTGAGCCCAGTTTTGGAAACTTTGATTCAATAAACGATCTGCTTCATCAATTACCAAGTATTTTAATGCAGTTAAATTAATGGACCCATTTTGTAAATGATCCACTAATCTACCTGGTGTGGAAACTATTATATCTGGTTCATTGTTCATTAATTTACGAGCTTCATCAGCAATGCTAATGTCATTTTTTAAACTTACGACAGTTAAATTGGTACCTCTGCTTAGCTGGATAAAAGTTTGTTTTACTTGAGATATCAAGGGCTTAGTGGGAACCAAGATAATGGCTCTTACTCGAGGAACAATTCTAGAATGTAACAGTTCTACAATTGGAATCAGGTAGGCTAAAGTCTTACCAGAACCTGTAGATGCATTTGCCAAAATGTCCCCATGGAAATCTGGACTCACCAATGATTGCCTGATCTCAGGCATAACTAAGGATAACATTGAGCATTGGACAGAAAATGCCTTCTCATATCCGAGTTTAGAAAGGTTTGTTAGCATAAATGGTGACAACTGAAACGAATCAAATGGCTGCACGAGGTCAGCTTTGGCATACACCGGAGTTGCAAGCCAGTCCAAGTTCTTGCTGTGGAGTGTATTGGATTTAAGTCGCTTATCACGAGGAAGAATTGGCTGCGGTATAGGAGCCAAGTCTTGCATCTCTTCATCAGAGCTCGACAGTTCGTTTTCATCTTCGCTATTATTATTGGTCTCCTTTGTAATTGCCTTATTTAATTTTTTGAAAATAGCACTATGCTTAGAGGTGTATGTTGGATCATTTTCGATAGGCTCGTTATCAATTTCCATAAGATCTTCATTATCGACTACAATTTTACTGTCGTTTTCACTTTCATCAACACTTCCATGCCTATGCTCGCTTGCTTCGTTTTCATCACTTTGCTCATTGGCTTTATCTTGCTCTTCATCACTATCACTATCAGTATCATTTCTACTATCATTGCTACTATCATTGCTATTATCACTTCCACTATTACTGTCGCTACTGTTATCACTACCACTATCACTATCACTGTTGTTATCACTATCACTATCGCTATCACTATCACTATCACTCTCGCTCTCACTTTCACTCTTCTCACTCTCACTCTCGACTTCTCGACTCCTTTTCAACACATTTCTTCGAATTAACGGCACCTTTCCCAGAGGAGAACTCACTGCTCCGGGATCAAATCTCTGAGCAAACATTTTCAACTTTACAACCTATAAATAACCTGAATCTACCTAGGTACTTTTTTTTGTACATGCATCTCATCTCTATGCTAAAGTGCTTTCATACAGGACCTGCAGATAAGTTTATACTGGGTAGCGTACTCTTGTTACACAAAGCCACTCACATAGTCAATATGGAAATTTTTCAATGTTTCAATTTTTTGATTCACTTTGGAGAGAGTTCGTTTAGAAGCCGTTACTCTGAACACGTTAGACCTAATGAGACCTTGTATAAATCTTCTCCGTAGGTCAGCTTGGAAAGGTCCTCATGTTGTACCATTACCAATAGCCCATGCACAGAAAACTGGAACTCCAGTCAGAACTAATGCTAGGGCTTGTACCATTCTCCCTCAATTTGTAGGACTTAAATTTGAAATTCATAACGGAAAGGAATACGTAGAGGTTGAAATTACCGACGAAATGGTAGGATCAAAGTTAGGAGAGTTTGCAGCTACTAGAAAGAGATTCAACTATAAATTCTCGAAGAATTAAAACTGTTAAATTAGGTCCAGCACTCGACACATCGAAACTCTCGCTCCCCAGAATTTTTCTGAAATATCAATGTATATAGTAACACCCACACACCCACCCAAATAGAAATTAATACACCACGAATACAAATTATTAGTGAAGAGGAACATTTCGTAGTATATATTCATCTGTGTGACTTTCGATAAGGCTGTAAATGTGATTTGTATTTTATCTATCTAGTTTTTTATTGTCTCTGATCTAAATTTTTGGCTAATTGGGCAAATGTTTGTAAACGAAGAGAATGGGGCAAGTTAGGCCCAGAGAAGGACAGACTCTTTGATTGACTACCCAGTTGTGGCTAGACAAGAACTTTGCATTAATTGGAGCGAATAGCCAATCTTATGTTCTCTCACCTCTAGGACTAAAGTCGTTCAATCTTTCTTGCCTCAACTCTCCTGTCCTGTCTAATATTGGCCAGTGTCCCCATCCGTTCAACCTTATAACCAAGCATGTTGAATTGTCATCTCCACCAACATACTCTACAAATTTGATGACCTCTTCAGCACAAAATTGTGGAGTGGCACGCTTTTGGCTCTTCATGTTGACATTGACCATGATAATATCTGCCACCTCTTGGTCTGTCAATATATCAGTTACCCCATCAGTAATCAAAATGAGCATACATTCATCACCTCCGAGCCCGCCGACGGTGTACTGCAGAATCTCTTCCTTTGTCAATTTTTTTTTGATTACTTCAGAGTCTCCAATAATGTACAGAGAAATCTCAGGTTCTGCGGTGACACCCATCTGTTTAAAGTTCAAATCTCCGAAAGCTCGAGTATTGGCTAACGATATAAACCTTTCTTCTCCAAAGGAATCGGTCATAAAGAAATTCGCAGCATATTTTCGTAACCTACTTGCCTCATTTGGGTTAGAAGGATGGTGAGCTTCCGTCAAGGCATGTGCTTCGCCATTTTTATCTACAAGGATAGCCTTCGTGTCACCTATATGAGCAACGGTTAGTTTCAGAATGGATTTACGATTGAAGTAGTAATTGTCATACACTTGCTCACCTTCAGTCTCATTGGGATATATTGTCTCAATGAATGTTGAAGTACAAGTGGAGCCAGATTTATTATCGTCGGATTCGAAGAATTCGTAGTCGGCCTCAAGGAAGCCCAACGGAAGTCTAGCGCCCAAATCGTCGTGAAATTTGGGGAAATTTTCCAATCTTAACTGCAGATCAGAAGCAAACATAACAGAAAAGTTATCTTTACGGTGCTTGTACCATCGCTTCCAGTATCCACCGATATTCTTCCAGTACTTCTTAATAAGCTCGGTACGAATTTTATCTGATGGTTCTACAAGGCCTGTTGACTCTTCAATAATTTTAGTTAGGTTCAGAGCAAGAAATTTCGAGCATTGCTCACCTCCATGCCCATCAAAGATGTTGAAAGAAAACACAGTGTGTGGAGCTGTAGCGCTATTACCATAACCAGCAATAGTACCATCGTTACCTTCAACAGCATCGGAAACAGCGGAAGTGGGCGTCGATCCAGCAGTACCAGCTTCTTCTGCCTCCTTTACACCCTCTTTACCCACTTGTACTTCTTCTATTTCCTCTTTCACTTGCTTTTCCTCTACCTCTTCAATGCGGGGAATCGTTAGAACACTCGCGCTGTATTTATCCTCATTGTATAGTCGGTTTACTCTCGACGAGAAGTGACCGAAATGGGTCGGACTCTTCAACAACGGGACCCGAAATGTTCCTAGCTTGTGTGGTCTCCCTTTGGACGTCACCAGAGGACGCTCAATAGCAGTAAATGTTATAGAGCTCGAAACATATCTGTGGCCCATGGGTCGCCTCAATCCCATCGGAGATTTCAGCTCCATCAGAAGATTCATCGAGTCAATTTGCCCATTAAACCTTATTCGTTTACCTACACCACCTCTCGCAGCTATTCCAGATATGTACATACTTCAGTCTACAATATGAACATGGAATTGTGAGAATTTATATGCTTCTCACTGCTCCCTACTGCCTTTTCTTATCTTATCTACCGCTAGCTTCTTTTTGTTTTCGACTTTTGGATTTTCGCTTCTCTCGTGCATTTTCCCGAGCCCCACATGTCAAAAGGTTGTTCTGTGCTTGATTGGACAGAGAACGTGGGTTTGGGCAAAAAAGGAGGGTTAAGGAGGAGTAGAGGATGGGGTGGGTTGATGTTGGATCAATGAACTCTATACTGGACAAAAAACACTTAAGGAAGTCTATTCTTCGGTGCTTGTTGGACAGTTAGTTAGTGTGTTCCATTGGTGCATAAGCTATACACAGGAAGTGATGGGGTGCTTTTTAATTTGCACCCAATGCAAGGCTCCAAAGCTTGCTTTCTCGCAAACGGCTCGAAGGGTCCTCAATTATATACTCCGTCAAGAAGCAAGTGATACCACTGGCCTACTACATCCCTTGAGCCCTTGAGATACTGCTATCTTCTTTCTCTCCCTCATTATTTCATCACTGCACGATCTCAGTATATTTATATATTATACCATGCTATGCTACATTTTACTCTACTATATAACCAAGTTGTCATTGTCATAGTCAAAATTCTCTATCAGCTCGGGATCGTCTCTATAGCTTCTGAAATTGTTGCCACCAAATCTTGAAGCTACTGTATCTCTGACCCCCGAGACTACTCCTCCAATTGTACCCCACACTGCTCCCATTCTAAAGAAATCTTGATTGGGTGCAGCGGGCACTGACAGGAGAGGCTCTCTAACAGACTCTTCACTATCCCTATACTCCAACCTGTTAGCCAACAGCTGGTTGAAGGTTTGCAAATTATTTTCGTAGTTCGTGTCAGCGACTGAGTTCAAGTTGAACTGGCGTAACCGGTTCTGTTCCGAATTGGCATTAACAGCTCTTTTCAATTGCTCACTTTTAGTGATCCGAATGCCTTCAGCGATTAGTCTTTCATTACTGCTAGCTCCACCATTAACACCATATTCCTCATCGTCTTCATCTTCGTCAAAAATCCAGCCACTGTCGTTCATGCCTAATAGTTTCTTAACTTTGTCATACACATTAAATACAGTTAATACAATTGGAATCAATATCAATCTAGGCAACCAATTGTTCATCAAGTTAAAGATCCCTGCCCTATCTAGACCTAACAGAGCCCCAAACCACAGCTCAAAGATCGAATTACGGCTGATAAAAAGAGTAATGAAATTGTAACTTAATGGAATTGTCAATCTTGCGATATATGTTGCATAAAAGCAAGCGGATACTGGGTCCGATTTGTGAGGAACCAAATGGTACATATTGAATATCTTTAATCTGGTCAATGAGTTCAAACTTGCGAAAAGCATATAGGAAAAAATTACCGTAGTGCTGAAAAGTTGTAGTGTTGGCGAAAGTTGAATTCCCGTATGGAAAAGCAACACATTTATCAAGGAAAACCTCGTGGAATGAAGAAATTCAGATTCTATGACAATGAATGAGAATAAATAAAGCAATACTGAAAGGATCCTGTTGAGAATGGGTTTTACTGAAGTGACAAACTGATTTCTCCTGCGACCGTTGGTTCCAATTAAGCCATCATTTGATGCTCCAGGAGCACCAGTTATTTCCACAAGTTGGAATATCTTCTCCATAAGCACGTTCACCTCACTTTCATATGCTGTCATTTTCCACAAATTTTGCCTGTAAGACGAAGTCAATTCAAGAAAGAACTTTTCATTAATTTGATCTCTAGTGATCACATGGCTCAAGCTTGGATCCAGCGACAACTGTCTCTCCATTGTATTTCTGATGTCTATAGGGATACTATTAGACAATTCTAAGATCCAATCCCTCCATCTCAAATCTTCAATAGAACTTGTCAGAGTAAAATTCTTCACCAATACTAGGACCTTCAATACATCTTCCTTAAACAGGATCTTAGTATCTTCCAACAAGTCCTTTTTCACAGGTAATTGCATGTAATAGTGGTTCAAGTTAATCATATTATTCCCCGCAATCCACCGGTTCCTCGGAATACTCACTAATCCATGCGACATGAGCCAAAGTACTATGCATAATGAATAGATATGTGTTGCAGCAATGATCATTAGCTTCACGTGATCAAAGGTGATACCAACTTCTAACAATAAATAAATAAACCCAAAGATACCGACTCCAAGCATGATGGCTTGGTGCTTCAAGTTTCTTCTTAATGCATCTTTCAATTTACTCATAGCATGGAAATGTCCTGAACGGTAAAATTCCTGTAAAATTGGTAACATTAGCCATGTTAATATGAAAGTGGTCCAGTATGCAGTCTTCCACAAGTATAGTATTAGACTATCAGGCAAGCTAAACCAGGACGACAAGGAAGACGAGGTGGTATTGTGAGATACATAATCTAAGGGCAATAGAATCACGATTGAAATAGGAAGGTATACTGCTAATGTCAATGGAACCGACAAGTAAACCGGGTATCCCCTAAAAATATTTATATGGTACTGCACCCCATACACAGTTGTTATTAATATGATGATGTACCCAAGCAACGGAGCAACCCACATTTTCCAGACCAATTGTTCAGTAACTTAAGACAATAGTAAATGCAGAAAGCAGCCGATTGAAGAAACTGATAAAAATGTTACTAATTGAGCTATCCAGTTGGCAAGTAATCTCCAGCGGCAAGTCAAGCTACGCCTATGTTTGTAGATTGATGATCTGTGGGTTCATGGGACGACGATAGATCGATTGTGTGCAGGACACACAGCACAATGTTCCATGCATGTCTGAGAGTTGACAGAAGATTTGGTGCCATAGGTTTGCTACGAAAGGAAAGGTTTCTTGGAAGGTATTCTCCGTTAACAGTTTATGTGTTAATGGCAAGCTTCTCAGAGATATCTGATACGGTGACAGGGATGATTGGCATTAGGATCTACATTTATACTGTACGGGGTCCGGCAAGACCCTACCCACTGTACTAACAGACCTGCAACATGTCCTGCATACTATGCGGAGTTCAAGCAAGGAAAATTGGCTCAACACAAAAGTCTCCCCGGTGGTACCGACTCTTAAAAAGACTTACCCATTACTCTCTTTTTAAGCGTAGTAAGGGTTGTTATTAAACATGAGTAACGAACCTGACTTGGAAGAAGTTACCGGAGCAACCAAAAATTTGAACATTGACGATTCGGAAGCAGTACCTCAGGATGAAGGCGCATCAGATTTGGCTGAAGCCAAAGAAGAGTCGTTAGATCAAGAGATTCTGACAATACCAGAGGAAAAGAAGAAGAAGAAGAAGTCTGTTGGTTTTGCACCTCCTCCTGAAGAAGACTTGGCTGCTCATCATAAGATCCTCAAAGAAAAAGAGTTACAGGAAATAAAATCAAACCCCTTTCACAAGATCCCTCCCGAGTTGGCATACTTGGAAAACAAGAACAGAACTCCTGGTCCTAAACCACTACCATCTTTCAGTGACTTGAATAAATTCGACACTGATGGCTCGAAAAAGAACCCAAGCACCAAGGCTAAGAGAACTTACGGTAATGCTGATGTAGGGGATCTCAGAGCCTTGGCAATTAAAGTAATATCGGTCGCCAACAAACAAACCGAAGTGTTTAACTTCAACAATCCGACTATCGATAGACCCATAAGTCTGAATACGATGATTGTTGATGTACAATATGCTGGATTGAACTCATATGATTTGGGCAAGATCAACAAGTATGCAATCAATGTAAGTGAAGTTAAAATTGGGATAGGCTATGAATTTGTGGGATTCATATCTGATTTAGGACTGCAATTTGTCGAGTATGACTCTGTTTATAAGATTGGGCAGCCGGTTGTGGGAATCTTGAACCCATATGGTAGAAAGGGTAGTTTATCTACTAGTTTATTGGTGAATCCGAAGAGGGATGTCGTAGTTCCAGTTACTGAAGAAGTGTTAGAAAAATTGAAGCATCTTAAGGTGGAAATTGATGATGAAAGTAAGGAATTTGGGCTCCAAGATGAAACCGATGATGTCATTGATTCGACTAACGAGAATACTCCTGAAATTCAAAGGGATATTGATCCCGCCGATGCAGTCCCCGAACAACCTAATGATTCTCAGGTGGCAGAAACTACAAAACCGCTGGCATTCAAGAAGCTTTCCAATTTCGAAATCGATCCCGAGTTGACGCCACTTTCTAAATTAGTAACCTTCCCAGTGCTCTACTCCAGAGCAAAGGCTGCTCTTGCCGACTCCCATGCAAATTTTATCAAGAATGGCTCCGCAAACGTACTCATCAATGGTGCAGACACCAATTTGGGTTTGACCATCTTTCAATTGTTGAATTCTTCTGTGTATTCTTTTCTTGAACGCTTGAATATAATTTTAGTGACTAGAGAAAGCTCCAAAGAGAGAATGGAAGCATTTGTTAAGAAATTCACCAAATATGACCCCACAAAGACCATCAACGTCAAAATCGTCCCATTTGATCTGGTTAATACCGAAGATCTCGTCTTGCAAGGTGAGAAGACACCAATTTTGTACAAAAAGCCCAATCTTTTTGCTTGCGAAATTCTCGATGCCATGTTCTACGAAAATGGCCTTAACAAGTCGAACATTAACGACTACAAACTTGATACCATAATTGATATTGTTGGAGGATCGAAATATTTTCAAACTCTGTCTATCAAATATAGCAAGATACAAACCTTGGCCTTCCCGTTCATAAGCAAGCTTGAATCATCAACAAAACTACAAGACATTTTAAATACTACTAAGAAGGAACCATTCCTCATCAAGATCTTAAAACCAAAATCCAAGGGCTCTAATTACATCAGTTGTTGCAAATATGGTAGACCTAACCCAAGTTATTTGGTAGATGATTTGATCCAGGAAGGTGGAAACGGTGATTATGTGAACCCTTGGAGTATGAAATGGACTGCAAATATAGCAAACTCGTGGTTAAGTAGTTTCAATTATTTTAATCATACCGAATTGGAAATCAAACAAAGATGGATAGAAGAAGGCTTACAGTTATTGCTAGATGGAGAAATCAAATTTAAGATCGATGATTATTGCGATTGGAGAAATAACTATAAGAAGGTGATAGCTGGAATGAAGAAAGAAGACAAAAAGTCTATTTTTGAAATCGAGACGTTCTAAACAGCTCGGATGCTGAAGTGGTTATATTAATATTCTAACACGATAGATGGTTAAGGGAGTTATCTAGTGAATGTATGCATTTTTTTTCTTACTGTACATGTATAATTGTAGTCACAATGACATGGCTTGATCTTGCATACTAGTATCACACTATTCTGGATTTTGATCTGGCACGATAGTAAATATTTTCAAGTGTGGGTCTCTGGGCGGCCGTATGCGGGTGTTGCGGGTAAAACGTACTTCTGATCTTAAAGAGGAGAAGATCAAGGGGAAATGTTACAGAGTGAGCGAGCCTTGTAGCCCTTAACAGGAATGAAGAGAATGATTAGTTAAAGATATGGAATGCTAAACTGCTGACTGAAGGATTGGCCAGCAACACTCACCTGCAGCACTGATCTGCAACACCATTCCCTATCGAGAATTCGCTACCGCTAGGCTGGCGCCAAACATTTTGCAGCCATAATTATCGGCACACACTTAAACAGTATTTACGAGGACGACGCACCAAGAACAAAAAGATAAGGTAAGCAACGGCATACGAAGACAAAAGCAACTGGAAAAGAGATACACAACAAAAAAAATGCACACCTTTCGTTGTCATTGCTACTGCTTTCATCAAGTTCTGATTGCTTTTTTCTGGATCGAAGGTAACCAGTTTTTTTTTCTCTCTTTTTCTTTTTTTCTTTTTTTTTCAGTTTTCTTTGGAGAGAAGCCGGAACAAAGTGGAACAGACCTAACATGCGGAAGGCTCAGAATGACACGCCGTTAGTGACAGGTAACACATCTGAGTGGTCCTCACAAACCTATTCACAGTGCACATTAAGACATCTGGTTGGTGAAGATATACCACTACAGTATACACTGTATGTACGTTATGTACATGTAAGTAATCTAGTTGCATGAACACTTTATGGTCTTGCTTACTGGGTTCTTTGGTGTGGAGGTTTCCTCTTTGGATTCCCAGATCGACAAATTTGGACTTACATAACTTAAAGAAGAAAAAATAAACCTGAAAATAGAAACGGCCCAGGAAAAATCGCACTTTTTGGGGCCAGGAAGGGGTAGAGGTCCCATATTCACTACCATGCAATGCCGCCGCATTGGGGAAAAATTAAATATATGATAATAATAAAAGAAGCAAATTGAACTAAATGGGATGCAGTCAGTCTACCTAAAAGACCGATAAAGTCACACCGGAAGGTTCGTGGTAATTGTGTGATGTGTGACATTGCTTTTTCCTGTTTCTGTTTCTTTTTTCTTCTTCTTTTGCTACGTTATAGAGGGGGCTCCTCACCTTCTAAGTCGTAATTTACAGATCTATCCTTTCAAACTCAATTCGTTTGTTTTGCATTTTTTGGCTTTTTGTTTTCTTTTTTTTTCTAGGGCAAATTTCTTGCGGTAAAAAATAGCGCACAGAGGAAAACCGATGGTGATCATCTATAATTAGTTCTTGATTAAAGTGTGTGTGTCTTTTCTTTACTTTCCCTTCTTCCGTTGTTAGCTCAGTTTATATATAGCATGTCATCAATGAGTGTGCATTCTCTTCTAGATAAGGAGAGCGTCAAGGGTGGCAAGGAAAATGAACCTGGTGCAAAGGAACATGACAAGCCAAGGGACCAGCGGCTGGATCAATGGCGGCAGCAACCACCCCAGGAGCAGTCATCTCTTCAACCTCCATTACAGGCCACTGCTCTAAGCACACCACCTTCAGGGTACCCACCATCCGTATCAGGCAGTGCCAATGGACTTCTTTCTCTCTTGGGCCCGAACGTCACCACGTTCCCCTACTCAGAGCAGGCATATGTGGAAACAATCAAGCTTAGGGCTGAGCAGGAGAGAACAAAGCAGGATTACTACAAGCTCGAGATTGCCTCCAAGAACCTATCGATCTTACAGACAGCACTTAGGGCCCAGATCCCAGCAGGGATGATCCCTGCTATGTGTGTTGGAGGGGTGGAAGCTCTGGTCCAACAGCAGCAGCAACAGTTGATACAGCAAGAGCAACAAACCCAGTTGGCACAACAGGCCCAGCCGCAATTTCAATATCAACCACTGCATCTGCAGCTGAGTCTGACGGATATACGACGTAATCTTGGACAACCAGATGCGCTCAGCGCCAGTCCAATCCCTCCAGTGCAGTACCGTTTTGGAAGAGGAAGTTCGGTCGCCGATACAAGCAGGAACAGACCATTGTCACCTGCAAAGATTGGTGCTCAAGCCGTAGCCAATCTAGCCACACCTTCTACTCCTTACCGTAGCACGAAGCAAAGACAGAGCCACCAGAGACACTATTCAATGCCTGTAGAATCTCTGGGCAGATCTCCGGGGAAATCGGTAGATCTCAATCGTATCAACGAAGCAGCGGCTATAGGACTGAAATCGAGGTCACTGCTGACATCTTTACAGCCCCCGGCAGGAGAATCTGCGTTGTCGTCTCCTCAAGGTGCTACATCACAAATTTACGTTAAACCTGTCCCCGCACAGCCCCTTCAAAAGCAAACAAAACAGGGACATCAACCAAGTCAAGAGTCAATGACCTCATTACAGCATATAATCCAATTTCACCATTGGAAGCCTGAATTTCCTGGACAACAGCAGCCTTCAAATGCTTCTTCCCAACGTACGCCCACCCAGACCCATAAGAGGCACAAATCACACTCGGATAATATGTCAGTAGATTTGACTAGTGCACCACCACCCGCCATCACCGTTCAAGATCAATCCGGTGATGTTTCCATGGATACATCTATGTTTGAAAAGGATGAGAAAGAAGTCAGAGGATATCCTGATATACTTTCAAATGACAGATGAGAAAGATTCGGGCCTTTGGAATTTCTGGAACTATGCATTTTCTTTTGGATATCTTGAAGTTCAATGGGGAAGAATTTGAAGGACTATGTTCGCCACAGAACTTGGATCAGATATCATGAATTAGGTATGATTCTCCTTTAAAAAAGGCAGCGAGTAGTTGCAAACTCATGACTTGAATTCTGGAACAGAGAGGAAATCTTATGAACTGCATTGTTATGTGTTCAGGAGCCAAACAATGACCCCGACTATCAGGCACTAATAGAGAAGTCTTCAGTGATAACTAATCTACTTATGAAATGGCATGGCGAACACGCATGATACATATTAATCGCATCGAACACCAACAGGAAAACGAACTCGAAGAATAGGTTTTTTCAAATAATAGAGATTGCATGGAGTGAATACATATGTATAGCATATATAGAGAAATGTATTAACTAAGTTACAAAAATACAGAGAGTGGATCAATCGTGTAAAGTGGCAGAATGCATCGGATGGTCCATAAGCACAAAATATTTTAGACGAGAGCGAGCGTCTGATTGCGCCTCACAAGTCTCCCACATCCAAGAAGAGATGTAAGCTCAGAGTACAGGTCTGGACCCTCAGATCCGCAATCCCACCAGAATCAGAATCCAACGAAATCACTGACAAGATATATCTGTATTTCACCTCATTGGCAAAAGTTGCAACAATATTGTTCTAGAAGGTTTGCAAAGTGAAAAATTAAAGAAGCAGAAACGTAAAAAAAATAATCGCGATCTTGGCGCACGTACCGAGCACTAACTATCACCACTAAAGGATGACTACTACCACTACGTTTAGTCTACAGAATATTTGACTCAAACAGGTGAATTGGCGCGCGCAGGATACAAAATGTTCGCTCTGCCCCACCCCCACGTTCCAAAGTAAAGGAAAACCTTGACGTCTTCATTACATTAGTATACTACTCACTATAGCCTTTCGGCTAAATACAACATACGATGTCAAATAGATATGGAAATAGTGCATGTGATTATGCAACAACGGCAATAACGGTTTTTTGTATGATGAACATTACTGTGTAGGGCGCCTACTTAAACAAACAAAAGGAAGGAAAAAAGGAACAAAGCGGCATAGAAAATAACCAGAATACGGCTATTGGCTAAAGCGTGTAGGGAAGATATAAATAGTGATACTGTTCCATCGAATTAGTAGAGATTGGAAAAGAAACAAGAGCATAAACACATCTTTATAAAAATTTATAGTTGTTCGCGCTTATATATATGGCTGTAGAGTACTCCTAAATGTCATTACAATCCCAATCGATCTCAAAGATCCTCTCGCAGATCCCTCGCAATGCTTTGCTGAAGTCAACTAGAAAGGCATTCCTTTTCTCCTACTTGTATGTGGTGCTCCCGAAAGTAATTAAGAAGACTATGTCGGGGGTTTCGAAGGGAGAAGATCCTCAGATATGGATCAGAGCTGTTCTCAAGACAATGGTGAAGGCATTGCATCCGCTGAAGTTTCCAATGCTTGTTGCCAGAATGATTGCAACCATGAACGTATTGACGCCACTTATTGAAAAAAGGATCTTATTGCAAAAGTTGCACGAAACGAAAACTACTGCACACCTTAGAGCGACCGTTATATCGCTGTTCATTGCAGCAGTGGTAAACTTCCCTTCATTTCAAAAACATATTATCAAGTACAACCGTTATTTTTCATTGGACTTTACCTTGATTCTCGTTACACGGGCGTTGGATACCCTTATACTGTCGCAGTTGCCCAAATTATTTGCTGCAAATAGTGTTGGAGCCGGTACATCTGTTAAGGGAGCAGTTGGTATATTATCCAAACTAGGATTCTTACTGAATTACGGAGATGGGATGCTTTTCGTAGTTTCATCATTTTTTATCATGCATTATTGGTTCTTTTATCCTGATAAGTTACCACCAGCGTACCATAGGTGGATAACATCAGCTGCTGAAGTAGACCCAGAAATAGTGCACCTGTTTCAAAGCTTGAAAGATGGTACCTTGAAGTATGGAGATCCAAATTGTGTTAATGCAAAACTGTTCGAGCCATTGTGCATCAAATACGGTCAAGACCCCGAATTGGCTAATTTAGTAAAGCATCAACCATTTTCATGTGACTTGTTGCATGTTTTCAAGACCAAATCTTGTGAATTGCATGCCTTGTGGAGATTCCAAAGAGGGTTTAAATTCGCTTTTAAGTTATATGGTAGTATTAATTTTATTGTTTGGCTCATTCGTAGAGGGAATCCAAAAAGATTAATAATTAATACTATAAGGTCTTCTACGTTTCTAGGGGCCTTTATTGGTCTTTATTGGTATTCTCTATGCTTGGTTAGATCGAGAATTTTTCCAGTTTTGTTCCCTAACGTTCCAAGAACTCGTTGGGACGACACCATTGCACCAGCAGCTGGAGCTATGGGATGTGGGTTCAGTTGCTTTATTGAAAATGCTCAAAGAAGAAAGGAATTATCTCTATTCGTTGCTCCAAGAGCTTTGGGAACTTTAGTTCCAAGTGAGCCCACCAAATTTAACTTGAGAGTAGAGAGGATCGCCTTTGCATTGAGTTTCATGATTTTATCAACTTTTGCTAAACAAGATCCTAGTAAGGTGAGAGGAATAATGGGCAAAGGTCTTGGAAGCATTTTCAAGGATTAGTTTTATAGAAATGATGGCTAAGTAAACCAATAAATAGTTAGCCTTTTACACTTTTTGCTTGATTGTTTATATCTAGATTGAATAATGTCCTATAGATACAAATAAATACAATAATAGAGAGGAAACTTATCCATACCAGATGAAAGAATTTTTTGTAGCCAAGTATTTTGAATTCCTGTTCAATCCATTTAAGCATTTTGATATTCTTCAAACAGCTGTTCTGCCATTAGCTCCAATTCCTCTAAGTTCAAGGCAACTATTTCATCATCATCGTCATCATCATTCTGGCTTCGTCCTTGTTCTTGTTCATGTCCCTCTCTATCTTCACCTTCTTCCATCTTATCTTCGTTTAATTTTTCAAAGGTTATATCGGCTTTCAGGAGACTGCTATATTCCTTTTTCAAGTCATGGGCCAATTGTCTAATCAAACCTTCTCCAACTGCATCGCTAATCACCCATGAACATAAGTCATCGATCCAAATCTTATTATAGACGTAATAAACATCATGAAATCTGAAGAGTTCTCTCACATCCAACAAACTCTTGATTATTAATCTCTTACCACCTCTCAAGTTATAATAGACATCGTCCCAGCATCTTTGAACTAAAGTATAATTACGATGCAATGGATACGAGAGTGCCCTTCTTATTGATGTTATCACTCCAGCTTTAAGTACGTTTCCTTCAGAATTGTCTAGTTGAGCATCTAAGAACGAAATTTGTGGAGTCAATTTTCCCACAGTCCAAGCACTTTCGATGTTATGATCACCTTCAGTTTCTCTCATGTCGAAATGATAAGCGAAAAGAAGAGATATGAGAAGAAGGAGAAGTTGTTTTTGAATCGCTGGATCTTCTATAAGATAACTTTTTCTAGGAAGATCCAATAATTTCTCTTGCTCCTCTTTGGAGAATTCTACGTTCATTATAGACTCTCTTGCATCCTGAGAAAGCTCCTGTTGAGCCTTGTACCATTTCATGAATTTTTTGGTACTAGGAGACTTCCAATCTATTAATTGTTTAAAGTTCTTATCATCGTCAGGCGAAGGGTACTTGGCCATGATGTAGTCAGCAGCATAATACTCTGGGTCGAATTTGATGTTTTCCTTGATAAGCCTCTCATTTATACGATCTGCCAGTAAGGTATGCTCAGGATCTCCTAGTTCATTGATGTCATTACCATTGGATACTGATACCCCAATTATCTCGGAGAAAGTATTATTGAAGCCGTACTTAAAATCAGGTGCAACCTCAACTAAGTTACTTAGCCGTTCAGCCTGTGTTTGGGACACTTCCCAATCAAACTTTTCGCCTTCAGATATTACAGCGGAGTTGCTAGCAGCAATATTGTTATTATCAATATCCAATTCTTGGATTAATGGGCCTGCACCTCCATTTTTGGCGTCCTTCTCCTTACCTTCACTTTCGTTTAGTCTGGCTAGTAACTTTGTTGTCAAGTCCAAGTCTGGGAAAAACTGTCCCTTTGTTTCCTTCCCTATTTTGATCTTAACGCATTCACTCTTGCTGTCATAGGCAGCATGTGATCTTTCGTCGTCTACACAGCGAAACGGAAGTCTCAATCTTAGATAGTATGGAGGTAATGCGAATATGAAAAGCTCATCTTGGACTACCATTTCAATTGATTGAGCATTAAAACGGATATGGGATACCTTGACGTCGATAAAAATAAACTCATCATCCTGGCTGATGGTAAAGAAAGGAGTTATCATTTCAGATCAGCCGAATCTAAAGCTTACGACTATTATATGTGAAGAATAAACATAACTCCATCATCGAGTTTTCTGGTTCGTGATTTTTCAGATGCTCATCGCAGATTTTCAGATCGACCAAAAATCACAGACCATGGATATGTCATCCTGGGAAGTGGTATAGCTTACACATCGTTTAATCCAAAACGGTATTTATTTCACTATAATAATATTCCTTTTCATAGCAAAAATCTAAATATGGGTACAGCGGAACCAATTAAGGCTTTGGAACCCACTGCGGTTGTAGATGAAAATGCTGCTCCTAAAGCAAAGCCAAGAAGAAAGTTCATAGGGAAACCATCTACCCAAACATCCGATGGTAGGAGCGCCGGTGCTTTGACTAAAACGAATACTAGACATGTCCGTAGAATCATGAACCAAATACCTGACTCGATCTTGAACGATAAAGACTTGAACAATGCGATAAGACTCCTTCCTTCTAACTACAATTTCGAAATCCAGAAGACGGTTTGGAACATCCAAAAATCTCAAGCAAAGCGAGTGGCACTCCAGATGCCTGAAGGCCTACTTATTTATTCGCTTATCATTTCTGATATATTAGAGCAATTTTGCTCAGTAGAGATTGTAGTAATGGGGGATGTTTCCTACGGAGCATGCTGTATTGATGATTTCACGGCCCGGTCGCTTGATTGTGATTTTATCGTTCACTACGCACACTCATGTCTTGTACCCATAGACATCACAGAAATTAAAGTGTTATACGTATTCGTGACTATAAATATAGACGAAGACCATCTCTTAAAAACAATCAAGAGAAATTTTCCTGTCGGTGCTAGACTTGCAGTGTTCGGGACCATCCAGTTCAACCCCACCATACACTCAATTAAGGCAAAACTAGAGCATGACACCGAACATCCAGTATTCCTAACTCCACCTCAAATAATGCCCTTATCTAAAGGTGAAGTATTAGGATGTACCTCTGCCAGACTTGACAAGGAAGAATTTTCTGGAATGATCTATGTAGGAGATGGTAGATTTCACTTGGAGTCCTCTATGATTCACAACCCTGACATCCCTGCCTACCGTTATGATCCGTATTCTCGTAAGTTTACAAGGGAATACTATGATCAAAAGGAGATGATTAATGTAAGACAGGACGCAATGCAGACTGCCGTTAAAGCCAAAAAGATAGGACTCATTTTGGGAGCTTTGGGGCGTCAAGGAAATAATGCTACGTTGGATACTTTGGAGTTGAAATTGAAGGAAAATGGTAAACAAGTTGTAAAGATCATTTTAAGTGAAATATTTCCACAGAAATTGTCGATGTTTGATGATATAGATGCATTTGTACAAGTTGCATGTCCAAGATTGTCTATTGACTGGGGTTATGCTTTTAGCAAGCCATTGTTGACCCCATATGAGGCAATGGTCATGTTGGACAACGATAAAATGTGGGATGAAGGATATTATCCGATGGACTACTATGGAAAAGATGGGTACGGTAGAGGTAAAGTTCCTCAACACTAAGAAACAAAGATAGCAAGAATCTTACTTTTATATTATACTATTAATGTAATACTTAATTGTAACATTTGGATATTAAATGTGAGATATGTCGTACGTGAAATACTTACGTTATATATCCTCCTCAAACTGTAACTTATTCTTCTCCTCGTTGTAGATCGAATCTATTCCTAATAATGTAGCCACTTCCAAATCACTCCAGCTGAGCAACTTCTCTTTCAAAAATTTATCAATCAATATTCCAAATTTGAGATAGAACTTAACCAATTCCAAACTGGAGTTTGTTACAACATCATTTACGATTATTGGAGAGTTAAGTCTTAGTAGGCTCTGTTGAATGTCTAGTAATGCAGTTGGCAAAAACAGCTGGATTTCGAAATTAGTCTTGTCGAGTTCATCCTTAACAAACAATTTGTTTTCCACAATTGGTTGGTAAATAGATGAATCAAAGAAATCATCTGTGAATGGACATATCATGTTGACAATATTGACATAATTAGTTAACCCACAACCTTCGAAGTAATGTTGGGATTGTATTTCCGTTAACTTTATGGTTATTTCGTTCAATATAGAATGAAGCTGCAAGACTTTGTCGGTTAAAACTGAGATGGGGGTAACTTTGGAAAGTACTAAATCCACAAAATTAGCTTTAAGTATAAGTTGATCTCGCTTATCGAACAACGTTTTGCTATTACTAGTGTTGCTTTTCTTTAAATGTTCATCAAAAATTTCAACAGGTTCATTTATAACAAGATTCATAAATTCCTCGTTTTCTTTCTCTTCCATGTTCATTATTGTTGGCGTAGTAATATTATCAAGGAGCGGTATGATGTCTGAGTAAAATTCGATGATCCATTCAGGAGGCTGTAATGAACTGTTAATGTCTAATTGAGCTTGGTTTGAATGCTTGATGGTGAGTAATCTGTTGCGAACTATGGAGAATATTTTCTTTGTTGAAGTTTTTGATAATTGATTAATGGTAGCTATAAGATCTGCATTGTTGGACTCTTCGGTTGTTTCCTTGTCTGACTTCAATTGCTTCCCCAACATCATAGTATACAAATCTAGCAAGTTGTAAATAGAAAAAAGAGTTCCAATTTTAGTTTCGCTTGAAATAATTTGTTCAATTCTTGACTTAATTGGTTTAGATAACAGACTCAAAGTAACAACGACCATTTTTGATGACATCGATTTGAACACCTGATCATTTTCATTGAAAATGTTCTGAATAGTTTCAATTTCATTCACCACTACAGAATGAATGCATGCCAACATATCACCAATAAATCTAACTGGATCATGAGCTGAAAGCACAATGGGTCTAGAAGCGGAAGATCTTCTCCGATTTCTTCTACTTTCAGTTACTTGTGAGTTATCCAGTTCAAATTCATTTCTTTGATCCAAATTACCGTTGATCTGGTTTAAAAATTCATCAACTAAAGTCTTTGAACGAGATTCAGTAAATCCAGCAATTACAGAATTGAGGTACGTGGGTTTCTGGGACAAGTATCTCAAACATTGATGCAAAGTAGTAAGACGATCTCTAGTGTTCAATGAGTGTAGATTTCCAAAAGTCTTGTTACAGAACAAGAGAATCCGATCCACAGATTTGGAAATGTGCAGCATCATCTTAGACATAATCTTGAGACCAAGTTTGGGGTTATCCAGAGATAACAATATAGAACAGTTTTCATGGATCTGTTCTGCCTTGGTTAAAGCCAAGAAGAAGTCTTCATTTATTTCACTATTGGTCAATAAATGCTCTTCATACTCACTCAATGTGAAGTTCTTCCTGAAAGAGGATAAAAGGTTCTTTTTTAATGAGATTACTTGCTTACGAGAAGTTAAATCAGTGGCTTCTTGGTTGAACTGAGCAACATTTTCACAGTCAAGTTCGATTTTAGTCTTGGCATCTTCGTAAATTCTATTCAATTTGTTCAATTTATCTTCCAATTGACTCAAATTTTTGTAAACGGGTTGATACTCCCTAATTAACATCAGCTGAGTCTTTATTAGGTCATTTTCAATTTCACTTCTGAGTGCCTTTCTGGTCATTGATCCCACCACACCAGGTTCTACAAGTTCAGTAGTGTCTGAAATCTTCTGTTCTAAGGAGAGGAATATCTCACGAATGGACAGATCCGAAATTGGGTTCGAAAGAACTCTTGATAGTCTTGTAGAAAGATTCTTATCTGAGCTCTGCTTTGTGTATGGAACATTAGTACTTCCATCAGTTCCACCTACACTTGTACCATTTCCAACATTTAGTGAGCTTACTTCATCAGAGTCCTTCAACATGTTCAATGACATTGATGCATACTTCTCAGCAACCTGAAATGCCTGACTTTGTAAATAGTTTTCTTCATCTTCGCTGTCTGTTTTAGAATTGCCTCCAGCGTTTCTCAACAAGCTTCTAGTCAAACTGTTCAAATTGGAAAATTTCTTTCCAAAGTTTTCAATGTTTGAAGCTAGAGGCAATGACAATGCAGGTTGTGGCTGGGGTAAATCATTACCATCCTGAAATGAATCAAAATCTATAAAGTCCATCCCACTCTTCTATTTCCTGCTAGCAAAATCGGTATATTGTCTCTACAATGTTGACAGATTTAGGTGTCTATTTGGCGATTTTTTTCAGTACCCATATACGTCAATGGTAGATCACGTGATTTTCTTTAATGCTGCACACCTACTGGTGAGAATAGAGAATAATAACGTACTAATGTTCAAAATGGTACGTATTTAGCCTTCTCGGCTGAGAGGACACATAGAGAAAACCCACATTTGTTGAAAGACAGACAGTGTGAATGTTTGTTACTTTCTAACAGTTCAGCATTCTACTAATTGAAAACATAATCTCGTGTATTCCGGCACACTCATGCGCTATTGCAACTATATATATATAAATGTAAACCAAAATGTATACTAAGTAAAAGAAGAAAAAAAATATTCCCCAAAAAAAGTATTTAGAAATGAAAAAATAGAGATGAAGTATTGGAAAAGAAGAGACAGGCTAGCAGTGAAATAAGATAAAATTTCATGATATCAAATCATGAATTTTCAAGCTGATTCTTCTCTTACCCTGATCTTGGATTTGCTCTCTTTCGTTTTCTCCGTGATCTTCTCTCAAGTTAGCAGCCTTTAGTATCGTTGAAATACCTCTTCCCAACACAAATGTGGCTGGCGATGTGGTAGCAGTCGTAGACAATGGAGACGTGAGAGAGGATGTGCTTCCAGTACCAGAGCTGGTACCTGTACCACTCTCTGGAAGCTGAGTAGTTTCTTTGTCCTTTATAGAACGACTGTTTTCCATCGTATATGAGACTTGCTGCTCCGAAGGGTGGCATCCGCTTCTCAAGGACTGGAGACATTTAGAGGCTGTCACAATATCAAGCATCTCGGTGTATGATGTATTACTCGAAAAAACATTATTCAAAGAATCACTAGAATTAGGACCAGATATGGAACTATGTTCGGTAGACAATGCCTGGAGTGGAGGTCTACTGGCAAATGTATATCTACTAGATGAATAAGGAGGGGCTTCACTTTTAGGGGAAATGTCCATCGAAGTGAAGGTCCCTACTGCTGGCCTATTCGCTGTTGGTGTAAGCGACTCAGCGCTTTCCTTTATGGTGGAGCCGCTCAGTTTATTCTTCTCTTGTCCCAGTTGACTACTGCTTCTCTTTCTTTTGTCTTTTATTTCAAACGATTCATCCAATCTCAACTTCCCGAAGCCAGGATCATCGGGGGTCAAGCAGCTCTCGGGGAATTCTTGCCCAAAGATCGGGATCAATTCAAATCTAATGTGATAACAGAACTTTCTCGCGACAATCTTGCACAAGTCATAGGGTAACCAGGTACCTTGTATCTTTAAAAATCCACCTCTGATCCGCTTAATGTGTTGCTGATACTCCTTAGGAGTGGTTTCCAAAAGTTTAACAATGTCGGCTTTGAAGTGAGACTTAGGGTGATCACCGCTGCTGCCACTAGGGTTGCTTAAATTATCACTGCTTTCACTTATAGATGCCTTCCATATCCCCGTCAAATGAACAAACCCTGTTTCGTAATCCCAAATCACCCAGTGCTTATTCAAAACATACTCGTAAACGGTTAAATAGTTTCTCAAAGGATCAATAGCAGATGTTGAGTATTTCTTCACTTCAATATTGGCGAAGATGTGCTTGAGCTTGGTTTGGTCTTGTGGAGCAAGAGACATCAACGACAGAGGATCCATTGAACAAATAGGAAATTTGACGTCTTCCGAGGCAGGAGCTTCAGCATAGTGTGATTTCCTGGTAGTGTTACTCGTGGAAGAGTGCGATGAGTTAGGGGCAGAACTCGAGCTACCAGATGTGGACTTTCTACGTATAAGTGAGTCGTAGTACCTTGACTCCGGGTAGGACTTCGATTTCTTGTGCCTCTTGGTAGAATTCTTTGGCTGTTCAGGAGCAAGTGCCTGCGCTTGCACTTTCATGAGAGCCTGGGGTTGAGAATTATCTACCAAGAGTGCTTGACTCTGCATGGGAATTTGGCTCGATGCCTGAAGTTTTGGTGGCAGGTAGTTACCAGAGATCCTCTGGTAAGGCAGACGATAATTTGAGGACATTGTACGCAACTGTGGGAGTTCGGTGGTATAAGAGGAAGCTGCGGAACCGCTGTGTGAATGTGAAGGCGTAAGGGGTGCCTGTGAGCGATGTATTATTGGGGACGCTTGAAGTTGACCCAAGGGAGGCAGCTGAAGGTAATGGCCCAGGTGATGTTGGCTTGGGTGCTGGAGCTGTTGAGCCTGGAAGAGCAGGTAGTTCTGCTGCTGCTGTTGCTGCTGTAACTGTTGCTGTTGCTGTTGCTGCTGGTATGGGATGAACTTATATTGCACTTGGTACAAAGGAGAATGCGGCTGATTCTCGTAGTACACCGGCTGGTATTGGTATGGGCTAGTGATGGACTCCGGGGACAGCAAACCATGCTGAGCGGAGCTTTGTTGGTAGTTGGTTTTCATGTAACCGCCCTTGGGGGATGATTTGTAATAAGGGTTCATTTTTTTACGTGGGGTGCTGCTGATCTCGTATCGGAATAAGGGTCCACAAATAAAAAATATGAAACTAGGAGCAAGGAAGCTTTGTTCCGAGTATTTATTTGGAATCTGAATAGGATAGTCCTTTCCTTTTCTCCTCTTGTTGCTCTCTCCGCTGTGTCCGGTCTGGTTGTGGTGAAAAATAAATAAAACCACTTGCTCTAGGCTTGATGTCAAAGGAATCAAACTAAAAAAAAAAAAAAAATCTTTATATGCGAGAGAATACGAATGATTGCCTAGAATGCAGTTGCAGGGTGGAAGGTGCCTGAGCCAAAAAAAATATAGGTAATATTCGAGGGGGGATGATCTGTGATTTGCGACAGTAGAACGGCTTGAAGTGAAAAGGAACCTACTTCAATTGGTATTAATAAGAAAAGGATAGCAGAAAAAACCAGCGAGATAACTCCTTTTCTCCGTGGGATGGTAAAGAGAGAAAAAAAGAAAAGAAGAAAAGAAAATATTTCTCAAGTAGGATCTGCTTGTAGAGCCCGTAATGAGTGTAAAAGGAGTTGCAGAAGAACAATACAGCATTGCAGATACAGGATCGCTCGAGAATTTAGTGGGAAAAAATAAAAGTTTCAGGAGCGGTCAGGCCGGATTTCGTGGCACTGTGATGCAGAAATTATTTTTGATTTTCTTATTAATGTAATGAGTAACCGCAAGTTAAAATATTAGGTTGAGTGTACGAGGACGAGAATAAATTCGAGATCAATAGGGGAGTATGAAATTGGCGAAGCAGGAGCAGAAGCATAAGCAGAAGCAGAAGCAAAAAATGATGGCAGTAGTGGTGTTACATGTTCGTCTTTTTTGTAGTTTCTTTTTTTGACTTGATTATTTCTTTACTCAAACCTTACCAGTGCTCTGCGTATGTACATGTTATGTATGGTGGAGCACTCCCTCGAAGCAAAAAAGTTTCCAATTTATCCGCGCTGCAGTCTACTAACTTTTTACAGATTTGCATTGTTTCCAAAGAGAATAATAAATGTGAATTCTCTCTCAAGAAGCAGAAAATAATTTATAAGTGGACCTCTTACTTTCGGATGTTTCGCTTGCTTTTTCAAAAAGAGACTCCTAAAGTCGAAACTCCGGTGGTGTGTCTATCTCTCCAAAAGTGGGACTTTTTCCCTCTCTGTCACCTATCCCCTCGGGGACAGCAATCAGATGGAGAGTTGTCTCTTTTTATTTTTATTTTTATTTTTATTTTAACTTATTTTATTTTTTGCACTTCGATGCTCCTCTCTCGTCCCAAGCTCAAACTATATCCCTGGAAGTAAACTATGGCAAATGAATCCAGAACAATATGTGAAATTGATGCGGCAGGTGGAACTCCAATACTTGCTATTTCAGAAAAAAAGAAAACTTAGAAGCCAGGAAAGCAAAAAAAAAAAGAAAAAGGGTACATACTGTTAGACAATTCCTCACAACTGCTGCTGCTTGAGCTTCTCGGCAGCTCTGGCTGGCACAACACTGCTGAAACCAAGAAAAAAATTGCCTTAAATTCCTTCATTCTCTCTCTCGGCATCCTGGGCTGAAATCAATTACACATGTCATCTCTCCGAAAAATTGACATTCATCGATAATTTCTTTACTTTATCTAAAGTTGTGATCAGCTTCCTGCACCTCGGACAATTAAATCGAAACTGCGCTTATCAGCATGATTATGCATGCAATCAAAGTCTATTTTTTCATACAGCGTTAATAATCTCAGCCTTTTCTATAGATTGCATAATCTACACGATTACGAGCATCATCCTACTATTGTTTGAAGATGAAGTCAACGTTCATGCCTATTGGAAATGGACCCCGAAGCAACCCAATGTGCTGCATATCGACGAAAGTGTTGTCTAGATCCAGCTCCTAATCCAACAGGTCGAATCGTTGCTCTTGCCCACCTCCTACACTTCTTGATCCAAGAATAAGTCGGTGTAAATTCTATTTCTAATATTTCCTCTTTCACATTTAAATTTTTTTCTTTTTTTTTTTTTTTTTTCTTTTTTCCCCCTCTTTTGTCATTTTAAGCTTTTGAATGTCCGACATATAGTCCGTTTTGAAACTAATTTTACTCGACCTTATTGCCACAGTGTAGAACAATCGCAAATTCAACTCTTAAACATAAGACAAAAGGAAAAGCACGATTGAGCCCATAAATAGTGGTTGTAAAATAGATAAGGCTGTTTCAGAATACATTGTTGAACGTAGTGAGACGACTTATATCATTCGATTTTCCATTATTTTCGGGGGAATTGTTTTAATCTGTTGCTTCTATTTGTTCGTCGGGTACTGATATTTTTTTGTCTTCTCGTCTTTTTTGTCCAATATGGATAAACTTCCAAACCCACATGTAAGTGATTCCAGAATAGGTTTCCACGTTTCTAAATTTGCATCTACTAACATACCTAGACCGTATTTTACCGGAAGTTTTCCAAGCCATTCGGCAAAGTTTGCATAATAGCAATTGGAACCTACTACACCTTGAGAGGAGTTCGAGAATTACTTGATAATAAAACTCAGGGATAACTAGTGGCTTACTTTTAACTTGACTGATTTTTGTTATTTTGCATTTTATAGATTAATGATAATGATTTAATTTTGAAAAACTACATAAACCTACAGAGAAAATAAGGAATACTCACTGATAACTTCAATTTATTTCTTTTTATTTTTTTGATCTTCTAGTTTCTCTAAATCCGTTGGGATTTCGCTTTATTAGTTTCATCTCATCTGCTCGTCGCGGTATGTGCTAGGAGTAGCCTCGCTGACAAGGCTTAAACTTGTACTTTAGTCTTCAATTTGTCAGCTACTGCATCCAAGAACTCAATGGTGGTGACATAGCTACTTCTATCGGTCTTACCACATGCTAAGGCTAAATCCTTAGTCATGATACCATCTTCTTGAACTGTGTCAATAGTAGCCTTTTCTAAAGCTTCAGCAAACTCGACGACGGCTGGGGTACCATCTAATCTACCTCTTTGAGCAATACCTCTTGACCAAGCGAAAATCAGGGCAATTGAGTTGGTTGAGGTTTCTTTACCTTGTTGATGTTGTCTGTAATGTCTGGTGACGGTACCATGCGCAGCTTCACTTTCGAAGGCCTTTCCATCTGGGGTCATCAAGACAGAGGTCATTAACCCTAAGGATCCGAAACCTTGGGCAACAATATCTGATTGAACATCACCATCGTAGTTCTTTAAGGCCATAACGTAACCTCCCTTGGATTTGATCATTTGGGCGACCATATCGTCAATGAGTCTGTGTTCATACCATAAACCCTTGGATTCAAATTCGGCCTTGTAAGTAGATTCGTAAATTTCTTGGAAAATGTCCTTGAATCTACCATCGTACTTCTTTAAGATGGTGTTCTTTGTGGATAAGTACAATGGCAAGTTCTTGGTCAAAGCCATCTTGAAAGAAGAGTGGGCAAATCCAATAATGGATTCATCAGTGTTGTACATAGCTAACCCGACACCTGGGCCCTTGTAATTGTAAATAACCTTAGTTTCGGGCTTGGAGGATGAGTCGGCAGGAGTAAATGTCATTTCTAATTTACCTGGCTCGCTGATAACTAAGTCAGTAGCCTTGTATTGATCACCATGAGCGTGTCTACCAATGACAATTGGCTTTTCCCAACCAGGAATCAATCTTGGGATTCTTGGAATGATGATAGATTCTCTGAAAACTGTACCGTTTAAAATATTTCTAATAGTACCATTTGGAGAAACCCACATTTTCTTCAATCCAAATTCTTCAACTCTTTGCTCATCTGGGGTAATGGTTGCACACTTGACACCTACACCGTACTTCTTAATGGCTTCGGCGGCATCAACGGTGATTTGATCGTCAGTGGCATCTCTAGCTTGAATACCCAAGTCATAATATTTCAAATCAACATCCAAATAAGGATTAATTAATTTGTCCTTAATTCTTTGCCAAATAATTCTGGTCATTTCATCTCCATCTAATTCAACAATTGGAGTTTTCACCTTGATCTTGTCCAAAAGTGATAAATTTTGAGTAAAAGAACGAGAAAAGTTCAAAGCAGGGGTGAATCTGCCTACATTCACAGCACGTACAGTTGTTCTCAACATGGCTTGGTTATATAAGTTTCGAAGTTTTATATATTTCCACTTGGAAAACAAAGAATCTACTTTTATTTTTATACCTTCATGCTTTCCATGGCCAAAGTGAAAAATTCCTGGACAATGTTCGGTGAGTCAAGGCGAAAAGTTCCGTTATCGGAATGGTATATGCAGTGCTATCAGGGTATGGGATGAGGACGAGTCAAACTGGGGTCTTTGACGAACATCGGAATTGAGAAAGGTTGGGCTCTGGAATGGCTTAGTATTCGTCTAAGAGCGATGTCCTTATGGCCCATACGCTGTATGTGATGTGGTAGCTTTAACAGCATCGATATCTGACTAGGTGTAGTGAACACTGCCAGGGAGTCTGGGCTCAGAGATTGAAGAAAAAAAAAAAAAATTAAAAATGGAGAATTTGCACCCAAATGAAGGTGGAGCTCCAGTGCCAATTTTTATACCCAAGCAAGGTGTTTTGGTACCATGGTATCCAATCTGTCATTTTATCTAAAGTGGTTTTAATAGATGGCTTGTTTTTAGTGTAAGAATTCTTTTTACTTTTACTCCTATAGATCCACTTTCTCGTTCAATATATTATTTGTCAAAAATGCTAAACCAAGAGGAAATCAATTATTGAGCACTTCCCATATATGTTCCTTCAGAATATCTTTTCTCCTACTTATTACACTCATCTCTTGCTTTAGGACTGCAGTATACTTAACTTATAAATCGTCTACCCTTCGTGATACATGCTTAGTAGTGGTGCTCTCGCTGCACTGAATTGTTGGACTTAAGGAACACCAAGCTTTGTGTAACTTCACTTTGTGTCACTACGTCTCATCATAATTACGGTAGGAGCCAAAGAGCAAAACAAAAATATAGAGACATGTTCTTCTTCTCTTGTTTAGCTTCAGCTTCAGCTTCATAATCAAAGTTTGATTATAATAGTAATACTCTCGTATTATAATCTTCCTTTATTCGTAAAATAAAATAAAAAATAGAAAGAGGAAAACTTCTCTTAAAGGTAGTGACGGACTTCTTTAGTATACTTACCTTTCGTTTTTAATTCGTTTGCTTTACCTACCTTTCTACTACTTCATTACCACACTTCTTTTTCATACCGTAAGTTTATATCAATATGGATGGTGATCATTTTAACCCTGATTACTACAAATATCTTTTGTCCTCCTTAACACTTAACTCCAGAGCTATAATAACAGAACTAACAACTGCTGCTGAAAAGTTCTCCGATAACGCTGAAGACATTGTTGTCCTCATAGAGGAAAGGATCAAAAAATGTCTACCACAACATAAGCTCTTTTCAATCTATTTATTAGATTCGATTTGCAAGAACATAGGTAATCCTTACAACTTAATCTTTAGCTCCAAGTTGTATAAGATCTTTACAGATAGCTATTTGGTGGTCACAGACACTCCGACGAGGCAACTGCTCATTGAATTATTCAAGACATGGTCTAGAGCCAAAACCAGTGCTGGTGTTAATCTTTTTCCAGCAGATGTAATTAGTAAGATAGAAAAATTCATTATTAAGGCTACTTCCTTACAGGACCAGCAGTCTCTTTTGCAATCACAAGGAGGATCAGTTGGTGCAAACGGAAGTGGAGCGGCCACAACACATTATCTTACACCAGATATGTTGCTAAGGGAAGGTAATTGCCTCTTGCAGTATATCATTGCATTGAACACCGAGCTTGATAAATACCCTGTCAATGAGAAGATGGAGAGATTCCAGTTGAAGCAAGACTCAATAAGAAATCCTATCATTCTGCAAATCAACTATATTAGCGAGTCGATCATGGCTACAGGTAAGCTGAAAGCATTTGATATGAAGTCTCATGCATTTCATAATGAGTTGTTAGGGTTTAGAAAAGTACTAGACGAACAAGTAATTGTGCAAAGACAATTCCTAAAGGATACTTACAGCAACGCAAATAAGCTATCCCAGCAACCATTAGCGACAGGGCAACAGGAGAACATTAAAATCAGCTTCGCTCAACCAGATATCAAGCTTTTTGCTAGTTGGAAACTAGAGATTTCGGAAGATTCAAACTTGGAGGAGTTAGTCAGGACATGGGGTAAGGTTGTGAGTGAAAAGGTACTGTTAGTAGAGTCAACGCCTGTAATACAAATCAAAGAACCACTGCCGCCTGCTGGAGAAATGGAGAGGGATGCTATACCATTACCAGAAGAAGCTGGATCCGCTGCGAATGCACTTGGAATGAACTTCAATTCCTTGAATTTTATGGATTCCATGCTTTCTTCTAGCACGTCCGAGCCTTATATTAGCCCTGAAGCAGATAGAAGTCCAGAAAGAGGTAGAAGTGAGAGTGAAAGTGAGAGTGAAGACGGAGAGAGTGCTGGAGAAGCCGATATTGCATTATACAACCCTCAGGATGTGACCAACGAATCGTTGAAAATGGCAAAAGTACCGAGATTCACTGGAGTTATGCCACCATCCAATTTGAAGAAGAGAAGTGCCGACGACAGCGAGAAGAAGTCAAAAAGAGTCAGGTTCGCCGATTGAAGTAGCTGGGCTACATTTGAAGAAAACCGATGATATTTTTCAAAAATGTATTTAGCATAGGATTTACTAACTAAACTCGATATAGAATGGGAATGAGTCCTTTTCATGTAAGTCGTAGAACTCTGATATTTTCAACATTTCTAGAGCCCCAAGGCACCGGCATTGCCATGCGATTATGTTTTCGATATTCTTTCGATGTTTCAATGATGTGTCATTGTCTACGTGGGTACTGCAGCATTAACTAGTACCAATCTTCAGTCTACAAGCTACAAGCTAGTATATACCACTCTTGTGACTGTCGTAAAATTGAGTCACAAATACGCATAATCGATATCTAGGGCACCAGCACTGCCATGCAACTACGTTTTCGATATTCTTTCGATGTTTCAATGATGTTTCATTGTCTACGTGGGTACTGCAGCATTAGCTAGTACCAGTCTTCAGTCTACAAGCTACAAGCCACGCTACCACTCTTTCTTATACCTCATATATTATGCACTAGTCTATCTATTGATCAAATGAACCAGCCTTCTTCATGTGCCAGTAAGATGCTAAGAATGGGAAGGCAAAAAAGAAACCTAAAATACCCCAGAATGGAACGGACAATGGGATTTTTCTGTTCTTAACCTTGAATGGAAGGTTAGAGTATACACCTTCAGCTGGAGTACCAAAGATCTTATTCATACTTCTGGAAGAAGTTTGGAAGTTTCTTGTGAATTGTTGGGATGTTAATCTAGTTCTAGCAAACATGTCTGTTATCGAATGAATGTCTTGAGTATAGCGTCGGTTACAAACTTGTTTCATCTAAGTTACACTGTTTTTTTCTCTTTATTTTCACTGTTATCCATATAGCACCACTTCCTTGTATGCAGGCCCATTGCATTGCGCTCTGGTTAGAAAAAAACTGTTTTCATTGGGTGGGAGACCAATTTGAATCTGCACGACCCCAAATGAACTGATTATGAAGACTAAGACACACACAGTGTAGGTAAAAAAAAAACCCCAATGAAAAAAAATAAACGACAACATAACTGATACATTTATCATACAGCTATCACTACATAGAACAATGGCTATCGCTCCAATCACAGGTACATTAAGAAAGAAGATCATCACCGACATCACTGTCGGATTCGGGTGTGGGTTTGTCATTGCCAACCTTTACTGGTACTATGAACACAAGCCAAAGGTTGCCGCTAGAGAAGCTTACTATGCTAAATTGGCAGCTCAAAAGGAATTCGAAGATTCTGCTTAAATTAAATTCATTTCACCCACGTCACACAAATAAACTAGTAAACGAAGTTGTATATGTATAATAACGTTTAAACATCAAGAATAGAAAAAAAAAAGAAGAATACTAAAGTTCATAATATACATTCATCATTAGAGATATTCTACAAAATCTGTAATGGGGTGGTGCAAACTGGGAAATTGGGAAATTAGAATTTTGGCATTTGAGCTTTCTCTATATTCCTATTAAAATTTCTCATCTGCATACTTCAAGTAGTCTGGTACAATTAACAATACCACTTGTAAGAATTATAAATACTTTTTTCCGCTTATTCTTATCCTGGTTGATTCTCTGCTCGATATATTTGAGACAACTGATCTCACTGCGAGTGATTCCTCCAATGACAGTAACAATTACATAGTCTATAGCATTTGACGTGATGGAACCATTGCTATCACCATGGGCACTGCCGTTGTCAATGCCGTTACCGTTACCGCTACCGTTACCATTTCCATTGATTTTCTTCCTCTTTTCATCCAGGGTATCGCAAATGTTGATATCCAAACTCTTCCCATGAAACATGTTATCCAACCCTAAGTTGTCCCAATTGGGCCTTCTCGATAAATTATTAACAGGTTTATTGACTAAAAAGTCCCTCATGTACAACGACTGTACAAGTCTGGCGAGTAATGGCACAGTAGTCGATGGTAACCCGAAGGTAGCATCCTTATACTCGTTAACTAGCGTACCGTCTTTTTTATCGACCTCTTCTTCGTCTTCTGCCACTTGTGGATGTAAATTGAAAAACTTATCAATTAGCGTAAAGGGCGTCTTGAGTCCTAACTGTCCTCCTGTAATTCCCAATTTGCTAAGGTTGTCGTAACCAAGATCAAGAGCACCATTTTCATCACTATTAACATTAGCTCCACCTTTAGTATTACTATTACCTATAGAAATAGATGTTAATGCTCCAAATATTTCTCCAGTTGTAGATGAGTTCCCCACCACTTGAATCACATTAAATTTGACCAAATTGTCAATCGTAAATTTAATGTCTATGCCAAAGTTTTGAATTAATTCTTCTAAAATCTGATCAAAATCTCTCTCCTTGATGCCATCATTAAAATTGGAAATCAAGATTAATGATAGCAAAATGACTCTATCCAGAAAGCACTTGGTTATGAATTCTTTCAACTTTAATATATGCTGCTTATAATCCAAATCGAATATATCATTTTGGAACTCCAAGAATTTTTCGTATTCATCAACTACATTGAAATTTGTAAGAACTGGGTTGGAACTAACGTTTCCAAACTTGATATAGTTCAATACAATTTCAGACAACTCTGTATGTTTTTTCACAAGTTCTTGTTTATTGCTTAAGGGGCCAAGATTGTTTACAAGACTTCTTATTTCTTGAATTGACTGTATTGAATCCTTTTTCAGATACTCCAGTTGAATTGCTCTTGCTAAGTGGTTTAGCTTCAACCCTATCGAGGCAAAATTCAAATGCTTTAAGTCTGAATAGAGTTCATCGTTAAGAGTATATCTTTGTTTGTTTTCGCCAACTTCCACTGTATTTAAGCTGATTTCGAATAAATCATCAATTAAACCCTGATAATTCAACTGATTAAATGCAACTGAAGCAATGTCTAAGTTTCTCTCCAATATCACCAAATCCGTATTCCCCTTCAATTTCGAGAGATAAAATTGTTGCTCCAATGAAGACAATTGCAGATTCAAAAAATCTGGGATCTTTTCATCTTGAAGTATTTTGACCATTAAAGAAGAATGATCACCCTTAGCGTATATGTTCTTCAATTTGAACATTTTGCCTGTTCCATTCAATTGTGGAGATATCTTCAATAGACTTATAAAGGCGTTGGATAGTTTAGATATTTGTTCAATTGGCTGATTGAAATACGATTGCAAGCCTCCAAAGGGTAACTCTAAGGATAAAAGAATGTCGGAGTCTACATCGGTTTCGTTATTAGCAGCAGCGACAGCAGCATTAGCACCACTAGCCTCCTTCACTGAAGACGTAATACATATTGGGTTTACATCCCAATTGAAAAGTCTAATTGAAGGTGATAATTTCAAGCTTTTAGATCCTGTTGGGACGTCCACTATCGTCTTCAATTGACTTGAACTCAGTATTTTAAAAGCTTTATTTAATTTGTAAACTGACGATCTGCTTAAATTTTTGACAACTATATACAATTTACATTTTACAGATGACACTAACAGCTCAAGAACATCAACCTCAGTATCATCTACAACTACTATTAGCCCGTCATATGTTCCTACAACTTCCTTCCATTGATCAAACAGCTCTAACCATACAGATTTTTGAAACTTGCCACATTCCTTCAACCTCAGAAATGGCGTTAAGTAATCGATTAACTTCGAAAGCTGAGATGTAAGTACGAGCAAGTTATTCGAAGTGAAAATTGACAGAAGAATTTCAATCAAATTTTCTACACTTTCATTGTTGATAGATGCTCTATCTATGCTCAGAGTCATAGCTACGAATAGATCCCAGCTGTAGCAAGCAAAGTAGTTGGTAGAGTAATAAGGCACCGAAGTGGTAACCTAGAAATGTTTATCAAACCAACACTCGTACAAGCAATTCCATAGTCACGTGCCTATAAGCGTGCCGCATTAGAGAGGCACATCTCTACCATGAAGCCCACCAGAGAGTGCAACGGTGTAATAGCAAGATGAGGAGATACATATGACTAGAGTATCAATATGTTCACTTCCGAGCCCTTTTTATCTAATAATGCAACTATTTTATTCGCATACATATATAAATATAAATAACATTAATACGTAGACCTTTCACCGTCACACTACAACTTTATAATCTTACTCTTCTTTGAGTGACTAGGTATATTGTTTATGATTTCGTTCAGGAGATACACCAAGGCCTCTTGGTTAATTGTGGCCACCAATCTTCCATCCATGGTGAATAACTGACAGTTGCACAACAAGCGATCGTTCAGGTATCTGGAGAATTTGAAGTCCATGAACATCCACACTGTAGGGTCGAAGTCTGTATCATGAAAGTATACGCTATGGTCTAAGGACACTCGGAAGAATTGCAAATTTTTGTATTTGAAGGGCAATCCCAATACTCTCACAATAGCGGAAAGATAGAAACTATCTGAAAGAAAACCCAAGTCCACGTACTTGGATTTGGTAGGGTTTTTAGCTTTGGTCAAGTCGTCCAAACATCTTACAAAAAAACCGAGCTTTCTGTCACCGGGTTCGGTCTGCTGATCTATGGTGTTTTTCGTTCTTTTCAAGTCGAAGTACTCTGGGGGTAAGATATGTTGCAAGTTGTCGTTGGTACTAGTGATCAGTGGCAATGTATCCAACTGTTTAGCGTATTTTTTGATGAAGTAGTGAGGACTACCTTGTATTTCAAACGGGATCGGGGCTTTCTTTGTAAGATCACTCTTGAAAAAGTCAATTTTCTTTTGTAAGGTGTTCTTCCTCGTGAATGAGATGATCATCACAAAGCAAAGTATGTTCAGCGTAGACTGGTAGACATGAACCGAACGGTTAGCAAAGTTTCTACCATCATTATTTCTAGATACGACATACTTCATGGGGGAATCAAGGCTCCCGGCCTTGACAAAGTATGAATGGAAAGAGTGTGGGGTGAACTCTGGATTCTCTACGGTGGCCCATCCAGCAAGCATCGACTGACTCACAAACTCTCCCCCATATGTTCCTCTGGCCCCGGCCATAAAAGTCTCCAATGGGTACTTCCCTTGATACACATTCTCCTCCAACTTGATGAGCTCGAACTTATTTTCCATATGAGACGAATGCTCGTCTCTTTCGGGAATAGGTAATACTGGTAGCAGACTGCTCATCTTGTACTGTGGTACTTTTCTTTTTCACTCGTAACAAAGCTCGCTAGTTAACGCTTGAATCGAAGTGCAATTCAGGCTCTTTTTGTGCCAGTGACCCGCTCTCTCTTTTCTGCTGTCTCTATTATGTTGGGTACTACTCCAACTTATACTTTTTTCTCTTTCTTTTCTTAATTCCATTACTTCCCTGGATGGTCAAGAAAGCACTATGCTTAACCGCGCAGATCCGAGGTCCATCCTCCCCCGCGCATATTCAAAACTTTGATGTTGCGGCAGGCGATATTTTTTCAGCATGTAATCAAGAAACATGCGCCGCAGCCGTAGGTTGCAGAAATTATAGATGAAATACACCAGAACTGGGTCAGTTTCAAGGAGATGACAAGACTACAATTGGTACATTTGATCTAAGCTCTATTGATATATAAAATAAATATTTGGTAAATTAAATGGAAGAGCGCTGGAGATGAAAGAGGCAGTCTCAGCATGTGCCAGTATACCCTTTCTACTAGCCGCGCGCGCGAAGAATGCTTGTCCTGACAAACAGGTAGGACACTGAATCCAATTGCTGCAAGTTGCAAGATTTACGAGTACAACGGAGCTGCACCCACACGAAATGAAATATGAAGTGCTCCAACGAGCTAGGGAGATGGCTATGTTTCCTGATAGCTGAATGCTCAGCATATCCCTTGACTAGAAGCTTACAACTTTGCTTTCAGTTCTGAACCAGAGTGGAAGAAAACCAATCCCTCCTGCACTATACTTGCAAACAATTTCCCGTCTTCGTTGTAGTAGCTACCCTGCAACAACACCCTATTGTTTGCAAATCTGGGAGCTCTGAAATTGAAAAACATCCATTTCGTAGGGTCAAATTCCGTGTCGTGGAAATAGATGCTATGATCCAACGAGATGGAGAAGAAATGCTCACCTTTCCCACCACTGGTCAATTTCTCCTTCAAGGGTAAATGTAAGATTCTAGACAAAGATGTCAAGTAAAGAGAGTCAGAAACGACCCCAAATCCAGCAAATTTCAACTTTGAGTTGGCGTTACTGCTAAGGTGCAGCAATTTGTCGTCAACTCGAATCCAAAATGATAAATCTCTTTCAGCTGCAGCCTTCTTTGCTTCTTCTCTTTGCGTGAGCGATGGGTTATGGAAATTTGGAGAGAACTTATGTTGTAAGGTATTGGTGTGATCAAAATCAGTCCTGGTTTCCAATTCGGAATGAAGATGTCTTGAAAAAGGTGCAGGCGGTGGCACCTGGAAATCCATTGGCAAGCTAGCAGTGCCATCTCCAGACATTTGGTTGTTGATGTAATTTTTATTTGCTTCCAATAACGAATTCTTAGCCGTTAAAGAAATCATCACTATATACTTTGTTTCTCCCTTTTGAGTAACCTTGATCAACCTATTGGCGAAATTTTTACCGTTCAGTACTTGTTCTACACTGAATTGGCAAGGTATAGTGTCATCACCAGCCTTTACAAAGTATGAGTGCAAAGAGTGAGGTGTAAAGCCTTCCGGAACGGTCTCCATAGCCACTAGGAGGGCCTGGCCACACAAATTTCCTCCATAGACACCTCTGGAGTTCAAAGATGGTTTATTTAAAGGTGTCACACCTTCATAATGGTTCTCAGCTAGTTTCTTTACGCCAAAGGCTTGTTCCAATTTGGATTGGTTCACAGTTAATTCTCGAACTGACATGTGAGCGACTATATTATTATTCTTATTGTAATTATTAGATTCAGTAAGCCCAGTTTAGTACTATACTGAAGAAAAGAAGGGTGCTGGATTACTATAACGAAGAAAAGAGTGGCACTGGAATTCAATAAATCTAATGGAAGATGTTGTGGCTCTTAAGTATTTGTGTTTATCCGAAGAAGCTGCGAAATTCCAGCTCTGCTTTTCCGAAATACACCTTTACTAACGATATATAAATAAATATAATCTAGGTAAGCACACTTTTAGAGATGAGAGGAACATCTCGGACCGAGCTAACTAAATTTTATTTTTTTCACTTACACATGATGCACTGTGTCAAGCCATGGTGTAATTTTATCAAACTACATGTTAAATCTTGCTTATGTACGCAGTAGCCGATGGTTGCAGTAGTGAGAATTTGGAAGTACCTCGGTCCGTCGCTTTACCTGTCAGTATGTAATCAAGAGTTACGCGAGTGGCTCTTTTTCTAAGCGTTAAACTCGTTCCCCACCTGCGCATGGATAAGTAGAAGCAGGTAGGGATAGTTAGGGCAAAGTAAGAGCCGAGACCCAAAAGGTCAACAGAAACTGTTGGGTTGACGTAGGGGTACACTGAACATTACTGGGTTTTTTTGTTCCGGCTAACTAGGTTTGTTCCGGTTAGCTTGCTTGGTGTGGTTGGTTATCTCTGGTAAATACCAACCGAGGTTATCTCCTTAAGTATTCCACACATTGGCAAGTATCGCTATAGCCTCCTTCTCGTTTCTTTATCTTGCCACGCACTACGACTTCCTGTCGTTCTCTTTTTACAGTCTAGAATTGCCGGTGGAGCCACTGTGAGAAGTGTTATGTTTATGTTTATATAGCCTATGCTGTATCAGTATATAGGTTGCACAGGTAACTAAATTGTAGATGCTTTCAAAGGGAAAGCCCGAACTATTTTTTCACCTCGGATAAACCTAAGGCCGATCTTATGTCTGTATAGTCTAACTACCAGGATATCACCAGCCAAGTTTACGTATAATATTTTCAAGACCCTTTCTTCTTATTACTCTTCGTTTCTGTATATACTTTTACTGGGTATCACCTTTCTTCCGGTAATGACGAAGTCTTGTCAGTAAAATTTTAATGCACTGGTTCTAGAATTTTGCACCCAATAGTGATGCCCGAGTCTGCTTGTAGAGCTCTGATGATTGATAGCTCAAGACTTTTGCACCCAATTAGCAGATCAGAGCCTTCCTAGTGGGTTCTACTGGCTGAGATCTCGGGACCTATTATATCAGACTCTGCTTGTAATGTAAGTTGAATAGATCTCGGCCAAAAAGTCTTCCTGTCAATATGTTCTGCAACTTGAAGAGCCATCAACCTCATCACTTCTGTCACTTTACATAAGAGTTCGGGCTTACAGATAGGTCGACCGCTCTTCCCAGACAGGTGTATAAGTATGCAATAAAAAGCAGGAAGACATTAGACGTAATTTAAAACAAGCTAAGAGAAAACGCTGATCGAAAAGTAACCTCTGGATTCAATACTAGAATATAATTATACCAGAGGACTGATAAAAAGAAGTAATTCTGCGGTAGCCATTATATTCAAAAGGGAATTGAACTTACAAGGTAAATAAACCACCGAGATGTGTAGTATATGTAATTCACAGCCTCTATGCAACTGGAAATCGATGAATATCTATTAAAGTTTTAGTTGTTCTGATAATTCAGGGTGAATAATACCGAAGCCTTCTTGGAAGACTGTAGCAACCTGAATGCCCTCTGGGTTAAAGAGACCACCTCTCACCAAAATCCTATTATTTGATAAGACTTTCATTTGATAGTGGAAAGCAAGCCAATCCTTCACAACATCAAATGCGCTCTCGTTGTCGCAGTGGAAATATATATGGTGATCTAACGACATCGCCGTATAATGATGAATTTGAATAATATTCATCGATATTTGCATCAAGTCAAGAGCGTCTTTGTTCTCGTCAAAGTCCTCAGTATTGTACAATTCTGTAGGGTTCCAGGGCAAATGCAATACTCTTGCCAAGGTGGTCAAAAGAGCAGAGTCAGATATACAAGCGAGCCCCACATAGTTAAATTTAGGATCCCTAACTGGCTTGGGTTGGTCCAACCCACTAAACACCGTAATCCACCGTTTACTAGGTGCTTGGCTATTTTCTTGTGGGCATTCCTCATAATTAGTGAATTCCTTAGAGTATGCATTTTTGACAAAACTTGTATGATGGTTCACAGTAAGTTCATCAGGGTTTTGATATTTCTCCTGTAAGGGAGGACGGGGTACTTGGAAATCAAGTGATTTCTTGCCTACATCCTTTGCGTATCCTCTTTTCACCAAGCTTACCGTGCAAGTGTACATAATCTTACTACTCCTCTTACTCGCCAGATACTGCAGACACTTTACCAACCTTTTGGCAAAATTCTTTCCTTCTTGCAAGTTGGTTACTTCATAATGACAAACCTTCAAATTAGTGGGTGGAGCAATAAAATATGAATGTATCGAGTGTACAATGTACCCTGGGGCACTTTCCATCGCAACAAGAAGAGTCTGCGCACAAATATGGCCCCCATAGACACCTCTGGCTCCAGCAATGGGAAGTCTTAGTGGATGAGCTCCCTTGTAGTGTGTATCATCTACTTTTATTACTCTAAAGGCTTCTTCAAAATCAAAATCTGCGTCCGACATGGTCTTCTTTGCTGCAACAAAGCAAAATAGTTTAAATCTGATAGTTTCTACTTCTTTAAATACATGCGGCAATATCAGATGCGGATTAAACTACCCCACAAAATGCTTAAGTCAAGAAATCCAAAAAAGCCGAGTACAATGGTGCTGGGGTAACCAATTTTTTTTTTTCATATGTAAGACAGCATACTTGTTGCGACAATAGAGGTACAAGTACCTAGATTACAGGTGACCGCTCAAAGAGTTGACTTGTACTTCTTTGTATTATTTCCTCTCCCACAATGCTTCACGGAGTAGTTAGCCAGTGGACCAATTTGTATAAGTGTGCTAAAATGCTAAATACGCGCTATATGCTGAAGAGCTCTGAATCCCACCATAAAATGAAATACTATTTCTCTTTTTAGTGAAGTGATGAAACTATCACTGCTGACAGACTTCTCTTCATTCTATAGTGAAAATGAAGAACTCAGTAACGTAATATCTTTATATACTTCACTATCTTGTAATCTATACGGTGATGTTTTTAAGTACTTCACAATGACGTCTTGCAGTTCATACCTTGATATCTTTGTATCTTACCATAGAAAGAACGGGTCTGGTAAGCGCTTCTCTACATTTAACCGTGAGGTTAGCGAAGTTTTGTAATCACTACCATGATTTCTATATATTTCATCGCCCACTGTGTTTTAATCACTACCAATATGCCTCTATACTTACAATGGAATTGATGAACTCACTACCCAGATTTCTCCATATATTTCGTTATGAAGTCTTGTATCTCTACCATAAAATATCTACACGCAGCAATTTAAAGCCAATGGAGACTTTCGAAGAGGATTTCACCAAAGTGATCCATAATCAATGGACTTCAAGGCGGATATCTCTGACTTTCCTTCTACCCCTAGGAAACCTACATGTTTCCAAACTTAGGAAGAAGAGTCTCACATGGGGTCCATCGACGAACGCACGTCCAATTGCTTGCTAGATCGGTCAAATTTTTAAGAATATTGACTTCCCTACCGCATTTCCCGCCTTACCCACTATTCTTCATCAAGTATCATTACCACGCCGTCTATAATTTTCATTCTATTCCTCATCGCTGTAATGGAAGTCAATGTTATACCTACTTCTGAACTTTTTACTAATCTCATCAATCTCATTAGCGTCATAGGCCTTCTTCTTACTTAATTGAAGGTGTGCAGGTTTGGAATAAGTTAGTTCCAGAGTTGAGCTGTCTTGAGCCAATGGGATATCAATTGGTTTCTGATTTAGCAATGACGATTTGGCAATTGAACCAGATAGTTTGGATTCATATGGAACTGGCCTTGTCTTTGAGTATTTCGATGTTTCAAACTGCTTTTGTCTCCTTTTGTCAACTGCAACTTCAGAGTCGTCTTGGTAGTGTACAGCTTCAAGTCCTAACATTTCCCGTTGCTTATTGCTAAGCTGCAAATCAAGACACTGATCTTGGGTTTTGAGCAAGCGATAAAAAGTTAACAAAATATTGAATATGAAAAATGCATAGATCCCATTTTTGACGAGATATCCGTAGAGCCAGAATGAAGAAGAAGGAATGATCTTCGAAGAACTAGTAGGTATATTAGGGCTCGATTTCAGCACATATGATGGAGTGTATTGATATTTCTGGGCCTGAACTCTTGATTCTTCATACACAGATTTCAAAAATACAAGAAATGACATGAAAAGTCTGAATACTATGACAAGTGCAACGTTTAAGAAACATTTCCTGAACTCATTTTCTTTATTCACTTGCCTTGCAAGAGCCTCTTTCACCACTGGATTGAACCATTCTCCAGATGGCCCAGTATTGGCACCATCATCGTCATCATTAAGCTCCTCGTCAAGCTTCAGTAAGTTCAACTGCTGCTCATCTAACTTATCTACAAAGGCATAAGTGTTCAATCTCGGGTTGCTTGCCTTTTCCGTTTTCCGACTATCGGCATCGAGTCTGATATCTTGTGCTTGATCCTGTATCACCTGCTCACCGAACCCAAAAGGTCTGAATTTATTATATGTAGAGCCATGGTAGTTTGGAGGGAGAAAGGACTGAATGCCAGACTGTATCGATGATGGTGGGTTATAGTAAATAGGCTCGGAAGCCTTTGGATTCGCATTAGCATTGCTCTGATGGTGCAAATGTTTCTTATGAGCGTCTATCTTAAGTTTCGTTTGGAATAAAGTGAAAGATACATCACTGACAGGCTGTAAATTATCAACATCTTTTAAAAGGTCCAGATTTAGTTCGTATTGTTCATTATTGCTTTCGTTCTTTCTATTGTCTGTTCTCATGTCTCTCCTTCTCAAGTAGTTCGGTACAGAATTGCTAGATAACTTCTGCAATGGTGCCCCCTCTTCATTTCTTTTCGAGAGATCGTTTAACAACGATTCGTTATATATCTGGGTCATCTATAAGGAGTCCAATAGTCCTGATATATGCTGAAAATGGTATCGAAACCTGGTGGTAAATACATCAAGTGCAAAAGAAAAGAAACAAAAAAAAATACAAATCAAGATCATTAGACCTGCACATAGTTGTGCCATTGGTGCTGTCAATGAGCTGCAATGGTATATGCTACAAGCTTCATATGGGCTATTTAGTGGTATATGGTCAGTCAGCGGGGAAGAGATACAGAAATGAGAAGATAATTGCAAAAGTATTCATTTATTGCGGTGCACTTAAGGGTAGGTAGGCGGTGTTACTTGTATTCATATCCTTGATTCTACACATAGAGATGAGGTTGCACATTGTTAACGAGGTTGCAATGGTAAAGGCTCTAAGCTTCATACGGAATATGATAGTGATAGGCAGTCAGTAACCGAGGTACAGTAGAGATGAAGACATGATTACAAAAGGATTGTAGATGCCAGATTTTTCTTGAATACACAGAGTGTAATGTAGCAATTGGATGTGCAGCACATCTGTGCGGCACATCTATTTCGCTACCCCAACAATAGATGGTCTTCCATGAGCACATTGAAATGGATATTCACATTCGCCCAATGTCAACACAAGATGATTCATTTCTGCTGTAGTCAATTCAGTTCCAAAGACAATAGAAGATCTGCACGCTTTAGTACTGATTATGTCTATAAGTACCTTGGGTAAGTTTCTAATATTCTCATACCACGGCACAAGGTCAATAGTTCTCGATATTGGTGTCTTCAATTTATTCTCAATTTCATATACATACTGTAACAAGTATTTAGACAACTCGGTAGTAAAACCTGAGCACAACTTGTCTATTATAATCCTTGGCAAGTGTGTAATTACAAGTCCATTCCCTTCTACTTTATACTTTACCCCCCAAGTTTGAAAGTGAGATAAATTGGCTGCGAATGCCTCACGATCTTCAACTCCATAATAAGCCAAATCCACTTCTGTCTTCAATGGAACACATATATCAATTGTTTTATCCTTTATCTCCTCAATCAAAGTCTTTAGTAACCTTTCATATCGTATTCTTTCATCACAAGCATGTTGGTCGATGGCCAATAACGCAAAAGGTTCTCGAGTAGTTAGCAAAATAAATTTTTTATCCAACTGTCGTATAACTTTGAAATTGTACTCTTTCAAATCTTGTCTCTTGAACGTAATATTTGAAGTAGAAAAGCTGGGGTCTTCCACCCCTACTGTACAAAAATGTGAATGACTCGCACTTTCCTGATTCCGGATCGTACTCAACTGCTGTTGAAGGATTTCCAGGCTTCTAATTAGCGGAGTAAAATGGCTCAGTCTTTTTGATGGACTCACTGGAGAATCCTCATCTTCCAAATTCAACCTCTTAAGCGGACTTGTACTTGCACTTTTACTGTCAAGTGAAGTTGATTTTTTGACTGGACTCGTCCTTTCACTTCCATCAGTATGCAAATTCATACTTTTATGTGGACTTATACTTTCATCTTTATGAGGACTGAACTGATAATTCACGTTCAAGACTTCCAAAATGATTTTCAAAACTTCATTATAATACTTTGTACTTCGTGCTATTTCACGTATTGGATGCTCAGTAAAGTCAATTTTCAAGATGGCTACAGAAGTTGACTTTGAGATCTTCTTCAAATCTTCATTCAGAAGCTCAAAGGGTTCTCTGTTAACTATGATACAAATATGGCTTTTATAGCTTTGCTTGGAATCATATGTCCCAACAATTTTACATTTTCCTATGGTCCGGTCAACTTCCTTGAAGTCTGCTTTCTTGCCGTAAACAATTGAGTATAATTTACCGTACTTTACTGGATCTTTCAATCTCAATACCGACAGGGGTACTTTCAATAACGTTTGTAATTGACTTTCTTCCCCAGCTTTCACCAGCACCTTGCTTACTTCCATCTCTACACACTTGGAGATCATACACTCGAATACAACACTTCTAATATCCTCCAATACTCTATGTTCTGGCATATTTTCCAATTGAGATCTACGAATAGGGATATTAGCAAACATGTTCGAAGCAGCAACACTAGTCGTCATTTCCCCGTCAAAGCTGAAGCTGAAGTTAGGGTTCGAAGTTTTGCAATCTTGCTCACCTCTAAACATCTCTCGTTTTTCACGATAAATGCGTACCATAGTGGGTCCCACTTTAGATACTATAGATATGATTCCAAGCTGCGACATGGAATATAGTGAGTTACCTTTATGCCTATATCTTGGGTTAGAGTCAACATCTCTCGATGAGTGGTTCCGAAGACCAACCATAGAAAAGTCCTCTTCTGCAATACCCTGACCATTATCGCATACTTGAAAACTAAATGTTGCAAGATCAAGAATTATGGAAACCTTTGTTGCATTTGCATCAATGGAATTTCTTAAGAGCTCTCGTATAACACCCGAAACGTTCGTAATATGAGCCAGCGCATCAACGTGACTTGAAACCTCTTCATTGAGCTTAGCAATACTTCTCATACACAATTTACAGAACCTGAGGAAGAAAAGTGAAATCTACATTGAATTTTTTCGAATATTTTTCTCTCCTGCCTTAAAGTGCAACATGTTCCAGTGTGATTGAAATATCTTGCCAGGCTCTTGCATATGCACGGATCGCCATATCTGGGGTAACAGATTGTTCTCATTATTGGTTCAAGTGCTTTAATTCGTTGAGTAAAAGTTTACTCCAGCTTAGAACCATAGTTTCACTTAATAGTTTAGAGTAAGAACTTTATGGATTTTTTTTGGTCCAAGGATCATTTTACGTATATCTCATATTCATTTAAAAGATGAATAAATAGCAGAGTTGATATTTAACTAGTCAAGCTAGACCTTAAAGCTATCTGAAGAGAGCTACACATAAGAGTATACAGACTGGGTCTAAGTTATAATTGATTTCTATTATCCAAGTTCTCTAAGTTGCTAGTCACCTCTGTACTGCATAATTAGTTATCTACACAGTGCTACACGTAAGAATATACTCTTTAAGTGTAAGTTATATTTTAATTTCTAATCTTCAAGTTCTAATTTGCCAGTCAACTCTATACTGCACAATCTTAACAAGTATCGTAAATCATAAAAATAAAGATGTGTGTTTTGGAATTCTGTCAAGATCCATTTGTCAGCATTCGAGGATTGCAAAAAAATTACACCACACTAGCACCGTACGGCGTATACTTTATGCATAGCTTACTCATGTAGAAGGTGAAAGAACTCAACAGAATATAAAAAATATCTAAATGTAAAACTCTAATAGTAGTATTAATAGATACAAATCCTCTCATTCAAGTGCTACGATGAACTTCAATCAAGACATTCATCAAACTAAATTAAGTATACAATGTCTACTGCTTTTGTAACAGGTGCAAACGGTTTTATTGCGCAACATATTGTGGTTGCTCTCCTTGAAGCTGGATATAAAGTGATTGGTTCAGTAAGAAGTAGTGCAAAGGGTGACCAGTTGAAAGAAAATCTTAGAGGTAAGGCCTTCGATTACGTAGTGGTTGAAGATTTAGGTAAGAAGGGTGCATTTAAGCAAGCTTTAAAGAGCCATCCAGAAATTAAGTATTTTCTCCATACTGCTTCTCCAGTTGATTTCGGAACAGACAATCCTGAAAGGGATTTCCTTATCCCTTCAGTTGAAGGTATTACAGATATCTTGACAACTGTCAAGGATTACGGTCCTCAAATTGAAAAGTTTGTGTACACTTCTTCAGTGGTTGCAATTACATACCTCGATCGCCCTGTAGAGGAAACAGCCTCAGAAGAAAGTTGGAATTCAATTACCTGGGAAGAAGCAAAACTAGACGCTTCCCGGGGATACCGCGGATCCAAGACCTTTGCAGAAAGAGCAGCTTGGGATTTTGTTAAGAAAGAAAAGCCTAATTTTGTACTTTCTACGGTTAATCCGACATTCGTCTTTGGTCCGCAAGCTTTCGAGTCTGAAGTTAAAGAGAAGCTCAATGAAACTAACCAAATAATAAACTCTTTATTGAGTTTGAAAGCTACGGATAAAGCCCCTGTTTTCGGTTGGACTTTCATTGATGTTAGAGATGTTGCCAAGGCTCATGTCTTATCTCTTCAAAACCCTGAAATTGAAAATCAAAGAATTATAACATCTAACACTAGGTTTGATAGTCAGCTTGTACTTGACATTATCAATAAGGAATTTGCAGCCGAGTATGCAGGAAAGATTCCAACTGGTAATCCTGGAGTTTACCAAAAAATTGGGCCCACATTTGACGATAAGAAGTCAAGAAGTTTGTTAGGCTTCGAATACATCGACATCAAGACTACTATAGTAGACTTAGTTCAACAGGTTGTGAACTACAGGAAGAGGAGCAATCTATAGGTACTAAGTACATAGTAAATCTACAATAAACTGTACGACGATTCACTCTAAGAGTCAATTCTATTGTATTATTTTGTTCTGTCATGCATTTATTTTTTCGATAGCTACAGTAGCTAGACTAATTGAACTCAGACATCCAAGAATTGCGATATACTTTCATGTAGCAAGTAGAAGTGAACGCAACCTCAAAGCTCCTAAGGGTTCGTCCTACGTTACGGTGCAACCAATGATCACGTGACTAGTATATACAACATATAGATTCGTCTCTCCACACTTTATGGTCGTTAGCTCTTTTTTAGCTCAGCACATACTATCGTAGGGCTATGGATCTTACCGAACTGAAAGTCATTCAATTGCATGAATATGTTCAAAGGTTTCAACATGTAGATAATTTTGAAGAGTTGGTTCAGATTGTAGACTGGAATTTTCTCTATAGAATATTGAAAATTACCGATAAAGATATTATCACCGATAAGTTGGAAGAAGTATTCCAGGATTCCAAGGAGGAAATATATACCAGTCCCATATTTCTAGACGAGGAGCTTGAAGAGCCATTGACTTTAGCACATGTAGAAGATAATCCGTTCCACGGGGAGGTGGCTGCAATGTTTGCGGCTCTACACCTATATAAGTACACTTCCATTGTAGAAATGAAGCAAAAGGAAGTAGTAAGCACCACCAATGAACTGCACAGTTATGCTGAAAATTACGATTTGGGTTCCAGTCCTTACACTAGAGGTGAGAGAGGAAAAGGAATTGAAGAAAAAACTTCGAAAGATAAGTTGTTGGGGCCAGTCACAACTGGTGTAGTGGGGGCAAACAAGGTGAACAGTTCTGATGCTGCAAGTAACCATGTAATGGCGCATTTGAACCCGTTCGGATTGGGTCAATATAGTGATAATCAAACAAAACTCGGAAAACCTGCTCCAATTGAGATTACAAATCTAAATGTTCTAACTAAACCAGACGTTTCTGCGTCTTCAAAAATACGGCCAGCCCAAGAGGGGCCAATCAAATCCAGCAAAGGTTCTCCCTTTGTACTCGCAGATAAGTTGAAGTACATTCGTAGAAAGAGTTTTGGATTCGGAGAACAAAAGAAACTACAGCAACTTTCGCCATCTATGAATTCCACAGCTGTATCTCCTGTTAAAGATCCAGTGACCACTACAGCACCCATTGTAAGATCCAAGTCCAATAGGAGAACATCGATGGTGGAAGATAGCTTACCTCCATATATCAGGAAACAATTAGAAACACACATGCTGCCTAAAACTCCACCTCAACCCTTTTCACCAGGTGAGCAATATGATCTTCTTCATAGAACTCACCAAAGTCTGGTGGATAACACTCTGACTATTATTCAGGAAGAATTGGATGAAATTATGCCACCAGTAACTTTGACCAAAAAACAATCTTCTAGACTTCGTAATGTACTTTCCAACTCGCAATCATTGTACACTATATCCAAGAATACGCTCCCTTCGCTTCCTCCTTCTCAAGGTGAGAGCCAAGCCAGTACAGTTTCAGATTATCTAAACGATACAGATGACGATGATGGACTTGAAGATGATGACGAAGATGATAGAGAGTACGTGCTGCCAACGGTGGTCTCACCTTATCTAGGATTTGAAGATGACGACGAAAACGAGGATTTCCCAGACTTTGAAAACTTGAGTAGAGAAGATTCGACTAAGGATGATGATGAAGACGCTGAAGAAGAAGATGATGGTGACGAATACTTATTTACTAGCTTAAAATAGAATCAAAAATAATAAAATGTATATTAGTCTATTAAGTTCATTTATGTCATTTCATTTTTATATTTAGCTTCTTCTAATGAAAGTTAGAGTGTATTCATACATGAAGAGCGACAATGCACTAGTTGGAGCAGTCTTCAATACACTCATTCCATATCCCTTGTAAAAGCCGAAAAGGCCCTCATTTCTTATGATGGATGAACACAACCTGAGTGCAGACGAAGGAGAAGTTCCATGATTTACGTGGTACATCTGCATTCTTTTCCGAAGCGTATCTAAGGGAAATGTAATTCCTTTTGAAATAGCTCCGGCCAAGAACCCACATATACCTTCTATAAATGGTATGTTATCTTTATATCTGGCAGACAACTCCCTTGCCTCGGAGTATGCCCAAAACATTAGCCCAGTAGTTGAAGCGACTGAGAGAGCCGTTGGTCTGAAACCTGCAAAAAACCCTCGAATTCCTTGCTTTTCCCATATATCTACTACTGTTGATGATAAAGATAGAAATTTCTTATCAGAGTTAGCAGCTAGTCGAGTCCTAAGCAAATCAAAAGGGTACGTAAAGAAGGTACTTGTAAGACCCGCTCCGGATCCAACTACCAATGAATGAACTGCCGGACTCAACGATACCTTGTATTTATTATTTTGTTCTAGTTCACTTAAAGCTCTACTGAAAATAGAGTAAGATGTAAATTGTATTCCTCCGTAAAAGATGTACAAGATTTCAGCGGGGACGTTACCTTTCCAAAGAGCCTTTACACCTTCATTTCTTAACAACGACGTCAACGTCTGAGTAGCTCCCTTGTATTCACTATAGCTAGTGTGCGATTGGAGTTGTAACCTGATTTTGATGGTGTCCAAAGGTGCAGTTATAGCTCTTCACCATGTGTTGTTAGTATCATTCTCTACAGATAAGAGTACTATAAAATAATGCGATGCATACCTTGAGACTGCTCCAGCCATGGAACCAGCTACCAAAGCTTCCAACGGAGAGACGTCCGATCCTTTTCGCAAATGATCTTCCTTGGGTGTAATCCCCATCAGGTTGAGAGTCAGCTAGCGAGATAGAGGTATATATTGAACTGAAATGAGTAGATCTACCATCTGTCAGCTTTAAGGTTCAGTCTTTGTCGTCCTCTCTGTGGTAGGCATGTCGGACTCGCAAGACCGATAGTCACGTGACTCTGTTTTGCACCCATTGCTGCAGCCTGGCTCAGGATATAATGCACTGGGTGAAGGCACTGGCTGGCGGACTCTTAGACTTCTATACGATATATATAGAAGGTCATGCTGGTTGCTGCGGTTAGTTCTGATCCTAAGTCAGGGAAAATTCGTATAAAATTGCCGCCAAGTCAGAATCGCTACACTCACCCGACCTACCCTAACTCATAGTACAGTTTCACTACAGTAGTACAATATGATACGCTTACCATGCTAATGCCTAACTAGGGAAGTTTATTTCCTTGGCCAGCACAATGCCTAGCTGTTTCACTTACAGACTCTGATCACTTCGTTTACAGGCGATAATTTCAAGGAATGATGATCGTGACAATCTTGTACGTTTAGTCGTGAGAATATAAAAGGATCTCACTTTGAGGGTTCCCTAGTATGATAGAGTGCAAAATTTCAAGCATGCGGTACAATTCGTCCCATTTGAAGATGACATCATTTCGGATAGATTCAAGTATAAAATGATCCAGGTTACTTGAAGAACAATTAAACCCCATACAGAGAGCACTGACGGTTCAGCTTTCATTATAGGACGGTAATTGAAAAGCTAGAGTATTATTGCACAAAGTCAAATCGTGTACCCCCCCCTTTACTTTTTGCCTTTTTTTTCAAATTTGTATTTCTGAAGATTTGGTTCCAAAGTTTTATGAAAAGTCCGAAACTTGTTCAATTTGGCGATTGTCATATTGAACACGTCCACGACCTCCATATTGAACAGAAAACGACTTTTTTGTTACACAAAACTTATTTGTGGATAAACCACAAACCAAAGAAAATATTTTAGAGGTTTCAGAAGGCCATGCATTCATACTACAAATTCCTTCAAACGATAATCTTCTCAAGAAAAAAGAGAGCTACCTCTACCCCTGTGGCTTTATTTCTTATCCTATGAAGTTGAGACTACGTTAGATGTCATAGTTACGTCTCTAGCTACATGATGGTATACTTAGATGTGCTGATTTCTTAGTTTTGAACTTTGTCGTTGGCCTCTTTGTGAACATTAGACTTTACAAGCAACTGGGGTGATAATTCATGTTTGCTGTATACCAATGTGTAGCGCTCGTCTCTGGCTTGCTTGTCGTACAAGTTTCAGCCATTTTACTCTAGGTTTGGCTAAGCCACTGACATTATGCTCCATTTAGGCTGTAACTCAAGGCTAATTTTGACTCCCTTACTTGTTTTAGCCACAAATAGAGGATACAAAATGAAAATGAAACTATATGTAGTGGATTTTCCATACAAGGATTTACCTCAGAACAGCTCAAATATATGCAACCATATTAATTTTTGGTAAATTTGTAAGTGAATAACAAGTAGAGGCTACCAACAGACACGCTGAGCCATTGCTGATGGTTTTCAGTCAATCGCTTCTTAAGCTTGAAGGATTTCTAAATCAATGGCTGCAATTTGATCCATATGCAGTATTTGCAACCATTTTAAAATATGCTTACCTGCAGGTAACGAGTAGATCAAGGTAGATAGAGGTAGAGCAAGAGGGCACTAGCAATGAATCACAACCAGCTGATTGGCAATAACTTTCTTGATATATGAGAGGTTGGGGGTTACTCTGCTGAAGTTGAGTACTGAATATCTCGAATAGGTATGTGTTATTTTGGAAGTAGAAAAGGGATGTAGAAATGGGCCTAACTATGGGATAATATGCAGTGCTGAGCTTGATCATATAGTAACAACTAGGTTCATTATTGTTTGTGATTCACTCTTCATGTTCCATACCAATTTGAAGCTTTACTATATTCTAAAGCTCTAAAGCACTCAACCTTAATAGTCTGAAAGTATGCCTTTTCTTAGGTAATAGCTTTAAGCTAGAAATTGCCAAGAGGGAGCCTCCTCCTTACACCACCCTTATAGACCCTAAAACTGGGAAATTTTGTATAGAAATAGTGGCCAAGTTTGAATTTCTACTCTCACCCGACCTATACTAACTCTAAGTAAAGTTTCGCTACATTAGTACAGTACGATACGCTTACCAAGCATACACACGGCGTCTATTAGCTTACATACGTAAGCAACAATAACTACTTTTCGTATTCTGCTAAGACTTCTTTCAAAATCTCGGGGTACCATCTTGCAGAAACATCCTGATGAGACTTGATTCTATTCCTAAATACTGCATATCCAACTGGGTTCTTTGAAATATCAGGCTTGAATTGGAACCCTACGTCTACACCCCATCCAGCTATTTTCTTGTCCCTTTCCTCTTTCAACTGTAAAATCTCCGGTGGAATATTTCCGATTGCACTCTTTTTCAGGTCGAGGTCGATAGTCTGGAAGAAGGGAACAGATATTCTGGTACCTGAACCAGCTTCCGGGATTAAAACTTTGTGAATGGTAGCTTTACAGACACCTTGAGTAATTGCTTCCAAAGTTTGGCCAGCATTGACAACCAAAGTCCTGGGAATATTTTCAACAGTGATCCATTCACCTTGAAAGTTTTGTACCTGTAACAGGTTTTGGTGTGGTGTCACTTGATGGATAAACGTCAAGAGATCCGAATCCCTATGGGGCCCGACACCTTGCTTACTTACAGGGGTGTCTTGTGGCAATGCAACCGAAGTTTTGTCAGAGAGCTCTGAAGTATCTGGGTATGCTATAAGTTTCATTTTCGCCTGCTGGTTGGGCTTAAAGTACAGATCCATTGCCAGGGCGTCCAATCCAATTGCTTCACACACAAGTTTCCTGACACTTGCAGAAAGCTGACTCATCTTGCTTATATAGTTCTCGATAACTGGCCTGAAATTAGGAGCATATTGGGAATCTGGCCAAAGGTTCGGGCCTTCGATATTCTTATAAATGGGATCTCCTTCTTTAGGACCAGGAAGTTCAGTCCCCAAATCAACCTGTTCTCTCCAATCAGTCTGCAGAGCTGTTATTTCATTAGCTAATCTGGTATAACCAAGAAAATGCGGGGAATGGATCATTTCAATCTTGGACTTTACTTCGTCTGGGAGTTTGAAGAATTCTACCGCTTCTTTAGAAATATCAGTGAAATCACTTGAGCTGGGACCATAGCCTTCGTAGTTCTTGAGTAAGAAGAATCCAACGTTAAGAAGCGCATCTCTCAATTCTGCCAAAAATTCCGGCTTCGTATTTGCATCGTACGCTTTGGACAAATCCAAAATGGGTATTTCTTTAAACGACATGAAAAGCAAAATCGACAAAAATGTAAAACAAAAAGGGAGAAAAAGGGACTCTCTATTGGACTTGGCTATTCGAGGTAAAGACGGACTATATATACAGTCAGGGATTATCGGTCCAGAAAATGAAGCGATATTGGTTATAATTTTCACCTAATCCTCGAGCCACACTTTAAAACCTGCGCAATGATATGCATCACCTGCAATTATTTGATCTCCCTGCATATCTTACTGAGCGTAATATCGACCTGCATATGGTGCAGCTCTCGGAAAATAGTGGATCGACCACGAAATACCTTTATATGGAGGGAAAAAGAAGCGGAGATCTGCCAAAGAGAAGTAGAGATGCGCCGGAGCAGAGATCTGCTGGGGGAGAGATCTAAAGAGGGGTCGATAGCATAAATTGGAATGGAATGATTGGGGATGCTCATCTACCTGTTTATTCTATGACACAACAAGTGCTCACGCAGCAGAAAAGGCAATGATTGAGTTGCATCAAATTGTCACTGTTTGCAGCACTTCTTACGCAGCACTTTGACACTTCACGCACATCAGTTGCAACAACATGCGCCTACCCCAGCTTCGAGATCATTTCATTCTTGTCTGCACTAGTAGCATAGCACTACTGGGCCCGCTTCAGCTAGCCTCCCACGATACACTTGCTAGAATCCATTCCTTTTCCTTTTTGATTTTCGCGTGGAGCCGTCCTGGTTCATTTCCCATGTATTCTCTCTAAATCTTCTATCTGGTTCCATAGTGCATCTACTTCTCACGACTCATGAAAGGCGCCACGCGGGATTTGAAAATTACACAAAATCACTATCGACATAGTAACGGAAAAAATACCAGCTACATAGAAATGGGCCTCTGGCAACGATCCTTTTCCTTTTCTTGCTTACTTCTTTACTTCAAGGATGTCTTCACTTGTTAATAATCCTGCTATTCAGGATGCACAATTGTTGGTTCCTAAGGCTTTGTTTTTAAGACCTTATGTCTGGCCCTTTGCAGTCATCTATCCAATTTTCCTACAAGTGTACTTGAATCACTATGATACGTACATTGTTGGAAAGGAATGGACTTTTGTCTACCTTTTAAGTATTGTTTCTACAAACTTGTTGTTTTGGTTGATGCCACATTGGAATTTGAAAATAGACCAGTCTTTCAACTATTCTCCTGTCAAAACCATCCCTGAAGCATCTCACATCTTAATCACACCAGCCCCAAACTCTGGTGTAGGAGAAATCTCTCAAATCTCAAGAGAGACCTTCCACGATGGTGAAAAGCAAGTCTCTTTCTTATACCAGAAGAGACGTCACTTGTTCCATGAAAATATTCAGAAGTTTTCTCCCCCTGAATTCTTGTTTGATGAGGCCCCTAAGTTGGCTGAATTTCAACAACTGACTGGGTTAAAAGGTGATTTGGAGAAGTTGTACAGAAACTACGGTCAAAACAAGTTCGATATCCCCATTCCTACCTTTTACGAGTTGTTTAAGGAACATGCAGTTGCCCCATTCTTTGTCTTCCAGTTGTTTTCCGTCGCCCTTTGGTTAATGGACGAACAGTGGTACTTTTCATTGTTCTCCTTGTTTATGTTAGTGTCCTTCGAGATGACTACAGTTTTCCAAAGGCGTACCACCATGAGTGAGTTTCAAAGTATGGGTATTAAGCCATACGATGTACAAGTTTATAGAGACTCTAAGTGGGAACCTAAATCAACTATCGACTTACTCCCAGGTGATTTGGTTTCCATCACTAGAACTTCTGAAGATAGTGCCTTACCATGTGATTTGTTGTTACTTGATGGTTCCTGTATTGTCAACGAAGCTATGCTTTCTGGTGAATCAACTCCATTGTTGAAAGAATCCATTAAGTTGAGACCTTCTGATGAAAACCTATCCGTGGAGTCATTTGACAAGAACAGTTTGTTACATGGTGGTACCATGGCGTTACAGGTTACTAAGCCAGAAGCTGAAAGCAATGGTATCCCTATTGCTCCAGATGGGGGTGCTTTAGCTATCGTTACCAAGACTGGTTTTGAAACATCTCAGGGTTCCTTGGTCAGAATGATGATCTTTTCTAGTGAAAGAGTGTCAGTTGGAAACAAAGAAGCCTTTTTCTTTATCTTGTTCTTATTGGTCTTTGCCATCATTGCCTCATGGTATGTTTGGGTTGAAGGTACCAAGATGGGACGTATTCAATCTAAATTAATCTTGGATTGTATCATTGTCATTACTTCTGTTGTTCCACCTGAATTGCCAATGGAATTGACCATGGCCGTAAATGCTTCATTGTCAGCATTGCTGAAGTATTATATTTACTGTACTGAACCATTTAGAATCCCATTGGCTGGTAGAATTGATGTTTGTTGCTTTGACAAGACTGGTACCTTGACTGCTGAAGACTTGGTGTTCGAAGGTTTAGCTGGTTTCAAAGATGATGACATTCATCACTTGTCTAAGTCGTCAGATGTACCTGATGTCACTCTGTTCGTTTTAGGATCCTGTCACGCATTAGTTAAGTTAGATGATGGTGAAGTCGTTGGTGATCCAATGGAGCAAGCCACTTTGAAGGCTGCTCACTGGGAAGTTGGTCTCAAGGATACTATCCAAAGGACTAAGCCAAATGGTAAGTTAGAGAAGATTAAGGTCTTGAGAAGATTTCAATTTTCGTCTGCGTTAAAAAGATCTGCTTCCATTTCCTCCTCTGCATCATTCAATGGTAAGAACTTGGTTTCTGTCAAGGGTGCTCCTGAAACTATTCGTGATATGTTGGTTGAAATTCCTGCCAACTATGAATCAATTTACAAGTCGTTTACAAGATCTGGTTCTAGAGTTTTAGCTTTAGCATACAAGTACGTGGATACCAATGTTAATGTTATTAAGGTTAAGAGAGAAGAAGTTGAACTGAATTTGACATTTGGTGGTTTCATTGTATTCCATTGTCCATTAAAGGAAGATTCTATTGAATCTATTAAGATGCTTAATGAATCCAGTCATCGTTGTATCATGATCACTGGTGATAACCCATTAACTGCCTGTCACGTTGCTAAGGAAGTAGTGATCACTACTAAGGAAGTATTAATTTTAGATGCACCAGAAGACCATCACAATGTCTCTGGTGAAGAAGACTTGGTCTGGAGAAATGTTGATGAAACTATCATCATTCCTCAAAAGCTGTCTGATAAAATCGACCTTGAACTTTTCAAAAAGCATGATATTTGTATTACTGGTTATGCTTTAAAGTATTTAGAAGTACACCCTCAAATTTTGGATTTATTGAAGCATACATGGGTTTACGCTAGAGTCTCACCAAACCAAAAAGAATTTATCTTGACCTCATTGAAGGACTGTGGATACAACACCTTAATGTGTGGTGATGGTACAAATGATGTCGGTGCCTTGAAACAAGCCCATATTGGTGTTGCCTTATTAAATGGTACTGAGGCCGGATTAAAGAAAATTGCTGAAAACAGAAAGATTGAAGCCACCAGAAAGGTTTACGACAAACAAGTTCAACTTTTCAACAACTGGGGTAAACAAGCACCTCCATGTCCACCAATTATTGCTCATTTATACCCACCTGGTCCATCTAATCCTAAGTATTTGGAAGCTATGGAGAAGAAGGGTGTTGAAATTACTGATGATATGAGAAAGGCTGTAAAGATGGCAAACGATATTGGATTTGTTCCAAAGAAGGACGACGCCAAAGCTATGAGTAACCCAAGTATTTCCATGATGACTGATAGTCTTATGGGAGCGTTGGACTCTGCTGAACAAGAAGATGAAGCTCCAACTTTGAAATTGGGTGATGCATCTGTTGCTGCTCCTTTCACTTCCAAGCTAGGCTCTGTTTCTGCTGTTACACATATTGTGCGCCAAGGTCGTGCTGCCTTAGTTTCCACCATTCAAATGTACAAGATCTTGGCATTGAATTGTTTGATTTCTGCCTACTCTTTATCTGTTTTGTATTTGGCTGGTATCAAATTTGGTGACGCTCAAGCCACGACTTCTGGTGTGTTGTTATCTGTTTGTTTCTTATCCATCTCCCGTGGGAAACCAATTGAGAAATTGTCCAAGGAAAGACCTCAAGATGGTATTTTCAATAAGTACATCATGGGATCCATTCTAGGACAATTCGCTGTCCATATTATTACTTTGGTTTACATCACTAGAGAAATCTACATTTTAGAACCAAGAGAACCACAAATTGATTTAGAAAAGGAATTCTCTCCTTCGTTATTGAATACAGGAATGTTCCTTTTAAATTTGGCTCAACAAGTTTCCACTTTTGCGGTTAACTACCAAGGCTTACCATTCAAAGAAAGCATTTCCAGTAATAAGGGTATGTACTATGGGTTATTGGGTGTTGCCGGTTTGGCCTTATCTGGTGCAACTGAATTCTTCCCAGAATTGAACGAACATATGCAATTTGTACCAATGCAAGATCTCTTCAAGGTGAAGTTGACTTCATGTATTGTCTTGGATTTAGCTGTCTGCTGGTCCATTGAATTAGTTTTGAAACACTTCTTTATGAACTACCAAGCTGCAGATATTGCTTTAAGAGAGGAAGATCTTGAGTAGTCTATAGTATTTGCCTGAAATGGGAGAATTAAGGTCGGTGGTCGTGGCATAGATATTTTGTTATTACATATTATAAATCATAATTTCAAATAAATATATATAAAGAGATTTTTAATATTTGCTCGATGTTAGTACTTGCTTGAACATTATGTCTCATGTCAAGAATATCAATTAACATGACATTGTAGATGGTCTAAGCTCCTTGTACTATGCAATACTTTTGGAGCCATAAGTCAGTCGTGAGCTGTGGAACGTACCATCAGACTTCTAGGAGTTTTCTATATGTAATAAGCCTCGATTAAGCATGAGTGAACTATAAGTAGGCTCTCATATAGAGAAGTGTATAAAAATTGCTTACAGAACTCTACATCTGCTAGAATTTAAACCATCTGTATGTATTAGTCTATTCCTATGTGGTTTTATCGATCTTCTGTAAATCACAACATCTGTCTAAATTGTTAACTTTAACAACTGTTATGCCCCCCCTCGTAATTATATGTACTTTGCTCGCTCCAAGTGTTTCTTCCAATCTCACAACAATGTCTTCAACTTCTCCTTCGCTGATAGGATAGCTCAAGCTGTCACGAATTATATCTACAAATTTAACTAGTGGAAGTGAAGCAACTCCGACTTTCTTTTCAGTTTCCTGATCATCAACGTCCTTGGTTTTAGTTCTTCTTCCTCTACTTCCAGACCAATAGGTCTGATATAGAATATCATACACGGGGTGCAACTTACCATCGAGATAATTCGAGTATCTTATGTCAGAGTTGTCTACCTTAGCCAATTCTTTGTTCTTTTTTTCTTTTAATTTGATTCTTTCCAATAAAGTAAGTCCGGATTTGCTTAGCTCAATTGCTTCGTCCTTTGGTTTGAATTTGAACTTCTCAGTAGTATTTTTCAAGTTATGTTTATCAACCAAGGACGATTTAGAAGGTTTGCTAATCTTCGAAGGTGAGCCGCTTTTACTGCTACTGTCACTACTATTATTGTTTTCAATAAGGGCTTTACTACAATTTAAGAAATCATTACAGATTGGTAACACTTGAGCTTCAGGATTATTTGCTATCCACGAATTTACCGATTCAACATATTCCTGGTTCCTTCGAGTGATCGATCTATTGAAATGATTTATTTCAAAAGGTAAAGTTATAGAAAATGAAGATTTATCATTCACCTTATGATTCTCCAGAATTATATAACTAGCAGGATATAATGCTAGTATGTTTAATAGACTTTGAAATGTGACTTTTCTACTTAAGAGATTTGAAGATGAGTTCAAGATTTGATCCACCGATGGGGGAGACGTATGACTGGTGTAATGTAAGTTTAAACAGTTATCTATCGCTTTAAAATACGATGCACTTAACTTAAACGTTTCCGGTCGTATAAACTTATGCCGGCCGAATTCATTTGTAGTCATGTAGTTTAGTTATCTACTCTTTCTTCAGCACCAGAACCACGAAAGCTTCCTTAGTAGCACTTCGGCTTCTGGATTAGTAGTTGTGTTGGTAAATGCACGACTTGAAATTTTAAATCAGAGTGGAGCCTTCAGGTTCCGCACAAAGCACGTTACAAAAAACGGCTTTATTTTGTATATGAGCCATGGCATAGGAGAAAGCGTTATCTCTCTTCCAATTCGTTCTATTCACCTATTTGAGAATAATAATCTTTTAGGAACACGAATTCATTGACAACCCACAGTCAACGGAGCCCGCCCCACGAATGCTTATTGAAAATAAATTATGTCATGCTGCAGGTGAGTGCAAAGAGTCCCTGCAGAAGCGGCTTGTGACAACGAAAAACAAAGCCGGGCTACGAAAATGGGGAACAAATTGGAAGTCCATGAAAAATGGTGGAAGATCTTTACGCTATTCAGATTTGAAACTTCGATTATCTTGCGGATAGCTTCACTTGCCTTCTAAGAAGCAATTGAGTGGAGAGGAGCCAGAAAGATTTGCAAAGCAGGGCTTGATTGAAGGGTAATATTTTACAGAGAGCGCTCTATTTTCAGTTCCCTACGTCAGAATCTACGGACTTTTCACAATTGATTTTCTACATTATAGTTTTAATATTCACCGTCTATTGAAGTCAAGTCTAACATCTAGTTCTTATTCTCTTCCTTCTTATCAGTGTTACCTTCAGAGGAAGTTGATGATTGCTTGTGGTTAGCACTGACATCCTTGTAGGATTGTTGAGCTCTTTCGGATAAGGTACCTTCCTTTTGGAAATCATTGTAGACGGTTTCAGCATCTTTAGCGTAAGCACCGTATTGGTTTTCACCAGAACCTGACTTACCGTCGCCCTTGTTTTGGGATTGGACGAACTCTTCACCCTTCTTGAGAATACTGTTGAAATCCATTTTTAATTATCTTGTTAAATAGTTCTAACCTTTAAATATAAAGTTGTGATAAAGAAGAAGCTGGAAAGAAATTGGTTCTGAAAAATTGACCAGGAATGCTCCCTTTTATAGTCTGGGAATAGGAAGGTGCATTGTATTTTGAAAATTGTCAATGCGTGAATGGGGCACCCCTATCGCCGTCAACAAAGTGGCATTTTAACTCGCTGACGCACCAACCAGACACATCTACCTCCTTCCTGCACGTCACATATCCATTTTATTCTTCCTTCCTGTTTGACCCTAAATCTGCATGCGGCCCAACGCGCGTCCATAGAAGCATTTGCATGGTAACTGAAACAAAGAAAATATGGACAAAATTGAAATAATAATATTGCACTGTTGTTGAAGAACCTTCTCCTCATTTATACACTTTAGGTAGATATTTCGAGTCTTAGATTGTGAGATGTATATTTATCACCACGTCCTAACCACGAATACACTACAAAATTGTGGAAAACAATCGATATATCCTTGCTTTTGCTACTCTTCCGGCTCATTTTAGTGTTTCTGAGTACTGCATGTATTGTACTATTATCTACCATCCAGGAGGACAATATTCGATGCCTATTTGGGAATCAATCAAAAAATATGAAGTCACGTGACTAAACGATGTCGTAATTGTGCAGTGATCGCCAATTCATGTAACCAAACAAACAGGCAGCACACCCTTTTCAATCGAAAGAGATTCCCATGCTATCGACTAAAAGTGGTCATTGTACTACATTGATAGCAAACTGAGCGCGATAACATTCGTGACTTTACTATCTGGTAAGGTTTGTGGCAATCGAAATGCTGTAAGTTGTGTAGAATGAATATTCAAAAACAAGTTAATGCGTAAAATGTCAAAATGCAATTTTCTCAAACTCTGAATTAATTCTTCAAACAGAACTTCCCAAAAATTATGCCCAGTTTGACTTTGCAGTGTCGAAAGAATTAACCATGGTCCAACTACTTTTATATGCATTCTTTGCTTAGTTTGATTATGTGAACGACATACGGAATGTGCCCTTTAAAGCCATCAAGTCATGATCTGCTTTAGAAGAGGCGTAGGTATTTCGTTAGTTCTTCTGAAAAGGCAGAGAACAGATTTCCGAATTATCCTAAAGTGAGTGTAAAAGGACTTCCTTTCTCTTGAAAGTAAAACTTAGCTCTAAGTTCGATCAATAAGTCAGAGATTTTGATTTTGAATACCACATAATATAATTTGCAATCATTGATTGTCAATTATTACAAAAGACAAGCGGTCAATCAAATGCCAGTAATTACTACTTATCTTAACATAGTAGAAATCGAATGTGAAATTGATGTGATATATTGCAAACTTGAAATTTCTACCCTGAAGAAAAGGTTCCCTCCGAAGGGAATATAAGTCCTACTTTGAGAACATTCAGAATTTCCAATATTACATTCGAGAAGCAAGGATTTTATAAATTTTGTTAGCTTTGGATACTATCTTATAATAAATAAATAAAAAAAAGAATACTTTCAAAAGAAAAATATTAGAAATCCCAAGCTTGACAAAGCCGAATATGTGAAAACCTTTCCCTCTCAATTATTATTGCTTCCAAAAAGTGTAGAGCCTATATATGTGTGTGTTCTTCAAATTAGATTGGAAGGAAAACAACTGCTGGCGATATGTATATGTTATCCGCAATTCATCTCCTCAGGTACTATAAAAAATTAACACTTAAAAGTTTTGCAAGCAGAGTAGTCTAAGAAGATACTTTCGAGATAATGAAGACAAACAGCACTCCTTCACAAGATTGTGAAATGTTCGTATGTTCTTTAGTTGATGTTTCTGACTACTTTTATGCACTTACATAAGGGTTACACCTTAACGCGCGGCTGAGCTGCATGCACTTGAAAAGTTAAAAAGGGAAGCACAGTGCTCCTTGCGGGTACTACCATTTTAAGCACTCGGAAATTTTTAGCTTCTTCACGAATATAAAAGTTAACTTTACGAGAAACGCAAGAGTAAATAAGAGGCGAGAAAGAGAATGGATTACAATTCAAAGCTATGACACTACTTTAAAATCCATTAAATTCATAAGCTGTATATATGAAGGTGAGACTGATTCTTGACATCCACTCGTACCTAAGCAGCTGCAGCTTTGGCATCAGCTGCAGCTTTAGCCTCGGCTGCAGCCGCTTCTTCTGCAAGTTTCTTATCTTCTTCTGCAGTCTTCTTACGATTATAACTAACTTCCTTATAAGCCTTTGTAGCATTATTAGTGAAAGATCCTCCATACTTGAAACTCTTGTAAACAGAAAGACCATCTTTGGCGTTATTTTTCAATTGCTTTTTGTCCATTTCCTTTCCTTTCTTGATAAGTCCATTGATATCGAATTTAGACTTTGCGGCACCAGCTTCTGCTCCTTCTCCCTCTGAGACAGCAGTAACTTCTGTGGTTTCAGTAGCAGTACTTTCTGTGGTAGAAGGTGCAGTACCTTCAGTAGCAGTGGCGGGAGCAGAAGCCTCTGTAGTGGTAGCACTAGTACTAACTTCTTTGGTAGTAGTAGTAGTAGTAGCAGGAGCAGTACTGTCCTTAGAGGCAGTCTTAGTTTCAAAATTCTTTTTTTGAGTGTTAGCAAAGTCTTTGCCTTTCTTGAGCATGCCTCCGAAATCGACCATTTTTAGTTGCGCTGGATGTATAAATGTTAGAATATAAAATTTAATGAAAGAAAGTAGAAAACTTCAGGGTATGTAAAATGGCCAACGTGGTTTTGTCTCTTATATATAGAAATTGGACGAATTTAATATCTAGACCCCTCGCCCCTGAATACGAACTTTCTGAACTTTAATTTGGTTTATTTTGTTTAGTTTTGCCAAATTAATCGTTAACTCTCGTTATGTTTCACATCAATGCGGTTTAATGCATGATCAAATAATCTAAAACCGAAGTGAGTTGCATTCAAATTTGAGTTTACCAGAAGTATTTTAAACTTTTACGAGTTAAGTGTCTTGGCGTTCAGCAAGACATATATATAATCTACAATCCAATACTTTTTCAAAATATATTCTAATTACAAAATTCCTATTTATGTGAGGGTAGTAGCCACCTTATCTCATACTCAAACATACAGCCCCTTGTCTACAATTTCAAGTTTTCAAGAATCGAAATGGTTTGTTCGTAACCTTCGATTTCGGCCTTGTAATTTTCTTGTCTTTTGTAGGCAGCTTCTTTGGCAGATTCCTTAGTCTTTTCAGTAAACTTTGAAATGGATTCTTCTAATTTACTTTGAAATTCCTTGGAGGCACCCAACTTCTTTTCAACCTTAGCAATTTCTGCATCTAAATCTATTTGACCCTTTACTAAAACATGGACAGTGGTTTCAGTGTTGATTGATTGCAAAGCACATCCAGACGGAACATCCTTCACATTGGAAACAATTTCAATCTTTTCAACACCCTTGATCAAAGAAACAATGGAATCTTGTTGGTCTTCAGTAATTTTAATAATATCCTTATTTGAAGATTCAACATAGACCTGACCATTCTTTATAATGTTGTATTGGGATAATAAAGATCTAGCACCCTTTGTGATGTCCAAAACCAATTCATAGGCCTCTAAGGACTTAGTATCATCTAATTCAGAAATGTATTCTGGGAATGGGGCCTTAACAATTGATTTCAAGCTTTCAGAAGCTCTTCTAGGCAACCTTTGCCACATTTCCTCGGTAATAAATGGCATGAATGGATGTATTAATCTCAAAGCACCGTCGATACAAGTGTACAATGTTTGCTGCGCAGAGAACTTTTGTTCAGTGGTACCGTCTTGGATAATAGACTTGGAGTTTTCAATGTAAACATCACACAAATCGTACCAGAAGTTGTAGATAGCATTAGTTGCTTCGGAGAATTCTCTAGCTTCTAAAGTTTTGTTAACAGTCTTTGCGGTTTCGTTCAATTTATGTAAAATCCATCTTTCTACAAGAGAAGCATCCTTGGAAATCTCAATATTTGGAGTTGGTTGGAAATCACTGCCCAATCTACCCAAGACGAATTTAGTTGCTTGGTAGATCTTGTTACAGAACTTTCTGTAACCTTCAACTCTCAAAATATCTAAGTTGATATCTCTACCACCAGTAGTGTAGGCACATAAGGCAAATCTCAATGCATCAGTTCCACACTCAGGAATACCATTAGGGTAAGAAAGCTTTTGACCTTCTTGAGCTTTCTTTAATTCTCTTGGGTCTAAGTTACCAACTAATAATTTATCGTGCAAGCTTTGCAATGGGATACCACTGATAACATCGAGAGGATCAATGACATTACCTAAAGACTTGGACATCTTACGACCTTGGGCATCACGAACCAACGAGTGACAAAAAACTTCTTTAAATGGAACTTCACCTGTCAATTTGAGACCAAGTAAAACCATTCTAGTTACCCAGAAGAATAAAATATCCCAACCAGTTTCCAACATAGACATTGGGAAGAATTTAGCCATATCGGCGGTCTTGTGAGGCCAGCCTAAGGTAGAGAATGGCCACAAACCAGATGAAAACCAGGTATCTAAGACATCTTCATCTTGTTCTAAAGTTAATTTGGTGTTTGGGAATTTCTTAGTGGCTTTTTCCAAAGCCTCTTCATAAGTTCTTCCAGAAATCCAGTATTCGTTGTTTAACTTATCATCTTCTTGACCTTCAATGGTCACATAGTAAACTGGGCATCTATGACCCCACCACAATTGACGGGAAATACACCAATCTTGAATGTTTCCTAACCAATGGAAGTATTCAGCTTCAGAGGTCTTTGGGCTAACGGTAATTCTACCATCTTTGACCGCCTTGATAGCTTCACCAGCCATATCACTTTGTTTGACCCACCATTGTGGTTTCAATAATGGTTCAATAACATCCCCAGATCTGGAACAAATTGGAATGGTCATTTCATTATCTTTTTGGTCAATGTATAATCCCTTGGCCTTCAATTGCTCAATAACCTTTGTTCTGGCGTCAAATCTCTTGATACCTTGCCATTCTTTTCCACAGTTTTCGTTTAATAAACCATCATCCGTGAAAATGTTTATGAATTCCAAATCATGTCTCTTACCAGTATTGTAATCATTTAAGTCATGGGCTGGTGTAATCTTGACAGCACCGGTACCGAATTCCATGTCTACAGCTTCAGAATCACAGACAATAGGGATCTTACGATCCAAGAATGGATGTAAAACAAACTTACCATGTAAGTGCTTGTATCTAGGATCTTCAGGGTGTACTGCGATACCAGTATCACCAAAAAGAGTCTCAGGTCTTGTGGTGGCAACGGTGATCTTTTCATCAGAACCCTCAACTTGATAAGAGTAGGACGTAAGAACTCCGAATTCAATCTTATTATCGTAACCTGGTACAGATAACAAAGTCTTACCAGGAATGTTCTTATTGTCAACTTCCAAGTTAGAAAGTGCGGTGTTCAATTTAACACACCAGTTAATCAATCTTGAAGCTCTGTAGATAGTACCATCTTCATGTAATTTCACAAATGCCTCTGTGACAGATTCAGATAATTCAGGCAGCAAAGTGAAAGCTTCTCTAGACCAATCGTATGAGGCACCCAACTTCTTAATTTGGTTCTTGATTCTTGAATGGTAGTCTTCTTTCCATTCCCAGACTTTTTCTATGAATTTTTCACGGCCATAGTCATGTCTGGTCTTCTTTTCCTTTAGCCATAATTGCTTTTCAACAACGGATTGGGTAGCAATTCCAGCGTGATCGAAACCTGGCAAAAACAAAGTGGTCTTACCCTTCATTCTGTTGTATCTGATCAATGAATCTTGAATGGCGATAGTTAAGGCATGTCCAATGTGGAGAGAACCCGTAACATTCGGAGGTGGAGCTGGAATAGTAAACAAGCCTTCAGGTTTCACTTCACCTTCGGCTGTGAACTCAGGTTCAAAGACACCTTCCTTTTCCCACCAGCTGTACCAGGAACTTTCTACATTCTTAGGAACATATGCCTTGAAAGCAGGATGTTCTTCTAAGGAAACTAAAATCTTCTTGTCACCAGGTTTAGTCTCGTCAGTAAATTCTGGAACAGTTTCAGCAACCTTCTTCTCCTTCTTTGGCTTCTTTGGCTCGGAAGTTGTCTTCTTTTCGGCTTGCTTAGCCTTCTTTGCGTTAAACTTGGCCAATTTTTCAGCCTTCTTTCTCTCGTTTTCAAGTTGTTTAGCAGTCTTTTCAACTGGCTCACCGCCTTCAGCTGGCGCAGAAGCAGCAACAGTAGCAGCAGCCTTTTGCTCTTCTTGACTCATATTTGTGTACTGTCTTTCAAAAGTAAATATGGCACAGCGATTGTATGTATATATAGCTCTCGATATAGGAAATTTTCGGTACAAGAGCCTACTTAATTGCATACACAAGTGAAGTTACCTCTCTATGTGTTTAGGATTCTTTTCTGTGAAATTTTTTTTTTCAAAATTCGATTTTTTTTTAAATGTCAAGTGTGATTGTATGCAGGATCATTACACTGACTCATGATGAGTCAGTACGTTATCAATGGCATGTAGAGAAAGTGTCAAGTGGAAAATAAAGGGTGAAATGGTATGGCTCCAGGGCGGGATTATGTGGCAATTGTATTGCGCGACAAGAGCGGCACTGCGTTGGAGGTTGCTTGTGTCCCATAATTGTTATGTTTCTGTGGGAGCTGGTTGCATATTCAGAGAGTGCGAGAGTAATTAAGAACAGAGTAATGTACGAGGTCCCAGAATAAGAGGGAGCGGAGAAGACCCTTGGGTCCCGTCTGGCGTCTGGCTGTCTTTACTTTACTGCTATCAAGCTGCTAGTTTAAATTGGATATGCTGGAGAGCCTTGTGTGTGTAAATGTATTGTATCTATATTCTGTAGTACTGTCTATTAAAGGTGAGCATCAGCCGCACTGGCGATTTGAGTTCTTCATGCCCAACTAGTGGGCCTTGAAACAAGTGGACCGTGGATGAGTCTTCTCCCTTCTTGTTCATTCCACTGGGCTCTTTTGACTCACAATTGGACGAGTCGCTAGTCATTAGTGTCTCTCTTCCTTTTCATTCCACTAAACCACTTCGACTCTGACCTCTCATCATTTATTCTCCTAGTAGCATCATTGGTAGCATTCCTCTCAGTTCGCTCCTCTTTATTTGTATTTTGTAAGAAGTTGTCTAGATTTACGTTGGCTTCTTCATTCTTCAACCTTGCTTCCATCGCCTTAGACACCTTACCACCTACCCTGTTATTTACCTTGATGTTTAACGAACTGCTTCCACCAGCTGTGCTCACTCCACGACTCATGCCCAATCCAATCTCCTCTCCGAAGCTGTCCATAATGGAGTCTTCCTGCTGGCCAAATGCCATCTTGTTCTGTGCCTTTCGTAAATCAGACATCTGGAGCCTTTCTCTAGCCTTTCTGAATCTTCTACCTCCTCTTTTCTTGGACTTGGGATCCATCGGTATAGGTAACGCTTTATCACCTCGATTCTCAGGTGGAGCCAACAATTTTTCGATCTTATTTTCGATGTCAAGTCTATATTTCAGACCAAGCGATCCATCTGTAGCATTCTTGCTCAAATCCACCCTAGCTGCCAAAGTAATCTTTCCACTTAAAATTCTTAGCACGGGCTTTTGAATTTCTTCTGGCAACTGGTTCACCAACTCGTTGTGATAGAGATACCCAGTCTGGCGAATTCTCCTTGAAGTCGATCCCGAAGTTTGTGATGATAAGTCCTTTACTCCCAAAGAAGGAAGATTACACGAAGGCGTTATGGACAATTGCTTCAATGAACCAGAGGCAGTCAACAATTGGGAGGTAGTGATGGGTCCTACGATTGCGTTAATGTTAGGCGCAAATCTGAATAGCTTGTTTGAAATGAAGACGGAGAGATCCTGAAGCAATTCATTGAGCTCAAGAACAAGACTGCTACTCTTTCGAAGAGTATTAAAGTCGGGTTCCGACAACTTGAAATCTGAGGAGTTTTGTACCTGCTGGATAGCAGACATAGTTATAACCAAGACCTTTTCGTTGCTGACGATGGATTTAAGGTCCTCCTGATACTTGTTGATCAGAGACAAATCCTGCTCGATCAATAGCATGATCCTGGCGTAATCCACGGGGTTGCTTACTATAGTCTCAAGTTCTCTAAAGACTACCTTGTAGTGTAGTGTGTTAAATGCATGGATGAAACTGACTTCGTTGTTTATTATCAGAGAGATTTCGTTGACCATGAGGATGAATTGGTACTGAGATATCTCGCTTGAAGAATGCTCTGAAACTTCACTATTGCTTGATGTTCCAAACGTTAGCGTGCTCATGAGCTCTTCATAGTCAGTGCGCATATCATCCTGATAGCTGCTTATCTTATCACGAAGGTACCCGATAATTGGTAAAACCTTGGAATCTTTAGTTATATCATATATTTTCAGTATATCGAACGTCTCAAGAGACTTTTGCAATGAAGTTATCGATGAGTTCAGTATTAGATGTCGAAGATACGCTCCAGGGTCCAAGCTGGCTCCCCCACCAGTCTCACTCGACTCACTGCTTTTCTCTCGAGGACCGCCTGGAACATACCCATTTTCGTCTTCCACTTCTAAATTTTTGTCCTCAATTCCTTCTACATCTACATCGCTCTCACCATCGCTTCCAAAATCAGCCAAGAGCTCGTTTTCATAGTCTGTCATGCTTGCTTACTGCTATCCGCTCGACTAGCAAGTTATCAAAACAACTCCATCTCATCTGCCCCATCTCGGTGCGCAGAGCATCACCACGAAAAAAACGCAAAGTGGAAAATCGATGGACCCCACCCTTCTTCTTCCTGTGGATATATATAGACCGTAAGCAGCTTAAGTTCTTAGGTGTTCGTATCTCTTTCATGTCCGCTACTCCTTCTACATCCATTCTTTCCCAGGTCGATGGCTCGGCGCAGCTTCTCTTGGGACCAATAAAAGTGCTAGCCTCAGTGACTGGCCCGATCGAAGCCAAGGCCAGACAAGAATTGCCAACTCTAGCGTCTTTGGAAATAATAGTTAGACCCGCCACAGGCGTATCGCTGACGAGAGAAAAGCTCTTGGAAGATAAGTTGCGCTCTTTGCTTCAGTCAATAATCGTAAGACACAAGTACCCAAGACAATTAATCCAGGTGGTTATTCAGTTCTTGTCTAGTGATTCCGACCACTCAGCGAATGCGAAAGCATTCACATCGAACGAATTGAATGCTGCCATAAATTGCGTCTACTTTGCTCTTATTGATGCCAATATTGCCCTCTTCAGTTCATTTGCATCGGTTTCATTGTGCATTTTACCTTCCAGCGACTCGTTCATCCTCAACCCTACTATCGCTCAGCTCAACGAGAGTGAATCACATCACGTCATCTGCTTCGACATAAAAGACAAGCAGGCCGATAAAATTTTACTCGTAGAGTCCCAAGGTTCCTTTTCCGAGAAGCAGTTCTATCTCGCCATAGATGAGGCCAGCAAAGAGTGTGAAACTATTCATAACAAGTATCAGAGACACTGTATCGTAGAGAAGATCAGGGAAGATTTTGTGTGGAAGTTCTGATGAAGTCCTGAACTATAGATAAAGTAGAATGTAATAAAAGTCAGCATAGGCAGCACCGTGGAAAAGGTGATTCCCTCTCTTCTTCCATCTTCCACTTCGAGTACGAGAGGCGTTTTCCGTGATCTGGTGATCCAAAACTACGTAGAGTGGCTATACAGAGATTTATATAACGGAGAGGCCCCGATAAATTAGGAATTGTTGCTAAGACTTGATAATTGTACGATCTCGATTCTTGAACTGGAGAGGTCTAGCTTCACCTCTCAGAATGTTCTGAGTGTGCAGCATTGCTCCTGGTTGGCGCTGAGAATGTAGAACGTCGAACTCAATGTTCTCCCATGCTTAGTGAGTTCCACTACGATGTCTTCCACAAGTGTATCTGTTTATTTCTACTTTTCTTTTTATATATATCTAATACAACGTAGCCAAAGGATCTAACCTGTTACTTCCTTGGTTTAACAAATTAATCTCGCCATGTAACTTGTTATTTGGATTCAATTTATGCTTGAATGTAAACCCTATAAAGTTGTTAGCCCCAGCACCCTTTCCACCCGCCTTATCCAACAACAGTTCATTGTGTTCTTGTCTTGCAAACACATCCTTGTACTTTTGCATACTCTCTTCGTCTTCAAAATCGTCAAAGTAACCTGCATCCTCCTCATTGTCTAATTGAGGTGTGAATGGTGGAGTCTTTTCCCTTATCTGGCTCCAATCAGTCACGTCGTTGAAATATGACATATTTTGTACTTGTTTAAAGCTCCTTAATCTCGTAGCAGGAGATGCAATAAGCTTAGTGATCAAGATCCAAGTCCTGTCACTGAAGACAAATCTTCCATCTTTAGTCTGAGGTCTTCTCAATGCAGTCTTCCAATTCTTCAAGTTATAATAAGTCTCGTCTTGTTTGGATCCTGAAAATGGAGGGTATCCACACAAAGCTTCGAACAACATACATCCAAGTGACCAGTAGTCTATAGTATAATCGTAATTCTTACCTTCTAACACTTCCAATGCCATGTAATCAGGCGATCCTACAATAGAGTTTGCCAAATTACGATGTCCTCCCCCACCAACAGAAGAGGAGCCTTGTTGAGATTGTCTGAAAATCTTCTGTCTTTCAACCATGGAAATCAGGGGCACTTTATAGTTATCTAAATCTTCCAAGTTCTGCAATTTTATTCTCATGCTTTCAATTCTTTCATTGGAAACGGTACCAGCTGCCAATCCGAAATCAGTCAACTTGATATGTCCCTTGGAGTCAATTAAAAAGTTCTCAGGCTTCAAATCTCTATGGGTGAATCCCAATTCATGCAAGGAATTGACTGCGGCAAACATTTCACCTATGTAGAATCTCGCATGAGGAGGGATCAAGTACCCAGTATTGTTGAGCAAGGTCCTAAAATCACCTCCAGGAACAAACTCCATCGCCAAGAACACCTTCTCGGGGTCCTGGAAGGCATATAGCAATCTGACTAGCCATTCCAGTCTTGTATTAGTCAAGATATCTCTCTCAGTCAAGACATGTCTGGTTTCATCCAATTTAACCAATAATTTCTTATTCAATATTTTCAAAGCACAAATCTCCCTGGTATCTTTCTTTCTGGCGAGGAAAACTTGCCCGTATCCACCTTGTCCCACCTGTGTGATCATCTGGAAGTCTCTATGCTTAGGCTTCAATCTTCTCTTACGAAGCAACGCTCTTTCTCTTCCGATATAGGACTTCCATTCAAGCTGCTGCTTTTGAGGGTTGCTGGTGAACTCAGGGTCTGTAAGCAATTGGTGCTGCACGAGCTTGGTTCTTTCTCTTCTCGAAATGACGTAGTCAAACATGTCACAGTAGTAGTCTAAGAAATACAATTGAGCAACGGAGGTCAACCTCTTCGTTTTAGGAGAATTGGCCTTGCGGTAGAATTCCTCATCGAGCTTCTGGCGCGAAGGAGATCCGTACTGTTGAAGTTGTTGCTGGAACTGCTGTTGGTATTGGTGCTGAAGATGCTGCGTTTCTTGCACCCCCTTGCCAAACCTGTCGTTAACAGGAGTCCTTGGAGCAGGGCTGTTGAACTGAGAGTTGTGCAATATCGATTTGGTGGGGGAAGAGTTGGGTGTGATGTTCTCCTTGTTGAAGGTATTCAAGTTCTTCAACGGTGGCACGGGCACCTGGCTGTAATATGGATTAAACGACGTATCTATGTCCATGGAGGAAGTATTGTTGTGGTTATTGTTGCTTAGGGAGATGTTTTCCATCGACTGTGAGACATTTTCAATGTCAATAACATTCAGATGCTTGGGTGATCTGCTGAAGAAATTGGCCATGGCTGATGATTGGGCACTGGCTGCGACTTATGGCTACGAAACTGCGTGTTCTGGATCCCCGAACGTTTATGCGTGTGCAATGGATGGAATGGAATGTAACTGATGTTATCCGGGCAAAGAAAGTGGGTGATCTTGTTTGTTTTTTTGAACCCCCTGCTCCTCTTCATTATAATGGGAAAGTCATATTGGCATTTTGTGGCATGTTTACATAATGGCCAAATTGGGATCTAATGAGAATGTGCGTTCTTCCCTGCATGCAAACCGAAAAAATCTCAGATAGCCCGTTGGTGAGAGTGAAAAAAAGGAAAGGAACAAAAAAAAGAAATTGAGCACTGGAACCAAAACGGTGCAAATTGAAGATGAGGTGCACTTGGTTGTAGAACATGATATTTCGAAAAAAATTGGGGTATTTTATCAAATTGGTCTAGTTGGACTTCTCTCGTCAATTTCAGAAAAGAATTCAATTCTCAGGGAGAGTCGACTTGATTTTGTGCTGGTGGGTGCTCAGTCTAGTTAGCGATTGGCTTGTAGCACAGCGGTAAATTAAATATCACGCGAAAATTACTAAACTGCGCCTAAATACGCTAGAGGACCTGATAGCAGTGCTTAGCAAATAGGGCGGTGTGAAACGCACAATTGATCCACATCAGCAAGCAAAAGGAGGCAGAGAAAATTATCATCAAGCGAGCACCGATATTCTCGAACTGAATTGGGTTCCCACATGCCGGCGGCGATGTTTTGCTTCCAATTGATGGTGTACCCCATTAGTTCTAGCTGTCCCAACGGTGCAGGGTAATTTTAGGCGCTCAGCTAGGCCCACACCTAGGCACTCAGCTCGCGCCCCACACTCTATACCTAAACCTAAGCTTCACCGAACCACACAGGACTCACCCACTTTCAACGTCTTTCTACATATTTTCTACTTATTTACTGCTGCCTCTTCCCCCATCCCATATCACCCTCTCACCTATCATTCTACTTACTCCCGTGCAAAGAAACGGCTTCTTGCTCCCCATGGCTCCATGGCTCCATCGCACTTGTGCTGCATTTTCATGCACCCACTTTCGCTGGAGTGCCACAAAACCACAACCTGCATTGGGCCAAATGACGAAAAATTGATAACCACAATAAAAGGCAAGTTACCCCCTGCTCTCTTCTTTCTTTTAAGATCTCCTCAAGGCTCGTATAGGTGTCGTTCTTCATTCTTTGCTTCACCCTTTCGTAGCCAAACACCCTCAGGATGACGCCATTACCGGAAAAGGGTATACCTTTTAACGGGAACAGACAGCCCATGAGATACTACAAGCAGGCAGTTTTCATTGGAGTGCTTGCCGCAGTATTGCTCTGGGGTTCAACCTCGTTGATCACATCGATTGCATATCTCAGGCAAACCACTCAAATTAAGTCTTTATTGCCTTTAAGTCACTCGCAATTCCGTAGCGCTGACCCACTGGCACCAGTACATGTGGCCGAGCCAAAGTACCCCCTCTCGCAGACCATCGACAGTAAGATCCGCCTTAACTACTCGCTCATCAGGGAGAATACCTTTGCTCCATCTACCAAGCAAGTGCAGTGGATCAAGGAGCCAACATCTATTCTTAACGACAAGGGAACATATGTACTCAAAGACGATAACGAGTACTTGATCAAGTCTATCGTGGACGAAGACTATCAAATCTCGCTCTTCAATGACACTTCCTTTGTGTATGGAGGAATTGAGTACGACATCGAGTCGTTAGTTGCCTCACCGGACCTCTCCAAAGCTGTTTTGAGAACAAACGCTACTCATAACTGGAGATGGTCCACTTTCGCTCTCTACTGGGTGTTAGATGTTAAGAAGAAGACCATTGAACCAATACTTAACGATGATACAGAGAGTAAAATTGCCACTTTCAAGTGGTCCCCAACCTCCCAGCAGATCGCCTACATTAAGGACAACAACGTTTATATCAAGGATCTCCCAACTGGTTCGGTAGACCAAGTAACATACGATGGAGGAGCTGAATTATTCTACGGGAAACCAGACTGGGTTTACGAAGAAGAGGTCTTCGGTGATGATATTGTTCTTTGGTGGTCTCCTCAAGGAGACAAAGTTGCCTTTTTGAAGACTAACGATACATTGGTTCCGGAATATAGTATCCCATATTTTGTACAGGATGACAAGAAGTATGAAGACTATCCAGAATTTAGGAACATCAAGTACCCAAAGGCAGGCTATCCTAACCCTAAGGTTGAATTGCTTATCTACCAATCGAAGGAGGAAGGTATTTCCACTAGCGACATCACCACTGTAGGAACAATTGGAGATGACTTATTAATAACAGAGGTTGCTTGGGTTTCTGACGACTTCCTTTTAGTAAAGACCTCGAATAGAAAGAGTGATTTACTTGAAGTCCATCTTGTGGATGCAATTACCTCCAAGAGTAAGTTAATTAGAACCCACTACGCAGAGGATTCCTGGTTTGAGATTAGTTCAAACACTGTCTTCGTTCCCAAGAACGAATCTCAAGGATTTGCAGATGACGGGTACATCGATACTATTGTAGTTGATGGATTCAACCACTTAGGGTATTTCAGTCCACCAGATGCCACCAAGCCAATAGTCTTGACCAAGGGCCAATGGGAAGTTGTTGATGGAGTGGCGTCATACGATTATATTAAGAATGAAATATATTTCACAGCTACAAAGAAGTCTGCCATTGAAAGACATATCTATTCTGTGAATTTATTGGAAGCCATTGAAAATTCAAAAGTTGTTCCCAAATTGAAGAATGTCACCGATGACTCTCAAGTTGGATGGTATCTTGGAACATTCTCATCAGGATCAAGGTACCTATTATTGAACTACAGAGGACCGGAGGCTCCTTATCAGAAGCTTGTGGATTTGCATAAGAATGGAGTTACAATTAAAGTTTTAGAAGACAACAAGGAACTCATCAGGACTTTAGAGGATTATGCTATTCCCGAAAATAACTATCAAATAGTCACTTTGGGCGTTGATGAATCAACTGGAGAAGAAATCAAGGCACATGCTATTGAGACCTTACCATTAAACTTCGATGAATCCAGGAAATATCCAGTTTTATTTTTTGTTTATGGTGGGCCAGGATCGCAAACTGTCTCCACCAGATTTCTGGTAAGTTTCAGTCAAGCTATTGCTGCTCAGTTAGATGCTATTGTAGTCACTGTGGATGGAAGAGGAACTGGTTACAATAACTTGAATTCTGAGATTGGATCTCAATTCAAGTTCTGCGTCAGAGACCAATTGGGATATTTTGAACCAAGAGATCAAATCACAGCCGCCAAAATATGGAGTTCGAAGCCTTACGTTGACTCTTCCAAGATTGCTATTTGGGGTTGGTCATATGGAGGATTCTTAACTTTGAAAACATTAGAAACAGATTCCATTGACCATGTCTTTTCGTACGGTATGTCTGTTGCTCCAGTTACTAAATGGAAGCTTTACGATTCAATTTATACCGAGAGATACATGAGCACCCCACAAGAGAACCCCTCTGGATACGAAACTGCATCCATTCACGATTTCTCAAACTTTAAGAATGTGACTAGATTTATGGTGGCACATGGATCAGGAGATGACAATGTTCATTTCCAAAATAGTTTAAAGCTTATTGATCAATTCAATTTAAACACAATTGAAAACTTTGATTTCTACATCTTCCCAGATTCTGACCATTCCATCAGCTACCATAACGGAAATGTTGTTGTTTACGATAGATTGCTTTCCTGGTTAGGCAAGGCATTTGGGGGAGACTACGAGTAAGTAAGAAGAAGTTAAAAAGAGAGAGAGAGAGAGAGAGAGAGAGATAAAGAGAGAAAGAGAGAAAGAGAGAAAGAGAGAAAGAGAGAAAGAGAGAAAGAGAGAAAGAGAGAAAGAGAGAAAGAGGGAAAGAGGGAAAGAGGAGAAGAGGGAAAGAGAGAAAGAGACAAAGAAAGAATTGACCTAGTTTAACTTGTTCGCATAATAAGAGGGATGCTGTATTATATAGAGTTAATTGGAGATAAGCCTCCAATAGATGTGTTGTACTATATAGAATTATAATAATAAAGTAATACGCTTATTAACATCAATGAAAAAAAATTAGGAACAGTCACTAAAAGCGAGTCATAACGATCAAGCCTAAACATTTAGTGATGGGCCATCCCACCAGGCTGTCATGCAACAAATTAAACTAACCCAGCCATTATACACCTCGCGTGGTGCCCACTTACATCTACATTAGGCAGTCAATGAAGTCCGGGTAATCACATCTCTATCACGTGTCTAATCAACAAATGAAAAAAAAAAAAAAATTTTATAAACCCAAAAAGAAAAAGCTGAAAATTTTAGCCCTAGTGTTCGTTTCTTTCTGTATTCTATATCTATTGATTCAAAATGAAGATCTTCAAAGACGTTATTTCCGGTGACGAATTGTTATCCGATGCTTACGAAGTTAAGTTAATTGACGGTGCCGTCTACGAAGCTGACTGTGCCATGGTCAATGTTTCAGGTGGTGGAGATGTTGACATCGGTGGAAACCCATCAGCTGAAGATGCTGCTGAAGACCTCGAAGACGGTGTTGAAACTGTCAACAACGTTGTCTACTCCTTCAGATTACAACAAACCCAATTCGACAAGAAGTCCTTTTTGACTTACGTCAAGGGTTACATGAAGAAGGTTAAGGCTTACTTGGCTGAACACAACCCAGATGAAATTGAAGCTTTCGAAAAGGGTGCCACTAAGTACGTTAAGAAGGTCATCGCCAACTTCGGTGACTGGGACTTCTACACTGGTGAATCCATGGACCCAGATGGAATGGTTGTTTTATTGAACTACCGTGAAGACGGTACCACTCCATTCGTTGCTATCTGGAAGCACGGTGTTAATGAAGAAAAGATCTAGATATGCCCGTCAGGTTCACTTATAAATCCGATGGAGGTTTGTTAATTTAGTTCTCAAAGCATCATTTTCGCTAATACACATATATATAAGAAGGTGACATTAATTGTAGGACCGTAGACACGAAAGATGAGAGACAAAGCGGTGGTATTGAGGTAGTGATTGTATTTTATCTATTAGAAGTAGTTGGCTATCATTGATCAGTATCTACCTTCTCTTTATGCTGAGGCACACGTTCTCCAAAGTTATTTCCCTATCTACATACCAGTGAATGCTTGCCTCGTACTTGGATTGATCTAAGAGCTTTCTGATAGCGTACAACCTGCATTCGTCTATTAGTCTTCTGGCCAACTGACCTAAACTTTCCCTTTCGAGAATAGTCAAGCCACTCGGATGCTCTGTACCCTCGGAGTCCGTCATGCCTTCCATTCTGCCATTGACCGCCCACGAAGCCATCTTCTTCAAAATCAGGAAGGACGTTTTGTCAGCGAAGCCCTTGGAAGCTAGGTATGTTCTAGACTGTGGGAGCAATTGATCATACGAACACACATGTCTGCAGCACATCGCCACAAGCAAGCCTTGGAACTTGAAGTCCGAAGCGCCATGCTCGTCTAAGATGCTTGAGTTTAGCATACACTTGAGCGTGAGATCAGTGGCCACCCCACACAAGTGCTTGGATATGCACACAACTTTCTTCTCTTGCTCCTTTGCATGCTTAAACTGTTCCATAAACCTATCAAGATCAAGGTCTTTTATATCAATTCTTGTTCTGTGGATCTCTGGTTTCGACTGTTCACCGAATTCCATTTCTGTGTAGTCCTTTATAATCTTTGGGTCCATTTTCATTCTATTTACTCCACGGTCTATAAGACCAAAACCGTACGAGACTTGCTTAGCTATCGTATCGCTCGGAGCAATGTCAGCGCTCTCTTTCTTCAAGTCTTCCAATATGGATAAGTTCACGAATCTCGACAACTCTGCCTTTCCACAGCCAAACTCCAAATAATAATGCAATCTCGAGTTTAACAATTTCGAAGTTTTGAGATAGCCGATGAGCGATGACTGCTGGATGGCATGCTTCTTGATCTGCACCTCCTTCATCCGGTTGTCCAATCCTGGATGGTTGCACTTTATCAAGCGTAGCTCCGGGTATGACAACAGTTTTAGTATGGGAATATAGGTAGTGTACAACTCTTTATCTGACGGGAAGATCGCAATTCCCAGCTCATCTCCAAGTTCAACTTGAATAGAAGTGCTGCGAAGCTTCAGGTTGATATCTTCTGCAAACCATGGCTCTGCCGTTTTGGTTATACCTTTACACTTCTTAAGATGCTTCTCCAAATCCTTGGCCCATATTGTATGCCTATCATCATTTGGACACGGTATCCTGACGTTGTTTTCCTGCTGTTCGAGCCCGTTCCTATCCTCGTCCTTGTTCTCATTCTCAGCGACGGAGAGAATCATATGCTCACTACAGAACTTACTATCAGCCTTACGCTGCATACGACAATTCCTCTTCTTCCTTTCCAAAAAGTACCCACATTGTAAGTTTTCTTTATCTATCTTCCTCTTCTTAGATGCTTCAAGCGTCATTACGGACGAAAACTGCACTGTCCTGTCCAAATCACCAACCTCTTGCTCGATGTTTTCACGCTCTCCATGAAATTTCCAGATGCTCATCGCTCATCTCCATCGCGGCTCGCTATCGCTAGGTGAAAAATTCAGACTTCACTAATTTACAATTTGTACCTTTGGTTTCTCAGGGACAACTAGAGGTATTTATATTCTACATACTCTCTATTTTGCAGTCTATTTCGTCACTATGAAGCAAGGGAACGACATGTGGAAATTGGATCTCCTTGAGGCCAAATTTAAGGCGAGTTCTCCACGTTTCCCTCATACCAAGAAATTGATTCTGGCCAAGAACAACTCTAAGCTCTTGAGGAAGCTCCCCACAAACCCAAGTGATGCAGAAATGCAAATAAATGCCTTGAAGAAGGACTTCTTCGATAGAAAGTACTACGCAGCAGTTAAAAAATTGGAAAAGGAAGTCTCCAAATTGACTAGCAAGGCCAAGAATGAAGATGAAGAAGTCAAATCATTCATCTCCAAACCAGATAACATCAATGCAATGGTTGCTTCAAAAATTATCAAAATCATCCAGCAATCTATATTGGTGACCAAGGATCTCAGGTCTGAACCCCCAAGCTATATAAACAAAGATATTATAGAAATCATTGGGAACAAAGCTGATGCTCGCAATCCTTCCAGATTCTTCATAAGCAACTGTCAAAACAGCAAGAAATTGAACAACTATATATCCAACCTTTGGAACAATAAACAAGTGAAGGCAACCTTGGGAGATATCGAGTGGTCTTTTAAGATGGTAAGGGGAGACTTGACGAAGCAGGAAAAGGATAACAGAAAGGCACAGACCGGAAAGAGTGTAGAAGAAGACGACGACAACGATAGTGGAGACGAATCAGACAGTGACGATGACGAGGGCGATGACCCAGTCAGAAACGGTGCCCAAGATTCTGAAGATGAAGATGAGATACCCCAGATTGACGAGAAATTGCTTGATAAGTACGCCATTTATGAATCCGGCGATGAGGGTGAAGTGGAACACTTCTCGGTGGATCCCAATGTAAACTACAACGAAATAACCGATGAAGAACCGTCTTCAGAAGAGTTAGAAGGAGATCTGGACATTGAGTCAGAGGAAGATGGATTTTTTGAAGAATCTACAAAGGAAATCAAACCTAAGCATAAGTTACCTGAGATGGCCACTGGTTACTTCTCAGGTGGAGAATCCGATTCCGATGTAGACAATGATGAAGTTGTGAAGAAGGTGACGACCCAACGTAAAAACAGAAGAGGTCAGAGAGCCAGGCAAAAGATTTGGGAACAGAAGTATGGTAAGGAAGCCAAGCATGTTCAACTGGAAAAGCAAAGGTACCAGAATGAAAGAGAACAGAAACAGAGGGAGTTCGAGGAAAGACAGAGAAGGAGAGAAGAAAAGGCTAGATTGGCAGTTGAAAATGCTCCATCTGGTTCCAATGTTTTACCACTTGGTGAAAGAAAGGTAAGAGATCCAGCTAATTTAGATTTCACAAGTGCACATGTCCCTGCCCCTGTTGAGAAGGTTCATCCTTCATGGGAAGCTAAGAGATTAGCAGAGGAGAAGCAGAAGAATGTTAAGTTTACCGGTAAGAAAATTACATTTGATTAGAGAAAATATAATATCCATGTCATTATGTTATGTCTATTCGTGTACATCAAATATCCATATCATCAAGTTGAGTCTATCCTGTTACGTCTTCTTTTCACTTTAAAGCTGTGTGTAATCGACCTTGAAGTTCTTGATCAACTCTTCCTCTGTAAGTTCTTGACAAACAATTGGGGTTTGTAATTCAAAGTGATATTCACACTTTTCTGGTTCACTAACTGATAAAAGCTTGGGCTCTTCGCCACAAACTAATTTAACTTTAGCAGATCTCTGTGGACCGTTCCAACATCTAGCACCTCTATTATAAACCAATACATGACCATCTTCAATAGTACTGAAAGTTCCAATGTGGACATTATTTCCATTACCATCTTGGTATATAGTGTCAAAGAACCCAAAATTGTAGTTATATTCTCCTAGCTTATTACTAACCCATTGACCCCTCACAGCTCTCAAAATGTCTGAGGGTCCATAGTCTAATGATAAATCTTTTTCAATCAGAGAAAAGTGCTTCTTGCTATCTTGGATTTCCTGTTCCAATATTTCAATCTCTTGAGAAAGAGAAGTATATGCTATGGAAGAAGATTTCTTCAAAGGGGCCTGTTCTTCTCTTTTGTAAAATTTTCCCTCTTCTTCAGCTTCAGGAGCATTCAAAAATTTGGATATAAGTAATTCAAAGTAATAGTGAACCATATTACTAAAAGTTGGTGCACCATAAGAAGCTGAGGTCTCTTCTACAGTATCCTTCAGTTCCTGTTGCGAAGGTTCCACAAATGTCCTGGTATGGAATACAACCTCTTGTAATAGGGCTTGTGAGTTCAAGGTTTCGTCAACGTTTTCGTCCGCTTTGTTGGAAATATAGTCCTGATATGTTCTCACAGCCTCCTTTACGGCAGCATCATTAAAATTGGGGTTATAATTGTTGATCAACTTCAACAAGATATCCTCCAATTGATGAACTTTCTTGTATTCATTTCTATCATGGTCAATTGCGGTAGAGAGCTTTGAGATGACAGGTTCAAGAACGTTATATAATAAGGCCCCTCCTTCTTCGACTGAATCCTCATTTTCCTCATCATCTCCATCAACATTATCTCCGTGATCTTCTAGCCTTTGGCGTAATCCACTCAACCTAATCTCCTCGGCTTCTATCTCCTGAGCAATTATCTGCGAGCCCTCTTGGAGTTCTTTCCTCATGTTCAATGATTCCAGTTCCAATTTCTTCTTTATTGCCAATGAGTTTTCCAATTGCTTTATGGCTCCTTCTTTATATTTCCGGTACTGGTTGTTAATCTCCAAGCATTTATTTGGACACTGCTTACCATCCTTAAATAACCACTCATCTGAACCGTCACAGCAAACATCGTAATCACATACCCCATCATTCAATTTGAAGTGTTCGATGTAGCCGGGAAAATGTCCCACATTGGCACAATAAAACTGCTTCCGGTTTTTTGCGCAAGCATTGGTACCGGGTTCATCAGAACCATCAGGGCAATCACAATAGTTATTATTGATCTGCTCATAGTCTAAAACGATCGATGGATCAGAGAGACATTTCCAAACTTTCTTTCCATTTTCAATTAGTGGCTCGTATAATGCCAGATCAGCTGGATCAACTCCAACAATGCTACTAGATACAATTCCAACGATAAATGGATATACCAACTTCATCGCTGCCGATTTATATATATATAAGCTAATGTACTTCAGCTAAAACTTCGAACTTAAGAAAACACATAAACTGATAAGCGAGCTATCTCGAAAAAATATGTTGCTCGTATTTTGAAAAATTCTTGTTTCTTGAAATCAACCTTCTTATTGCAGGTTACACTAGCAAGCAGTTGAAAGAATGCCGCGGCCCCAACTAGGTAACGTGTGGACGATTTCGAAATCCAAGCGTACAGTGCGACCTTTGGTTGCCAAGATACATGCACTCAATGAGCTTTACACTAGTTATCCATCAATCGTTGAATTTGATATTGAGCAATTTCAATCGAGCACTGAGTCTCAAGTATACCCCGGAATAATTAACCCAAAGGATCCAAGTCAAAGATTGAGCTCGTTAAAGCCATTTATATCATCAGAGTTATATCAGACTTATTCGGAAATATTTCAGATCTTCAAGTCAATTATACAATCGGTCGAGGCTCTGGCGAATCCACCTACTGCCTCTTCTACTTCAACTGACCCCTCGCATTCTACTCCACCATCCAAAATTTCACTACTATGCTGCTATAAAATAGGCCAGTCCATGGCATTGTATTCAAGAAGCTCACATTATAAACTAAACAACTCTTTATTGTTTGACAAGAAAGAAAGAAAGCAAGACGCTATTGTAGAGAATGAGTTTGAAGACGACATAGACCATTGGCTAGAAATGGAACCTTCTCAAATTGTTCTAGCTCATAGGAAAGACTTAATTATCGGCTACATAATACACCTATTGGTGTTCCATCTGAATTTACTTCTATATACGCTTATCCCAATTTTGGTAGACTGGTTATTCGAAAACAAGAATTACCATTCAATTGCAAGAAACCTATTTCAAGAGTACTGGTATAACAACGATGAATATGATGAAGGAGTTAGAAATAGGATATTTTGGACATTTCTAAAGACTGGATATTGGAATCAATTCATAACGAAACTAGATTTGAAATCTTCATATTATTCGTCTTCTTCCCAGTATGCATCTCTAATCCTTGATTCACTACCATTGAATAATAAATTTAGCAACAAGGTTAAGCTAGACCTCCTATTAAATACATCGGAATTGCACAAACTTATAGAATTGGCACCTCAACACTTCCAAGTGAATAATATCTTAATACATACTCTTGGAAAATATATCAACTGCTTTAGACTGGATCTAAAGCAAAGCTCTGATCCTCTGAGATCGGAGCAAGTGTTGCAGGCTTTTCATCAATTTCTTTCTCAATTCTTGCTGTTATGGTTAGGTTCTTCCGATAAAGACACCGGACTCGTATTTAATTCATTATTACCTGGCAATGAGGATTTGTTCACAGCCTTAGAGAAAATCACTAAGTATTGTATGGCTATATCCGATAAGGTTGGGGCATACATCGATTTAACTGAATTACTGGCCAAATTCGTAACAGTACATAACACAACTTTAATTTTAAAGTGGTATTTCCTCTTATACCCAATAGATTACAGGAAAAGGAATCTACACTTTGATGTGAAACGAATTTCCACTTTCATTGTAAACTTACAAAACACCAAGCTAAGAGTTGTTAGGAATAGTGACTTTGATGAGTTTATTGTTTGGGTAAAAACCGATTTAGAAAATATGGAATTGGCTAAGGCATGTCTTGAGCGATACTATAAGAAGGAGAACAGTAAAGTACGATACGGTAGGATTCATGCTCAGCTCATTGGAGAAAAGGTTCCAATAGTGGAGATATATAGTGAAGACAGTGATGAAGATGCAGACATGGTTGACACTTCATATGAATTACAATAAATAGATTTATAAGTGATGGTATGTATTACTTCATTCAATATTCCATTAGATATTTCTTCATTACTTAATAAGCTTTTAACTTTCTTTCACCTTTTCCATCAACTACTATGCATTCTCCATTTATAGCGTCGTTCAATATCGTCTGCACTATTGCTTCACTTACGGTGTCAAGAGGTACCGGCTTGACATCCAATTTCGAGGAATTGACTTTGGAACCCATATCGGTTTCAGAGATCAAACCAGGTAAGATCGAATTTACACGAACCTTGCCTTTGAACTCATCTGCCAAAGATTGGGTGAATCCGAGCAAGCCAGCTTTCAGTGCAGCATAGACCGACGTACCAGGTATTGTCGTGCCTGTAAAGGATAAAATAGACGATATATTGATAATAGAGGGTGAATAAGGTGCAGAATCTGTGTTAGCACTAATCAACATACTCTTGTACGCCAATTTGCTAAGAATTATTGGAGCAATCAAATTTACATTCAATACGGAATGAATATCCGAAGTGGATGTTTTAGAAAGTAAGGAATGAGTGGTGACACCAGCACAATTGAGAAGAACAGATGTTTCTGACAATTTACTAAGAATCTTTGCGTAGTTTCCTTCCGGATTCTTGTCATCAGAAGAGTCTTTCAATAAATCGTTCAAGTCATACTTCACGTACGAGTGTGGGGTATCGTCGTTCATTCCTGGCAAAGTTTCAAGGTTCCTCTGCAACTTTTCTTCATTTCTTGCAACCAACGTCACAATAGCTCCCATCAGAGCAAGTTTGTGTGAGATTGCATAGCCAATTCCCTGAGAAGCCCCAGTAACCAAGCATTTTCTTCCAATCATAGTTTTTGAAGAAGGAGTTAAGAGAAAGAATGTGGAGCAACTTGAATTATCAAATCTCTAGTAAGCGCGGAGAGTCAAATGAAAAAAGGTTTGGCAGGGTCAGTATGATAAAGTGCTGCATAAATTACCTAATAGGGAACATGTGGTACAGGTTGATTGGTTAGTTGAGAAGGCTTTGAAAAAGGCTTGAAGATTTCTTCCTTCCGAGTGCTCTGTTAGTCAACAGACGGCCCAGTGTGGAGAGTGGAGTGTGGAGCATATTGTACCCCCCATAGGCTATTGTGTCTCTTTTTGGCAAACTTGCAAATTGTTCTCAACAAGAACAAGACTTCGTGGCCAAGTTGGCTAAGGCGTGAGACTGTTAATCTCAAGATCGTGAGTTCGACCCTCACCGAGGTCGTCTGTTCCCAGCCTTCATGGCCAAGTTGGTAAGGCACCTCACTAGTAATGAGGAGATCGTCAGTTCGAATCTGGCTGAAGGCATTATTTTTTTTGCTTTCTTAACTGATCGGTGATTTCAGAACTGAGAGTATCAGGTTAAAGGGTTCTACATTCCCTTTGGTATATCGCTAGCTATCATAATACTTCGTTTATTCTTGCGTGAGCAAACTAGATATTCCCATAATACCTAATATACCATATCTAAAATATATATTCTCAGTTAATAAGATGGTAACATAACCAACCTTTGGCAAGTAACCCTTTACAGTACCCACCAAATCCGTGGCCTGGTTCAAATAACCTTGCTTCTTCGCGTATAACCCTAAATCATCAACTGCATTATTGTCACCCTTAGTTAAGAGCAACTGCTTCTCGTTATTGTGGTGTTCTCTCAATACTCTGTGAACAATTGGAATTGATTTTCCCTGGATTTCGTACACCACAATATCGCCAACATGCGCTTGCTGATCTCTATTCCAAAGGAACAAAATATCACCTCTTTGAAACGCAGGTTCCATGGATCCAGACAACACAACCACAATGGGGGAGTGAGAGTTGGTCACCACAGAAAGTGCCTTCCACACCATGAATGCAGAGGAAAGTACATATGCTAAGTTAAGGAATTGCACTAATTGCTGACGAACTTTCATCTTGCTACGGCTTCGTGTTTGCTGTCTGGTTATGTGGTGGTAGTTGTTACAACGTTTTGACAACTCATTTGGTTTTTTCACACTGTGTTCTTATTTTGAGTATATGCAGGAATGGCGAGATTGAGGTGTCAAAACGGTGCAGGTGCTGCACAGGAGCTCAGTCACGAGCTCATTCAACCAGAGGAAGCTGTAGGGAGTAGCAAAGGGCAAGGAACCAGAAGAGGGTGGGTTGTATTGAGCAGGCTGATGAAGGAAATGGGACATCGGTATACACTTGTTACATAGGAGAAAGAAAAGAAAAAGAAAGAAAAAAAAGAAGGGCATCACAAAAGGTTCCGGAATGAAATGCTTGTATATTGAATTTTATGCACTGTAGTGTTACGTATTATAGGTGTATTGATTTGAGGTGCAAATGGGCGCCATGACATTGGGGCTTCTGTCGCTATATCCTGTCCGTGGTATCCTGTCGGTGAATCCTGCCGGATACTCCATTGTCCAGTGTGTGATTCTCTTTCTCAAACCTAATACTACTACTCAGTCCCTGGTTTACCATTCAAACCCTTCATCCGTTCCGAATGCTAGCGAGCCGCTTGCGCTTGCAAGAAAAAATATCTCGTAAATCTAACAGTCCCAAGATTTCTTGACCGCAATTCACAACAAGGATCCGTCATAATCCACCACCTGAAGCTGAATCTGCTCTGTATTCGAAATAACAATCCACCATTCGATTAATTCGTCTTCACGCAACCTTTTTTCCTTTTGTCTCGCTCTTCCAGCCGTTTTTCCGCTCTCCCATTGCCCTGATAATGCTAGCTTTGATCGGGCTTGAGCGCTAACGTTCGTCCTGCACATAACCGCCCAATATAAGTTTATTTTTGGCAAGGACGAGATTTCTATTTGTCATGACTAAAGACTGAAAGGTGGCACTATTTCTTCTCTCAAGTTGCCAAGTTTAGTATTGGCATCTAACCTTTCCTTTCGTAAGATTTTCACGCATATCTGTGGCTAGATGACAGATCGCCTGCGGTCGCAGCAAGTTTCGTTTGGGGATTTGGACGGCCAGGAGAGAGCAAGAAGGTTTACCATTTCGGCGCAGCCTTCGGCAATCAACCTCGCCAGCAACAATCCCAATACCGGGACAAACAGCTCTTCTTCGACCTCGTCTCAGGTTCCAAGTTCGCAGCCTAGCTCCAATGTTCCTTCGAGGTCACAGTCGATTATTTACTCGCCACTGACTTCAAGGAAGCCATCGCAGTTGAACGCTCAGTTCCAACCTCAGCAACAACAACACCAACTGCAACTGCAACAACAACAACTGCAACTGCAACAGCTGAACCCTCCAGCTCCGTCCAACCAGTCTTCAAGAAATAACTCTACTATTTCCGCCGACAATATTTTGCTGTTCTTTGCAACATCAGCTCATAAACCAAACCATATACCACTTAGTTCTATCAACACGACTGCGGAGTACATTTCGTCGGGCTCTTCCTCTAGAGTAGCATCGCCTAAGCTAGAATCGCCGAACCCCACATTCTTGAAGAACGCCTATCTGATGGACTCTGAAAATGACTCTGGCAGCAATAGGTTCAACACGAAATCTCCTCCCCCACCGCCTTTTGGTCAGGAAAATGGTGGTAGCTTCGCAAACACTTCTCCTCCGAAACCTATCAACATCTCGAAGAATAACAACAAAATCGATGAATATTTGGATGTCGGCGTTGGTAGAAGACCCTCTAAGAAGCAGATCGTAGCTTCCCCAGTTGGGCCACCTGTACCCTTCCAACAATACTTGACTAAGGAAGATGACGGAAAGTTCCATATTCTTATTGGATGCACTGGATCTGTTGCCACGATCAAAGTGCCCTTGATTATTGATAAGTTATTCCAGACTTACGGTACCTCTACTGTTTCCATCCAACTTGTGGTAACCAAAGCTGCGGGACACTTTTTGAAAGGTTTGAAGCTCCACAAGGACGTGAAGATATGGAGAGATGATGATGAATGGGTCAATTATAACGATCAGTTTAATAACCTTCTTTCCACTACAACAGCTTCCAGTTCGAACACCCAGGTGAAGAAGCCTAAAAATCCTTTTGATAAGTTAATTTTGCATAACGAATTAAGAAAATGGGCAGATATAATGGTTATAGCCCCATTATCTGCCAACACACTAGCAAAGATTGCTAATGGGATAGCTGATAATTTATTACTCTCTATCATCAGATCCTGGGGTCCTGCTTCAGGCTCTAACATCAAGAAACCAATTCTTGTTGCTCCAGCGATGAATACTTTTATGTACACTCATCCAATTACAGCTAAACAATTGAAATTGATTTCTTCGCCAGAGAATGGTTTTGGTATTGAAGTGTTGAAGCCGGTTGAAAAGGTTTTGGTGTGTGGTGATATAGGTATGGGGGGTATGAGAGAGTGGCTGGACATAGTGAATATTTTAAGAAGTAGAATAAGTGCTTTAAAAGAGCTCAGTGGTCATAAGGCCTCAGCTCTCTCTAACCTTGGCACTAGTGTGGATGACGAAGATGGGGATGATGAAGATGACGATGACGATGAAGATGATGATGAAGATGACGACGACGAAGACGAAGATGAAGACGAAGACGATGAGGGTGGTGACAACGGTAGTAACGATGATAACGAAAGTAACGATAAAGCTCATAAAGGTAAAAAGCGCAACGTGGAAGATGATGGAATGATCTTTGATATTACGGATGATCAAAACGATGATGAATCGAATTTGAAGTTTTCCAACCCTCCAGAAACTCAGAATATCATTTAAGTTATTGAAGTCGTCTTGCATTCTGTATATTATTAATATACTTTGATATAGTTAAGGTTTTGAATCCCAAGACACGTAAGATCGAGGCAATGTATCGTTGTTTGTAGAAGTGATCCGTTATGTCTGTTATGAGGATCTTAAATTCAACTGGCGACGGTTAACTTCTCTTCAGGTTTTTTCTTCTTCTTATCCTTCTTCTTCTTTTCTCTACCTGCTTGTTCTTTCATTTCCTCGATTAGATCCTCATATAGAACTAGCTGGTCCTCTTTCCTCTCTTCTACGTACTCTAGAATGAGTTCTTTTGCTTTTTCCTCTTGCTTAACACACTTGGTCAACACATTGATCAACTTTATCTTATTATGGTGGTATGAAGCATAAGAAAGTGCATGCAATAACGAATCAACCAAGTCATCGATCTTGAAATTGGTGACGTTGCACTCGTCAATTTGCAAGATTTGCAAAAGCATGTTTGGTTTGTTTGCATGGGAAATGTAAGGCTTTTTCGAATTGATTAAACTGTCTAACTTGGGAACTTCAGCATCGAACGAGAATGGATACGAGCGATTTGCCGCTGTTTTATCATCATTTAGGAATGCCCTGTTTAACCAATGGTATACCAACTTGGTCCTCATGCTCTTGGAATGCTTCACTATGAATTTTTTGTTGTTGTCAGTCAATTCTTCGACGAATCGGTTTATCCAGAAGTATGCCATACTCTGTGAATAGACTGGGTTCATTAACGAACCTGTTACGGCGTTTGTCTGTTTGCCTTCTCTCTGGTAGGTATAGAAAGACGCGTATAGCATGTTCTCGAGCAAGAAATTATTCATAACGTTCGGTAGAGTTGACAGCTGGCCCACTGACCTTGTTCTCTGATGTTCTATCACTGCGATTGCAGGGACTGTTAGTGATCTGGGGAAGATGATCTCCGTGATAATTTTGTTGGACAAGTAACTTAAGTACCTGGTAGAGTCAACTAAATTCTCAGAAAGGATATTATCTCTGTCATACTTGGAATTTAAAATCGGTTCATATCCCTCTATATATTTTTTGTGAAGATCGAACTTATTCCATTCCATGATCTTGGGCTTGGTCGGCCCCATTTCAAGCTTGCAGTAAGCAAAGTTTTTTAAACCAATATCTACTCCGATTATATCAAACTTGGGAGGAAGACTAGAGGTGAGAATCAAGCCCGAAATAATCGAGTTGATTCTTTCATCTTTTTTGGCAATGGTGGCTGCTAGTTAGTATGGAAGAACTGATAGGCTTTAAAGCTTACATTAAGCTACTGTTACATACCTTTGAATCCACATGTGATGACAATTCTTTTTAGGATGTCATTAGTGCACTTGGAGAGTACCTTGGAGTACAATGAAGCATTATTACTAGCCATAGGTCCCGAGTAGTCACATATATAGCTATGGTGGAGTGGAGTGAAATGTCTATGTTTATGGTTTTGACATATGTTACACAAAACCCGCCGTGATGTCTGCGATGCTGCAGCACAAATAAAGAGCGATGGGTGCAAGAGGAAGTGAAGGGAGAACAGCAGGGAAGAGCAGCAGGGAAGAACAGGGGAAAAGAGACACATAGGAGTTAAAAGTTAAGAGATAAGAAACACGGCTGACAAAAAAAAAACGGAAGCGGAATCTTCTCATTGACAGGTATATTAGTAGCTATCAATATATATAAATTGTCCAGTGGTTAACATACTGTATTTCTTCTGGTTTGTGATGATTGCAACTCAAAAGTATTATATCTCAAAAATTAGATCTTACATAAGAAGAGGGAGAAAACGTCATGGAAACTTAACAGTGGCCGATACAACTACGACTTCAACAGAGACATCAATGCTACAAAGCAAGATTCTGAGCCAAACGCTCACTTCACGATACATGGACAATCTCTCTGAGCTATCACAAGATTTAAACAAGCTACCGTTCGATTTAACAATACAGAAAAGGGGGAAGTACAAGACTATTCGAAGATTGTTATGTAAGAAAAGCTTCGTTAAGGGGACGACCGAGAGATATACCCCTGACATCGACCCAGAGACAATAGGACTTGAAACGGGACCCAGGTGGTTATGAGACCTAACATGAGGGTAGCTAGAGGAAAGAAAAGTTAATTAAAAAGCATGCAAGAAAAGAAAGGAAAAGAAAAGAAAAAAAAATAATAGAGAGCAGCAGTACGTGAAGAATATCCTATTGATGTGAGCGGGTTGCATGAAGACAGAGTGGGGTCAACAGCCCATTAACCTGAATATATCCCAAAGAATCAAATATACTACATACTCGCATACTCAGGCTCGCCAGAGAAAATAGGAGTAAAATGGAAAAAAGCAATAATAATTGAGAAATAAAGGCAAACCTAACCTCAATTACCGCAAATTTCGCCTTTGCCAGAGAGTAGCCCATCATACCTCTTTGCTTCGATGAGATTGCTAGTGCATCTCGAAATAGGAGAGGGAACCTTGCGGTGGTGAAAATTTTCATAGTCGCACCCCCATGATAAATTTAGTCCCATCGGTATGGCAGGATCTGTTACCTAATTTGGGAGAATGCGGCCCAAAGTAGATCGCACCGGTGCAATCCAGAGTGAATTTCGCTATTTTTCAGCGCTTTTCCAGCGCTTTTTCTTGTATCTCATCTCGCCGGTAATGAGCAGGGCAAAAAAAAAAAAAAAACGACAAGAAATACCAATGCAATGGTTACACAGTAGACGTACGGTGGCCCGAGACGTAAGAACAGAGAACAGATAACAGAGAACAGAAAAGATACGATCAGGTAATAAAACAATGAAACACACCAAGGGCAAATTCCATCCTTCTATTGTAAAGTAAGACGACGAGACTGAGACACTCTCTTATTTTTTCGCACTGTATGAGAAACAAAAACAAACACTTTAAACGATCAATAGTCAATAGTCAATAGTCCACATTCCTCTCCTATACCGAACCAATAAGTCCTCTCTTTTCCAAGTCTCTCTTTTTCTTGACGATTTTCGTCCCGCAATCCTCTCTTCACCACCACTGTTTTGGAAAATTCCTTCCCTACACTAGACGACCATCAGACGAGTTCACACGATACGCAAATATTTTTCGCGACTGAATTAACCACTACACGTAAGACATCGGAGTCACGATTCTTCAAGGAGGCTATGCATACGCGCAATATTAGAGAACGTTTTCACCTTAGCCAAATAAATTCTGAATATTGCCAAAAAGAGGGTTGCAATATGACAGGGGAACATTGGGGGACATCCTGTAGGAGAGAGATAACCCCCATGCCCCCCAAATGAAAAAAAAGAAAACCTTCTATCAGTATAGTTAAGCATAGACATTTCTAAGCACATCATCGAATAAACCTAAAACCGTGAGCCTGTTGCTCAGCGTCTTTGTGGAATTCAAATGCCTTTCTTCCCATCTACCGCTAGAATACCCACCCCAACTGATCCCATTGATCCTCCATGCCTAACCGCTTAATCAAATCTAATTTCAGATGTGGTAATGTCTGTGGCTATTATTGGAAACGCCATCCTGCACACGACTTCCAGCATACTGTTTTGGTTTATTTTTTAATTTTTTTTTTTATTTTATTGACTCATTGAGACGAAAATTTTTTTTTTTTTTTTTTTTTTGGCGCCCAAGGGCCCGCCCTAGTCTGATTTTCGAAATATAAATATCAGCAGTTGCCACTAATTATTCCGAATAAAAAGTTTTTCTTATTCTTTCCCATTATCAAATAATCAAGTAACTAATAAAAATGCAATTCCAACAAGTTCTCGTCGCTTTAACTGCCGCCACCGCCGTCTCCGCTGCCAACAACACTTCTAACACCTCCAACTCCACCACCTCCTCCGCTGCTTCAGCTGGTGCTGTCTCTGCCGGTGTCTTCGGTGCTGTTGCCGCTGCTGGTGTTGCTTTATTATTATAAGCTAAAGATTAATAGAGTGCTGTAATAGAACAAATAAGAGCACACGATATTTAATAACAATATATATGTATTTTTAGTGGATTTTAATTAATAATAAAATAAATACCTGAGGTAAGACAAAGATTAATTGTAAGCAACTGTAAGCAGTGTAATGAAGGAAAATGGAAAAGAATATGAGCAAGGGAATCGTAAAGAGCAGTTTATCTAAAGAGTAGGTGAGCCGACTCACAAGCTGGGTATACTGGCCTTCTGACTCTACAGACATGTCGACGATTATGAGCAAGAGACGTCGCTCAGATCTTTCGTGCTTAGATCTTGGCTTCTCGTCTATGACAATACCGTGCATCTGGGTGTAGGGTAAGTGCTCAGAAGAGGCTCGAGATTTTTCACTTCATCTCAGACACCGCATAGCCCTGGCGCTCGGCCCTCTACTAGTTTCAGTTACTACTATTCTACGTTATGGAAATGCAAATCACTTCTTTGCCTCTCCCTATCGATACACACCTCTCGATACACTCCCCTAATCTATCCTCCCTATCTTAAACTTTTGACATGAAAATTATTGTTCTATTACTTTCTTGGCCAACCTGATTTGATAATTTCTTTTTTTTTTTCACTGAGCAAAATGTTTTTTTCGTACTTTAATTTTTTTTCACTCAAGACTATCGAATAGCGTAAAGACGAAACAAAGCACAGTAAGCAGCTGTCTTGTTGTTTTCTGTGTATGGGGATGTCCTTTAGAGACTATAGCCAGCACAGATTTCGCTATTCCTATGCCCTATTTCTCCATGTCTTTCCATTTCCCTATCCTATTCCTCTTCCCTGCCTTTCCTAGCGTCTGCTCTTGTCGGCCTGGCTCTCTGCTTTTCCCGTTCGTTGTGCCCAACGCAGTGGTCGAGGGGCGGTATCATAACCCTCAGACAGATGCTTTATGCTCGCATGCATATAACAACATCGAGAGCCCACTTAGCAGGAGATAGGGATACGACTTGCACAGTAAGGATCGGCTACGGAGGCCGGTTGACTCCCTTTGCTCCAATAATACTTACAGAGTCGAAAAGTGTCTCCTATAAGGATACTAATGACTGATTCATATCTTAACTATATGTTCTACTTATATACAGTGTGGTGTAATGCAGTATATGCAGGAACCAACCACCACGAAATATATGTCTCGTACATGCAGGATACGAGCATACCAGTGGTTATTGTTCCAAGATGGTGGCCTATGGGAGTCTAGGCTGAGGTCTAGAAGGGCGGATTGTCTAGTTTCGATGTCAAAGACGTATTCATTGTCGGTAGTGCTCTTAGTTATCAGGCCTGGACTTTGGCCCCCAGTTCTTTTCAGGGTTTTCCTGGTATCTAACTATCTTCAACTTCCTGAACTTATTGACCCTCTCACTGATTTCACTTTTGTCGAGGAAGTTCACCTCGATTTCTGGCAATTTGTGGGCATTCTTCAATATCTTGTACCCAATCATGTTCTCATTCAAGTTTGGCAGCATGGCGATATCATTGGTCAACTTACCAATCTTCTCTCTCAACTTTAATATCTTTGTTTCGTCACCGTTGTCTTGTTCTAACTTGGCCAATTGGTCTTCACATCTTTTCAATGTTTCCTTGTTGTTCTTGATGAGCCATTGTCTATTTATTTGCAATATCACGTCCCAAGGTGCATTCGTCTTTATACAGTTCTTCTTGGCATGAGTTAATGATACGTTGTACTTCAAGTTACCCAAAGCCTTGCAAAGCTCGTTGATTGGGATAGGTGGAGACTTGAAGTATGAAGAAATTTGATTCAAGTTGAAGTAAAATGGGTCAGCCAACTCGTTGCGAGCAACTGTAAGCATTCCCTTTATTCTCTCGGTAGTTCCATACACAGCCTTATCGCTGGTTTCATTAATTTTCAACACCTCGTCAATGAATTCTTCGTTGTGTAAAGGTCCACCCCACATTGGGCCCGCTACATGGTAGCTCAGGGAACAGTATTCACATTTGCTATTCACTGGTGGTCCCAGCGGGTACATGAACTTGTTGGTTCCGTTGTCTCTTGTTTCTACTCTTCCCAAGAATTGATTTCCCTTGTGACCACAGCCGATACAGTGGTAGGTGAGCATGGTGTTGGAGGACAACTTCTTTACAGAAATTGGCAGTGTTCTCACCCTGATGAATAGCCTGACATAGAAGTCTATACTCAACGAGAGCAATGGCTCAATGGTCTTCTTGTACTTGGCAGCGTTGGCAGCAATCATTTGCAATACCAATCTTAAACCTGCTTCGTGGTTAGCTTCACTGCCAATAGCTGCATTTCCAAAATTGTTCCCACCGTACAAAGCGAAGCACTTTTCAGGGTACCCGGAGCCCGCCAACACTCCAGCATCGGTACATGTAACTAGCAATAACCCTTCTTCGTTGATCGACTGGATGGCACCATCAATGAACGGAGTAGCAGTCCCGTAGGGATCCAAGTCAACTACGTGGAACTTCCTCTTCCCATTGGACATGTAATGAATCGCATCTCCGAGGTTAGCCTTCACCTTTTCGGAAAGACCGTTATACTCGATGTTTCTCTTGATTGACTTGACAGCCTCCGGAAGGAGATCGTTGGCAATGACAGTGTTCACGTGAGGTATCTCATGCCCGTACCTTATAGCTCTAAGACCGGTGGCTGATAAGGCCTCAAGTATATTAATGAAAGGAGTGATTTCAACTTCAGGAGCGTCAGACTTAGAAGCTTGGCCTGAAGCTTCCAGCAACAGTTCTACAACTGCAGCATCGGCGGTGGCAGCAGTAGCAGCAGCCCCATCAGAAGAGGAGGAAGAGGACTCCTTGACCTCACCCTCCGACTCCTCATGGGTTCTCTTTTTTGTTATCCTCTTCCCCGTCTTTGTCTTCATGTACAAATGAGACCACGCCTTGATGGCTGTAACCGACAAGTCCCTATTAAATTGTTGGATGGGGTTGTAAAAAACCTTGTTCTCCTTGAGCGATAAGATCTTGGCCTGTCCCTCCTCTATCATGTTGTAGTCCTCGATGTTGAACAGCGCTCCTGCAGCTGTGACAGCTCCTGCGCCGGAATTTGTTGCACTTCTTATTGAATCGGACATCGCGCAACGGAAACTATGCAAATATGGACTCCTACTGAACAATTTCGTCCGTCTTAGCATCAATGTACCACCTCCAACACCTTGTCTCGAAAATTTTGACCTTCCTCTTGATTTTTCACTCATCGCGCGTGCCCAAAGCCGCTGCGAAACGGTGCAGGATGGAAAATAGGGCAGTTGGAGCCGGTAGGTAAAGGGCAGGTAAGATGGAAGAGGGCCACTAGAAATGGGCGAATGTGGCGGAAGCGGACGAAAGAAGTATGGAAATGTGGTACTGTGGGGGTTTCAGTTCACACAGACTCAAAAGGAACAGGATACAGCTTCATTACGCTGAGTTTGGTCTCCCCTTCTGGTGTCTCTCTTGCCAGTTCTGAAGGCTAGTGATGGGTCTGTGTGCAGGACCAGCGATCGACGCAGCACGCACCCAGGCGCTCGCTAAGTGACATTCCATCTGTTGGCTGACGGGTCGACTGATCATGATGGATACATCTCGATTCGAGTTGTTTGGAGACAAAAGGACCGGCAGCAGACGACTAGCACAAAGCAGTAGGGTAAACAGAACATTTTTTTTTGCTTCTCACACACTTTCCCATGTCCTCGATACTAGACCAGATACAGGAGGCGAACGAGCCTATAGACCTCACAGACTACGACGAATCGGATGGTGAATACGATTCTTCGTACGAGTCTGATTATTCGTCGGTATCGGGAGATTACCTCACAGCTCAGCAGCAATGGGAAGAGAGTGTGAACCAGGTGAAGGAGTTATTCAACATGGCGTTGTTCCCAATGATAGGAAAGGTGATTGGAAGGAGGATGGCACACATGGTATGGGCAAAAGTAGCCGACTGGTGGTTCATATGATGACGAATGGTCACCTTTCATTGGAATGTGGATGCCATACGTTGTAACTGCCGTCTAGTGGTATAGATATGGGGAAAGGTGATTGGAGGGAGGGCGGCACATGGTATAGGCCAAAATAGCAGACTAGTAATTTGTATGATACACCGGCTGGGGCTACTTAAGCAGCTGATACAGCGCCGACTGTGGCTAGTGAGCAGGCAAATAGAATGCTACTGAAAGAATAAAGCTCTCCAGGATATATGTGCAGAATATGGCTACTTACCAGACAGATAGAAAGCTACTGAAAGAATAAAGTTTGCCAGGATATATAGCAGAATAGAGGGATACACTAATTTAAAACCCACGACGAGTCACACATCTGGACTCATTGCACGATCTCTCTTATTATACATTACTCTAGCTAATCTAAACTTTTCAAAAGTTCGCCAAACCTATCTATTATCCCTTTCTCTGCTACATTTGTCACGATCAACAGTACAAATGGCTCGATTATACCTACCGATATTCTATGCACGATCTGTTTCAAATGCTGTAAGTACTCATCCAAAGTCATGCTAGAATCTGTGGAACTGTACGATGCGGTGGAAAAGATCGACGACGAAGATGACATATCTTTGGCTGACAGCGAGTTGCCGATTGAGTTACGCGAGTGTATGTACATCACTTCCGCCCCGCTTCCCGAAGAGTTCAATTGAGAGTCAACTATTTCGTAGATGGTCTTGACTAACTTCAAAACGATCTTGTATGTGAACAAGTTGTCTAGCTCAATGTTGATTTCCAACTTCTCGATGAGCAATTGCTTCGATGAGAGCTTGATGGGAGACGACTGCACCTGCTGCGAGAGCGTGGAAGATGATGATGTAGTGGACAAGTGTCTGCCTGACGTATCTTGGCCATAATTGGCCATATTGTTGCCATTATTGGAAAAAGAGCTCATTGTGACCGGCGTGCCAATGTCGTAGTTCTTCAAGATCTTCAACAAGTTCTGCACGAATCTCGTCTGGTAAGTGGGTAGGGACTGTTGCTGAAGCTGGTTTATGGTCTTACGGTCGGTAAGAAACGGGTTCACTGGGTCGAAATGTTGCTGGAGCTGAGGCTTGGGCAGTGATATCTGTGAACCACCACCAAGAGGAGCCACAGGGGCTGCCGAGTTGGGGGGTCCACCTTGCAATGGCCCACCCAAGCTCTTATTGAACTGCTGTTTCTTCTTTTCCAGCTCCAAGTACGACTCTTCGTCCTGCTGGAGAGATTTCAACAAGTTCCCCAACGATATGCCTAGTTTTAGCAATTTTGAAGCATCTAGGGGAAATTTACCGTTGTCTTCATTAAGCAGCTGCATTTCTGGTCGGTGTACTCTGTACACGTCCAAGAAGTATGGAGACTTGGTCTGAGAATGGCCCTCTGTTCGGTCAAAGGGTAAAGATTCGAGCATGTGTTGTATGGTGGCGATCTCGCCTCCAAAGACATCCAAGTACGTGGTCATTTTGGAGCTTCTACACTGATATACTTGAGCAACAACGTCTTTCTTTCACTCCCTACGATTTTTGTATCGTGCTGTTTGTTTTTTAGGCGAGTTTAAAGTTGCAGGGCGGGGAATGTATGCAGGAAACACTGGGGTTTGTTTCACATCGCGAGAATAGGGTTTGGCACGTGATGCTGATATGGATGGAGTGAAGTGCCAGATGTGGAGGGCTAGAGCTTGGTGCTGGGTTGAAGGGCTGGTATATATAGACAGGTAGCAGCGAGAGCGTCTGTTGCATTAGGTTAGATTCTATTTATGCAAATTTCTTCAAGATGAAGACTGTTATAGTAATCGTGGCCATCTTCACATTTGTCTTCCTCACATGTACCGTGCTCTTTGGCGATTCGCCGTCGTTGCGAAACACTCCGATACAAAGAGTGAAGAAGTCGCTACTTAGGCAGTTACAGAACACCTCGAAGAGTTTCAGCGCCTTGGACCAGAAGTTGAGCGGGAAATTGACGTGGAGTTTGGGCTGGAGTGTGCCTGTGTTCTATCTCGCTGTGATCAGCACCTGCTTGTACTTTTTTTTCACTGAGACGTACCCCAAGGTGCTACCTTCTCTGATTGTCGAGTCTTGGGCTCATACTTTCTATATATATGTTTCTATAAGTATTCTATATACCTCTACCATGCTAGTGATATACTCAGATCCTGGAATTATCAAAAACAGCACCGACGTGGCTCGTGCCTGTGCCCGTTCTCCCTACAATGAGTTAATATTCTTCTCCGGAAACGAATGCTCTACGTGCAAGTTGTTGAAGCCAGCCCGTTCTAAACACTGCTCTACATGTGGGCACTGTGTGATGGTTTTCGACCACCATTGTATTTGGCTAAACAATTGCGTCGGATATTACAACTATAGATGGTTTATGCTTTACTTGATTGCCAACATAAACTTCTTGTTCTATGGTGGTATACTATCGTTTGCGGGATTGAAAAAGGCAAGAGAGGAGTATTCTGACATTGGTTGGTGGAAATTGATCGTGAAAACCACCGAAGAAGTCAAAATCACTGGAGTATTTGTGATATTGTGCTTCCTATTCGTAATCATTACCAGTGCCTTTACATTACTTCACTTGAGGTACATTTACCTTGGAGTGACCACCAACGAAGTAGATAAGTGGTCCGAATTGGAGTATTTAGTAGAGTTAGGAACATTGTTTAGGATCGATCAGCCAGATGGAAAATTTGTCGAACGAGGCATGTACTTCGATAAGACTAACAATAAGTATATTCAGGCATTTATTTCTTTGAATGATGAGAAGGTGCTATTTACAGAAGACGATAAGAATTTCCCAAAACTTAAGAAAGTCGAGTCTGTAGAACGGGATTTGGATAATATATATGATAGAGGGTTTATAGAGAACTTGGCGGACAGATTATGTGTAAATCGTTGATGGTACCGTAGAATCTAGAATAGTATCATTAGATTCAACAATTTCCTCAAAGCTTAGCAGTTTATGGGTAGGATTGAAGATCTGTAGTTTATGAGCTAGAGTGTATAATAGCATTAATGGAACAATCTAGGTAACACCAGTATGTAGAACAGTATCTGTCAATACAACAATGTCTCTAGAGCTAAGAAGCTTATGTGTTGGATTAGATATCTTTACTGCAGGTTCTAGACCCGATCGAAGGCTATCAGAGCTGATGATACCAAAAGGGGCCGGTAGTACACATGGTTGACGATATTGAGGCTCTACTACGTTGGTATTCCCAAGCGTTTCAACACAATATGGTTTACTTTAATCTTTTTTACCACCCTCTTCTTCGAATCACTTTCCCTCCCGATCTTGACTGGTGTGATACTGTTTTTACTTATAAATCTATCCTTGAACGTCGTACCTTCCCAGTTGTGTGAGACGTCAATGGTTATAGTTTCTATATCAGAAAAGAGCTTTTTAAACAATGCTTGATATTCCGAATTAGGAGGGTACCAAAAGAATTGGTCTGCTTGGCCAAATTGTACTGAATACAAGTACGCCCGGAATAAATGCAACTTCACGAGACCCAAGGGAGTGCTGTCGTTGATTAAGTTTTGGATGTTGAGCTGCGTGTAATTGCTTAAAATGTGCGTTGCCATATCAATAGTACGATAAACTTCAGTTTCAGGGACTATCGTTGCCTCATTGTAGATATCAGTTGTACCAAACTGAGGTTTGGAAGGTAGCGATGCAGACTTCTTCTTCTTAGTGAAGATTGGCGCGGAGTCCAGCGGAGTTATTTTCTTTACCAAAAGTGTATCAGTATCACCATGATCATGGTCGAGATTAAACGACAATTTTGACTTCGATTTCCTCTTCGCCATGGTGCCGTGCCATGGAGTATCCAATAATAAGGAGGAAGAACATGCTCAACTGTGGACTGGCTTCGCACTTTGCATGAAAAATAGAAACGCACCACTAGCGATGGAAGGGAACAGATAAGAGAGGAACGGAGGTTTCACCTTGTTTGTGCCATATTGAGTCAAGGAATGTAGCCAGTCAAGTAGGAAATGTTGAGTTACTTTGGTTCCGATCTCAACTGAAGTCCAGCGGTGAAAAACGGTGCCACTTACGTGATTCTCAGTCTGGCACTCTTCCTCACACTGTGGAGCCGTTAGGTTGCACGCTGCATGAAGAATAAAAATACGAATCGCTACTGGCCAGCGCCCGAGAAGTGGCCCACGGTACACACACAGACAGTCATCTCATGACTTCTAAAATATGACTGTGCACAACGCACAGCTGTAAAGACTACTACGATATCGCCAGTTGGAACACATACCTTCGTACACAAGACTAATGTCCTACTCACCCTAGCTGGTGAAGACTGCAACCTGCATGACAGAAAATCACCACCGCGAGATGACGTACATTGGCCAGTGAGTAAGGAGAGACATACACTGGCACATCTTTCTCTCCTATTCACCTATTCACATGTTCGCCTACTCACCTTATTTTCTCGCCCCGATGCATTCTCAATCCCATTTTCTTTTCATTTCCATTCCTCCGTACCGTATCAGCTTCATCGAACCAGGGAGCACTTCACTCTTCTCTTACTTCTCTCTCCCAGCTTCTCTCTCACCTTCTCGCGCTTTGCAGCCTGCCAGATCGAAAGTCGTACATTCTCAATTCCACGCTGCACTTACACTGCACCTTATTTTTCAGTGTCAAACATCTGGTACACTTGACTCACTGCCATTCATTAGCACATGTTCCCTAAAAGCGTACCAGCACTCTCCCGTGAGTCTCTCGTCAGTCTCTCATCAGTCCCTCCACCAACCCTTCTCTCTTCCACCCCTCTTTCCCTTCCCTCTCACCTACCAATCTAAAGTCGTGCATCCTCAATTCCCATGCGATTTTTCACTATCAATTTTTCTTGTCTATTTATTTTGGAGCATCAGGGAGGAGATAAAAAATTACAAATAGAGCGGTAAATTGAAGGCACAGTTGACGTCAGATTTGTATAGATCCACCGGCAGGATAGCAGCAGTATTATCGTTCGATATATATAAGATAGTATAAGTATATGTCCTCATATAGTCCACCTTCAATTGCAGAGCTGAGATTATATAGCAGAAGTAACAGGAACAGACTAGTGAAAAGCGATCACTGCGGATATAAAAAGAGAGGGACACAATACACACCCGGAAGGTTACTACTCAACTTTTGCTAGGGATGGACAATCAGAATAACCACAATGGGCATCAGTCCGGCCACCAGCAGGATCAACATCAACAACCTATGCACCAGGGGCAGCAGGTGGGCCCCGGTGGTACACCAGGTCTGGCCCAGTCGCAAGGAATGGGAGGGCACGATCATTCACAACAGAGCCAGGGACAAAGTGCCGGGGCCGGCAATGGAGGCGGCGAATACTCCAACCATTCTAATTACCTAGACGCTAATTGGGCCTCGAGCTTCTTGATGGACTCTAACCAAGATATGTTGTACGGCATGGACTTTAGCGCCAGCAGTATGGGGATGGGGACGGGAGCATCGAATAACCAGATATACTCGCAGGGGATGTACATGCCAACAAGTATGAATGTAGGGATGATACCGAAGGGATCAGAGCAACAGCAGGACCATCAAATTGCTCCGCAGCAGCAGCAGAACATCCAACCTCAGATGCAAAGCCAGCCTGCACTGGGCCCTGCTCCAGTTTCAATTCTCCCATCCAACAAGACTCCTCTTCAAACGCCGAACCAGACCTCGCCGCCACCTAATAATAATGCAAATAGTAGCACAGCAAGCAACACACCGGTGTCCACAAATCCGTCCACTGCTGTTCCAAACAAGGGAAGTAAAATAAGACGACCCTGCGACCACTGCCGTAGAAGAAAGACCAAGTGCGTGATAATACCGGGCACCAACAACTGTGCCCAGTGTGAATCCAAGTCTTTGGTATGTACTTATATTGACCAACCTGCAAGAAGACCACCAGGCAACGGCGCTTCATCGTATGCCGACGAAAACAACAACAACAAGAACAATAATATCAACAACAACAACAACAACAACAACAGCAATGACAATATCAATAATATGAACTACAACCCAAACAAAAGGTCCAAGACCAGTAAAGACGAAAATCCCAACTTGGCCATTTTGCAAGCTGGATCGTTAGGTGAAAATTCTACGTCTCACCTTGGTTCTATGATGAATCCTAATGTTGTCATAAGAGATGTGTTGCCAGTACAAGACTACTCCATGGTCAACAACTCCTTGCTCAAGAAAACCTTATCTTTACAATTCCCCAGGTCTTCATTCTATGTGGGGCCCACTTCGTATGTTTATGATGTGAATTTACTTAATTTGATCATAGACTCTCAGAATAATGCTTCGAAGAACGAGAAAAAGGGGAATACTAATAGCAACGGAGGTAAAATTGAACAAATAAACTTGAGTGAGAATATATCTTTACGTAAAGTGAGCGAGAAGACCCAATTTGTGCTAAAGGACGACCAATCACCACAGTCATACCTGACGATGTCCAATGATGTGGATACTATTGAAAAATTCATTGCTCCGCATGGACAAATATTAATTGATTTATATTTCAGAATCATTCATCCAAGTTACCCCATCTTACATAAAAAGGTTTTTCTAGAGAAATATTCGAGGACACATAGAGAATTTGGAGCACCATTGCTTGCTGCAGTTTACGTTTTGGCCATTCAATGGTGGGATTATGACCCCCAGTTGAATAGGTATCCTAAACCTGACAGTGAATTAATATTGAAGATTGCGGTCAACAACTATTTATTAGAAATATTGAAGAGGCCCAAATTGAGTGCAGTACAAGCTGGATTATTGCTATTGCAATGCAAACACATATTACAAAGTAGAAATTTGGAAGAAAATAAGTCAAATAGAGGTGGGGCCCCGACTGCTAACAGCTTAGCACCTGGTGGGGATGCTGACTTCAACGATTGGGTGCTCTGCTCGCAGGTTACTTCATTGGCTGAAGAGCTTGGACTTGGTCTTGACTGTCATGGTTGGAAGTTGCCTAAGTGGGAGAGAGGGCTCCGTAAAAGACTAGCATGGGCTGTTTATATGGAAGATAAATGGTTATCATTGAAAAATGCAAGACCTTCACATATACATAACGAAAATTGGGTTGTTCTCCCGCTTGCTGATGAAGATTTCCCAGAGAAACATGGTGATGGTGATTTGAAGGAAGGCTCTTCGGATATTGATAATGGTAAGAAGATCTTCCGCAATTTGATTGACTTGACTATGGTATTGTCAGATATCGTGGAACAATTTTATTCCATGAAGGCTATGAATGAGATCACTGACATTAATCAGGTATTGAGGTTGGCTAAACCTTTGCAATTGAGGTTGAGGAATTGGTATCACTCTTTGCCAATAGAGTTGCAAATGAACTCTGTTCAACCTAGGAAGTTATGTTCTAATGGATACTTGCAGTTGGCATATTTTGCTACTGAGTTGACCTTACACAGGAAAATCGTCACTACTATTTACCAGCAGTTCAAAACTTCCAATCCTCCTGCCAAAGAATTGGTCCATGTGTGTCGTACAGCAGCCAAGACGAGATTATTAGCATCTATTGAATTTGTTCGAGACTTGAAACCAGAACATATCCACTCCTTTTGGCACTCTTCTGCTTCATCTAGTTTTACATTAATAGGAACATTTGCGTCCATTTTGTTCATATCATCAGTAAATAAAGAAGAGGAAGCGTTTTACAAGGATCAAGTGTTTAACTACCGATGGATTTTAAAGATTTCTTCAAAGGGCTTTGATCAAGTGGGTAGTGCTTTGCAAAAGTTGGATTTAGTGCTTAACCATATTCCAGGCTTGCTAATAGATAAGGCAGGCTTACCCATGGTGGTCCCCAATGTTCCAACAATCGACTACAATGCGCAAAAGACTGCGGGCTACAATAATAACAACAATACTAGTAATAACAAAAATCTGCATTCAAATCAAGGCTCACCTCAAAACCAACAATCGCCATTAACTCAGGGTAGTATAAGTGGTGGCGGAGGAGCTGCTGGTGCAGGGATCGGAGCAGGAGCTGCTAGAAATAGAATGAGAATGAATCCTCAACAACAGCGTCCCCAGGGCACTCCGTCGAATAATTCCTACATCTCTTCGCCACAGCACTTCCACACTCCCATGTCAGCGAATAATAATGTCCAAGGTGGCAATGTGCACCAAACTATATCTCGGGGAGGTCAGTTTGTAATCAATTCTCCTCAATCTTCACAGGGCCTATCACCCAAAGAGATTATCAAGCAACAGCGTCCCGTAAGCTGGATGAATGGTGAAGAAAACAACATCAACAATGGCGATCTCAGCCAAGGACAATCTATAAACGAATCGGAAAATAATTCGTACGCCAATCCAAAGGTGAGTCCCAGCATGAGCAACTCTCCTAGCGGACCTCTATCTGCTCCAACGCAGAGTGACGACAATCTATCGATCAATTCTGAACATAAATAAGCATAAAAGAAAAGTAACGTAAACTAATATATTCAAAGTCGCTTACTTACATAACGAGCTACATAACTACATTTTCTTGCTGAATAGTTTTTTAATTTTTATACTTTATTCCTTACTTATCGTTCTTTATTTTAGTTTTGGTGTAATGATTGTAGATCACCATAGCGTTCAACTTTTCAGAATTGCATATACATTCAAAAATTAGTTGACTGGCCTTGAAATCTACTAATCAAACGGAGTCAAGTATGCTTCAGCAATAACTCTGGCCCTGGCGTTCAAAAACAACTTCATTTCACTGATCTCCTTATCAACGTCTTCCATAAACTCAATAATGAAGTCAACCAACTTATCCTTCAACATCTGCTCAGTGTGGAAGTTGGTGATCAAGAAGGAAATGTCGTATCCCTTGATGGGTACTCTTCTCAAGATAAAGAAGTTCTCAGCTCTAGATGTCAAGAATCTGGTGAACTTGTGAACCAAAATTTGTTCGATTTCGTCAGCCTGCTTGATTTTGATCGACACTCTGACGGAGTTTATGGAAGGCTCAATAAGAATCTTTTCGTTCTCATTTCTGGCTATTATCATTGGGTTTAATATAAGTTCAGGCGTATGAGTGTTATCGACTTCTATTTCTGGACGATTGTGTCTTTCCACTATTTGGGATGAAAAGTCTTCCAAGCATATAGCGGCGGTCAACGACGATCTGACAGCAGTCAAGTAAGGCTTAAGAGATTGAGACTAGTAGGTTAGTATAACTTTCGAAACGAAACGAAAGTGGATGTAATTGGCATAATTACTCGCCATAGCTAGCCATATCCAGCCACTGAGAGCAAAAATTAGACGAGTTTCGAACTTCTGTAGCATAGTATCCAGCAGACTCACTTGTGTCCACCAAGCTTTTCACATCCACCAGTGCCGCTCGTCGCAATTGAAGCAAGACCTTGGATTTACTGTACATACCATTTTATTTAACTTCTACAGTATTTATCTATATAACAATGACTCCCTTATTGGCCCTTTTGGTTAATATATCTGTCAATCCTTCTCTTGTTGCACTATCGGTATACCACCTTACTCTCTCATTATCGAGGGCTCACGCTGTGCCTTTTGGAAAGGAGTATTGAGTGGCACACGACTCCTGGAGATTTGTTTGACAGATCGAATGCATGATTACATGCAGGAGAATATATCAGTAGTGTTGGTAGCAGTAGCAGTAGACTTTTGTATATTGGACCTATTCATCAATATATGTACATCAATAGTTGAGTAAAACATGCTTCTGCTGCTTTTTCGGTCTATCATCAGGCTGCGAATCTTCAATTGATCTCTTTTTACTATTTTCATGCACGTTTCTTTCTTCTTGGAGTAGCTTTTGCGCTCTCTGTTCATTTAGAGCCTTCACCAAGGCGGCGAGAGTTTCCCTAGTAGCGGCATCTAACTCTATAACGTGCTGGTTCTTCTGTTCGTTAGACCTTATGAGTTGAAACAAATTTCTGTATGTATGAGAGTTCTCTACCTGAGCAACGAATGCTGCAAGAACTTCAGGTTCAATGGGTTCACTTAGCACAAATGATCCACTTTTTTCAGCAACATTAATGTGCCCTGGGACTATTTCCAGGCCCACCTTTAGCAAAGTGTCGCTCTTGTGCAAATATTCCTTGGACAACCATGCTCCACAGGATTTTATTGCCAATGCCCTGTTTTTAGCGTAAATTCCGAGCTGGTACTGTAAATCTTTATGCAAACTTTCGTATACTTCTTCAACCTCCTGTTCGCCCAACGTCTTGATAGTCTCATTCACATCTCTTATTTCATTATCGAATACTTCAGTGAAATTGGCTTTGCTGGACAAGGCATGTATGTAATCCACCTTTCCACTTCTTCTCTTCAATTCATTCTCTATCAAATCTTTCTTCAATTTCATCACTTGGCGCTTCTCATCAACAATGTCCCAAAATAACTCTAACGGCGAGGAACCGTTTCTTCCACATATTTCTATAAAGGAATCTTCATTCTCCAACTCAGCGAAGATGTCTTTAAACAAAGTATTAGACCTTATAGATACCTTCTCAACTAAAAACTTCTTGAACTGTTTTCTTGATTTACGATCAGTTCTATAGTTTTTCCTTTCTTCAATACTTATTTGAGTTTCCAACTTCTTTAAGGTTTGTGGATAAATCTTTGTTTTGTAAAGTTTTAATATGTCTACGGGGTGTAAAACGTTGAAATGCTTGTTTGCCTTGAACCTTGAATCTTTCAAAAGCTTAGTGAAAAGCTCTTCCCAATCGCTACTGTCACTGACCAAACGAGGGTTTATATCAACAAGATAAGATTCCAATTCTGTCAAGGCTTGAGTTTTCTGGCGTTCTACCTCCTCGTCATGTTTAGCTTTGAGTCGATCAACAAACTTGTGGTATAGCTCAGCCATTTCCAGGTCTGTTAGGATTGAATGCTTATACAAAGAATTGTCTTCCAGGATCAATTTTTGCTTGATACTTATCCACCTGGTGTTGAACATCAAGATCCCTTGACTTTGGAACGTAGTCAATAGTTCTGTAAAGTTACTCTCAAATTCTTCCATCACATTAGTCTTGTTTGCCAAACCATTCTTTATTATATCAATGAGGTATTCGTCATAGAGTTCTTTTCTCTGTAAAGCATCAGAAATCGCCCAATATATGGGGTTAGTGATGTGTTCAGAGATCACTCTTTGAAACGACCACGTCGAGTCTACATTAGAAGACTTGAGTAGTCCCTTGAAAGCTGCCTGAGCTTCTTCCAAGCTCAGATATGATGGGGGCTCTGGCAAAGCCGGTACGTCTATATTCAGGAGCTCATCATCTACAGATGAGAGAGCTTCACTGTGTAGCTCATGCACTCGATTCAAATCGTGGGGTTCTTCTTTGCTGGTGAAAGCTTTCTCATAGTTCTCAGCTACATTCTCCTTTCCTTCAAGCTCAATCTGAGCATCTTCCTGCTCATCTCCGTCTACATCCACCACTCTTCCCGTTTCAATTTCAGTTTCAGCATCTTTAGATACCTGAGCATCTACAGTATTACCGTCTCCATCATTTCCTGCCTTTCCAACTTCTTCCTTTAATTCTTCAGGCATTTCCCATGTCGTTTCCTGGGTGGTCTCGTTGTAATAGTACTCCCTTCCATCGTCATTCTGGTATACTTTCCACGACGCACTTTCTATTTCGGGATTTGTCCAGCTTGTTTCTTGAGTTTCCCGATTATAGTAGTAGGTTCTACCCTGATCATCTTCGACAGCCTCCCAACTCATGATATATACGGATCAGTACATCAGTGGGTAGCTTGAAGCTTCATCCATCACAATCACAAATTTCATATGTATGTTGAACACCTATATGCAGGTACAATGTATGTCGCAAATGTCTGAGCTCGAGATTTGCAGCCAAAGCCAGACGAAACAAACAGGAACCCATCGTTTACAAACAAGAAGAACACCAAAGGAAAGGAAAGTGAGCTTTAGGTTGTACTTGAAGTAGAAGTCAGTTGAATTTGACAACTCGAGTATTTCTTACTGAGTCGATTTTGAATTTCAGTGTAATAATGAGGTACACTATCGACCAGCTAATCGAATTTCACGACTATAGAATATATTGTTCTCTGCATAACCTAGACCAGATGTGCGTCGACCTAAATTCTTGGAAAGGGCACATGATTCATGGGCAATGTAGCCTGAGCCAAAAACAGAAGATCTACCAAAGAAGGAAGTATCAACTTGCAAGTGGTCATCATTCTTACCATGACAATAATCCCAGCTACTTTGATGGAAAGAGTCAGTATCTTTGCAAGGGTAATATGAAAACTATGCACAGAGCCACGAGAGACAAATACGCCAAAAGTCCATTATATCCTTTTGATACAAACAGTGGAGCTCATCTAAAGAAATCAGATAAAGCAGAATATCCATTCAAGAATAGACCTTCGGCAGAATTACATGACAAGTACTGGTACCAGAACAAGTCGATCAATAGGACTTACGATTACCACTTTAATAACGATTACGAATATGACTTCGATTACAATTACGATTACGATTACGATTACGATCCAAGAAACAGCCAGACATACCTACATCTGGATATAAATCCACGGTCATCTTTTAGAATTCCATTGATCTCCTTGTTCAGCTTACTAAACGTTCCTCCTGGGTCCAGAATACATTGTCTCAGACCAGGACTGCCCATTCCCTCTGGTGCGGTTATTCTACCCATAATCTACTCCGATGAATTGAGTCCACTGAGCATGGATAGAAGAGAGTATCGAGAGAGTTCGTCACGATATCAGTCCTCTAGGCTAAAAACAGGTTCCATGCCAGACGATCAGACGTACGAAGAGTCATCTGATAGTAACATTCTTATACAGCTACCACCACCCTTTTAACGTCCTGCACACAAATCATATCTCAAGCAGATTGATTGATAGGTGCAGGGCACATCGCTAGATGAATATTTCACCGTGACAGCATATCTATTGAAAGGTTAAGGTACCAGAAAGAATAGGGTGATATGGTGAAAGGCTCAGATATGCCTCTATGGCACTATATGAACATAGAAATGTATGTATACGTGGTCTATACTGCCGTCTTCAAAAGAAGTTTTTTTTTTTCAGGCTCCAAATACTAACAGTGCATCTCCAGTGTGACTGATCCCAGTGTAAAAGATGAGATAGACTTATCATTGGACTTTATATCTTTGAAGTCAATTATAACAGCCAGTCTTGGAAAATTATATGGGCTAATAGGAGAAGCATCACCTTTGGATATACTAGAAATCAGATCGAGTAAGCTGATAATAAGAATCCAACCTCAAGATAGTGAGAAATTTCGGAATAGCTTCTTGACATTTACCTTCAATTCGAGCAAATTTGGAGTAAGCACAAGTGAGGTGAACTGCTACATTAAGGTGAACAAGAGCTCAGCACATTTAGGGTTGGTAGTGGATGACAATTTTATATAGAGCAGAGATAATTTAAACCAAAAGAAAGGAAAAGCAAACGAAAAGCATATGCTGCAACTAATACCGACTAATGTCTTAACAGCAGAGAATTAGTGTTGCACAATATATAGAAAGGTAAGAAGAGTTAGATATATAGATAAGAAGTACTTATGAAGGTGACGGTGAGGGCCAGAAAAAGAATACACGAACGACTCCAGGACTCAAAGAAAGACTCGAATATTGCAGTGTACAACCCATGTAAACTAACCTAATGGTGCTACAACTCACCCTCCTACCTTCTCGCCGACAGTATTGTCCCGCTCACCTCTCCACACTACTTAAGCAATGCTGCTGTAGGCTTGGGTACTTCCCCTCAATAGTTCCTGTCCTGTGTAAAACTTCTTTGCTGGTAAATGGCAATTTTTCATTCCTGCATAGTGTCATACATGCCTTTGGCATGGCAGGCGAAATTTTGACAGATAAGTCGAAGCAAACCTGGAGACATCCAGAGGCAGTACGCCGGAAGAGCAATAGTGATCTCAATTGCACATTTGTGAACGTAGGACGCTGGTATTTAAAAATTAGGGGCAGATTTATAAAAGAGAAATCCGCAATAAATACCAAATATTTGAATAAAACAGCACATTTTGTCAACCGACCTTCACTAATTTTTGCCGTTTCTCGACTTAGACCGTATCGATATGGTTTCAATAAAGTCCAGGAATTGGACACTATTGTCTGTTCTAGTAACATTCATTTGTGTAGTCAGTGCCGAATTTCAGCCAACGATCTCGAAATTGAAAGAGGATCATGTTGCTGAAGCTTACTCTTACTTTGACGACTCTACCACCATATTAGGCTCTAGGAAGAACAAGTTGATTATATCGTTCGATGATGGGAAATCGTGGGAAACTATTAAAGAAACAAAGGAAGAAACCATAATTCACTACCAAATGGATATCTTTCTTCGAGAAAGAGCGTTCGCCTTTACCGCTGATAATGCCCAGTTTGTCACTTATGATAAGGGCCAGCATTGGCTGAAGTTCAACATTAAGGATCCGAAGGATTCTTCGAAGCTTGCCAAGATAGATTCCATCCCAAGAGTATTGTTTAACAGTAAGAATCCAAACTTGGCGCTTTTTGATTTCTATTCTTGTCCTGAATTGGAGCACTTTTCTGAAAGGTGTAAGCACTTACATTACTATACAACAGATGGGTTCAAGACCGATCCAAAGCCTATCTCGATCGATACGAATATATGCCACTTTGCAAAGTCGACCAAAGCAGCAATCGAAAACAAAGTCGACCATGATGCTACGTTGTTTTGTACCCAAAACAAGATCAATTCGTTCGGTCATGTAATTGAATCTAATCTCTATAAGACCACTGATTTCTTCCAGAAAGATAAGACGTTGGTGCAACCTAACGGATTAGATAAGACGGGTTCATACACCAACTTTAAAGTTATCCAGAATTTCATAATCTTGGTTGTTAGATTAGACAAATTTAACGTAAATTCCAAAATAGCACTTTTCGTGTCCAGAGACTATGAGAACTTTGACATGGCTGATTTGGTTGTTGATGTCTCCTATGGCGCAATTGAGTTCTTAGAGTCAAATCCCCTGTCAATTGAGTTAGTAGTTATGGATTACTCCAATCCAATGGAAGATGTAGCATTAGCAGCTTTCTATGGATCCGATTCAACTGGGTTAGCATTCACCAAGAAATTGGATTTTGTCAAGTCAGGATCCACACTGAAAGTTCAAAATATTGATGGTTCTTGGATGGTTCTTGTAGGAGAAGATCCATTGGGCTCAACCGAAGGTAAAGTTCCGAGTTTGATAGACTTATTGTTAGGTGATGGGGGACTTAACGATAATTTGAAGTCGATGATCACGATTGACGACGGCGAAAGTTGGAGCTACTTAAGAGTGATAGACGACGACAATTGTAAACTTGAAAGCCAATGTTCACTTCACATCTTGTCCCAGATGGAAAGAGATGGTGCAGGTAAATTTGTGACTGGCCCAACTCCTGGTCTTATGTTTGCTGTCGGAAACACTGGGAAGCACATCGAAAAAGAGGTTTCTAAAATGCATACTTACTATTCAAAAGATGGTGGAATTAGCTGGAAATTTGCCCTTGATGAGCCTTGTTTATTCTCTTTTGGTGACTTGGGTAATGTGGTCATTGCAGTCCCTTACTATGAACCTAACTACGGTAGCACTAATCACTTCTTTTACTCAGTTGACCATGGTGCCACTTGGATTAAAGTTGCGCTCGAGACCTCAATTTATCCGTTAACTTTAACTACTACCATTGATAGTACGTCTACCAGGTTTTTACTTACCGGTCTAGTCGACAAAGATCCCTCGGTTGAAAGTAACCTGAGATATTCGGAGATAATATATTCATTAGATTTTTCAAAAGCATTTGATGGAAAGAAATGTGGAAAGGACGATTACGATGAAATATATGCGAGAGTCAAAGATTCTGAAGATCCAACTTGTGTGTACGGTTCTAAAGAAAAGTACTTAAGAAGAAAGCAAGATTCCAAATGTTTTGTGAGCAAAGTCTACGAGGACTTAAAGTTTGAAAAGGAACCATGTAAATGTACTGCGAAGGACTTTGAATGCTCCAAATTTCATACATATAGTTCTGAAGAGGGAATATGTAAATTAGATACAAAGAAAATCACCCGCCAATGTTACAGTGAAAAGAAAGGAACTAAACTTGAGCTCACTAATACCATTCGTGGATCCAATAATATTTGTAAATTGGAAGGACAATCAGAAAAGGACTTTATGCAGAAAGAAACTATAAACTGTGATGATTACACCAAAGATAACAAGGGTGGAGAAGGAGGTAAAACTAGTAATGAAATTGTCACCCAAGTCAATGTATTTGAAGGAGATATTTCTCGTTATAATTACTTTGAAAAGGGTGAAAATTTCAATGGAGAGAACTTGGTTGTTAAGCTCAGCGATAATCTCGTGTTTGCTTCTAATAATGGTGGAGTTGATTTTGTCCAAGTAAAAATTGATGAAGATGTTATCGGTTACTGGACAGGATACGTCGCAGGTCAAATAGTTCTATTAACTAATACCAAAAAGATTTATATCTCGTTGGATGGAATAAACTTCATTAGAAAATTTGAGGCACCTACCCTACCAAATGACATCGGAATTACGCCTATTTCATTTCATAAAACTGATGTGAATAGATTTATTTGGTACAGTAGCGAGAATTGTGTCAGTAAATATAGTAAAGACTGTACACCAGTTGCTTACCATACAACTGATGGTGGATATACATTCACAGTTTTGAAAGAAGGAGTTACGAAGTGTGATTATATTTACCCACATCTCGTAAATCCTGTGAACTTGAACAACAATACAATCTTTTGTCAAACAGATGGCTTTGAAAGTGGTAAAATCAAGTTGATAAGTAGTGATGATTATTTTAAAACTGAAAAAGTACATTTTGAAAATATTGTTGGGCTGGCTTTCACAGGTAATTTCTTTGTTGTTGCCACCGTGAAAGAAGAAAATCAATCTTTGCGGGCTAAAGTGACCGTGGATGGATTGAATTTTGCTGATGCTGACTTTCCAAGCAATATCAATGTGAATGCGAACCAAGCTTATACTATTCTAGATGCCATGACTGAATCTGTTTTCATGCACGTCACTACAAATAACGTTGAGGGCCATGAGTTTGGAGCGATCCTTAAATCAAATTCTAATGGTACTTCTTATGTATTATCCTTGGATCATGTTAACAGAGATAGAAAAGGATATGTTGACTATGATAGAATCGATGGGTTAGAGGGTACCATCATTGCCAATACTGTCGAAAATGCGAATGAAGTTAGAACCAAGAAAGAATCAAAAAAGTTGAAGACCCAAATTTCTCACAATGATGGAGCTGAATGGTCCTACTTAACTCCTCCTACTGTTGATTCGAAAGGTAAAAAGTATTCGTGTATCGGATCCTCTATTGCTAAGTGCTCTTTGAACTTGCATGGCTATACTGAGAGGGCCGATTACCGTGATACATTTTCTTCTGCTTCAGCTACTGGACTTATAATCGGAGTTGGTAATGTTGGTGAATTTCTTGAGTCTTACTCACTGGCAGCTACATTTATCAGTAAAGATGGTGGTATAACATGGAAAGAAATCAGTAGTGGTGTCCATATGTGGGAATATGGAGATCGTGGTACTATATTAGTACTTATCAAATCAAAGGAGCCAACTCAAAATATTCTCTATTCGTTAGATGAGGGTGACACATGGATTGACTATAAATTTTATGAAGAACCAATTAACGTTTTAGACTTAGCTACCGTTCCATCTGATACCTCAAGGAAATTTTTAGTGTTTGCACATGATAAATCTGAAGGTAGAAATACCTTATCTATCTCTTTTGACTTTTCTAATGTTCACAAAAGACAATGCCAATTAGACTTAGATAATCCAGATAATGATGATTTCGAGTATTGGACTCCAAAACACCCTAAGTTGCCAGACAATTGTTTATTTGGTCACGAATCTTATTACTTACGTCGTGCTGTGGGCCATAATGATTGCTTCATCGGCAGTGCTCCATTAAAGGAAGGATTCAAAACAATTAGAAATTGTTCTTGTACAAGAAGAGATTTCGAATGTGACTACAATTTCTATGGTGATACAGATGGTACTTGTAAATTAGTTCCAGGATTATCTGCTAGTGATCGTCAAAGCGAATCCTGTAAGAAGGAAGGTGCCTTTGAATACTTTGAGCCTACCGGGTATAGGAAGATTCCTTTATCCACTTGTGTTGGAGGCAAGGCATACGATAGCTGGAATGCTCATGCATGTCCAGGAAAGGAGAAAGAATTCAATAAGCATTACGGGAAGGAAATCTCAGGAAGCAAAGTACTTATACTTGTATTTGTTCCACTATTTGTATTTTTATTCTCAGTATGGTTTGTTTATGACCGTGGTATTCGTAGAAATGGTGGTTTCAAAAGATTAGGTCAGATTAGGCTTGATTTAGATGATGATCAAGGCGGATTTCAGCCAATCGAAGAGAATACAGTTGATATGGTTGTCAATAGAATCGTGAGTGGTGGTATATTCGTTGTAGCTGGAGCTATTGCAGTTTTCAAGACTGCAAGAAAGTTTGATAGATATATTTTTGACAAGTTAACCTCGCTGATTTTCCGTCGTTCAAGGTCCAGATCTCTGAATTACGTACAAGTACCAACAGATCTTGAAGCAGAAGAAGAACTATTCCGCGATGATTATGAAGATGAATTGAATGAAGATGGTATTAACGTCAACGCTAATCCCTTTTATGATGAGGACAACGGTGAGTTAGCTGATGATGATATTGCAAATTTCCATGATGAAGAAGAAAGGGATCCTAGAGATGTCGATTCAAGACTTTTCAATATCGACGACCATTCAGATGACGATCTCTCAACTAGTAGGTAAGCCGAATTAATGAAAGTTAGTAAAATTAGTATAAAAATACACCTAGAGTTAGTTAAAATCGCAAAGTTTGATTATTAGAACGTAACTGATATTTCTTGTCTCTTATTTTGAATGGATAATAGGTCAGCTTGCAACTTGTCTTTTCTTAATATCTGTCGCCGAATATGTCAACACTAAGAAGCAAGCAAGTACATAACGCATTCATTGGCAAGATGAGTTGATCTCTCTTACTGGAATCTCTGAAAGTTATTGAGTATTACATTTATTAATATGCTTTTAATATCTTTGAATCTAAGATGCAAGTTCAAGGAATTATATAGTACATATGATTTAGTTTATTCTAATTTATTCTTGAATTGAGATCAATCTCAATCTGATTATCTCTTTTGTATGTCTATCTCATGAATCAAATCTTCAGGATTAACCGCACCCATCATATCACTTTCATGGATTCTTTGACTAGCAACGGAATCGTCCTTTGATTTTCTGAAAAGTGCAAAGTATGGAATTAAGTACAATAAACTCAAGAAGATTGTAGATCCAATTGCACAAGCCAAAGAGATACCCACTACCTTACCCTTTGACATAAATCTACTAGAGCTTCCTAAGCTACTAGAAGATGTAAATCCAAAATTATCCTTGACGAGAATGGAATTGATTACACCTAAGTTGCCTGAATTGTCGTTACTAGTGGTGAATGCATAAGGTATCCAAGCTGTACCATTGTATAATGCAGCATTGACCAATCCATATTCACTTAATTCAAAGCTCCCTGCCAACATTAAGATTTGATCTTCGTCAAAAAAGGTTTCATTATTAGCTGAGTTTGATGACTCAAGGGTTAACAACTTCATATCGCTAAACTTCGTTGAAGCTGAATATGTTATAGAGTCATCAATATTGTTCCAACTTGAACCATCATACGCGCTAACAAAATCTTTTCCAAATGCCAACATTCTACCTGATACCTTTGAGCTATCATCAACAAGTATGAACTTTTCAATGCCCTGAGAAATATTAGAATTAACAGATGAAGGAGCACTGCTAAAAGTTTGACTTTCAAAGTTATAGGTGACAAAAGTTTGTGAAGATCCTGCAAATGTAATGTTTCCGGCAATCAACACCAGATCCAGTGTGTAGAATTTAAGATCAGTAACTATACTTCCATCACTTATAGAATTATTGCTAGTAGGTTGTATCCATCTCTTATTTATTATATCATAGATGCAAAGTCCTGGGCAGTCTAAAGAACCAGCGGTGGCAAAGTTCCCCCCAACCAATAACTTAGAATCACTGTCATGGATTGCCAATATGTTAATGTCAAGTGAAGTTGACGTGCTAGTATTCAATTCAGCAGGCTTCAAGTCACTACTAAAATTCTTATTGTCCAAGTCGTAAAATACAACTCCAGCAGATTGACTTTCGCCATCAATAGAAATAGAACCATTGACACCAAGGACCAAGTACGAAATATCAGAACCACCATAGAGAGCTTGAACTGTGGCATCATTCCAATCAACAGTTCCTTCTAACAGTGTAGTGCTGTTGTCATTGGCATTCAAAAGTAAAACATTCTCAATGCCATCACTAGTATTAAAACTACCACTTAAAACACTAAGTGAGCTGTTAATGAACAAAGAGTCCAAGATATAGCTTCCTGATGCCTTACTGTCACTTATGGTAAAGTTAAACGAAACAAAAGAGTCATTGCTATCGGAGTTAACAGTAGCCTGATCGACGCTATAAAGATCCATGACATTAAATGAAGATGAGGATCCCAAAATCTGCTGTTTAGAATTTATGTTAAGTGACGCAGAAATGTCATATAAGTTGTACAGATCATCAGATTCTGAAATCCACTTACCATTGGTGTTATCAAAAACTGCACTCAGGTTATCATCTGATCTGAATATCAAGTATTGTATATCGTCAACTGTGACATTCACCATACTATTGAAATTACTGTCAATTTTATCATTACCGTAAGAGTACCAAGAAGTGGCGTTATACAAAGCAAAGTTATTCATAGAAGACGTATTAGATGAACCTGGTGCCAATTGAGGAATTGCACCTCCAGCAATAGCGTACGCAGTGAAGTCACCAATGAAAATAAAGCCTCCATTGAACTCCATAATTGTATTCACTGTAGAATCAAATTCAGCTCCAAATGCTGTGGAACTAGTGCTGCCATCAGCTCTCTTCCTCAAAGTTGTGGAAATTTCCGTCTCATTTAAGTCATTACTGTATCCACTGATATCCAATGTTATCATATTACTCGTCAAGTTGGAATTTGCTGTATCATTGACAGAGAAGTCTCCAGATAAAACTAATGTGGAACCGTTTCGTATAATATTGGTGATGTTACTTCCAGAGGCTAACTTTCCACTTAAGTAGTTGATTGAAGAGTTCCCTACGAATGTGTTGGTAGCATTCTTGACCAAGCTGGCATCAAAATTGGAGAAATTGGCCAAACTATACTCAAACAAACCATTAATTGAAATGGTAGATACATTAGAGCTTCTTGAACTTTTGGTACTGTTGGTAGTATTGGATGAATAGTATGTGTCCAATGATACAATATCAGCCGTAACCTTATCAATCACAAACCATGGATTATCAGTTCCTGAGATAACAGGCTCATCGTATTTGACAACGATCTTATTTTGGCCATCGCTCGTCGCACTACCATTCATGTGACCGTAATATAAGTAATCGAATTTATCATAATCATTATTTTGATAAATTAATTGACTAGATAATACTTGATCGTCCACGTCATAGACGGTCACATTGACTATAGATCGTAAGTCGCAAGAATCGTCTAAGATACAGCCTGGTGTAGTTATCAAGAGTTGGTAATCTCCTGAGTATGAAATATTAGGATAGAAAGTCACACTTAAATCAGTATCGCTTCCAGTATCAACAGTGGTAACTAAGTAATTGATATCATCGAATGAAGATGAAGATGCCGTGGTGTAATTTAGCACACTCTTCCAATTGCCTCCACTTAATTGACTGTAATTTGATGTATCATCGATGCTGTCACAATTTGGTGAGTTCAATCCATTATCACCATACACTATAATTGAATTCAGGTATAGTTCAAATCCTTGAATTGTTCCTTGATCACCATACCACTCCAAAATAGTTAAACCGACTTTGTCAATTGATAACTCATCCTTGAATGCAAACTCTTGATAATTGGATGAATATCCTAAGCTTTTCGTCTTCGTTGATGAGTCATAGTATGTAGAGTATGCACCGTCTGATGTATCTATGTAAGTTGTATCATCATAACTCAAAGAGTCTGCGTTATCGATATTACTCTCAGTGTATTTAGATAAATCTGAAAACTTAGATAATGGACACCAAGCGTCACAATAGGTCAATACATTAGATTCCGGGTCGATGTAAGAAAGATTCATAATCCCATTATTGGGGTACGAATATATTCTGAAAAGCTTAACTGAATTGTCACCCAGCTCAGGTACATACAACCTGACTTTAGTTGGGACCAAACCCTTCATTTCGTTGGGTAATTCAACCAACCATTCACCTCCAACACCTGCTTCTACAGACCAGCCCGAGGAAGTTTCTGGACATATCAAAGTGTTCAAAGGGGTAGACGAATCACCATCGGTTGAGGAGAATATTCCCTTTTGCAAAGAAATGATTTGCTCTGCCGTTATCAACGATGTATTGGTACTGTTTGTATTGTTAGTCTTGGGAGAAGTAACATTGTGCACAAGCAAATCATCGAGACCAAGAGTATCGAAGTCACCTCCAAAAACAATAGAGCCTGATGTTGAAGAGTCGTCACTATTGCTGTCCAAGATCTTCACAATGGTGTTGACAGCAGATCCCAGACCAAACCCTTCAAAGGGTGTAGTGTACAACTGTGCCGATGTGATGTTGTAGATGGCTGCACCAAAAGTACCATTGAACAGGAAATCTCCACCCAAGTATATCAAGTCGTCGTCTACAAGTACTGTAGTGACCGAGCCATTTGTGAGGGTGGATGAGTTGAATATCGAAGTTGTTTCGCCTGAAGTGACGTTGAATATTAATGGAGGTATTATGCTAGAGTTAGATGACGATGAAGATGATGACGATGCTGTGAATTGAGAGAAGTTCCCTGTAACAAGAACATTCCCGTTGTTTAAGTTGTAGAGGGTCTTCAAGTCCCCATTGACCTCAGCTAGTGAGTCGACGCTATTGCTGGTGAGGTCTCTAAGGTAGAGATTGCTTGAGGAACTAGAAGACGACGAAGATGAGTCTCTTTTCCTTTTAGTGGTACTAGTGGTAGTATTACTATTATCGTTGGCCAACGATAAAAACAGCGACTGGTTTGCTGTTTTATAGGAGGATATCGCCGAGAACGCACCTAGCAATCCCAACTCTCCTCCCAAGGATTTGAAGTTGAAGTCTGGGTGGTCAATGTCATCAGCAGACGAAACCGCTATGAGACTAGACGCTAATGTACATAGCCACTGTAATCTCATGATCTATATGCTTTTTTAATGTGTGCTTTTCAGTTTACCTAGCTTTCTGTACTAATATATGGTTGTATTGTTTTTTGGCCTGTTGAGCTGCCTCTTTTTCGTTATGCTCCCGCCGTGAACAGGAAAACGATTGAAACTTAGAATGAGCTCGAAGTGCAACTTCAATGTGCTATGTATTAACTGGCGTGTCTGCGTATCTTTTCAAACTGGATCCACAACAAGAACCCTGCCAACGAACTTATAATATCAAACAGGAACTGGCTACCGTTGTCAAACTGTTGGTGTTAGAAATTTCCTCCCTAATAACCAGAATGTTTATTTTTTTGGATACTTTTGCTTGTTTGAAGAAAAAGGTAAGTGCCACAAAATCAGCCTAGAAGGTATAAGCAAAAAAGAAAATAAGAAAATAAATAAAAAAAAAATAACGTTTAATGCTAATTTTGACTGAGAATGTGAATTGTGATACGAGTATGTTCACAAAGGAAAAACCTGCTGGTGGGACGAGGCCAGGGTGGATGAATGTAGATGCGTGCGTGAAGAACGAGCGTCGAGGGTAGAATAATAACGAGAGGAAAATAAGAGGAAAGTAATGGTTGAGAATGGAGAATGGAGAAACGAAAGAGTGAAAAATTAGCACTGATTAGACGAGACTAGAGCACGGCACAGAGAGCAACAGAGCAAAGTACACCAGAGGAGCACAGCAGCACGTCAGCTCAGCACACCATAACCGTCCAATTTGATTTCGATTCCGATTTCTCAAGAAGCTGGAAATATGCCTCACCGCATCGACATGGTGATCTTGTTTTGGAAGGAAGGGGTGGGTAGCTTCACTATCTATCCTACTCGTTTGTAAGGCGGTAGCATACTTTTAGGCCATGGAACATTAATTATTTTTTATTTTCTAAAATTTTTTTTTTTTTTTCTTGTTTTCTACGCTGGAATTTCGTTTGATTATTTTTCATTCCGCTTTTTCACATTACCGAAACGCTTTGTGCACGCATTTTGTTTATAATCCGTCCCAAAAGGGAAATATTGCACTCGTCAAGGTGGGCGCCAGCGCTGGGAACCGTATGTGCTGTCTATATGCAGGCGGATCAGAAATAATGGAGAGAAATCAAGTCCTCGATTCTGTGGTGTGTGCAGGACAACGCTGACACTTCTTTGAAATACGAGGATTAATTCGAGAGCTTATATGCCGTACTGCTAACTCAGCTGTTTGTCTTACCCTCAAGACACGAACTAAATCGATAAACTCGGGATGAAGCTTGTCTAAACTTGAGGAGGGTACTCCCATTGTATTTCTCACGCATCTGCGGCCTTTCTGGTCTGCTTTAGTAACCTATGTACTCCTTTTAATTGCATCTCTCTTCGTACTATGTTTCGGTGCAGCCCAACCTATGTGGCAGATTTTCAGCCTTGTGCAGGAAACACTATCCTGGTGCTGCACTGAGATACACTAGACCATCGGCTCCCAGTTGACCAAGCCCTCAGTGGGCTCCAACACCCAACGTTCTCAGACTGCAGTAGTGCGAAGCTACCCAGTAAATACCACGCAAGTATTGCTAGCCCCAGCTCTTCTATCTTCACCTCTTTCATTAACCATCGACGCTCTCCTCTTCCGAATAACTGCAACAGCTAATTACCGTCACTACCTGCAGGATGCAACGCAGTCCCTGTATTGAGAATTACATGCAGGATCATAATCACTGTCTATCAGAAACTCTGGCACCTCCAACACAAGAGCTACGAACTAGCTGACAGCAGGCTAACTGGGCATACTTATCAATTATTCTCTCTCCGGTATACCTAAACTATAACTCAGAATGGATATAGACTATCCGTCCGGGTTGGATCCGTATGCTGCCCGCCAACACTTGCTCCATCATACCTATTCCCCGCTAATCTCAGTGCAAGCGTCGCACAACGCAGACCTTCACATCCAACGAAGTTTAAACAACAGTAATGTGTCATTTCTCCAATTCGTAAAGCCATACGGCAACAACGCTAGATATAGTGTACCTGGGCAGACGTTCAAGATTACTAATACTCAATTGATCACCAAGCTATACCCCTCCTTCCCCATCAGATTTGAGCTCTCTTTACCGGAGCTACTTTCCATAACCAGAGCTAACAGCCTGCAACTGCAACTGCAGTCGGCCAGTGCATCTTCCGCTAAAAGCAGCAATGCCTCAGACTCTACGCTTCTACCATTGTTCTCAATATCATCCTTGGAGTTATTGTTGAAGCATAGGGCCAAGGAAAAGCTGGAGGTGGACACCGCTGGCGACCTCGACGAAGATATTTATTTGAACTTCTTCACAAAGATCATCACTAGCAATAAACTAGTGCCCTTTGAGACATTCAATCATCCTATATCACAGGTGTTTGCTATAGATTTCCACAACGATACCATTGATGACCTCAGGAAGCTAATTGTTGATTTCAGAAACTTCAACTTCCCCAAGTTCTTCCAGATTGATGACTTGTTGATACATGTTTTCATATTGTATGATCCAAATGTGGGTGAGCTGAAGGATGTGATTGAATTTCAAAATAATGTGAAGAAACTCTTGAGCGTACTGAGTACCTTGATGGCTATACCTCAAGGGCAAATCGACCTAGAAGGTGAGAGTGCTGTGTCAGTCACAATTAACGAAAACTCAACCATTGAAGAAGACCTTCAGAGGATATCATTGAGCCAAGGTAGCGAAAGTCTCAAAGTCTCTCATTCCATCGATTTAATGATAAAGAAGCGCCTTTATGAGTATATCAACAAATTCATAATCCCGCACATGGAGAAGAAGATTCGAGTGTGGGACGATCTGGTGTTATCGCCTAAGAAATCAATCACGGGTAGGTTTTTCTCCGTTTCTAAGTTGTTCTTCAATAATAACAGTAACAGTAATAAAAGCAGCCCAGAGCCACAATCTTCCTCATCTTCGAACTCAGCAGCTTCCTCGTTCAACTACCAGGAAAATTACTATCACAAATCAAGTCCAGAGCAAACAATAAGAAAGCTAGCAGACTGGTCATTGATATTGAAGGATTTCAAATATGCATACTCCACGTACGACTTAATTAAAAAGGACTACACCAATGACAAAGCTTGGGTATATGTGGCTTCTACGCAAGAGATTTGTATTGTATCTTTGTTGTTGGCCCAGACACAACAACTGAACCAAAATCCAAACTTACAGGAGGATTCCACCCCGCCACCCGGGGCCTCGCAACAGCAACCTATAACCTCTGCTGTGCCTGATCGAAATACTTTCCGCAAGATCAGACACGACATAATCGAGCCGTACTGTGACAATCTCCTTTACACATTCAAGTCGAGGTTCAATCTTCGAAGTTACGGTATTAAGGCTTTGCTTGTATTCGTCGAACTTCTCTTGTGTCTTTCCATGCATCAAAATTCTTCGTGGTGGTGGAACGATTTGATCGAGAAGTACTTGTTCAAGTGCATTGACGATTTTGAGAGGCATTTGGTGAACGGGGGACAAGTCATACGGGCATTGCTCTTTGAAAGGCTTGGATATAGTTTTGGGAAGTGTGTCTACCTTGGGCAAATAGAGACCATGAGATTGGTCGAAAGGAGGCAGAGAGAGGTTAAAGTTGAGGTAGAAGAAGGAATGTATATGAACCCTCACAAAATTCGTAATAGAGATGTGCATTTCTCCGGACTAACGAAATATAAGAAATCTTCGCTATGGTACCTCCTCTCCATTAGAGAATGGCTAGAGTTGAAGAACTACAAGCAGGTAGGCTACTTGATCCAGAATATCCAGTGTCTGTTCAATATCAAAGAGTTGACTAACCAGTGGTACGACAGAAATGATTTGTTGTTAGGGTTTGCAAAGAGATGTTTAATTGAAGCAAAGGAAAGCGATGAATCTAAAGTGGGGCCTGATCAGAACGATCAGACTCAATTAGAAGGTACTTAATAGAATATATATGTTTATCTAATGGTATACATCTTTTTTTTTTACAGGTTTTCAGGCTGAGTCGAGCCAAATGCACGCGAAGACAACACAAAGGCATGGGATACAAAACCAGAACGCAGTATCCCTTCGTAGTGTTCATCTTCTCCTGGTCCTCACCTTCCCCATACTCTGGATCTTTTTTTTTTTTTTTTTTTTTTTTTTTTTTTTCTCACCACCAAAATTTCAAGCTTCCTCGATCAAGACGTCATCGCAAGCAAGGCACACTCTACTTCTGACTGTACATCGAAAGCACTCATATATTCGTAATAATGTCGTTTAGAAAAAGAAGTGACATAATAGGTGCTCCTCCTGCGGTCCCAAGAAATCCAGGAATGGTTCCTGGGAGACCAGTAGGAGCTGGTGCAGTCCCCGGTAGAATCATTCCAAGCAGACCTGTTGCTCCCGGCACCGGAGTTGCAAGAACCGGTCCAGTGAGGACATCATCACCATCACAGTCTCAGACTGTCGAGATATTGCAGCATCCAGGTGTTAGACCATCCCTCATAAGCTCGTCACCCACCATTTCCACAGGTTCACTGGATTTGGACTCCATCCTTTTGCACCAGGGTTTGCCCTTGGGTGCATCATTGCTCGTGGAAGAAGCTGGTACCACAGACTTCGCTCTGATCATACTAAGAGTTTTTGCCTCGCAAGGAGTGATACATAATAGGGTCGAGTATGGTCCCCAGAACAAGAGGGAGTTCAATTCGCATGTAATCGTGGTGGGATTCCAGAGCCAGTGGGCTAACGAATTGCCTGGCCTTTACAAGGGCTCGTCTAGGGACCAGAAGAAAGCAAACATTGCAGCAAATGAGAAGAAAATCAGTGTGTCGAACTTGAACGACAGTAGATCCCCAGTGTCTGGCGCAAACGACAAGGAAATGAAGATCGCCTGGAGATACGGCTTGAACAAGAAAGCTAATGACTCAGGCGAGAATGCTCCTAGTGCACCATCAGAATCGTCGTCCGCTGAGCACTACACACATCAATTTGATATCACGCAGAGATTGACTCCAGCACCCGCCTCACAGGAAGTCTCCTTCGTAAGCATAACTTCCCACCAGTATAAACCTATATTGAGCCAGATCCAGTCTATCATTACAGGTCAATTGAAGCAGAACCTGAACAAAGTCATTAGGCTAGTGATACCAAATTTGCTTAACCCCTCTACTTATCCTCCACAGTTCTCACAGAGCGCAACTATAATTCCATTCGTGCATTGCTTGAGAGCATTGTTGAGGAAGTACCCTCGAAACCTTGTTTTGATCAGTTCCATATCGTTAGACCTTTTCCCAAAGGAAACTAACTTGACGTACAACTTAGAAACTTTGTATGATGCTGTGATCCAATTGCAGCCATTTAACCAAGAAATGTCACAGCTTATCGAAAAGGCATACAAGAACGAGCCTGCAAAGGTTCTGCATGGACTAGTACATATCCGAAAGATACCACATTTGTCTGAAAGGGGGTTGATGATGATTCACGACGGGGAATATGCATTCAGAAATGGTAAGAAGAAGTTCCAAATCGAGGAATGGGGAATCCCAGTGGAAGATGATTCAAAAGATGAGGCCCAGACCACAAAGAATATTGAATTTTGAGTTGGAAATAGACTGTTTGACTTGAGGAGTAGAAGGAGTATATAGAGTGTTTATAGATTAGGGGAGACTAAATAAAATATATCGCCTCTTCGTTGTTGCTGTACTATACTACACACATTACTCTTAGTTGACTGGATTCGTGCTTACATCATTTGAGATTCTATGCAATGTCTGGATGTGCCTGACGGATTTCTAATTTCTTCTATCGTCTGAGCTTGTATGTTTTCTGGCATCCTATATCAAGTAGCGCTTTCCCTCGCCTAATCTAGTATTCTAGGGCAGCAACGAGTTCATATTGAAAAGCTTCTCCCCCACCTTTTAAGCTATCCGAGAAGAGAACTCGGAGAGACTTCACTGTTTCCGAACAGTGTTCATGGCTGTATCGAGAACCTGAAGGTCGAGTAAGGGTCTGGCTCTCGACTTTTATAAGATGGAGACTGTAGTATGTCGATCTTTCCTTCCAAAGCGAGCCTTCCCTTGGCTGACTCCATACACCAGGCCTTGTGTTTCTCTACGCGTTTTCGCTTAACAGTACCAATTCCAGCCAATATGTTTAGTCATCGGTCTCTCTCTTGCTATTAATTAGCTCACCCCTCTTGCTGCGCATCGAACTGACTCTCCAATGCGATAAGCCTTTCATTAACCGACTCCATAAACTTGTCTAATCTCTTCTCTAGCCTGGCCTGTAGCCTCAGGAACCTCTCATCGATGTCATCCTGCACATTATCAACAAACTTCACCTTCTTTGGACTAGCCCTATCAGCACCATCAGGCTCCAGTGATACTAGCGCAGTCCTCGCTCTTTCTTCGATTTCTGATATATGTTGGCGCCGTACAGGAGATCCACTTCTTCTGACTGGAGATAGCGAGGTATCTCTCGAAAGAGGGCGTGATATGTGGTTGGTGTTGACTAGCCTGCGTCTCTTATACAAATCATGGCTCTGCCTCTGAGGAGCTCTCAAATTGGGCGGGTCTAGCTTTTCTGGCATCGAGAGCTGGAACTTCAATATCGGAGTGCAACTAAAAGAATGCGAACCAGAATGAACTATAAGAAATGCTCAGCGATAAGAAGAGTATGGGGTCCACAACCCAGAGCACCCTACCATGTCTATCTCGTGGCCCATCGCAATTAATCCGCATTGGGAAATCTCGACGCGTCCTTTTTTTTTTTTTTTTTTTTCCTTCGTATTTTTCAATTTCTCGATAGAAACGAACTGGCAGGAGGAACACACAAGGCACTCCCATTCCTTCCAACTCATTCCCTTCTTCTTGCAGGTATTTCTTGTCTAGTGTTCAATTTTACCCCAGGTAGTATAGCTAATCGTATAATATCCACAGAGAGAAGATGTCGTCGCTGCCAATTCGTGATCTTAACGATCTCCCTGAAGATCCCAGCTTGAAAGAAACAGAGTCGCAATCGCAGTCACAATCTAACCCCCAACAACAGGCCGGAGCGGTACCATCTTCGCCCTTATTCTTCCCATCTTCCTCCAACCCTCCCTCTGATGCACCCCAATCACAATCCAACGCCCACACGCAGAGTCAAAGGTCGAGAATTGGAGATGTCTCGTCTCCTTTGCACTACTCATCATCCACCCACTACACATCAGATAACCAGAACGCTGGTTCTTCCAGAGTAAGATCGGACAGAATAACGAGTGATGTGGACAGAATCGTCAGAAGACACAACAGAAGTGACTTACAGGACAGCACTTCGTCTCCTATGAGAAGAAGAGTCATCACCGAGCATAGAACCGGTGCTCATGGTCACAGCAGTAGTAGTAACAATAACCCTTCGTCCGTGATAGGAATTTCGTCATCGTCCGATCCTATTGACGGCAGTAACGACGAGCCAGTCAGAGTGATCTGGGGGACCAATGTTTCCATCCAAGACTGCTCCAACACCTTTAGAGACTTCTTGATGTCTTTCAAAATGAAGGACAGGAAGATTCTTGATGAACAACATCAACTAATTGATCCGCAAGAAGATAATGAATTGTACTATATAAACCAATTGAACAATATGAGGGACCTTGGTGTCACCAACTTGAACTTGGACGCCAAGAACTTGCTTCTGTATCCCTCTACCAGGAAATTGTACTACCAGTTGATCAACTACCCTCAAGAAGTGATCCCAATCATGGATCAAACGGTTAAAGATTGTATGGTTTCGTTGGTTATGGACAACAACAACAACTTTAGCGGAGAAAACAATAACGTGGATGAGATCGAAACAAACATATACACTATCCGTCCCTACAACATCAATGCCATTGAAAGGGGTATGAGAGAGTTAAACCCCAATGATATCGACAAATTGGTCAGCGTTAAGGGTTTGGTTCTTAGAGCTACTTCAATCATCCCAGATATGAAAGTTGCGTTCTTCAAGTGTAACGCTTGTGACCACACAATTGCCGTAGAGATAGACAGAGGTGTTATTTCAGAGCCAACAAAGTGTCCTAGAGAAGTGTGTGGTCAGACCAACTCAATGATGATTATTCACAATAGATCATCCTTTGCTGACAAGCAAGTCATCAAATTACAGGAAACTCCAGACTTGGTACCTGATGGACAGACCCCTCACTCCATTAACTTATGTGTGTACGACGAATTGGTCGACAGTTGTAGGGCAGGAGACAGAATTGAAGTATGTGGTATATTTAGATCTTTACCTGTTCGTATTAACTCCAAGCAAAGAGCTTTAAAGAATTTGTATAAGACGTACTTGGATGTGGTCCATATCCAGAAAATTGATAAGAAGAGGGTTGGGGCAGATGTCTCTACCTTGCCAAGCAGTGAGAAACTTGAAATACAAAAACAACAGAAGCTGTCCGCAGAATCTTCTCTTGCAGAAGTTGAAGATGTCAGACCCATTACTGACTCGGAAAAGGCCAAAATTAAAGAGATCAGTGAAAGACCTGATCTTTATGAGGTGTTAGCAAGGTCTTTGGCACCATCTATCTATGAAATGGATGATGTTAAAAAAGGAATATTGTTACAGCTATTTGGGGGAACTAATAAGACATTCACTAAAGGTGGTAGATATAGAGGTGATATCAATATCTTGCTTTGTGGTGACCCATCGACTTCCAAATCTCAAATATTACAGTACGTCCATAAGATTGCACCCCGTGGGGTTTACACATCCGGTAAGGGTTCATCTGCCGTTGGTTTAACTGCCTACATCACCAGAGATATCGATACTAAGCAATTAGTATTGGAAAGTGGTGCATTGGTGTTGTCTGACGGTGGTATATGTTGTATTGATGAGTTTGACAAGATGAGTGACAGCACCAGGTCTGTGCTTCATGAAGTTATGGAACAACAAACCATATCTATTGCCAAGGCTGGTATTATTACCACATTGAATGCCAGAACTTCAATTTTAGCATCTGCAAATCCTATAAACTCGAGATATGATCCCAATTTGCCAGTTACGGCGAATATTGATTTACCTCCACCTCTTTTGTCAAGATTTGACTTGGTTTACCTCATCTTAGATAAGGTTGACGAGAAAATTGATAGGCAATTGGCAAGGCACTTGACTGACATGTACTTAGAAGATACTCCAGACAAAGTCAATGCTAACTTTGTTTTACCTGTGGAGTTTTTGACTTTATACATTCAGTACGCTAAGGAATACTACAATCCGGTGATGACTGAAGAAGGTAAGCAAGAGTTGGTCAAGTGTTACGTCGAGATGAGAAAATTGGGGGACGATTCCAGATCATCAGAAAAGAGAGTCACTGCCACCACCAGACAGCTTGAATCTATGATTAGATTGAGTGAAGCTCACGCCAAGATGAGATTGTCTGACAGAGTGGAATTGAGTGATGTGAAGGAAGCCGTCAGATTAATGAAATCTGCTATCAAGGAATATGCCACTGATCCAATTACCGGTAGAATTGATATGGATATGGTTCAGACTGGTACTACATCTGCTCAGAGGAAGATGCAAGAAGATTTGGAAAAGGAAATCTTGAATATCTTGAATGAATCCAATAATAACATCAAATTCAATGACTTGGTTCAGAAATTGAACGAAAAGGTTGCGTTTAGAATTGAGAACTCTGAAGTGAATGAGAGTGTTAGAAGATTACAGCAGGAAGGGAAGGTGATAGAGACTGGAGATAGTCACAGGAGAACTATTAGAAAGATAGCATTGCAATAGGGATAAGGATGTGTTAATGCATGGATTAAGTGATATAAATTGTACAGTATATAAATGAATATAATACTAATAATAAGATATATGAGGACAATAGGTGAGAATAGTAGTAGTAGTAGTAGCAGTAGCGGTAGTAGTGGTGGTAATACGAGCATCGAAAGACATTTCGAGAATAAATATTGCTGGTATTGATACCAAAACTGATATTGATATGTATATTGATATTGATATGTATATTGATATTGCTATGTATATTGATATTGCTATGTATATTGATATTTCTATGTATATTGATATTGCTATGTATATTGACTGCTGACCTGGAGTACCTGTTACAAGAAGTAGAGTCCCACCATGGTACCATTCAATGGTACGTACTGGATATCGTATGAAGGAACTAGGCCAAAGAAATCACGGTCCTGAGGACCACCTTACAGGAACTACTGTCTATTAACCACCTCAAAGGAACTTCGAGGTCTCCCTCTGCTTAGCTTCACTAGTGAATGGCTGTCTCTTGATTTCGACCCTCTTTTCTGGAACTGGAGCCAATACGACCTGCTCTTCTCCCTGGCCAGCTACTGCGTTAGTTTCCTTTATAGTTGCTTTCTTTGTTGCATGACTCTCTTCTTTCCTTTCTTCTTTACTATTTGTCGTGTTTTCTTTATTCTGGCTCAAATCTATCATGAAATTCTCCAACTGCTTGTCGAACTCAATATCCGTCACTGAGTTGTACCTGTTCTTTGTCAATGCATTCGCCAATTTCAACTCTTGCGCTATGTTCACACTCTCGTTGTTCTGTAATTTGGTGACGATATCCTCGAGAATGGTTATCTTAGACCTGTAGCTACTTTCCATAGCTTCGAGGTTTTTCTTATTCCTCATTAGATCTATGGTCACCGATCCAAAGAGAAGTGTGAGAAAGATCGACTTGAAAATGGGCTGCTTGAGCAATTGGCGCAACGCTGACTGCCTTCCGCTTGAGGCGGTGCTCGATATGAATCTGCGTGAAGCACACTTGGGTACTCTAGCTAATCTGGAAGCAAACATCACCGCTAACTGCCGTATACACTACTTCTAGCCTGACTGAGCACTCCCTCCACCAGCGCTGATCTTCTCCAGGGTGACTTTCCATCGCCATATGTGTGTCCTGCATATAATCCCCGCTGAGGTTTGTGCTTTTCGGATTTTCCTATGGTCGTGGTTAATGATCCTGGTGGTCATTATAAGGGACGCAAATTGGCACAATCCAGTAGAGCAATTGGAGTATTTCCGGCATGAAGGTTCCCAAGATCACAGGCATTGTATCTGTGGTGCTAATATCGCTCACATTTCTCAACTTTGTGCTAAAATCCTACACATACTTTGTGTTCATAATACACTCTCCTCATTCCGTAGATAGCCAGCTTGATCTAGAAGGAGAGCTGCCGTTGGCAGATGCAATCTCTAATGGAATCGCACAGGAAACTGGTGATGAACACCATCCACAGACGTTGTTTGTGCCGCTTTTAACGTTTATTCCAACTAGATCCCCTGTCCTTACTAGGCCATGGGTCCTTCTTACCTCAGGGTTTGTGCATGAGGGACTAGTAGGCTTCACCGCTGCACTTGTGTTGGTATTTTACCTAGGTAAGTATGTGGAGAACCTATGGGGTTCCCGCGAGTACTTGCAATTTGTGCTAACGAATATAATAAGCTCGAATATTGTGATTTATATAGGGTACTCGTTCTACGTACACCTCTGGCAGCCCGAGTTGTTCGTGCCGCCGGTGATCCATGGATCGATGCCCATGGTGATGGGGCTATTGATTGCGGTCAAGCAGCGGATCTCCAATCACTACATCATTTTCTTCCAGGGGAACGTTCGAATAAAAGTCACCTACCTTCCCTTCTTTGTTTTGGTTGTCAGCTACGGGTTTCTGAGATTCAACGACGACATTGTGGTTACTTTCTTACACTCGTTGATTACATTCTTTGTTGCATGGAGCTATATACGGTTCTTCAAGAATGGCTCCAACGAGCGCCAATTCTACTTGCTCCCCTTTGCTATAAATAAACGCAGATCTGGACGAAGATTGAGGTCGAATTCGCTGAACAGGACCAGCACCACCTCGGGATCCTCCAGTGTCCACACCAGTAACAAGGCCGACGGAGGCAACTCGCTTAATTTGATGAACGGGGGCAATCTAGCCAATACTCTAGGGGATAGATCAGTGCAATTCTCCCTCTATACGTTCTTCCCATTCCCAATCTCGGTGCTTGTGAACTTACTATCTACAGCAGTATTCAAACTATTGGTGAAGCACAACTTGATAGACTCGAACGCCTTTGCTGAGTTTGACAATGAGGATGATGAGGAACTGGCTTTCGGCGTCCCAGACGCCAGCAATAGCTTCATAATCGACCAAATCAACGATGTAAATAGCTTGCAGCTGGGATTGTTTGATTTATCGCCTTTGAAGGGTGCACACCAGCTGGTGTCTACTTTACCCAACACTTCTTCAAAACTTAAGAGCGCTTGGAACTGGATCTCAAGCTCCAAGTCAATTCCTGGAATAAATAATAACATGGACAAAAGAAGGAAATTAGCGATGAGAGAGTTCGAATAGGTATTTCGGTTTAAAAGATTAGCTGAGCTACTGAAAGATAGGTATCCTTATAAAACATAACTCATTTTCGAGTGGCCATGGAGTCCTTGCCTAACCTCTCCCCATTCTCCCCACTGACTTGTATCCCAATTTAAACCGGTTCTCAGCGGTTGTGAGTTGTCCCGAGCTCAATATGTCCCTTACACCCACTTCTACATACTATATATATATACCAATGATAATGACCTGCATATAACTATCTAATCTATCACGGTTTTTCTGAATTAGCGCTACTCGATTTTTAAGTCTATGCTGTAGGAGCACTTCCTGTTGATATATCCAGCATAAAGAAGCTAAATTCACACATTCTGACTGGTTGCTGCTTACATAGATGGGTGCTGCTATATCTCTCCCGCTTATACCGGTGACTTACTTGGCTTCCACGGTAAGCTCGTGCGTTGGAGCCGCTGCGTGTTCAGCCTTCTGCTCCTCTATTGGGGGCACATTCAAATCCTCCATAATGACAAGAATAACGTACGCTTTTCTCTTGCTACTCAATTGCCTTCTATCCTGGATAGTAATGTCGCCCTTTATAGTGAAAAAACTAGAGAAAGTGACCTTTGGTTACATCAATGATCGATGTGGTACGGATGGTGTAGAGTGTACTAGCTTTGCGTCTGTATACAGGATAAATTTTGCCCTTGGCATGTTGCACTTGTGTCTTGCGGGACTTCTTATGAATATCACGTCAACATCCAATCCAAGAGCTGTCATTCAAAACGGGACCTGGAAATTGAAGTTCTTTGTTTGGCTTCTTTTCGTTACCGTGAACTTTGTGTTCATCCCTGATGGGTTTTTCGTGTTTTACGGGAATCACATTGCAATTATATTCTCCACGATATTCATTGGCATTGGATTGATATTGCTCGTGGACTTTGCCCATGCTTGGGCAGAGAAATGTTTGGAAAAGATCGAGATGGAGGAACTCAACGGTGAAGAGAGTGCCGGTTTTTGGAAGAAGTTGCTCATTGGTGGGACGTTATCCATGTACTTAGGAAGCATTGTGCTTACTGTGATCATGTACTGGTTCTTTGCCAATGAAGGTTGCAGTATGAACAAGGCAGCAGTGACAATCAACTTGATTTTTGGTATTTTGATTTCCATAATGTCCGTTAATCAAACTATTCAGGAGCTGAACCCACATGCAGGGTTGGCTCAAAGTTCCATGGTTGTGTTTTATTGTTCCTACTTGGTGATGAGTGCAGTAGCATCTGAGCCTGACGATAAAATGTGCAACCCGTTGGTTAGATCCAAGGGTACCAGAACTGCCAGTATTGTCTTGGGTGCGTTCTTCACGTTTATTGCTATCGCGTATACGACTACAAGAGCAGCGGGGAACTCAGCATTCTTCGATGATGGTGAAGAGACCAACTCCATTGGCGATGTTTCTCAGTCTGCATACATATCGGGCCAACCGTCATCTTCTAGAAGGGAAATGAGGTATCAGGCCATTAAGCAAGCGGTAGATGAAGGCCTGCTACCAGAAAGCGCATTGACTCAGCTTGATTTGTACGACGATGATGAGCCAGATAATGCAAGAAGTGGAGCTGGAAGTGACGAAAGCGCTAGTGTTCAGTACAACTACTCATTGTTCCATATTATCTTTTTCCTTGCAACGCAATATGTTGCAACATTATTGACTGTTAATGTGCAGAAGGACGACTACGGTGACTTTGTACCTGTGGGTAGAACGTACTTTTCCAGCTGGGTGAAAATTATAAGTTCATGGGTATGTTTTGTGTTGTACGGATGGAGTTTATTGGCACCGGTGATCTGGCCAGACAGATTTGGAGGTGTTCAATTGTAGTGGGAGTCGCATGAAGCAGCTCATGGTCGGATCAAGGTCAGATTCAAAGATTAAAATGAACCATGGTCAAATGTGAGCACATCTAAAGCTTAATTGAAAGGCAACAACTAAAGGCCAGGGCCAATAGCTGCAATGTGCCAATAGCTGCAATTGTGCTGCTGAGGTGAATACTAGATATCTGTATACTTAATATGAAAAGAACTAATGCAAGAACATATACAATTGTAAATAATTCAGATAACACCCTTGAGATCTAGCCTCTGCCGTCAACCTACTATTTCAACTCTCGACCTACCACCCATTACCTACTACCCACTACCTACTACCCACTACCTACTACCTACTACCCACTACCTACTACCTACTACCCACTACCTACTACCTACTACTTATGTCCCACTTGCCTTATCCCACCTAATTCCTGCACACAACACCTCATCCCAATCTCCCGTCCCACCCTATTTCTTCCGCATTAGGAAGTCAACAATTATCAACACTTTATTGGTCCACAAGCATTTTGGAAATTTCATCAAGTCTGTTCATTTTTCAGTTAACGGTGTTTACAATTCAAGGAACTTTGCTACCGTTTACCTATTCATAATGTCCGCTATCGTCACCAAAGCAACCAACACAGTCAACTCTTTAGTTGCCAAGTCCACTCAACTTGCTAACAGTGCCGTCTACTGGGGTAAGGTCACCGCCGAAGTTGGTAAGGTGATTTACAAGAAGGAAGGTTTAGCACCACCAAGCCAAAAGGATTTCCAAACTCTTTACAACTCAGCCGTTAAGTTTGTCAAGTCTGGTGAACAACAAAAGAAGTTCCTCGAAGAAGCTGCTGCCTTTAAGCCAACCAAGGCCAACACTGCTAAGGCTGCTATCTACGGTACCCAATTGTTAGCTTTCTTCTCTATTGGAGAAATCATTGGTAGAAGAAAGGTATTCGGTTACCCATCTGTTGGTATCCACGGTGGTGCTCATCATTAAACAGAACAACTCCACTATTTGTGTACTATAAATAACTGCATCGCAAGCAAATTGAACAAAGGAAGGTGCAACCCATCATCAAAAGAACTTAAATAAACTTACATATATAAAATATATTTATCTGGTTAGACGACGGGGGAAAGAGTGTAGAATGTAGGAAGGGGAGGCATTGGGAAATGACTGTGTCTGTTTAAGTGCAGAGAGCAGAGACGGAGGAGGGAAGAGATGCGCAGAGATGCGCAGAGAGCAGTGGTGGAAGAGGGAATAGATAGCATCGGACTGAACAGGTTCGGGCCGGCTCGCAATAGTCATCTCATAGGCGAAGTGAAGAGAAAGAGGGTGGACTTATGGTGGGGTTGTGAATAACATGGTAAAGAACTTGGCAGCACAGCTATCTATACTTACACACCGATGACTAGATATATGTCCAGTGAAGATCACTACCACTACTTCTTTTTAGGCTAACTGAATTAGAGGAATGCCATTACTTCCTACAGACTGACTGAGTTAGTGGTATGTCTATTTGCTACTAAGGTATTCAGATCTATTATATTGGTATAGCAACCTCTTCGGCTTCGCTTCTGACTGAGTTAGTGGTATGTCTATTGCTACTAAGGTGTACACATGTACTATATTGGTATAGCAACCACTTCGGCTTCGCTTCTGACTGAGTTAGTGGTATGTCTATTTGCTACTAAGGTATTCACATCTATTATATTGCTATAACAACTTCTTCGGCTTCGCTTCTGACTGAGTTAGTGGTATGTCTATTTGCTACTAAGGTATTCAGATCTATTATATTGGTATAGCAACCTCTTCGGCT